GCGGATCATTGGTATCCATTCCGCACCCAGGATTCGAGCAATTCGAGTGGAGTGACTTTGGTTGCCATCGAGGCTGTCGTAAAGGTCTCCGTACATGCCGAAAACGTAGACGATGTTAATGGTCGCACTTACGAATAGTGCTTTGCTATTGTCATCTGAAATATTTGCCATGGCCGTCCTGAGCCCTTGCAGCGCTTGGTTGTGGCGGCTGGCTGCCTTTGACAAATGGCGTCTTTTGTCGCCCAGAGCCAGGTGCGCAAGATGCAAAGAGGTCAAGCTGAGGATTCCGTGCATCACAAACGGGTGCTTAAAGGCGATTTGTGGGAAAACTTTCTGCCAGAAGTAGTCGGCGCTTGGAAACTTCACGATGGTTAGACTTGTCGAAACAGTCCAATGGTGGAGTAAAGACATGTCTTCCAGTGTGAAATTTACGGCTTCGCCAGGAGTCTCAAAGATAGTGGACGGCGACGAGTAGTGCAGCACAGCCGAAACAACTGGTTCAACTGCTGACGGGCATGGGCTGACCTCTGCCGTAGGACTGTCTGCGGTTGGACTTGGATAAGAATTGGCAGTCGTAGGGACCGGATAGTGGCATTCGGCACCATGTCGAACGCAGCGTTTACATCTCGGCTTGTCTTCTGGGCACTACAGACAGGGTTAGTGACGTTCGTTGTTCATGGGTTTTTCATCGCAGCAGTTAGGAAAACTTGCTTCTCGCTAGCAACAGATGGATCCCCGGAGCAAGCTGGAACTTCAAGAAAGGAGATAGGACGATCAAGGCACCACAGAGGATAAAACAGTAAAAGAAAAAGTACAGGTCTGAGAAGAAGTAGTCGTCAAATTGGAAAATCGTACCTTGACTCTTCGTCTCCTGCACTCAGAACATCCCGTTCGCGATTTCTTGTGTGGGCGGCGTCTGTACGGGCTCGTTACTTCTGCTACCTCTGTGGGAGATGAGACCATGATGTCGAATAATAGGTTGTTGAGCTAGGGACAAGAATTATGATGATTCGACTCCCCGAGAAAGATGAGAATGAAGAACGAAGTACGACAGCTGGGTGGGTCACTGGGGAGTAGAAGGGTTAGGTGAGTGTACGAGGTGGAGAATAGCTTGAGGCTCCACATCCCGGAACGAGCCTTGGCAGCCCCATACGGTTAGCCTACCCTCAATTGCTATAGAAAGCAGAATACGATAAACGATAAACGATAAACGAGGCATGAACGAACCACCTCCTTTCGTCGGGGGAATTGCCATCTAGTTCTCCACAACAGCATCTATCTGGAATCCCATCCCAGGAAGCTGGTTTCGCGTCAGTTTCCCGACTCTTGGTAGTAAAGGTTGCTCATGCACTGCGCCCTTCCCTAAATAACACGCTCGTCAGGGGCGATTGGGAATGCGTACTATCGTCATCAAACTCTTTTTCACATTCCCTTTTCCGCGTGCCAATTCCGCGATGACTCCTACCGAAGATCAGCATCTTCGACCCGCCCGTGGTGTCAGTAAAGCAAGAAGAAAACATCGAAAGTCGAGAAATGGGTGCCACGAGTGCAAGCGAAGGCATGTCAAGTGTGACGAAACGCGTCCAGTCTGCGTCAATTGCTCAGTATCGGGCAGAAGATGCAGCTATATCGAGGCTCTTCTTGCCTGTACTGAACTGCCCGATCCAGCAACGGACATGGCCTGCATTGATGATTATCCATCAGGTTCACTTAGTTGTAGTGACGGCAGCGAACCAGAAAGCACGACTTCGACGCATAGCTCATTTGGATTGGGAGCCGCTGCACCTAGCCGCAGGTCTCGCGACATGTTATGTTCAGTCAACGGACAATTCTTTACCCTCGAGCATATCGCACTATTCAATCATGCGCAAACCATCATGCTGGCCTGTGATGCCACAGACATTTTTCTGGACACCATTGCTACAATAAGGCTCCAGAATTGTCTTACGACACCGTATCTGATGGACGTTCTTCTTTCTCTTACAAGTTTACATCAAATCGGATTTGATCGAGCCCGTGCAGACCATCACCAATGCGAGGCTATACGACTCCAGAACCGCGGCCTGTTACTTTTCAACGAAACGAAGAAGGACTTATCCGAAGACACAGATATTCTCATGATTCTTTTCTCCTTTTCTGTTGGCCAGTTGGTTCTATGGGACACACTTCGTAAGCACCGCGATGATTTCGAAGTGTTTCTAGATCGTTTCGCTACATATCTCAGTCTGCACCGCGGTGTCGGGGTTCTGACCAACAGACCTCAGAAGACAATCAGGAACTCAGGATTAAGAGAGTTTCTCGACTTCGTAGAGTCTGGGCACATTGAAGAAGGATCTTTTACAAGCACCGAGTGCGATGGTTTAGACAGGATGCTGGATGAATCGGATGCAAGCCTGCCACACGTCCAGGCATGCCGCAACGCAACTACGATTCTCCGACAGGCTTTCCAGCTATACCACCACGCCAGTAGGATGCAGAGAACCGGTTTCTCTGCCCCTATATCGTTTGCTGCCCGAATAAATGATGGATATGTTGACGCTTTAAGGCAACGCCAGCCTCAAGCTCTTATTATTCTCGCTCATTACGCGATTTTACTGTATTGGAGCAGAGACTTCTGGCTCTTTGACGATGCAGGTCAATTTATAATACGCGCCATCACAGCATATGTTGGCGGGGACTTTGCTGATTTGCTGCGCTTACCAAATGATATTCTCAGAAGTCAAGACGACACTGCCAAAAATCACAGCGAACGCTTGTAAATATGGTCGATACTGGGATGCAGAGCTGGATGCAAGTCTTCTACATCAGTCGCGAAATAGATGGCTGCGATAGATTTGTTAACGGGAAAGATACTCTGATGAACCTTATCTCTTGCTCTCTTCCTCCCTGCAATGATTGATATTTTAGTCACTTTTGCGAAAAACTTCGTTTGCACCATTGACAAGGGAGATTTGAGTTTTGAACTATAGAGCAACAATCAAAGAAGTTAAATCAATATGCTAAGGGCCAAGCAGGATGATAAACACTCCTAGCTTACTGCCTAATGACAGGAGCCAAATTTTTTCAAAAAGACGCAAGAACGGAAGCTCGTAACAATGATAAGAGGGGGGGGAGCAGAAAAGCTTCCCACTGCCATTGCGATCTCTAATTAATGAACAAGGTGATCATCTCATGAATGATCTAGCGCCCCTTAGCCAGAAAATTCTAACAACACGTTGATGCAACCATCAACCCGTCAAGCCACAGCAATCGTGCGTAGCTAGCTCCGTTTTAGTTGCCGACGTATTCCGTATTCCACAGAAGGCCAGTGCTTGGAGCATTGAAAATGACCCGCAACGCTTTGTTTTTAAACGAGGAAATACGAGCACTGTCAATAATCCCCTCCCTTCTTCATAAATATTGTCCCCATGTTTCCCCCGACTTGGTTCGGAAGGCCACGGCCTTGATCTTTTGTTCAACACTCACCACTTGAACTTCTACGGGTATTGTGCCAGGCTCATGAGAGTATCACCATGCCTTTCGAAAACTACAAACCTTCTCTCGATGATCCCAACGCCTGGGTACCTTACCGATATTATCCAAGCATTGCGGCCGCCTCAGTATTTATTGCACTTTATGCCATTGCTACAATAGCCCATGGCGGAATGGTTGTAATGCGTCGGACATGGTCGTTTACCCCTTTCGTCATTGGCGGTATATGTGAGCTACCTCTGATACCCTGTCGACTACTTGTGCGCTCTGTGGGCTTATCACTGATACCGAGACACAGTTGAACTAGTAGGCTATATTGCCCGTGTAATCTCGTCGGGAGACATTTGGGCGCTGGGACCGTACATCATTCAGAGTTTACTCCTTCTCGTGGCGCCAGCCCTATTCGCCGCCTCCATCTATATTATCCTCGGCCAAATCATTGCCTTCGTTGATGGAGACCGCTACTCTGTCATTTCCAAAAAATGGTTGACTAAGGTTTTCGTTACCGGAGATGTGTTGTCGTTCTTGCTGCAGATGGCTGGTGAGAAGCCCCCATTGACTGCTATGTACACAAATTGTGTTGCCTTACAGTGCTGACACTAAAACATAGGAGGTGGTATACAGGCCGCTGGTACTCTTGATATGCTTCATCTTGGAGAAAAGATCATTATCGCCGGTCTCTTCGCCCAAATAGTCTTTTTCGGATTTTTTATTGTTGTCGCCGTAACGTTCCAGAGACGCTTTTCTCGACATCAAGGAAGGGGTAGCGGGAAAGCCTGCTCAATCTGGAAAAAGCATATGGAAACACTTTACGCTGGCTCGGGCATCATTATGCTCAGGTCAATATTTCGTGTCGTTGAATATCTGATGGGAAACAACGGTTATCTGCTTCGCCATGAGTATTTTCTATACGTCTTCGACGCCACGCTTATGTTTCTTGTTATGGTCCTATTCCTCTGGAAACACCCAAGCGAACTCATGTCCCTTGAAGCTATAGAACAGTCGCGACATTCCACAAACATCAACCTTGATTACATTGACCCTGAAAGCAGGTCAAAGGAACGCTTCTAACCGTTGCCTTGACTCCCGCTTGTTTAGTAACCAGGACTTGGTGTTTGAGCGTTAGTTACAATTTAGTAGCTAAAGAATAGGCAATTAAGTTAGAACTCGAATTGGCGAATTGATGGTAGATCTGTCTTCGTGAGTTAAGTGTCATAATTACAGATTGTATGGACACTACTGGTCCTGCTGTGTCGATTGCGCTTTGTGCATCTGTGTATGTTGAATTGCCGCATTCACGCGGTGGCTATCTCATTGGCCTATTAACAGGGGCCAGGTGAACTCGATCTTGCCCAGTTACAACAATGGCTTTAAGGTGCCATCATCCACCCGTACGTGCACCTTCGCGCAGGCCATACTATGGCGCTACCATTCAGCTGAAGCCTTACTCGAGTTGCCAAACACACCATAAGCTGTTCATTCAAGTGACATTTTATACCAAAACAACGATATGCCTGGCTTGAATGCACTTATTTTAGTTGTCGTAAACGTTCAAACCCCGCAAGTACTTCCCCTGTATCCACCTGTGACGCCGCGTTGCAACCGACCAACCACTGTCCCTCGCCATGTTTTTCGTTGGCTATTGTCTTGCGCGTCCCGCTGTACACCGCTGACCTCAGACTTTTTGCGATACCGGCGCTAGGGTACGCAAACAATCCAAACATACCTGCACCACTTTTCGCTACGAGACTCACAGCGCCCTTACCAAGACCTTTCGCAGCGCCAATAGCACCTTCTTCCGATGCCCCCTTGACAGGCTGCATCACAAGGTCGCTCATGCCGTCCACGAAGCCCCAGACAAAAGTCTTACCAGCCACCACAGCGCCGCTCTTGGCATCAGTAACGGGCCCATGTGTGCGTACTTCTGTACCAAAATGTTTCGGAACAGTTCTTAGGCCTTCGGTCAAGGCAAGAGGAATATCTACGAGCATCCCCTTGGCAGCACTAGGACCCAAGAGACCGATGCTCTTGGCCGAAGCGCCCGCCATTTTGCCAGCTAGCGAAGGTCGCTTCTCAGTACTACTGTCACTGCTTTTCACAGACGCTGCCGAGCTACGCTCGTCGGCAACTGCAGCAAGACCACGGCTTTGTCGTTCGCGGTCTCGCGCACGCCGCCGTTGCTCGTCCCGGTATTCTTCAATGGGCTTGGTCACCATGCCCGTGATAGACCCGGTCATATCGACCGCAGTGGCCATAACCGCAGACGCTCCTCCGGAAACGGGATCCCAGCGGGTGACATCTATTGTGATGGGATTGCTCTGGTACCTGTCAATGGCATTGAGTCAGTCTATCAAATTTCTGAATTGGATTGAGGAATCGAGGGGTATCACTAACAAGGAGCAATGCTTGGGTTTCATTTTGCTCTGAGACAGTAACATTTCGGTAGCTATTTTTGATAACTTAATGGGCTTTTTGGATTTGGCGTAGGCCCAAGCTGCAGGCTGGCTCGGGATCAGGTCGCACTGCATGCGCTCCAAGGGTAGTTGTCTGTGCCACGAGTCAACTGCGGCTTTAACGCCGTTCTCAGACTCCATCTGGGCGGCTATAGATTGTGCCGCGGATACTGCACGGGGCGAAAGGCAATATCTGATTGCGTCGGCGAGGTTCGCTACGTTCAGGTGTTGTTGACGTATGGGCTTGGGGCCAGCACCCGCGTTTGCGACCATATCGCCCCAGAATGGTTGACTATGATTAACATCAGCTCTTGTGTTCCCTCCGTAGGACACGGCAAGAAGGAGAGCCGCAGCTACAATTCCATAAACAGATCACTCACTCTCCAAAGAATGGGATGATCGTGGTCGGCTTTCCATTCCGCAAGCCACAGGCAGTGGTACCTGCCCCTCCATGGTGTACAACTGCAGCTACATGCTGAAAAAGCCACTCGTGTGGACAGTCTCCGATCCAGTAGATGGCCTCATCTTCCGAGCCAGCCAAATCGGACCAGCCTTTGGAGATGATAGCGCGTATTTTGGTTTCACGAACTGCGCCGACGATGGTTTTAATCATACGGTCCGGATCCTCAAGAACAATGCTGCCAAACCCTATATACACCGGGGTTGGACCATTAGACAGGAATTTGGCTAAGGATTCAGGTGGTGTGTAACTCGGGGCCTCGCGGAAGAAGAATCCGCACACATCTATGGCTGCAGTTAGTGGCTACTCCAAATGATGAGGGAATTGATTAGGAAATTGGTTGATTGGTCTTTGGTGTAGTTAGACTGACCAATGTGACCGGCCCAGTCGGTCGGCTTTGGGACTAAGGCTGGAGACCAGCAATAGGTAAAAGGGATCTTCAATGATTCCGCAAGCTTCGGTCCGTCGAACATTGCGACATCCTCCAGGTGGAGCGTCCTGCGCCACTTGTTTACTACGTCACCCAAGCTAGTAGTCCATATTTATTAGATATTGTCTGATAACGCCTGTGGTTTAGACCTGGGTAGAATACATACCCTTGCCAGGTCAGGTAGTCTACAACGCCGTACGAAATATAGTTTGATAGAGCAGGCTCAGGCCCGACGTTTTTGAGATTTGCGAGTGGATGCGGGAAAGCTGTAGTGCTGGTCCACGGCATTGTAAACATCAAGTGGACTGGTATCCCGAGGGCTTGAGCACAGTGAACATGTGCAAAGCTGGGGGGGTTGGCGATGATTGCATCAGCCACAAAGGGCTTATTTGTCTGTGTGTCTGGCCGTATGCAAGAGTTCCAGAATCCTTCAAGCATTTCCTCAATCATTTCGCGCTTTTGTTGGATTTCGCCCGCCTGAATACTCTTCAAGCTTGGAATTAGGCCGGGATTCTTTACCATGTAAGCCATTAATGCCGCTGGATTGCCGCCAATTGGGTAATATTCAAGGCCAGATTCCCGAACAAAAGTATCGAAAAGATCGTGTGTGGCCAATCGGACTCGGTGGCCGCGTCGCTGGAGCTCACTGCCCAACGCAACAAACGGCTGCACATCCCCACGGCTGCCCACCACTTGTATCACTATGTTAAGTCTAAGAGAGAACGACTTTCCGTCTTGACTCAGAACTTCGTTATATATGGGCAGGCCATGATCGGTGTCTGTTGATTCGGATGGTGGGTTTTCGTGAATATTTGTTTTCGGCGAGTACATGAGGGATATAGCGCGTGCCAGCTTAGAATCACAGTCAATGTCCACACGGCCATCACCTAAAACCGTTATCATGGTCAGCTAAGGTTTTCCATCGGAATGTGGTTCGTATCTAACTCAGGACTTTGGCGCTTTCGTCCCACATTTCACTGGGCATCTGGTATGACTCTGCAGGTGGTTGGACCGGGATACTTGTTTTCTCCTCATCTTTCATTGTAGAAAGGCTAAGTTCGCTTGCTGTTCGCCGGTCGTGATTGTAACGTTCCGCCTGGAGGTATGACTGTTCATCCTCGAGCTCGTACCGGATTGTTTTCCTTTTGTTGTCCATGGTAGACAGTGGTGCGAGAGTTCGCTGAGCTGATGTGGTTCGTAATTCGGAGATTGATGTGCAGTGGTAATGCTTGAGTTTGGAACGTGATGTGTCAAACGAAAATCTTCGAGGCAAAAACTAGTGATAGACAGATGGGAAGGCATTAACTTTGTTGATGGAGAGAAATAAAATATATGACATTGTTGTGGCCAAAGCCTCGCCCGTTTCCCCCATCCGATTATTGACGCATTATCTGTCATCCAGTGTCCGAACAGGCAAGCCATGAGACGTGTGTGGCGACGCATGTGAAATAGCCCAGTTTCAACATAGCGTCTCGATATGCCGGCTGCAGTGGTATCCTGCCATTGCAGCTAATGACAGCACTTTCAAACTATCGACTAGCGTTGCGATTCACGTCGTTTTTCGTATCTCGTACGGCCCAACCGAATGACATTACCGATATCCCTGCTGGTTTGATAACTTTTCTCCATTGCGCCTCTCAGCGTGTACCCAACTGTAGTTTTCGCCTTGCCCGAGTCATGTCGCTAATTCAGGGCCTGACAAAACTCGTACCAGCATGTCTCTGGATACACCGATCGCTGGTGTCGTGGATCAAAGCTCTCCACGGTCAAACAGCGGGGCGCATGCGCGAATGAGCGGATCAATTCTTGCGGCACTTACAGGCTCAGCCACTGTGATTACAACAACGTACATCATATCAACACCGTCATGTCAATATTCGTGTCGGACACACAGTATTGTAACTATTGGACGTGGGATTCGATTGAACGCCTTCTATGATTGACTTGGTGGGCTGCTGGGTAGCTTACTAGCTGTATTTGGCTAGCTTGGGGAAAGAAGTGGAATTCATCTTTGCTGAGTGTAAATGTACAGTGCGGTACGTGTTTGAATCGGAGCTGGTTCCGGGCTAGTTTTGGCCCCGCCGCGGTTAGCTTGGGTCCCATATTTCTCTTGTTCCACCTCGTACTGAACTCGTTCTTCGTTCCTCATTCCTCGTTCTTTCAATCCGTGTCTTTGTCATAACCCGTGTCCAGTTCCCATTCATATTCCCAGGGTGGTTGTTTAGTCTGTTGTTGGCCGTTGGCTAGAAACAGCATCTTTCTGTATAGACCCTCCGGAATTACTATTTCTGGCACTCCTATGAACAAAAGTGACCCACAAAGAGGTCAAAGCATGAATAGTATTGATTGCTAACGCAACATCGTCTCTGTGCATAGTAGGCACCTAGGCCTTTGTTTGGGCACATTACGTTAAGAGTACTTAGACCAGATAATATTAGCTCGAAGAAGCTTTCTAATAGACAAAGTCCTCTTGACAGCCGTTTTGGATTTGACAGGTAAGATGAACTGCGTTTGGGTGCCAGGTATTGCACGGCAGCGTCGCGAAGTGGCGCGGCCGCATAGTGAAACAGAACGATGGATGGAGCAAGCAGACAAGACAAATAGCATACAATAAGACAAGGGCATCCATGTTTAACCTTTCTCTAGATACGTTCAAGCTAAATACTGGCTTAGTGCTCTGCGGACACGTGAGAACACAATAATCAGCAGCTGCTGAGCTTTGAGCGCAGTTTTGTAGTTGGAGTAACCCTGAGAACTTATCGTTCCTTCGGTCTTCGAAGTTCCACCAACATCTCCGGAGGTTTCGAGGGTGACACTGCCAGAGAAGTGCGCATGTTTGGTCCTAGCTATCTTGAGCCTTGATGTTTCTTACTGGCTATTGCAATACAAGAAGCAGTCGTCGACAAAGTCCCATAATAATGCCCCAGTTAGGTGCCCGATTTGTCGACGACATGCTGTTCCAGTGCTCGGGGTGCACTATCAGCCATATCAGACTCAAGGAAGTTATCGATGGAAACCGCAAAGTCCATAAATCGAGGTCTGTCGATTCTCACGGAGGAAGGTCGTGAATGAAACTGAATTCTATGGCGAAACTGCCGAGTTGCTCGGTCTGTCTCTTGCTGAAATATTATAACCGGCGCGGTTACTTTCTGTGCGGCGTATCTATGTAGTGTAAACATGGGACATTGAAATAGAGCTCTTATTATCAGTGCAATTAATTTGTAGCACAATGTGTTGCCCTGGTTCGCTCGTGCCAGAATGTCAATTGCATGAGCCCGAGAGTATGTCGTTTTTTTGTTTAGTTGTCTTTCTTTATTAGTTCAGTTACTAATTCAGTTGTAAAGACTTCCTGGTATTGGCCCGTTCTCGCTCCCCGCCCGCCTTCCCTGTTCTCTGTCCCTCGTTCCTCGTTCCTAGTTCCTCGTTCTCGTTCCTCATTTTCTACTCAGCCTCTATTCTGATGTAATTCTAGGGATCGAGCTGACGTGCCGTGTGTCCACGCCTCTTGATGCCGACTCGTACTCGATTATACCACAAAGATATAAAGCCCTCGAGGATGTTGAGATGGTAACTACAAGACACTCACTCTTCAGTAGTAATAACCAGAGAACATGTCATCATTCAAAACTATTAAGGCCATTGGTGCCGCAACGCTCAGCTTCGCGCTTGTCGCCGCTATCGAAGGAGCCAACGCCATCCCCAGCACTGGAACCACTTCGCTCAGGGAGGAGGCAGCTAAGAAGGACATTCTGATCGGGTCCGGTGCAATCAATCCAACCTACCTTGATGATCCTCAGTTCGCGACCGTCCTTGCTGAGCAATTCAACAGTCTCTCTCCCGAGAATGAGTTGAAGTGGTCGTTCATTAACCCAACGGAAGGGTACTACAACTGGGACACGCTTGACCGCCTTGTGACCTTCGCGGAAGACAACGCCATGGTGGTCAAGGGACACGGGCTCATCTCGACTTGCTGTAACCCCGACTACCTGCTCAACATTACCGAGCCTACGGCGTTTCGTGCCGCGATGACGGCTCACTTCGAGGCGATTATGCACCGGTATCACGGCAAGATGGATCGGTGGGACGTTGTCACAGAAGCCCTTGCAACAATGGGCGGCGGCTTGAACGTCACAGATTTCTACAACGTACTCGGTCCTGGCTACATCGAAGATGCATTTCGCATCGCCCGCGCAGCAGACCCGGACGCCAAGCTGTTCATCAACGATAATCTTGTTGAGTCGCTACCCGGCAAGCGTCAGGAACTCTACGATCTAGTTTCCGGACTCGTAGCAAACGGCGTTCCAATTGATGGAGTCGCTCTGCAGATGCACATCACCGAAGTAGCCCCGACACCGGGCGTGATCACGGACATGGCCAAATCATACCAGGCGCTCGGACTGGAAGTTACGATCGCTGAACTGGACGTCCACACACTCAACGCCACACTCCAGGCCGATATCTACGGCGCCGTTATAGATGAGGCTTTAAAGGCAGGAATCAACGACATCAGCTTTTGGGGCTTCACTGATAAGCACGCCTACACCTGGCTACCGGGTGCGAAGCCACTGATGTTCGACGAGAACTACAATCCCAAGAGTGCGTTCTACGCGACTCACACAGCGCTGGAGAACTTCGTTAGCGCTCCTCGGGAACTTTGAGCAGCGTCAAGCCATCAGAGACTGCCATTTACACAGCTCCAGTCTCAGTCCCAGGGAGTTTGGCAACACTTACGTAAAGGAAAGCAAATTATTGAAAGGTATGGCCATTGGTATGGCCTACGTGTAGAATTTCACAGGAGTGCAAAACGGCGCCTGTAAAGCAGTAGTTGTAGCTGGTTTACATCAAAGCTACTTACCGCCTATTGACTGGTCAGTGGGACGGCAACCAAAGTAATTTTCGCAGCCGCATAGATAGATATGTGGCAATTATACTTAAATAGATACACAAACAGGCATATAAAGAATCAATGGTGTCTATAAACCCGTGCGATACTGTTGTCCACTTCTGAGTGCTCGCTTATGTGTTCACCGGCCAACAAGTACGAAATCCGCATGTACATTTTACCCCCTTTGATAGGCTAAGGAAGAACACAAGGGGATCCTCCTAGATAAAGACCTAAAAGGCACGACAAAGATATCGCATCAACTTATGTGCTTTAACAATTTCGATCTAACGGCCAGCCTCAAGGTGGAGTGGGACATGCCCCACCTTGCCTAATGTAGCCGGTGTTGGCCCGTGAATATCTATCTCCCATTGCCTCGCAGTTGCCCCTATTCCAAACAATATAACTAATATGCCAACCGTTTGTATGTGGGGAGAACTCGTGTTTTACGATGAGTTTACATTATTGAGCAATCGGAGTTGTTCTTGCTCTGCGCTCAGCAAAAGAAGAAAAAGCTAAGGTCTTTATCATTACGAGCAACATCCAAGTCTGCAGGATACCAATGATAACCCATGTGACTACACGGCGGTGATAGGGAAAGCTTCAAAGGTGAAAAAAGACCTAAAGAACGCTACCACGATTCTCTAACCAATAAACTCATCTTTTGTCCGACATCCATTAAATTTGTCAAACCTAGAAAGGACCATTATCTTGATATTTAAAGATACAAACTGCTACCAAATGAACGTCCCCCCCGCCAAATCATCCTGTGTATGCCATGTGTCGTTCTCAATGCACTTCCAGCAAAGCTGCCTTGGAAGGATGAAAGTCAATTTTCCCTGCTGGACGGACACTGCTGCAGCTGCAAGTCTCGCCACGAAGTTGTCCTCTGCCCTTACTACACCCGCTGTTCCAGGGCTGTCAATCATCTCTTCCCAGTTGTCAATTGATGCCGCAGGAAACCTGGGCTTATGTCTGATTACGTGGCCTTCGCATTCATTCGGAAAGGCTACTCTCTTCAGGAGGCTACTTTGCAGTGCTGCAAGAATGTCCACATCAGCAACCCACTTCGGGCCTTCATGGACTTGTGCTAGGGTCTCAACGTAAGTCGCCTCGACATCCTGGGCACCATGGTGAACCGCGCCTGGAACGGGGCTTTCGTACTTCGTGAATGAAAGGTGGATAGAGGTATTGCTGAAATGGTCTTTGGAGCCTCCGTCAAAAGGCTCGTGGTTGACTACCTTCCAAGAATCGAATTCAGGCTGCCGCATTTTTGGATTGATGGGTGGTATGAGTAATGAGAGTCCCGGTCTTCCAATGTTGGCAGTAAGCCTCTGAAGTTTGTATGGCTCTGGGTTCTCCCAAGGGTCGCAGAGGATTGATTTTGACGCAAATATAGAGTTTCCGGACGAGATAGCTAGAACATTGTCGAAGGAATCAGGTGACAAGTCCAGTGAGCCAGTCTCGAAGAATGCTACGCAAGATAGCCCATGAGCTCTATCAACCTCATACCCTTCGAAGAAGCGGTGGCGCCTCTTGATCATAACAAAATCATCATCTTCGTCTTCGTCGCACATGGAGTCGGAGGTACTATCTTTTGGGACCCATTTCTGCTTCCCCAGCTCTCGACGTAGCACGCTCAGGGAGACTGTGGCCCCAGGCAAGGAACCGTATATTGTATTCGCAGACGCAAGAGCTTTCATGCATCGGATATAAGCAGGCGATGACTTCTCGAACCAGGAATGAGTCAGATGGTTTTCGAGTTTGGCGACGTCAAAAAGTCTTTCATCCAGGAACCGAATGAGGTGGTTTGGCGAAATGTCCATGTCGATTTGCTTCAGGTCACTGTCCATGGTGAAGAGAGATACCGGCCACCCACGGCCTAGATTCCGAATGCGAATTTGAGTAACAGTTCCACTGTTTGACTTGTGTTCGTACGCCTCGTCATTCGTGAGAGCAAGCGACATCGGCGCCACATCATCCCAAGTTCGTGTTCCAGATGATCGAGTCAAAAATTTGATACCATCGTCAAACGACAGAATACTGTCCGGGTTATATCTTTCGCAGACTTCTCCTAATGAAGCGATCTCTTGCAGTCGTTTCCCGGCCGTGTCAGCTGGTAGATGCAAAGGAACCCAGCGCACATAGTCCTTGGTTTTGGAATTGTTGCGGATTGGTGTTAGGGTCGCAAACTCATACCATTTGTTGGACCCAAAACCTTGACGGTACTTGATGAATAAGTTCTTGTTGCGCAGGTGTTTGTCTGCAGAGACCAAGACCCTCAACGCTTTCAACTGGACGTGCGAGGTGCTTTTCAACATGTTAAGAACGATTTCTGGAGACGTAAGACCAAATAGCCGAGGTGGATGTCCTGTTGCAGGAGATAGGAATGAAGAACCTCGTCGAGTACCCAGTTTGACTAGATTCTGATACTCCTTGATTTGATTGCTTTCCTCCAACATCTCGCAGGCTTTCGCAAGAACACCAATCCAGCCTGAGGCTGCAAGTGTCAAGTTGTATGCAGGAAGCGCTTCTTGAATAGTCATCGTTGGATTGGATTTGAACTCGCCGGATATGCGTGAAACGAAGCGACCCAAAGCAATGATCAGGTTCGTGACCGATGGGATCTCCAGGCCGTGTTGAGTCCATGCACACCATTTCTGAAGAAAGCATCCCAGGGCAACAAGCGTGAACTCATTGAAGGTAACACGAGACGCATCTTCAGCTGCGGAGCGCTGGCAGATGATGGGATCTCCATAGAATCGAAGATGCGCCAAGGAGAGCGACCAGTATACTCCTTTGCTTTGAGACTGGTCTGCGTCCTCAAGACCAATAGTCAAGCATCCTCCTTTTGTGATCAGATTATCATGCTGTTTTATGGTCTTGTTCCTGTCGCCGAACACAATCATATCCGGGTAGATATGCCAGGCCGATAGCGCGAGGAGTATTGCACCATTATCAACTCTCTGTGCAATGCCCTGTAAAAGGTGCTCGACCGTCTGCATGCCAGTCTTCCAAGCATCAATAACGCCCGAGAACACGTCCAACTTGTTGTTTACTGAAATGGAGAGGTTTTCGGTGATAAGACGTAGCTGCGTGTGCTGGCGCAACATCGCGTTGTCAGCAACGGTAAGCCAAGCTCGAGCGCCGGCATCCCAGTTTGCAAGCTCAGATCTCGAGATTTCAAGACGTGACGCCTGAATCAGGGGGAAATGGGACGGCTCGTTTGTGTCGTATTCAGCCGTAATTTGCGCTTTGCGACGTTGCACAATCTCCGCCCATATCGACGTAGCTTCGGCTGGCGTCCATAAGCGCGCCAACATGCAAGCAAGCAAATGCACCGCCAATGCACCTTTGCCGGATGTTGCAGCAGCCCAGATGGTCGTCGAGTCAGCACCAACGTGTTCTTTGAAGAGGCCGTCCTTTTGTGAGCCTCGGGGGTTGAACGCCGTCGACGACGATATTTCCGAGACACGTTGCCCATAGGCCTTAACCAAAAGTTCAGGCGATGTTATCATAGACCCAATAAGCGTGTCAAGCTTTCGAGCGGTGCGGTGTGCCGGGCCTTCTTCTGCATTTTGCTTTCTCGATGATGATATGTGCTTGCCGACCGCCTTGTACTCCTGCGGTGCTTCTACCTTGAACAGGGAAAAGTCGAGATTCAAGCTTGCTAATGCCACCTGAAACTCGTTCGTTTGTGATGCTGCTGCCGCTGTGAACTTTGAAATGTCCATTGACAACGTTTTTTGGGCCTTGGCAGCTAGGAACCACAGTCAACACGCTTTGAGTATTCGATGTGGAAAAAAGGCGGGTAGAGAGTAGGTGGTGGGGGTTTATCCTTCTGCTTTGCTTGGCTACACAACACCAGAGCACTCCATGACGTGGCAATCTCATATGCAGGTTGCCTTATGGTTCGCCTTGCCGATCAACTCGCCCAGCCTGCTTATCTATACACTCTACATATGCAATAATAACGCCACTGAATGGCGATTGTGCTCAAGGACAAATTTATCTCAAAAAGTGTCCGCGACGCGCAACTCTTCCCATTAATGCCGCCGTGTCTCTCCAGGGCTGAACAGGCGCAGACAGCCACTAACAAGAAGTCGCTAGGCTTTAGGGCGGAATCATCCCCAATGTGAGTACCGAACAGCCCGGCCTTTGGGAGACATTATCTCCTCACCGAATCTGTTCTGGATCTCTCTGATTGGCACTCCCGCAATGGCAGCGGAGGGCTTACTACGGTCAATCATGGGGAACACAAAAGCCCTCAGCCCCACAACCGGCATGTCCATCGTCCTTGAGACGTATTGTTGATAAAGTTCTTGGGTTTTCTCTGAGGATCGGGGCCGATAAATGCCCTTTATTTTAACCTATGCCCAAGAAGAATAGGCTCAGTCGCCTTGCGACGTAGCATTCACGGTGCCCGTCTCATGACAATCGACTAGGAACGCTGGCCTAGCTTTCTAACATCAAGCCATCTCATGAAACTCACAGAGCTGGCTCCTGACATCAGACACCTATAAAACTTACCCAATGAGCAAAGCTAACGGCGCCTGTGAAGCCTCAAGTCTCAGTGAACAAAGCATAGTCTGCGATTCGTAGCTGTTGGCAGTCCATACGAAAACAAGCTCACAGACAGGACCAGCGCGCCATCCAAGGGAGATGACATCAAGACATTGATCTCAAGCCTTATTTCCTTGAAAGACCAAGGCAAAATCTCTAACCCTTGGAATTGCTGATTTCTTAGCAGCGAGCCCAGTTGCCTGCGAACATATAACGGAGTTGTCTACGGAGCTCTCAACACGTAACGGATATACACAACCATCCTTGTTCTGTAGCCATTGCCAATGTAACTTACTAAGACGGCATCATAACATTCTCAGCGTTGGCAAGACTTGATACTTTTTTACTTCCACTCAAATATCCACACCAAATTCTGACCTTAGCTTGGACGGTTTAGCACAGCGATCAATGGGACCTCACCATCTACTCTGAGCCCTTTGTTGATAGCATAAAGTTCGGAAACAAAGGCGACGTTTTTCGTAAAGCAGAGAATAAGGAATGGTTCACCACAGCCTCGGTGTCTGCGAGACAGCTTCTTTGTCATCGCCCGCATGCTATTTGATCTTTGAATCAATACTACTCAACGCCCATGGAAACAATGCATTGATCAACTCCGGGATTCTCACAAGATTTGCAGAGTACGCCTCTACTATCTCTGTCCCAAACTCGGTAAGTTGAATAATCCACCCGTACAACGTCCAAGCCCCTAGCCCGCAGCACCAAGCGCATATACAGACCACCCAGAAAGACGACCTTGACCTCTTCCCCGGAACCCAAACTTGGTAAGAACCCCTAAACCCCAAATAACCCCGTAAATATGTGCTACAAAGTCCTCACCCACACGATGTCATGCGACGTTCGCCCCGTCATCACATCCACCACAACCCTCTACGTCAACCCCTACGAAACGCCCCCATCCTGCCCATGCACCCCATCCTCCCACAGCCATCGGACATCCATCTCCTCCTCCAGGCGCTGCCCTTCCCATGGCTGCTGCAGCCTCGACGTCACCACCTACCGCTGCGCGCGCCAATGTCGAAAGCTGACAAAATACCACCGGTACGTCTGCACATATGACTCCGAGCCCCAGCGACTTCCTGCCCACTCACACCGACAGTCGGGCTCGCACTTCCACTCATACCCGTACTCAAGCCCACACCCCTCCCGAGCAAACCCTACCCCCTTCGCGACACCACACCGCGCACCCTGGCGTACCCTCCGCACCTTTGACCGCAACCCAGACTTCTGCGCCGTCGAGTCCTCCGACTTCCACTTCGCCGTCTCCGAGCTCCTCGACATCGGCCGCGTCCTCCTCCACGCCGAGTCGGAGCTCGAAAAGGCCCGGCTCCGGGTCGAGAGGGAACGCGCGCGGCACCGGAGCGCCCACGGCGCGGCGTGCGAGCGGGTCCTGCAGGAGTGGGAATGCGGCTGGACGCGGCGCATCGGGGACATGGTCGTCGAGACGGACGATCTGAAGCTGAGCATCGAGGTTTTGGCGGATTGCTGGGTCAAGTACGTGGGCTTGCTGAGAAAGTACGAGCTGCTGGGGCAGCGGAGGGTCGGTGGGATCGTTGAAGATCGGGGGCAGGGGAAGTATCGGGGTGACGGTAGCTCCGGGGAAGTTGGACGGGACGAAGATGCTAGGCCGTGGAGATATGCTCGCCGAGAGAGTTGGGATCGGAAATATGACGGTCGTGAGGGGCGTCAGGGGAAGGTGCAGACTCACAAGCGTGAGTGTGGTCCTGAACAAGTACGGAGGCGAGAAAGGCGTCAGTCGGTTCGATTCCATGACGAGGTTAACAGGAGACGGAAAAGTCACCATGGTTCGTCGGATGGCAAGCGGCAGCGAAGTTGGTGGAGATTCTAAGCCACTGTTTCCCCTCCACTCGAAAACTAGGTAGGTCGCTGTTCACGTTGTCCAATGCGCAAGCGCCGGCTATTATGGATATCTTCTTATTAGATTGCGCCAATGTGGTATACTTTTAATGCTGTATATACTCTGCAAGACCCTGTCCTATGCATGCCTATTACTCCTATTCCGCTGATACAAAATGCTAGACTGTTGGCCATATTCTCATGTCCTTACAGGCTACCTAGTAGACAAGCTTGAAGCTTACCTCGGACGGGCAAGTGAGAGTTTCTGGTATCGGCAAAGGGTCATAAAAGGGGTTCGGGCGGAAGGTGATCTCCTTCAGATTGGGCAACGTGTCCTTGCTCTCAAAGACGAGCTTATGCAGAGCATCTTGAAGGCCCTGCTCGTACTTGGAGCGCTCCTTGGGCGAGAGCTGGTCGACCTCGACGTCATGCCACAGCTCTGCCAAGTCAAGTATCTCCAACGACGCGGGCAGCCGGTGACGAATATCAATGTCTTGAACCCTCTGTGGGTTTCCATACAGAATGCCAATATCGAGCTTGACATTGCGCAGGGCCTTCATCTTGGGCAAACAGGTGAGAGTACCGTCTCCGCCAACATGTTGGGAGAAGTTGCCTGCAAGGATGCCTTCAAATGAGAACGTTTCAAGGGTATCGGAGACAAGGGACAATGCGGTGTTGAGGTTGTGTTCGCCGTCGGCAGGTTGTTCCGCGACGCCGGAAGGGCCCATCTCGAGAAGCTTCAGATTCGGACACAGAGCGCAGATGGCGTGCCAGCCTTGGCCCCACATGCTGCTCCGCACAAGTCGGATCTCTTCGACGTTCTTCCAGCTCCCATCGTCACCCCAGCCGTCACCGGGCTCCAGAACAGCGGGCCGGAACACAGCGGAGCCGAGCTCCACAGAGCGCAGGTTGGGCAGCCGCAGGAGACACGGCAGCTCGCGACGGGGCCAGAAGCTGGCTCCGGGAAAGTCAGGCATGGGTTCGAGCATGACGCGGGTGAGGGAGCTCAGGACGCGGGGGCAGCCTTCGGCAGTCTCGATGTCGGGTGTGAGGATGTCCTTGAGCTTCTGGTATTCACCCGCTGCGAACGGCATGCGCATATGCAGAGTGCGCAGGTTCGGCGAAGAGTAGAGAACGAGGGCGAAGACGATTTGTGCGAATTCCAGCTCGGTCTTGGCTTCACGAACAACTGTCTTGATGCGGTCCGGGAACCGGGGCGAGGCATCCACCAGGCAGCGCCATTCTGTGCGCTTGTAGGGGCAGAGAACGTCGGTGGGATAGTGATCTGTGCCCAAACAGGAGACGTAGGACAGGATGCGCATGTTCTCGCCTCGCTCCGGACGCTCAAGTAGGGTCTGGAGCAGCGACTGAAGGCGGGTCTGACCCCAGAGATAGACGGTTTGGTAGAGATAGGGGACTGCCAGATCCGATAACCGTCGACACACAAAAGCGAGGCGGTAAAGGGCGACACGGTTCGAGACGACAACGCCATCCGGATCGGTGTAGGCCTGAAAGGGGATATCGAGACCATCGAGCGGCGGCGTCAAATGGCCGACGATTTGCAGCAGAACCTCATCGGGCAGGGAAAGAAGTAATGATGGAGTCATGATGAAGAGAGGTGAGTGTGTAATGGATTAAGTGTCGTCTAGCAGAGGGGAGACGCGAAGGTGAGATATTAGATCTTGATTAGGCGGGGTTACATGCGAGAGTGAGACAGCGTTCGAGTCTGGTACTCACGAGGGCTGACCAAGAGCGAAAGAAGGGAGTATGCCGAGGCCTGTCTCTCCCAACAAAGCGGTTCGCGGGGAGGCTGAGCAAATGCCGCGATGCGAAATGATGACCTTATGTAAAGTAGGCAGGCAGCTTGACAGAGCGAGACCGACACATGCCAGCGAGGCAAGGCGGGAACGAGATGCAGGGTTGGACGAGGGAGCGCGCAAAGTGAAAACCCGGCAAGAACAGGAATCTAGATGAGACGGGCGCGTGGCACACCAAGATTCCCCCAGGTTTGGTTTTTTTCGCTCCGATGTACACTCCACCCCGAATCCACTGCCGTCTCAGGGTCTCCCACGCTTCAGGAGTGTCCGACAACGAGGGCCCCCCCCTTTGGGCGGTCCGGATGCAGATGCAGGAAGGCCGAGGTTCTGCAAGTTGCGGATGCAGAAAAGCGAAAAGAAAGGGAAGGGAAAAATATGGATCTGAGGAGAAATGGGGGGTTGTTCGTGTGTGGGCGGGAATCCGTCCGACCTAAACAAACGACATGCTTGCAGTGCCTGGCCAGACTGCCCCAGTCCCCGCTGTCATATCAACATCTTTTGCTGTAAAACAGTAACCCGCGTGTGGGAGAGGGTAGTGATGAAGCTGTTGAATGCATTGCATGGCGGACAATATTAAAAAAAAAACGCTGCTGATGCATAGGGCGGAGGCTCATTCATCTCAGCGCCATCAAAATTGAAGACGCACATGCTGCGATGGGCAATGGCAATAGCATTTGCATCGCGGCACAATGACGTTGTCGATTGTACAGCGGCCCTTGGCCGCTACGAGAGATCCTGGTTGACGACCCCGTCACGTCTCTTGGCGCCAACCCCTTGGGATTTGCGCCCCGAGGCTTGGGTCACATCGCATGACAATGGCCCCCTAGAAGTCTACGAATGAACGGACCGATCGGGGTGTTGTGTCCGATAGGAAATGGCCGTCTTTTGCTCGCGGGAGGAAAGTATCACTGCTAGGGAGCGATGGGAGCAAGGGATGGCGCTGCACCTTGGTTGGATTAGAGTTGCAATCGTGGATTTGGCCATGGACAAAAGCGATGGTAGTAGAGAATAGACGGATAGCACGCTGATGGGAAATGGAGCACGAATGACGAGCAGAGCACAGAGAGCGATGAGGAAGGAGTTGGACAGAAGGTGGCCGTGGATCCGCTCCGTACTGGGCCCGCTCTCACAGGGCTGGCTGTACACCATGGTTGGCAGGAACCCGGCGGGCAGTAACCCCCTCCTTCCTTCCCCCTTGGGATTCTTTCGAGCCCCTTGAAGCTCGCCCCTGCCTCCCCTGGAAAAATCCAAAATCGACATCGTGACTGGCCCAAGGCCTTACCTTCCTTCCCATTGGCAGGTGCACGTCTGGCCCATCGCCGGTTCGCGAAGTACGACACTACTCAGTTACACACACAGACGAGTGGCAGGAACGTTGCAGTCGCATTCAAAGTGGGAAATGGTGGTTTTGGCACTTTTGGCAACCGCTGTGCAGTACACTTCACGTTGCGACTGCCTGCTTGCTCTCGAGACCAAAACTCCATCATCGAGGCGCGCATGGGAAGAGCTTGCAGCACGGAGACAAGGTGCTTGCAAGAAGCAGCCCATTCGACGGCATTTATTATTGGAAATGGTCCAATTGATCACGCTATGGTAGATCCGGATCGACGTGTTTGTTTGCAATTTACCTGGGTTATGCATGTCTTGGCCTTTTTCTTTTTCTTCTTCTTTTTGTCCGCTCCCTCCCTCTTTACCCTAACCTTCCGGTTATTCCTGTCCTTTACCGGTCCTATGTATGCGACACCAGCAGTGCCCTCTCAATTTTCAATTGCCTGTTGATGGTCCTCTTTGCTTACCTAACATTCGGCTAGAGTAAATTCGCTCTGCTCGCACGCCTTGACATCCAGCATCCAATCTTCACAATGGCCGCCTCTCTCAAAACGACGCCCTGCATCCGGCTGCCTTTTGCAGATGCGGAGGCCCTATGTCTCTCACACTCTGACACACACCTGGATGCTCTAGGAATCAACTGACCAACAGGGACGAGGCCCTCCCGAACGCCCTAGACAACGTGATCCCCCGACCCGAGAGATCACACCACCTTTGAGGGCTCTTTCGGATTCTTGTCAGGGATCCCACGGGTAAAACCTCACCGACACCAAAACCCATGCTCAGGGTCTCGCGTGTGGCCCGTTGCCACGCCGGTCTGTAGCGCGCCTCGCTGCACGACAGCGCCGCGGCCTTTTTACTTTGACGACGCACCGTGGGCTTCCCTTGGATCGTCGGCCTGCCGTTCAACGTCGCTGTCTCAACTGTTTGCGTTGCAGCCCATGTGTCGCCTTGAAACTTGGGACCAGCTGATTCCTCGACAGAAGCTTGTTTTTTCTCCCTTGCTTCGTCGCACTCTGGGACGAAGTAACCTAATCGAGCTACGCTTGGATTGTGAGGCATTGTCCGTGTAGGCTGATATTTGCCGAGAAGCGTCACCAAGGCCGACTTTCCAATACAGAGTCAGCACTAGCGAATCGCTCAGCGAAGCCGCCCAAGTGGCCTTGACCTAGATCCAGTAAATCCCAAGTGACAATCATGCTCTTCACGTCGCTTGAGATTAATGTTCAACATTGACATCCTCTGCTTTGGCTATGCGCCCTGTCTTTCCCAAATTCAACAGACCTTTTACCACTTGCCTGCACTTGATTGATATGTCTACAAAGGTGATCCCAGCCAGCTTAGTTGCCGGTGGTCGCTCCTTAGAATCCATCTTCCGGTGCTGAATGCCAAGATGTCAATCATGGCCGCGTGCTGGTGATCGCGAGTTCTCGCTATTACACAATGAACAATATCTCAAGAACGACCCACGATACGTCTCCTCTATTCGACGTGCAAAACACTCAACCAACTCAATACGCGAGCCTTGCTTTGTCTTCCTGCGTCAAAAATCGTGATTATCCGGGTCTTGAAGCGGCTGTGCGCCCCTTTGGGAAAAGGGTTCGTGCGTGCTCCAGCATCTGTGTCGCCTGATTTCGTTGGCACACCAATTCCTGCCATAACAGCTGATTTTGAGCCGGAACTTCTGAGCAGGACATCCGTTTCTGGCTTGATCGTATACTGTGTGATTGCCCAACATTAAAATTGGTGCTGATGGAAACCTTGCTAGGATTCTGGGTCGAAAGCGTCACGTTCAAAGCATAACCAGCCAAGAAATATGATACACATGCTTAATGATTGAGTCTTCGGAGTTCTCTCAATCAAAGTTCAAATGCAAAAGTTACGCTATTGCCCTCTTTCTGATCGATTTATGACCGAGAAATGGGAGGTGATTAGCAGCAAGGACCACGGATCAAGTCCAAGGGACAGCTGAATGGAGTAGTCAACGTTTCCCCCTGAGTTTACACGCCTGAAATGGACAAGAAGATTGATCAAAGTACCCCCTTTCTGAGCTCAAATGTAGTGCCCATATTCGCTATCCAGTTTAACTTCTTTTTTACTGTGAAGCTTGCCGATAGGCACTGTACCGCAGTGAGAGTGCATGGGCGAGAAAGTGGAATAGATCCGAGTTTGGTCTTCAGCTAGGAACTGGTGGAGGGACAAACAGAAGACAAAACAAAGATTGAGAGTGATTCTTTATTGCGTACCTGCGATCTCTAACATGTACTTGGTTTGAAAGAAAAAAAAATTTCTGACTGTAAGTGCATTCAACAAGCGCGGTTCAGAACAAAATGGTTGTCCTCAAATCTGCAAACGCCAAGGCTGTCCGTCACGTCCTTTCCTCCAAGAGCAATCTAGGCGCGTGGCGTCCTTGTATAATTCCATTTTTCCTTCCCGAACGAACAATTCTTTCAAAGACGATTGCGGGGGTTTTTGCGGGCTCGTTGGTCATATCGTAGCTTTAAGTGGCCCTCCAACCGTGCAGTGCCCATTGACCAGGAAGGGCTTCCAAACGACAAAGAAGGCATATCAAGATACTGACAAGACCAAGAAAGGCGGCAACTCCAAATAGCGACAACCGGTATCCCCATACTTTCAGCCGGGTCGAAGCGCCATTTCTATGTCTTGTCGATTCTGAATCGAGTAAAATGCGAACAATGTTCTCGTGTCCCCTTTCTCTCGCTATGGACAAAGCGGTCTGCCCATCGACATCCACGAAATCAGTCCTCGCTCCCGCAGAGACAAGAACTCTGACAATGTTCTCATGGCCCTTTTGACAAGGCCAGAATATGGGTGATTGCCCAGAGGCTGATAAACAATCGACGTCGATCCCACTTTGTTGTGCTAAAACCTCGACAACCTGCGTATGCCCCATGCTTGCGGCAATCCAAAGAGGTGTTCGGCCGAGGCTATCTTTCGTATTGAGCGCGACCGTTTTTTGCAAAAGCTTTTTGATTTCTCCCACGTGGCCTGTCACAGCCCAATGATAGAGATGTGCAATATCTCTCCATTCATAATGCACGTCTGCGGGTGAGATATGGGAGCAAAGGTATCCAAGAACTTCCAGTTGGCCGCGAGAAGCCACTGCAAAACATACCCTGGTTGTAATGGAATGAATGGTCTCAGTCCTCCGTCGTGCTAGAAGAAGTTGAACAGCTCGTCTGGCATCCACAGTTTGAGTCGCAGCCATGACAACATCTTCTGTAATACGTATCTCGTCTCCACGCTTATCAAGAAGCAATGCTATGATTGCTGGACCAAACTGTGGGTGCTTGGCCGCAGCTTTGACAACAGTCTCTGTGATGTGTATCTCGGATCCGTATTCATGAAGAAGTAGGGTCATAACCTCCAGGCCATACCGGATGTTCTCAGTTGCAGCCTTAATAACATCCTCCGTGATGTGTATCTTGGATCTGCATTTACCAAGAAGTAGTGCTATAAAGTCTTGGTCATGGTACTTTACTATAGCCTTGACAGCATCTTCTGTAATACAGATGTTGTCTCCCTGCTCATTAAGAAGCAATACTACAGTCTCTTTGCTACCATGTTTCATTGCAGCATCAAGGACGTGTTCTGTGATCTGGGTTTCCTCCTTGTGTGTGTTGAGGAGTAGCGCCATAATCTCTCGGCCTTTTTTATGGTTGCCAGCTGCAGCTCTAAGAAAGCCTTCTGTAATCTGGATTTTGTCTTTATGCTTGTCGAGTAGAAGCCTTAAAATTTTCTGGCCGCATTCCCAGTTCTCAGCTGCTGCTATCAGAACGTTTTCTGTGATTTGAATCTCCTCTTTATGTGATTCAAGGAGTAGCGCCATGATTTCTTGGCCACTTTTCTAGTTCTCGGCTACAGCTTTAAGAACATTTTCTGTGATTTGAATCCCCTCTCCAGGTGTTTTGAGGAGTAGCGCTATAATCTCTTGGTCTATTCCATGGTTGCTAGCTGCAGCCTTAAGAACGTTCTCTGTGATTGGAATCTCCTTATGTGTTTCAAGGAATAGAGCTATAATCCCTGGGCCACTTTTGGAGTTCGCAGCTGCAGCCTCGAGGGAGTTTTCCGTGATCTGGATCTCGTCCCCACGCGTATCAAGAAGGAGTGCCATGATTGCTAGGCCAGACCCAGTATTCTGAGCCGCAGCCTTAACAACGTCTTCTGTGATACGTATCTCGTCCCCCCGTTTATCAAGAAGCAATGCTATAGTCCCGTGGCTACCATTGCTAGCTGCAGCCTTTAGAACGTTTTCTGTGATCTGAATCTCGTCTCCGCGCTTGTCGAGTAGGAGCGCCATGATATCTCGGCCACTCCTACCATTACTGGCAACAACCACCAGCAATTGCTCTTCCATTGCAAAGGGAATATCTTTTTCCAACTGCCATGTTATGAGTTTACTTCTGCCGCGCTTTGCGGCAAATTCTTGAAGAAAGTTCATGGACGTACCAAGTTCCTTTGAGCTCAAATGCGTCCAATCTTCAGGATTAAGAACACCTGCTAAGTCGAACGCACACAAAACCATTAAGCCTGGATAAATAAGTACACCGGAAACGGCATCCTGAAGCTTCCACCAAAGGTTTCTCGGTACGACGAAGCTCATCTTTTGGCCCATTCGCCTCATTCTTTCTCGCCAATCGCACAAGTTTGATGCGTTCTGCTCCCCAAAAAGGAAGTTGAACAGAGCGTTTTTTAGCGAAGTTTGTTCTCCCTGTAAGCCTGCCTGCGCATGTTCTCCCCAATAATGGTCGCAATAGTGTTTGAGAGCATATGGTTCCGGGCCCGCAGGGACTGCAACAACACCGTGAAGGCATGCTTCTGCTACAAGTGCGTTGACGGACACTCGTTGATAGTCTTTCTGAAATTCGAGGAACTCTCGGACCGACAAATGCGAAAAACGAAATGCATCTTGGGCAGAATCGTAGACGACCAGATTACAGCACAGCTGTAAAAGCTGTTCTTTTGAGATTTGGCAAATAAGACCACGTTTTGTCAGACATACGGCGGCTAAGAAATCTTTTGACCGGAATTGCCACTGGGCACAGAGGAGCCAACTGAGAGCGCTGCGAGTGATCCGCCGATCTGCGTCTGCCTCGATGTTTTCGATTCTGAATAAGATATCACGATAGAGATCTTCCAGAGTCTTAGGTAGTCGTCCAAGTCTCTCCTCGATCGCTTCATCAGTGCGCTGACGGCAAAGTTCTTGTAGTTGGAGGCTTGCCCAGCGAAACCTAACATTGTAAGAGTTGTGACCATCTTTCATTGCAACAGAAAACTTACATGCCATGTGCGTTGCGTTTGAGCTCTTCGACAATATTATTACGCAGCTCTACCCTCCTTGAGCTGTATCGTAGCAAATCCCCCTTCCTGATAAGGTGATCTATTTCAGTGGTTACGTAGAAATCAATATCTGCTGAGTTGCGATCGGAAGAGAGGTGAAGGTTCGGATAATTATCTAGCTTGTAGACAATGTCTTGGTCGTCCCGACTAGAGACGAATATCTTAAGAAGACAGGGAGAGGTCTTCATAAGGTCCTCAAGCAATTCTAAGAGAGAACTGCGGCTTGCTTCGGCGCATTCGTCAAGGGCATCAATCACAATAGTAATTGCTGCGTCTTTGTATCGATCCAGCAGCTTGAGGATAAGGTCCTTGTTTTCACCAAGGTGAAGCGGCCCAGAGGCGAACGCACTTTTCTCTCTTTTTCGGTACACCTCGACGACCTCTTCAAGTATCGGCCCTCCAGCGACAGGGGTGGAGAGCTGACGTGAGATGCTGGCCGCTATGCTAGCGGGGTTGGACCGCCCAGGCTCGGCTGGATTACGGGAACAGTAGAAATATACGGGGGCCGGCGAATGACTGTTCGAAAACGATTCCAGTGCATCTTGGATGACAATAGATCTTTGCTTTGTCAGCTGAGTATCTCATATTCAAACCGATCTTCTGAACCTACGCGAGCTTGCTTTTCCCGGAGCCTGGAATACCATGGAGCCATAGAATAGACGAAGCGCTTTCTTTTTTCCATTGGAGGTAGGTCGAATCCTCTAAAAGCCATCTACCCGTGCCCTTCATGACTTCGCTCTGCGCTTGTTGGTGGTGCTGCTGGTAAGGTTCGACAGAAAGCCACTGTAGAATCTTCACCCTCCGTTCCACTAACTGGGTAATCAGTGACACCGAAACACAATATTCAATCAGAACTGACCATCAAGTTGATCCGTCAAGGAAGCGAGCGCCTTGTTCCAGCGTTGTGCAGGGGCGTTGAACTCCTTCAGCATCTGCTTGAGTTCGCTATGCATTTCAAGTTGGGCTTCACCGCATGAGCATATTCGTACATCCTAGGGAGCCGTGACTAACCTTCTAACCCGAAGATGACAGAAAACCGTGTTACGTCTTCATGGTCATTGGTAATATTTGTAAATGTCGACTCTAAATCTGATGATGCGAGAATCCCGTGCTTCAGAATGCGTGCTGGTTGATTTAGCTGCTGGGAGCGAGGGGGAAAGTGTGCTAACTCACTGGCAGTGGGTTTGAGGTAAAACGATCTGGCCTTGGCGAGATAGGTTAGAATGCTAGCAAATAGTTTAATTAAGGCGCGACGTAATTCCCCCGCGGCAGTAGATGAAGCATCTCCCAGAAGACTTTCAATGAGAGCGTTGCGACATATCAACTCCACAATGCCAACTGTTCTCTCGAGCACGCTGCTGCAGGTTTCTAGATCCCCCAAGGCGACCTGCTTGGTTGTCAACGAAATCCAACTACACTGTTGATAGATGGGCCAAAATCTTACTTTCAAAAGAAAGCTGACGCCTGCCCAAGGTAGAGCAGCGTGTGCTGGGTCATATTGCACGGCAATATCGCCCACTTCCTTGAAATGACGAACCCATTTGGCCACCTTTGTCAGGACGTCGCGCACGATCACCTTCTTGCCGTTACGCGTAAAGGACCACGAGCGCGCATCCAAGCGTTCCCTTGCCTCCGTAGTCGCGGCTAGAAGTTCGTTGACGGAAGTGTGCATCGACCCTTGGGTGAAATTGATCTGGGACTTCAAATCGTCTCCAAGCGTGGCTACCGCGGCGGCCCACAAGTCGTCACTGCGTAATGGGCCCGTTAGTACACAAGGCAATCACCACGATGTTCCGGCCAAGCTCACTTACCCACTCCGTCTCGTGGCCTGTGCAACGGACATTTTGAGGTCATTCACTCGTTGGGAATGATCTGTTTCAAACCAATTCCCAAAGAAATCTAGCCTCGAGCCTTCTCGCGGAGTAGAGAAGAATGCTGACAGAAGTTGGATGTGACGGGCGAAAGCGGGGTCAAGTTGGATGAAGTGCCGGGGTAGATGAATGATATCCTGTGTGATGCGAATGCGACTGGCTGCAAGACGTCGTCAGGCTGACCATTCCAGAACCATGATTGATCACCCAGTGGGGCTTCAGCGGCGGCTGTGCTTTGGAGTCGCGAGGCGGAGGTGACCCTTGTGGCAGTCCTCTTGCACTACTAAGGGCGGTTAGCGGGATGCAAATGATCTCAGAACATGGCACCAGAGAGAAGCACTTCCAACCAGGCTGGATTGGTTGACCATACAAGGCCCACGAAATGTTGTAATTAGCACGTAAATAATCTGATGATTCTACACGCTCTTCCAAGCGTCTCATCATGGCTGGACGGGCCTAAATCGCCAGAGAGCGGGGGTCGACAGAGTTTGCATGGCAACGTGATATCCGTAATCGTCCAAAATTTCGACCCGGCCTTCGCACTACCTACTTCTTCAAGTTTCCCTAACACCTAATCCTCATATTGGGACACATCATAGTAGATCACGAGGTCACCCAATCACAGCCTTCGTATCGGCAGTACTATACCTCATCATCCGGGATGCAACCAGTACTATTCAATACTGAAAATAACTCTCATTAATGTAGCAGAAAAACGGGATAAATCACCGCAAACTAGGGCCGGATTCAAGCTTTGTCTGGTGGGTAGGTGAACGACCAGGCTGCAGAACCAAGGGTAAACATAGGGGGCTACGGATCAAGCATAGGTAAAAGTCTCGCTGGGGCTCACTGGAGACTGCACGACGGGGAGCTAAATAAACAAGTAACTTATCACATGTCGTTCATACGCTTTTCGAGATTCAATCTTAAGAATGAAACCACATGCCGTATGTAGCCCATAATATAAGCAGATGAAGCTTTTCTGGCGCCTCACATACAATGAAAGTAGCATGTATCAACTGGAAGATACCCTTAGTGTGCCACTTTTCTTAAGACATCGGGTTAGATCTTTTCCAATATGAGGTAGCTACAAAATAGCCTTACTTTTTTCGTGGAAGTCTTCTAGAAGGTTCGCAGACAAAGCACACAAACCCGACGGGTTCTTTCGAATATCTGGGATCTATCATCCATACCACACCAGCACACACTGGAGGGGCAGTGATGGCCGTCAGATGCTCGGCGGTGCATGTTGTTTCTCACTTTGTTTGCGAATCTGAAGTCGGGTTAGCATTCCTGCTCGCGTCTTTTCGTCACGTTGAAGGCTACGGTGATAGAATATTAGCTAGACACTAACAGATGGGAATCCGGCGTACACGCCATAGTTCAACCTATTGCTTCAGGCATTTGAGATGGTGATTTTGCTAGCATTCAATGTGCCATTTTCCACAGGTACACTAATACCGCTGGTATTGTCAGTAGCGGTGGGTTGCCCTTAACGAAACAAGGGGGATGAATAACTTGATTCATGAGTCGCGCAGACCCTTGTCGTCCCAAAGCTTTCAATCCAATGGATCATTCTGAACCCTGCACAGCTGACGCCTGGTTGAAGTACAGGAAAAACATCGTGGCGAATCCACGTTACGTATTAACAGAAGAAATAAAGTCTTAAGCTAACCTCTATGACTTTAACTTTGGCGCTGTTTACACTTTAAACCAAACAAGCACGAAAGTAGCGTGGGCCCCACTTGTTACTGCAACTCAACTGCATGTCAGAATCTGACGTGGGACGCCTTGACCTTTCTGTTTGCCGGCTGCAAGGAATCGGCTTCGGGCAAAGCCATGTTGCTTTACTAACTTGCTCAAGGTCATGCAGGCTATGCCGAATCCAGATCGGAGCATCCGCATACAATGTTGCCCAACAAACTTGCCTCGGGTTTTATCTAGAGACCATGGGCTGAATGCATAGATTTGCGCTGGCGATAAGACTACACTGTCTTTGAGTCTCAAACCACGAGACTTTCTACACGTGCATATTGTTGACCTTTTGCAATCACTTGTTTAAATTTGCATGTTCAAGATCTTTATTTACGTGTGAGGCTAGTGACGGAGATCCTCACGACCAAGCTAAAAGTAAATGTACAAAAACATTATCCGTCTGCATCTATGTCATTTGACGCTCAAAGGTCATCAATGAGGGGGCTGAGACCCTGAGCAGTGCCAAGGCGGTCTTCCAGCCAGAAGCGGAGTCTTTCAACAGCCGCGCGGTCGGACATCCACTTGCCGAAAGCGGTCGGATCGGTGCCGGGCATCTCCAAGATGGCAGGGTAGTTGGCCGGGGGAGGGACGTCCCCACGGACGCTCCATCCTCCGCGCGCGCTCTGGAACTCATTGCTGAGCATATAAGCGTGCAGAAGCTTGGCACCCTCGGGGTGGGGTGCGTTCTTGAGGATACCACCAGTCTGGGGCCATGACACGAACTGACCCTTGACGGGGAAGGAGGCCTTGGTAGGAGAAACCGGGTTCAGAACGCTGGAGGAGGTGAAGGTGGCGGCCCATTGGGTGTCATTTTTGGCGTAAATTGTGCGTGGAGTCTGAGTGCCGCGGACCCAGCGGGGGTTCAGGGCGAGAAGCTTGTCGAACCAGGCGGTGCCATATTGCTTGAGACTAATTGGGACCATTAATTTTGAGCATTTCACAAGAGCTACGAAAAGCTTGCAACTTACATGAGGTCAAAGGCAAAGAGAACCGCATCGTCGTCGTTGGGGTAGGTAAGGACAAGCTTGTCCTTGAGGTCAGGGTTAACCCAGTCCTCCCACTCGACCGGTGCTGTGATGTTGGGCAGTTTTCCAGAGTGCCATTGACCGCCCCATGTAATAATGAAGAGACCGTAGTATGCGGCAGTCTCGTTGGTTTTGAACTCGGGGAGGATTTGGTCGTAGCCCAGAGGGGCGTAATCCAAGAGAGCACCCTCAGAGGCCCATCGAGGGTAGTCGTGAAGGGTCTGGAGGATGATGCTGTCAACATAGACATTGTTGGCTGCGATCTGATCGTCCAGTTTACCGTCGTGATACTTAGAGAGATCGACGGTGACGTTGAGGGTCATGCCAGGGAATTCCTTCTCGAACTTGGACTTCAGTGAGTTCTGCTGAGTGGTCTCATCGCCGCCGTGCCACAGGGTGACGACACCACCTTCCTTAAGAGCAGCTTGGTAGATCTCGTCGATGGTGCGGGTTTCGAACTCGGCAGCGGCGCTGACCAAGGCTCGAGCGCCTAGAAGGGCAAAAGCAAAGAGGGGGCGAACCATAGTGACAGATTTGAGTTTATCCGAGCAAACGATTGTAACAAAATCACCGGTGAGTTGCTTGTGTTGACTAAATCTGTAAATTGGTGTCATGTACCTCCTCTTATAGAAATTCACAGATGAACGTGATTTCCCCTGAGATGCCTTCACCGCAAGTCGCTGTAATCACTTCAGGGTATAATTCGGAGACTCGAATTCTTAGTCTACAATATCTCTTGTCATGCATCCCTTTCAGAGAACCGACTTCACGAAGTCTACCGCGCGCTTGATGACGATGGCAGCGGGAGGTTCCGCTGAGAGACGAGACGAACCACGATGGTCCTTCTTCATCGGCCTCCTTTTCCTATTACAGCCTAGGCCCTGGCCGTTGACTAGCATGGCTGGGTAGTACTGCTCGGTGTACCAGCACAACGTAGGTGGGGGATAATTGTAAATCCAATCTACAGTCGAGTCGAGAGTCATGTCAACCGAGTCCTAGCACTGAATCCAGACGCTTGTCCACTCAAGACCCCACCGGAATAGTCCGGCAAAAGTGGAGACGGTAGCGAGAGAGCGCGCTGCTCGCATACCAGAATCAAACAGAAACATAGCGCGGCCAGGATCATGATAACTAATCACCAGGTGAAGAGCGGATGATGTTTGATTCCGAGGCGCTGGCTCGATCGTGTTCCCAAGCTAGGCAAAACAAGCTTGTCGATCATGACAACACAGCAAGGGAGAAATGAACAAGCCTGCCTAGGTGGGCTAGTCGCAGGAACAGGGACAAGTTCTCTGAAGTGTCATTATCGATCTCGAGCTGATATGCATCTAATAAATCGCTACAGCTTGTGTTGAACGGTTCGAGAGATGCTTATAGAGCAACATGGTATGCAACACGACAGCTAGGCGCTTAAAACATCGAGCATAGCTCTGGTACTATTGCAACTATCAGATCCGAACGCAAGGCTCGCCGGTTTAGACGATTATCTGACAGTGATCGACCGGATTGCGGAACACATACACAAGCCCCCGTCCTAAATGTGTGGGTTCGTTTAGCGAATCATCAGCAATTCATACGGAAATGCGGCACGACGCCCCACTACCGAGGTTCTCGCGAAATGATCGTTGTTCGTCTCCGATAGAGGTTATGGGATGTTTTCATCAGAGATTTTTGTTGCAGTAGGGCAAACCACGCACCTAAGTACAGGACGTAATCAAGCCCTTACCATGCGGAACAGAGGAAGACCAACATTGCAAATGCCGCAATATACAGATGAGTATTTATCCAGGACAGTGATCGCCGTTGGATGATACACACTCAAATTTCTCACGCTCCACATCGACAGTTGTCAACCCTTATGTGGAATGCAAGGTCTTCTTTCCGTCCGACACAGAATCCATCTATTTTTGCCCCTATCTTGATGTTTTGATTGCTGCTAAATTCGGGGCGACGCATAATAACCATCTTGCCCATTTCATTTTGAATGTAAGCGCATAGTTTCATGGATTTCTGGGGGGACAAGGGGTGAGTAGTAGTTGGACGTGTTCATATTTGTTGTGTGTGGATGTCAAGAAACAGAGGTGCCGGGGACTAATGTTGTCTAGGTGACTAACACGACTGCGTTGGCTTAGCTGTGCATCGACTGTGCTGCGGTCGCACTCAAGGTCCGAAACATACCAAATAAGCATATACCTAGTCTAGACCGAACCCCTCCAACCAGACAGTGGACACCTACTTGTCATTAGTGGCTTTCCGATCCTGGCTATGGTGGATGGGTACTGCTGATGCTACCTTTGTGGCGCATCTACACGGGTCAGCCACGCCGACTGCGCTCCAACTAGCTCTTGAAAATATGATATGCCTTGGAAGTGGGCGCTACGCCACCTCCCCCTTTCCTTACGGTCAGTCAACAATTCTTTCGCCCTCACAGGTCCCACAACTCTGTCCATAGCAGTTTTAAAGAGGGACTTCGTCACTCTTTGATTGTGAAAATATGTCATACCAGAAGCTCCGATCAATTATCGACGATAATGCAGATTGTCGTACAACTCTCCTCCCCGAAAACTCGGATCGGATTTTTCAGCATTTTTGATCGTGTGAATACTCTCTTCTAGTTATAAAGCATGGCACGGTGCCGTCGGGCTACTTGTCCAAAAGAGCCATAAGCCTTGAGATCATCGAGAACCCATGTGACATTGCACTCAGAGCCTAGCTGGAATCAATATGGTCACTTCTGGGTCCTGTCAGATCGTTACAGTTCAATATTAAGACAAGCTCTTGCCGTTCTGAAGATAACTCTGATGCCTGGCGCTAGATGGTTTAGTTGGGGACTTCGCCATGTAATCACTTGGATATGAGTGTCAAAACAGTACTTGGGTTTCTTTACAAAAGCCAGCCTTTTGTATGAAAGCTGACTGGACGGCAATTTGAACGACTTGGGGGGTTTCCTGCGAATACATATGGATAGTACATAAAACAGCAACTCGTTGAAGAGTGAATCAAGTCTGCGCGATCGTCGAGAGATCTAACTCCTACATATATCTCTGGCACCTCCCCTTGGCTTTGTCTCGACCATAGATGCAAAATCCCCCACACAGTCGCGTTCTGTTCTTTAATGAGTAATGATGGCAGCATAAGACATGAGTCAAAAACATCTAACGCGTAGCCATCAATAACGCAACTAGGGCGAGAATGATTTCTCGTGTCTGGTGAACGGTGTTTGAGATAATACAAGAGTTGCTGGTCTATTGCTACTGATTGGTGATTAAACGCCACTTTGGCATGTGTGATTAGCCCCTTGCTGAATCAGGGACTGTGGGCAAAGACATTGAGAAGCATTGAAACCGGGGAGTTATTCCATGATGAGGTTCCTAACTCCCCGGAAGATGCCCTGCTGTTTCGGATGGACCGCGCAACATGGTCTTGGAAATATGTTTGAGCGGCTCGGAAGTTGGCGAAAGCTGGCCCCGGTGAAACAAAGAGCTTGAAACCTCACGCTGGGTTCAACACCGTTTCCTGCGCCTTTCTCCATGGGGTACTGGATAAGCTCCTTGTCCTGTCTTCAGGTCACGATGGGAGGTCCAACTACGGGCAAGCAACTCTATCGAGAGCTTCGTCCCATGTAGAAGGCGGCCAAGGCTCATTAGACCTGGCAGGGTCAATAGAGGAAGAAACCTATTGAGAGCTTATCAGCACCTTTGTGGGCCAAGGAACTTACACTAAGACTTTTAAAGAAACTTGACAGCTCTGTGATGGTTTTGTGATATTTGAGGTGTCTATTTCCTCTTCTCTTTCTTTTTGGAGCCCTTACAGAAGGTTCGCTTGCGCCAACAAAGCAATCAAGCGATCGGATGGACTCAGAGTGACAAATGGGGATAGCTGCATGATTCGAGCATTGTTCTTGACTTTCCAAACATACACAAGCTTGTCTATGAAGGGAAATGTCTGAACGAGATCAAAGTGAGAAAGCGACTTTCCGTTGAAATCTCTTGTAGTCTTCCAGTTAGTCAAACCAGCAAAATTATCGCCAGTGTCAGCCGAAGTTCCGCAAATATATGACCTCTGCGAACCAAGCCGTCAGCCAGGTGTCATTCACGAAGCTATTCATGCGCGAAGAAAGCATGAGCAAAACATTTACTGGTGTAACGCCAAGAAATTTCAAGGGCAAGAATACCCGGACAGGTCCGATTAGGAACAACTAGAGTGTGAGCGTGCGACGCAAAAAGGTTAGCAATGATGACCCCTAACCTTTCGAGCAGGTATCACTTCGCGGCCTGTTAATGGCAGAATTGAAAGACTAACGATGCTAAAAGCTTCGCCGGATCGACGGCAAGGTTGACGTTGGTAACGAATGACCCTGTTATTTCGTAAAGGCCCGCGCCGAGCTTATCACATCTCCCTTTGGTTCAGTCTCAGCTGCGTTGCAGCTGATTTAAACTTTATACCCTGACCAACTTGCCTTCAGAAACTCTGCGCTAGGTTCGCCGATCGCTGGTGGCTGGGACAGAAAGTCTGCAAAGCAAGTTGCGCAGGTATTTTGGCTAAAGAAAATGAGGGGATAACTACCGGTCAGTTGTGAATGATGAATTTTGGACTAGGCAGGTATCGATGAGCACAATACCCAAGGACCAGTATGTATGCGCAGGATCTTATTAATAGTTGTATCACAGCAGAATTATTTTTGCATTTGGACTTCCTATGATGTCGTTCCCTTAAGCCTGGATCTGTACATGTCTCTTGAGCTCATGCGCCATAAAAGCCGCAAGATTTGCGCCCCAATGACATATGCATGATTCAACGCAATCGTGACTGTCATAAAGAACTTATTGGCAAGACACAGATCTTAGCCGCACGGCTTTCACAGTTTTACGGCATACTCTTTCTCTCTGATAACTTTTTGAATTACTTCGAGATAGTTAGCTGTTTTAGACATAGAAAATTCATGTAATCATGTAGTGAATACGAGAGAGGCTACCATTCTCACGAGAAACTTGCGTGAATTCGAAATCGATTACCCAACCCTGCTTTCCTAGCTACGCTCTTACCATCCACTTCCATCTGCCATCAGTCTTCCTCGCCCCGTTGAGAAACCTCATCCCCGTTCCCGTTGCCTTCTACAAGACCATAGTCCTGCCGCGAGACCCAGCGCAGCCATCGTAGTTTTCTCCAACTATGCTGCCGCTGCCGCTGCAGCGGCTGCAGCGACTGCAGGAGCCGCAGGAGCCGCAGGAGGCTTGGCAGGGGCTGCAGGAGCTGCAGGCTTGGCAGCAGCTGGCTTCTTAAATGTCGCGATGGCACTGTCGATAGCTTCAGTGAGCTGGCCGGTGCTCTTCTGAGCGATCGGGCGCGCGATGGCCGGAACCTTGCTAAGGAGCATATCACCGAGCTGACCGCTGCCTGACTTTTGTTGCTGAAGAGCGTCCGATACTACAGAAGTGACGCCAAGCTGGTCGAATACGGGCTTCTTCTTCTCGAGGTCGCCGAGGGTGGTCTGAACTTGACCGACAAGATCAGTGGCCGTCTGTTGAAGTCCAAGGGCTCCGAAGAGACCCAAGTTATCAGCATTCGAGATCTGGCTTGTGGCCTTCTCGATCATGGATTGCGCGCCCTGGGCCGCGTTGAGAACGCCGACGGCAGAGTTGGCATCGGTCGCGCTGAGTTTGTTGACAGCCGTGTCGAGCTGCTTAAGTGAGCTTTGAACCATTCCAAGAGCACCAGTGATGACATCTTTTTGGCGAGGTACAAGGACAGGACCAGCGGCGATCGCCCACGCCTGGAGGGCGACGAGAAGAACCTGAGACCCGTGCATTTTGCTGGAGGATATTAAAATACTACTAAACAGGAATAATATTGACTTAAAGTGATCGTTGGCGCGAAGGAGATGGGCTTGAATAGTGGAGAGAACGACGTCGAACGAAAGCCAGAACGGGAAGTGGTGTGGCGCCTTTGCTCGATTTATCAAAATCTGGATCGAACTGGAAATTGCTATTCTGCATCTGTTTTTCTCCCCTAACTTTCCATTTTCGGACGCACTAGGGCAGTGATGTTTCTGCTTAGAGTGTGTGTGTGGCCTACAACTACTTTTCTCCTGGGAGTTTCCTTTTTGGGTAATGAGACGCAAAGAAGCCTCTTGGTGTTCACCCTGACCGCATGAGGGCCTCTAATAGGACTCTTTTGGGGCATCTTGACACACGTGCGTTTTTGAGTTGGCCTACGAAGCAGGCTCCGGATGCTAGCCGTCACTCAATGAGGGTGATGTGAGAACTCATCCGAGTTGTGAATGGTATAACGGCGTGGGATGACATGTACATCTGATGGGATAAACCCTGCCATTGATGCGAGAGCTGAGAAAACTTCTTTGGAACGCCGTTAGCCCTGCAGCAATCTTAACGAGATTCTCGGAATAAGCTCATGAACGGGGAGAGTGTTGAAATGTGGGGGAACCCAATCAAGCTGGCCCAGTCGGAACTCTATTACTTGCTGTGCGACCTGCAAAGGGCACAGGCCGTTGATTAATTCAGGGAGCCAGTAGGCTAGTATGATTCTGGTATCAGAGCTGAAACGCTTTGTGGCGCGGACCGGCCGCCATTCAGTCGAAACTTCCCACAGAGTTGATCTCATGCCAGACCAATCGCAAAGCACGAAGGGTCGTTGTTGTCCTGTTTTCTCAGAAAGCCATGTCAAACAAGCGCCAGAAAGCTGCCAAACTGCCAGGCTGAACCGGATGGTCCCTCGGCACAATCCACACTGTCATCGCGCTCGTGATAGCGGCTGGGCTGTCAAACGGCCTGAAGGGGCTGGTCGCCAGGCTGCCGGGTCCTGGCTTGGGATCCTCAACCCTGGTCATTCGCACTCGCTTAACCTCTTGACATATTAGCAGCTACCCCTCCCTGGAGGTGTCCTGGGAGCTAAGTGGGTGGACTCGCCTGCTATATGTCCCAACAGCTTATACGCCTGGATTGTCCTGCCAGCGTCATCGGATATCCCATGTATGACTAGATACAGGTAGCTCGTGTCTGCTTCACCCCGCCAGCCCTCCATCCCATCACAGGGTTAAGGCCAGTCATTTTCAGCGCCTCATGATACCATTATAGTATGACCCAGCATGAAAGATCATCCGGGTCGGTAATCGAAAAACCTTACTGTCAGCGAACGGTTTGTAGATCAAAAATCTGGGGGATCGCATTAGCCCTAGTCGGAAATAGTCATGCTGAGATGGTGCAAGGCCCATCGGGTGCAGCGCTACTTGTGCCAATTCCAAGGATCGTGTCGATGCATCAAGTGTGGAAGCAACACACGTGCTCTGTTCAAGATCACATCCGCAGTGGCCAATTACAGTGCTGCTGGCTTCATCAAACGCAGACATACCTTGCCACAACTTTTGCTCGCACTCGCTCATACGCCACAATCTACCAGACCTGATCGTTATCGACGAGATGCTATAATCTTGAAACGGCCGACCCGCATGCTTTGCACAACCGCCCCCCTCGAGTTATACTCTCCATTAGTCGATACAGAGTCCAACTCACAACACGATCTGGTGTTTTCCGTTTTTTCGTAGCTGTCTTGAGCAAACGAAGTCATTGTAGAAGATTGGAAGTTGGAGAATTCTGGTTTCTGTCCATCGGCGTTTTGCTGTCGGAAAATCCCGTGGAATCCCGGGATGATAGTTAGTAACACCAGAGTGCCAATATGCCATCCAAACTCAGAGCGCATGACCTTAAGCCCTTCGACGCATTTAATATGACGCTGCAAGAGCCCGATTGCGGTTTCATCGCAAGAGGAAATTGCGCATCCTCTGCTATAGTTACCTTGCCGATGTTTTCTCCCAAGATTCACGATGTTATCGGCAACATACGCTCTAACGACAACATACTTGGGCAAAGACAGTCTTTTCAATCCAGTAACTTCTTTCATTCATTATCTGCCGAAGTCACTAGGCAGGAATCTTCCGTCGACTTCTTGACTTTAAGACGGTTTAGGAAAGAACAGTGTACAAAAGCAGTATCTGATGCTATGGAACAAGGAGAGCTTGCCAAAATCCTCTGACAGCGCAGATGAACAGTAGACATAATTCTATCAGCCGCCAGGGGGGGGCGACGCCGGCAACTGGGGACCCGCGGCAATCAGTTTTTAAAACAAACCACCGGCTAGCCTTTCCTGGCCCTGATGACGCAAAATCCCAGTCGTGCGGTGCATGGGCGCCTAGCGACTCATGTCAATGGACGCAAGATTGGTGATTTTTCAAAAGATAAGAAGAATCTTCGGCAGGATAATAAGCTGTGGTGTGCAAGACAGATAGTGCAAGTTTTCCACGTGGTGGGGGCTCATGCGGAAGGAAGGAACATGACCAGATGGTTTCCCAGATCATCTAGACTTCCATGTATAGCGATGGAACTTCGCCGGAACAGCTCATTGACTACCAGCAAAGCAACCCAAGATCGAACTGGCTGTGTGGCTGTTTGTCTCATGCTTGAGCCGACAGTCCATGTAAACAGGCTTCGTGCTTTCAAATGGGTCGGTGTGGTTGCAACTCTCAGGCGCGAGTCAAAACTCCGAAGTTCATGTTTTGATTGGTCGAGTCTGCCGCCGCAACCACTACGGACCGTTGGCTCCCACTGAATCTTTGCTATCAATTTGGGAAAGCTTCGGATCACGGAATGTAGTGTTTTTCTCTGTTAGGAAATAAGTTTTTGAGCCAATAAGCTGAGAGCTTGCGGCATGTCGGCTGCTAATTGACTGGAGATTCTGAAAGGGTTGGGAGACTCAGGCTGATACCTACTACAAACCCCAGATCTCGCTACGCTACCCGCAACTAGGCTACCGGATGACAAGACTTGCCGGAACATTTAGCGTCAACGGCTTTGCATTAGGGTTCACCTTAATCGCCTCTGCCCGATCCCTTGACAGGAAAACTTGGGGAAACCCATTTTCGCAATCGAATTTACTGTGCTTGCTTTGAAAGAACACTGCTTGCCTGCGCCATACTGGTAGGACCAGCATGTGGCACGAAACAACCCGTTGTCGGGGCTCGGTAGGCTGGATTTGATGTTGGAGTTGGGAGCCAAGTAGACATGCCAGGCCACGGCGAAGAGCAAGAAGAGCACATCTACCTCCACGGGCCTTCCAAACCTGGACGTGCACACCCTCAGTATCTGATCAACAGTTGAATGATGTGTTGCTCTTGGGGAGACAAACACAAAGACCTGAGTGTTGCAAGTAACTCGAAACCAATATCATTGCATGTTGGCCGATGGTAACCGGTAGAAGACTAGAAGCCCCTCTTCCCCCCACCTAGGCTTCTGACGACCGACATAAACCGGGAGTTTGCGAGTCCTCAGCATCCAGCAATGGGCGCTTGGTCTAGGGGTATGATTTTCGCTTCGCATCTTCTTCTGCGCTCGTCAAACAGTGTCAGATGCGCTGATCTGTGAAAGGTCGTGGGTTCAATTCCCACAGTGTCCAATCGTTTTGCACCGCGCTGCGATAGTGATGCTTTGTTCCCCCGTTGATGATTTTTGTGGTATTGATAGGCGCAACACGTTCTTCCGTCAGAGAGTGCGTTGGTAAATTTAGGTCCGGATCCCATTGGTTGACCCATTACCCTGTTTCTGCTATTGATGAGGTTGAGCCACCCAGGGCTGATGACCGCATTGGACTATTTAAATAGTGTGAATAGTTCAGAGGCATTTCTGTCGTCCATCTAAGTATTCTGTCTGCACTAGAGCTACTAGTAATTTCGTCTGGGACATAATGCTAAGCCACAACCCAGGCAGCCCTAATGAATCCTCTTTCGCTTGTGCTGAGTGAAGTTATGCCCTGATGTCTTGTGTAGAGCTTGCCGTAATTTAGATACTCCCTTGTTACTTGTGCTATGTGGGTTTGACATCCGGAGACCACCGCTGCGAACGTGCTGGTTTGCAGAAACACCAATTTTGGTGACTAACTGAGCATAGAGATTTTGCCGATGACTTTCTGTCAGCGTAAATCACCGGGATTGACATATCGCCCATTCAGCCAGGAGGGGTTCCGCCCAACTGCAACTTCCAAATTGACCATTTCGAATAAGAGTGGACTTGGCCTCTCAAGTGTTTTGACTACATCTACGTTCGCCATCTGGAAGACTGTGTTTCGGATTGGACCAAGCTCTATGCTCAAGCCTTCCAACATCTTAAGCCTGGCGGTTACATTGAAATCAAAGACTTGGATATTGAAGACCACTCGCAGAGTATCGGAGACGACCTGCTCAAGGACCACATCTACAGGAGATGGGATAAACCTATATTTGAGGCCACAGATAAGCCTGGTAAAACAGCCAAACAGTCGCGTGATCATGGAATCGCCAACAATCTAAAAGACGCTGGAGTTGTCGATGTTGTCGAGCAACGCTGGCCTATTCTCATCGGAGGCTGGCCTTGGACCCAAGCTTAAAGAAGTTGGCGCAACTAACCTGGAATACATCGATCTGGGGCTTGAAGAGTTCGGAGTCTTTCTTCTGAAAGAGGTAATGGGAGGAAAGACGTAGAGATTATAGTCTTCCTCAGTGAAGTGCGCAAGACGTTGAGGGACCTCAGCCTCCAAACGTACTTTTGGTCGTAAGTGAGCTTTCAAAGCGAACCTGATACCCATAGTCACTGCTATGTCTCTTGTGGAGATTTAGGCTAACGATATCTGATAGGCATCTAGTTTAAGGGCGTAAGCGGAAGAAACGGACGAACCTGAGGTACAGGCAGGCACTGAAACTGTGGCATAACAGGTCATGAGTCGTCCCTTGCGATGCGATGTTTTATCGTTTCTCTTTGAGGCTGTTGAATCTGAAACACTTTGACTAAGAAGCTTTCTTCTACCTCAAACCCAATGAGATGCATGTGCTGTTATTCAGGGTGATATGATGAATCGGAACTCCCTTGTGCCTGTGGACGGTTACGGCGTCTAGCTAAGGGCAGTGCTAATCGAAGGCTCGGGCGCGAGACTTAGGCCTCAATGCCAGTCAACGATACTCAGCTGTTCTTAGTTCGACCGTAACGGCAAGAAAAGAACTCATAAGTGGAATCATACTCGAGAGGGAAAGGAGATACAGTCAAAGTGCTGTTCACACACTCTTGGAGATTAAACAGTGAATGGAACTTATTATAGGTGGTGGTCTTGTTAGTCATAATTGAGGAGAGTTACCATCTAGGGTGTTTGGTTTCTTCTCCTTTTTATCAGTCACATCATACCCTCCTCCCCCTCTGAACTAGCTCAGGGACTCGCTTGAACACATCGTGTACGTAATCCTGATTTGTTGAGGTCATCCTCACATAGGTGAGGAATATTGTCCTCTGAGCAAGTGTTCCGGCGCTGCGGCTTCGTTTTGCCTGGCTTCAGCAACGTCATGGCTTGGTAGATGGAGTCAGGCTCGGGCTCGGAGAGATATTCAACGGTTCGACCTTCATTTCCAGTGAGTGATCGGCTAGTACTAAGTGCGTCAGTGAACTTGTCGTAAAATTGACCATCTACTTCTGACGGTGCTGGTGCGCGGGTTGAGCGGCCAATGGCAGGACCTTGAAAAGCAGAGCTGATCTTTCGAGTAATCTTCTGCATGAAGCTAGGCTTTGGGTCGTCTGAATGCTCCCAATCAAGATGCTCGGCAAAATGAGCAGAACGTCGCGTTGCATGCTCGGCTGATGCAAGCCACAAGGCATTCTGCCTGCACGATTGTACGTCTACAACAGCGCCAGGGGCTTTGGGCGAGGAATTGGTAGCATTCGATTTGAGAAGTCCTTGCAAGAGATTCTGGTGTGGCCCAACATCCTCTACTTGTTCTTCGGCGAGACCAGGGTTGGCGATGCTACCGAGTCTTGCGTCGATACCAAGGTGATACATGCTGGTGCTATTCTGGCAGGTAAGAAATGTAGCAGGGGGACTCAACCACTCATTAGTGCAATGCCGCTTTGGAAGTGTTGAGAATGATACCATTCTGCGGTCATTAATCTTATCGGTTTTGGTGGTCACTCCCTTAACAATTTCCTTCTCGGACACACTCTGGGGGCTAAGAGAGAAGCCATGAAAGTCAGGTGTCTCGGAGTTGACCCTTGGACTGGAATTATGAGAAGGCCCATCTGAAGTGCATGTACTAAGCATAAAAGAACTGCACTGGGATGAGGGGTACACTGGAACTCCTGAGAAATCGGAAGCTGGTTCCCGATCTGTTGCGCCAGTCTGCCTGTCATCCGCCCATTTGATGTCGGTGCTTATCTTCCGGCAGATAATGGACATAATAGGTGTTTGTAGGGACCTGGTTCTTGAGCGAACTTGTCCATCCGAGGTGCTTCGAGCAAAGAAAGACGTCTCGGGCTCGCTGATAGTGGTTGCAGGGTCAGCCACGGTTGAGGCATGGGGCTTTAGTGCGCCCTCAAGGCAGCAGGGCTTTCTCGAAAGCCACGTCTGTGCCGAATTGCCCATCGCTTGATAATGGTCGGTGACTGTGGTGCGTTGGAAGTTAAGACCGTGCCTGCACATCTCCTGAACAACAATCTTGACGATGTCTTTGACTAGACTATCGTCAAAGATATATTGACAAGATTCTAGGGGGACCATGGCGGATGAGTCAGTCTCTCCGGGTGGGATGTTTTCCACCTTTCGATGCCCAGCAAGGTGGTTTTGGACCTTTGCCATGATGCCCTGCGTTAGCATATAAGTCTTTCCCCATAATCTGTAAGCAGAACGTCCTGGGCTCTCTGCAGTTTGCTTGAGCTGAAAGTTTCGTGGATCGTGGGACACAGAATTGGCATCCAGGACGCTGGCAATATCCGCATCGGGCCGTGATGACGTCGTTGAAGCATGTTGATATCCATTTGCTGGCGCAGTTTGCCCTGGTCTAATATATCCGAGTGCAGCCGAGAGCCTAAGAGGGTCACCGGCGACGGAACTCTTTCCTGTTCAAGGTGATTAGCAACAAATTGAAGAATACCATCATCATGGCGAGAAAAGCAATATCCTGAATAAACATACTCGCCAGATTTCTCTTTCTGACAGAGTTTTTCTCGACGGTTTTCGAAGGGTGCTGATTGTGGGGTTGAGCAGCGGTCTCCTCCATACTCATGCATCGAGAGGGTCGGCGAAATGCTACCTTGGCTTGAGGAACCCAGTCCAGGGTTTCGGGATCTCCATGGCTGAGCAAGCTACAACTGAGCGTAGTGAGTGGTGCTGGTGTAATATCTGAAACGCGTCGGGGGTATCTAGGATTCCTCTGCGTTGTAGTCGGGTAGATGACGGTTCCGTTATTGCATGATGGTAGAAATACTGCTGGCAGCTCCGTGAGTATAGGAGGCTCGTGGACGGAGACACTGGCTCTTCTGGCTGACCGAATAGTTTGGGAGTCATCATCGCCAGGAATAGAGTCGCCACCCATTTTTGGGGGACGAGGGTGAGAGACTTCAAGAGAAAAACTTTTCGAAAAGGGTCCAGTTGACTTAGAGAACGAGGGTACGAGACTGAGGGCGGGCGAGTGCTCTTGACAAGATAATAAAACAGTGGCGAGTTGTACTAGGGTTGATATTGTTCGGTGTCAAAGAGAAGAGATTGGCAGAGCTGATGAATTGTATTCTGTGTGGCATACACAATCGCCATACGGTAGCTCCTGCTGGAAGAAAAATTGTTGGAAGGTTCAGCATGGCTTCCTCTATTGGCGAAGGTGATTAGTAGATGGTGAGCAGGTACGATCATCGTGTGAGGCACCTAGGCCAATACTCGCTTGAGCATTGCACCGAAGTTCTGTGGGAGCTTGGTGGGTCACAGAAGACAAATTAAGCAGCCAGGAAAAGCAAGGAAGAGGTAGCTCGACATGCCCAGTTTGCAAGTGAGGTGCATCTGCATAGCATCCTTGAGAGTTAATAGCTTAAGCTTTGGTGTTCATGACAGGAAACTTAGGTCCGGGAAAGGTCGCCGAGATGACATAAGCCAACCATGGTGGGGTTATCTGCGACAGTGCTGACACACAGTGTTTTGTATTATGCACTGCTCTTGCCAAGCCCATGCCTGGGCCAATAAAAATCCCTGCGCAACAAAGGGTTTTCGACTGGATCGGCAAAATCCTCTGGGTGAAGCTTCATTAGCTCGACTGCCATTCTCTTGACATTTTTTGACGGGCACACGACGCTCAGACAGCGTCAAGAGTTTGTTCGTTTTGCTCTTCCCTCGACGCGATAATATCTAATGATGACCGCAAGTAGCGCACCGACTACTTCCGACCCTGCTGGACCATCTGACACCAGCAGCGCCTACACGAGGTTGCACATCACTCCTTTCGACCAGGACCTCTTGAAAATTGTCGTTCCGCCTTCGGCCTTGCCCAACGCCCGTAACATCTCCTTCCACACGCTCGAGACCTTCCCCGAGAAGCGCTACGGCTTCGTCGAACTTCCCGAGCCAGACGCCGAGAAACTCAAGAAGAAACTCAACGGCGCTGTGCTGAAAGGGGTCAAGATGCGCATCGACAAGGCTCGCCCGGTAGAGGATTACACACCTGTCCCCGAAGGTGAAGAGACTGGAAAGAAGCGAAAGAAGAAGTCAAAGGACAAGGAGGAGAGAAAGAGGCAGAAGCGCGACGACAATGTCGTTGAGGGTGTTCAGCTGCGCGATCGCAAGGTCAAGCGAGGATGGACGGTCCCCGAGGAGGCCAAGATAAGGGAGAAGAAGAGCAAGAAGGACAAGGAAAAGAAGGAGAAGAAGGACAAGACCAAGAAGCGCGAGGAGCGATCCAAGTACACTGAAAAAGAGGAGTGTCTGCTGAAGACCAAGCTGCCCGCCAAGCAACTCCCGGCGACAACCGAACCAGAGGACGAAACCGAACGCAAAAAGCGCAAGAAGAAGTCGAGGGAGGTTATCATTCACGAGTTCGAGAAGACGACAAAGTTCCCCACGTTTCTCAAGGCGACCAAGCCCGCGCCAGCTGAGTCGCTCACAACCGAGTACATCGAAGGCAAAGGATGGGTTGACGCCGAGGGGAATGTTATCGAGCCGCCCAAGACAAGGAGGACTGCAACCGCACCGGTGCCCGAGTCCAAAGGACCCAAGCCATCGAAAAAGGCCAAGGCTCCTACACCGCCGCCGCAGGATGAAGATTCCACAAGCAGCAGCGGCACGTCGTCCGATGAGGATACCTCTTCAGACGAAAGCTCAGGCGATGAATCGGAACCGGTCAAGGCGACGCCCGTCGGGACAGCGCCTGTGACACCCGCGAAGCAGACGCCGAGACCGCCGCGCAAAGAAGATGATACGACCAGCAGCAGCGGCTCCTCGTCTGATGACAGCAGCTCTGACAACGGTTCAGACGACGACGACGAAGAAATGGGCGATGATGCAAAGCCTACTAAGCAAGCCGTATTCGGAACTCCTCTGTCTGCCATCAAGGCCGCCGATGCGTCGCGACCCAGATCCGCTGGCTCCAATGTCAGCCTTACCATTAAGATACCCCCGCCATCCACCCCGTCCCAGGTCCACCCTCTTGAGGCCCTCTACAAGCGCCCGAAGCAGGGCGATGGTGAAAACCCCCAAACGGCCAAGGAGGCGGAGCCTTTCAGCTTCTTCGGCGGCGGTGGCGACAACGATGACCTGGAAGAGGAGGAAGACGTCGCACCGGCCAGCCAGCTTCCCATGACCCCTTTTACCGCACAGGAGTTTGAGTGGCGTAACGTTAGAAGCGCAGCGCCCACACCTGACACGGCACACCCGAACCACACGAAGCCGTTTTGGGCCATTGGCGCCGAGGGCGATGAGGACGAGGAGGACGAGGAGACGCGGGAGGAGATCGAGGCTACGTTGAACGCGGAGCGGAACGCCGAGGCCGAGAGCGGCAGCGCGGGCCCCGGCGGCGACTTCCAGAAGTGGTTCTGGGACAATCGCAAGAACCTCAATCAGTCGTGGATGAAGCGCCGGAAAACGGCTGCTAAAGAGAGGCGGCACCGGGACAACAAGTCTCGCGCTTCGAAAGCTGTGTAGCGGGCATGGAGCATGACTCTCGTCCAGCATCTATAAAAAAAAGTTTGGTTTTTCTCGCATTGACTGCTCATGTTCCTGCAGATAAATTTGTGTGCCAAACCTCCCAAATTTTCATGTCATTCATCACTCTCCATGCAGGTAAGCAACCACCACAACTAGTGACGTTCGTCTTCGCCTTCACGATCTTGGTCGCATAACAACCGAATATCCAGTGCAGATGGCGAAATCTTGCCATAATCTGTTATCGTTTCGGGCATCTACGGTATCTCTCCCATGTCCGCGATTGGGGTAGTGATAAGAACGACCCCGGCTTCCCCGCCTCCATTGTGGACTCAACATACCCGTTCGAGATCTTGGCAGTCAGCGAGGAACCCTTTGCCATATTTTGTTTGGCTAAACTAGGAGCAGAACAGGCCATTATATCGATTGGCTCTGACGTCCGGTCGTCGGACAGCGTTCGCCGGCAAGGGATGCCGGCCTTGGCCCCCGCCTCCCGTCTTATCATCCCGCACAACAAGCCTTCCTATCAACTTCGCGGCGCACCCAGCGTAACATCGTCATCTCACCCCCCTGCAAGACAACCACCCCTCTCGAGTCCGAGTATCATTATCCGCCGTGACGGTAATCTTGAACCCGACCTATGTTTTCTCTAGCTCTCCGCCTCCTCATTGGGCCTTTATCTCGCCCCCAATCCCTCGAGTCAACGCATGTCCAGATAAGATCTGTAAATGGTTGCGACATGGGACCCACGTCGCCATGGGCTACTGCAGAACCAACCGACATGTCAATTTGTCCGTAAGAACACTTTCCATGCTGGTTCACCGTTCACGGCAGGCCCACCAGGATAGGCCCGCGGTCGGCTATCATGCGTTGGAGGTAGCGATCGTCGGTTGAATCTCTCTCTCTCCGCGGGAATCCTTATCTCGGGCTTTCGGGAGGAGGGGTTACGTCGCCTTCGGCAGTCAAACTTGGTAATCGATAGTTACGGCAGCAGTCATGTTCATATAACTAAGGTTCAGCATTCATATGTCACGACCGTAGCACCACTGGCAGGGCATCCCATTCTGTTCGAACTGTTGTCGTCTGTGATCTTCCCGTCAATTTCGACTTTGAACTCCTGCCTTGAGGTTCCTCTGTGAACTACCGCTACCATGGCCTCACCTCAGGACCTGGAAGCTCCCATGACGGAGAAGAAGGTTGCCGTCGTCTCGGACCAGTCCGACAGCACAAGCGAGACGAACGGCGAGACTGACCTCGGTGAGAAGTCCCGCTCATCATGGCGGACATTGCGAGTGCTTTGAAGTTTCTGATTGGCTAACGACATCGATATAGTCACTGTGGAAGGTCAATACACGAAGGAGGAGTATCACAAACTCAAGCGCAAAGTCGACAAGTACCTCCTCCCGCTCATGTGGATATGCTATGGCATCCAGCAAACCGACAAAACTGCCCTCGGCACCCAGGCCATTTTCGGTCTGCGTGAAGATACGGGCTTGAAGGGGCAGCAATACTCGTGGCTGACAACAGTCTTCTGTAGGCTTCTCTACTTCTCCTCTGTTATCCCGTCCATCACAAAGCTAATCAACTTCTGCCTCGCCCAGACATCACATACATGTGCTTCGAGTTTCCAAGCAACATCGTCCTCCAACGCTACAAAATGGGTCGCACCCTCTCCGTGTACATGATCTGCTGGGGCATCGTCGTCCTCTGCATCGGCTTCGCACAGAACTTCACCCAGCTGGTCGCCCTCCGCGCCCTTCAGGGAGCCTTCGAGTGCTGCATCTCGCCCGGGTTTCTCTTGCTGGTTGGTACGTGGTACAAGACGCGCGAGCACGCTTCTAGGGCGCTCGTCTTCCAGAGCGCCAACGCCGGATTCGGTGTCATTGCGAATTTGATCATGTACGGGATTGGAGCTTCGACGCAGCATAAGGAGGGCGCGGAGCCGTGGCGGTACATCTCCTACGTAAGTCGCATTCTGTCGCTGAAATATGTGGACCAGAATATTGACGGGCTTGCAGTTCCTCGGCAGTCTTACCACCGCCATCGGATGTCTCTGCTTGTTCCTTCTGGGTACCCCTTCCGAGGTGAAGTGGTTGACCCAGGCGGAGAAGGATATGGTAAGCCCCTAAATGCTTTGCATCCTTTCCATTGGCAGCTAACCAGTAACAGGCGAACGCGCGCATCATGTCCAACAACACAGGCCACGACCGCACCGCCATCAAGGGATGGAAGTGGAAGCAGGTCCGGGAGTGCCTCATTGATCCCTGCTTCTGGTTTGCTGGCGTCAACGCTTTCCTTAGCTCTGTTCCCAACGGAGGTCTTACAACGTTCAGCAGTATCATCATAACTTCTTTCGGCTTCAGTATGTGTTACCTTATGTCTCTATATCTAATGCGGATTACTGACAACAACAAAGCCAACCTCCAAACGATTCTTATCGAAATCCCCCGCTCCGTCATGTCCGTCATCATCTTTATCGGCGTCGGTCTTCTCACCAGCAAGCGCGCCAACCTCCGCCTATGGATCATGGCCACTTCGGTCCTCCCGCCCTTCGCCGGCTTCCTGGGCATGTCCCTTCTCCCCAACGATCCGGCCATCAAGTGGAGCAAGTGGGGTTGCTACTTCATCACGGTGCCCTTCGTCTTGGGTCTCTTCCTCGCGTGGTCCCTCATTCCGAGCAACACGGCCGGCCGCACAAAGCGCACCATCACGAGCAGCTTCACGTTTGTCGGGTACTGTGTGGGGAACATGGTCGGTAGCCAGATCTTCAAGTCTAAGGACGCGCCCAAGTACACTCCTGGCACAATTGGGTGTGCGATCTGCTTCGGATTGGAGTTCGCATTGGTCTTGACATGGCGGTGGGTGCTGGTCAGGAGAAACAAGAAGAGGGACGCTGCTATGGCTGCCGATGGGCTGACGGCTGAGGAGAGGGCGAAGAGGGGCAAGGAGTATGGCGAACAGGACTACACTGATTTCGAGAACCCTTACGTGAGTATCCCCGTTAACCCACCAGTAAGACCTATGCTAACCAATATGCCAGTTCCGATACACACTCTAGAGCCGCCTTCTGCTGGAACTAGAGGGACGAATGTTGTTTTTTTCTGTCATGCATAGCGAAAAACCAGTTTTGAGGCAACGTTCAGCATGGACCGGATATTGGTTAGCACAATAGAAGCTTTTCAAATTTCAAAACTGAATTAAAAAAAAACAGGGAGCACATAGTGGACCGCAGTGCTTCTGGGCAATAAATATAGCGATTATTACTAATGAGGGGTATAGTACGATCTCTAAGAGAGACTGCGTCAATAGTCGCCTTCGACGATTCCAGCAATCAGATGACCTTCCAAATCTCCCCTATGGCTCCTCCGAAAGGGGTTTTAGTAGGCAATGTACGCGGGACACCATTCAAGGATTCAATGTCACGATTAATGCCTTACTCCCCACCGGGTTGGTTCTCGGCATTCTCATCATGGTAAAGAGGCGGGCATTTGGCGCCCTTCTTCTGCAGAATCCACCTGTTGATCCACCACGGCAGCACAGTCTTGAGCTGGTACGACGCGTGCTTCCGGTCCGGCACACCAAAGACGTAGTCGAGCTCCTCGAGTGACTTTTGCTTCGTCTCAGGGACGAACAGGAAGATCAGCGCTAAAGCCACCAGATTGAGGCCTGCATAGAAGGAAAAGGCGCCCGTCGCGGTCATGGCTATGAGCATGCGCGGGAAGGTCAGGGACAGTATCGAGCCCCAGAAATTGTTGGTCGCGACGGCCCAGGACATGCCAATCTCACGGTGGGAAAGAGGGAAGACTTCGGCCGAGTACATGAAGGGGACAGGGCCCTCACCTGCGAGGCACAGTCAGTACAGGGGTGGTTTTACTTTGCCAAAGATTTTGGGGTAAAGCAGACGTACCAGGGGAGTAGAAGGCGGCAAACAGGTAGACGAATGTTGCAACGGCTGCGATTCTGGCGGTACTCTTTTCAGCGTCGCTGTCAATGAGGTAGCAGAGACCAGCAACTGGATGGCATGTTAGTCTATGATAAAAGGTTGTGATCTCTAAGAGATGGTACAACGAACCTAGCAGGGTCCAGAACATGTTCGGGAAAGTGAATAGCAAGAGTGTTCGTCGGCCGAAGGTGTCGATGGTCCAGACAGCAGGCCATGCGAACGTAAAGTTAATCAACCCAAATCCGAAACTGGCCCAGAGTGCAGTGTAGTCGCTGATGCCGCTCTGCTTGAAGATAGTCGAGCTGTAGAACGAGATAATGTTGACTGAATTCATGTCAGCTTGCACATTCCGAGACTGCAGCTCCCGAATACCCACTTCCACACATCTGCTGCGCAATCATGACAATACCAGCAGCCCATGTCGCGCGCCTGATTCTCGGGATCGTGAACAGCTCGACAAAGCGGGTGAACATGTTACTCGTAACCTTCAACCCGGACTCCAGAACCAATGTCTCCTCATACTCGAGCAGCGCGTGGATGTAGTACAGGTCTCGCGCGGCCTGCAGCGGCGTGTTGCGCAGACGCAGAAGCGATCCCCATGCCTTGAGGTGGCGGCCCTTCTTGAGATACCATCGAGGGGACTCTGGCAGAAGTAGGTGCCGATGACTAGCGGGACGGCGGGGATGAAAGCTGAGCCGAATTGGAGGCGCCAAGCGATCGCGCCCGTCTGGCCGACAGCGAGATTGGCGCATGTGCCAAGAAAGATGCCTGTTTTTTGGAATTAGTTTCGGATTGATGCGTTGCCAAGAGGAGTCCAAGAAACACCAAGAAATCTTGTTCTCGTCGATCATTCTTGGGGCTGCAACTTGGGGGCTGGAGTGACGCTCACCGAATGCAGTCCAGACCTGCCAAGACATGACCAGGCCACCGCGGATAAGAGTGGGGGAGTTCTCGGCGGAGAAGACAGGAACCGTGACTTCTTTCAAGCCCATGCCGATTCCGAGAAGCATTCTGTCGTCGGAGGGTCAGTGGTTTAGCGACTCAATACTATTGGGGTCTCATTACCTGCACGCCGCGAGCTGACCCCAAGTCTGCGACACGGCCATACCGAACGGCGCAAGCAGCGAGAAGATGGCAGCGATGAAGATGACACCGCGACGGCCGAGGAGTTCGTTGAGGGGATCGGAAATCCAACAAGCGCTGTCATGCATTGTTAATGGACGCCCTTTATGTATCCAACGGGATTGCCGGCGTTGCGCATCATGCGCGTCTTTCACTTACAAGAGACAAATCGTGATGTAGGGCATGGAATTGACAAAGCCGATGATCCAGCTGTTCTTTGCGCAGTCGCCCTCGTTTGCAACAGGGCCACAAGCCGAGCCAGCTGTATCAGGGATGCCAAGCGCCACCGGGAATGCCAAATTGGCACCGTTGGAGCCAGTCTATATGGGAAAGTTAGACCAAGATTGCGGAGGGGATACACAAATGGAGGGACGGGAGCCACGATTGGGTAGCGTCATCCTGGGTTCTCAGACAAGTATAGAGAAAAAAGGGCTTACTTGATCCCATCCTTGGATCGCAGCGGCGATGGAATTAAGGATGATCGTGTAGTAGAGCGGCCAAGGATGCTTCCACCGGTGGGTCACTTCCTCGCGCAGGGCCTGCTTCTCACTCTCATCGAGTTCGTCAATCGACTCGAACAATGCCGGGTTCTGCGCGACCAGAGCGCCTTTCTTCAAAAGGGGGAGGATGTCATCGGGGAGACCGTGCGCTTTCTGGTAGACGGTGACTTGCTCGAGGAGCTCCGCCTTTGGGATGCCTTTGAGCGGGTTCTTGATCTCTCCCTCGAGGTTTTGGGTCAGTTCCGCGATGCTCTTCTTGCGCTCATCGTGGTGCAAGGCGCCCTCCTTCTGAAAACTGCATGCGTATATGTCAGTTGGTCGGTTCGCATATTAGTGATAGACAAGGAGGGGCTCACGTACGGTGAGTCTGTGTCGAGTTTCTTCTCGGGCTCGGCCATGGTGTCGGTTGAACAGTCGCAGTAAGGCTATACACTACAGAAATTGTCTGCAATAGCTGCTGGGTGTCAATGACGCGATGTGGCAGACGAGTGTGCACGCCTCGTCCCGTCCGAAGAGAGAGGGGGTTCAGATTAAATATTTCCAGATTTATCCGCTGGGAGGTCGGAGCTAGGCTGTCCCGTCATCCAAAGCGTGCGGGGGATTATGCTTCGTCCCATCCATAACGAGTTCTTACCGCGACGTAGCGGGCGTCGGGCGAGCAGACAGCCGGGAAATTGGTTGGTCGACTGTCAAGGCACGGAGGAAAGGGAGGGAACGAAAGTCGTATGAGGTACACTACACTATCGAAACATGCAACCGTCACCAATTGTCGAGCCAGACAGCCCAATCTCAGTGAGATGCAAGCGCCCCAAATCGGTTGGTCCCTGTGACAAACTTCCTGCGGGGTAGCACCCAACGCACCCTTAACGACGCAGCTTATGCTGCGGCAACCTGTCGGTATCGCCATTGAGCAGCGGTTCGGCTTAGTCTTGGCTAGGTCGCGTGGTGCCACCGAAGCCAAGGTGAGCCCCCCTTCGTGGCGGAAAAGCTTAGGGAAGCTTGGTCCTACTGGGATCTTCCTGCAAGTACCGGCAGGTATCAGTGGTGCACCGCGCCGTTAATGGTAAGAAAAAATGACAGTCCCGTGCTTTTCTTGTAGGGGGGTGAGAAATGAGAATTGTAGGATGGGGGGATGACGATTATTGCCTTGTTGGGATCGAAACAACGTAAGAGGCGCACACCAAGGCGCATCCCCATGAAAGAACGCCTGGCAAGCCCGGGGGAAATCTGGGGACGCCCTACAGATCTGAAAAGAATCCCAAAAGCTCCACCTGTTGGACGATCAGAAAGCCAGGCCAGCCAAGTTTGAATTCGGTTTGAAAATCGACAACGATCACCGCATTAATTGCTCGAAGATTAAAGCCTCCGGACACCGATGAAGCTTATACACACTTGAATGTCTCGGCGTCCGTTCGCTTCACGTCCCAAGGTCAGGATCGGCAAAGTCCGACTCTCTCGGGAAGCGTGTTTGTGTGGTGTGACGTCGAAAAATGCAAAGCTGCCATCGTCTGTAGTTTCTTTAAAAGTACAGTTGAGTTTCTTCTTGTGCTGCTGTGGCTTTAGGCACCTAACTCTATTAGATTAAGCATGGTTCGAGGATGTCCCGAACCCTAGCTCTCTGGTCTAGGAAAAAGCGATCAACCGATCACATCCACTGATTAAAACGAAAGTATGTACGTCTATCGAACCAGGGCTGGATGAAACGAAGTATATTGCGAATGTGAGAACAAACTTCACTTAGTGAATCCGACCTCCCTGTCAAAGCGCCTACCTCGCCTTCTAGATGCATCGAGCGTTCCTCACACAGCGCGCCCAGTCGGAAGCAGACGCTTGAGCATATATTCCGAATATTTCGCATTTGCTGGGTGCCTTCTCAAGAGGTTTAGCCAAGAATGAATGTTGCCCAAACACGATAGGATGGAAGAAAGGATAAGGTTGATACGGAGTTGTAGTTTGCCTGCTAATTGGCATGCACACCTGATGCGGAAAGCCCATAATGACGGCGATCACTGGCAGAGCGCCAAACCACCAATCAAATGATCTTTCCTTTTTCAACAGAGTCTGCGATATCTACATCCGCGTATTTTCGTGGCTGTGAAAATCTCCATCAGACGCGTTGCGGCTCTACTTCTAGTCGCTCGCACTAGATTTGTAGAACCTCCATGCACTTGTTTGGTTTGGCCGTGGCGTGATCCGTGAGTGCTTCTTAAGCCAAAATCTTGAGTGAGAGTTGACGCATTAAACTGCATCGTGCAACGCAAATACCGAGAACGAGAGATGATCCCCCAGGGATCGGATCAGTGTGTGCAGCTTGGTGTCAAATTACACAATGGTTCCGGACTCACTTCATCGAAAGCGTTCTAGATCCGGCTCAAGGTGCCGCGAGAGCGCAAAACACTCATCATGAAATGTTCTATGGAGAACAATCGGTTGGACGGCTACGTGAACGGAACGAAAAGAGGGGCCATGCGCGCTTAGCCCCACTCCGAGAGTTCCGGCCCCTTGGCCGCACCCCGAGGGTTCCCGCGGTGACGCTGACGTACATATGTGCTGATTAAGCATATTCACATTGACCTTTTGGTAGCTCGCGATGAATCGCACGCTTCTTTTCCGCAAAAATATCATCAGGCGACGAAGAATTAGAATATGAGATGGCCGATGCAGCGTCTGCTTTCAAGCAGGCATTCTCACGCCGGAGCATCGTTTTCCTAATCGGCCTGTTCATATGCTCCACTCTTGCGGAGCGGGACGGTGCGGATCGCCAGTGTCCCGACTACGTCACCCGGCACGGTAATTCACTACCTCGACCTCTGATACTTGACATCAAACACCACAGGAAAGCTAATAGGCCGAGCAGCACCTCTTCTATGGTTGCATTCAGATGATCGATACATGCCCAGCGATCTTCTCACCCACATCCACCACACATCGCCAGAGCTGGATGGAAAGCAAGTGCCTGATACACCACCACTAGATCTGGATAATCTGGAGGTTCTCAACAAGTTCGATGAAGTAGCTCTCACGTCTAAAGATGATCCTACCACGTTCCCAGCATGGCTTTTTGGTGCGACCCCGGATACGGATGGCAGGATCCATAACGCCACGCCCTGCGTTGTGATCCTGGTCGAGAAGAACGAACGCGAGATGGACGCTTTCTACTTTTACTTTTACTCTTATAATGAAGGACCCAACATTACACAGGTCTTGGAACCGTTCAACCGGATGGTCAAAGGCGAAAAGGCAGCATCCGGTATGCACTTTGGTGATCACATTGGCGACTGGTTCGTCCCCCTACAGCTGAACTTCCGTCATCGCTTCATTACTGACACAGATGTTTGAAGGGAGCACAACATGATCCGCTTCCGAGATGGCCAACCTATCGGGATCTATTTCAGTCAACATGTTGATGGTGAATCTTACAATTGGGACGACTCAAAATTGTCGAAGGCGGACGGTCGTGTAAGCCAGCCTCAACCCCAGCTGCTTGTTACATTTGACCTCAGTCTGTTAACATGCTGCAGCCAATAGTGTACAGTGCATGTGGATCTCATGCCAACTATCCGACACCGGGGTAAGCTCCATGATCCTATATGCAACTTCGTCGATCTCTGTCTAACCTAGTCTTGCAGAGACCAAGTACACAATGCCGTATTGATAGACTATTGTGACGAAGGAAAGAGATGGGACCCCGTCCTTTCGGCCTATTTCTACCACTTCGACGCCAAATCTTTCACTTTGACTAGGTTGGATCCTCCCAATCAATCATACCCTGCACCACCGCAGTCCTCAAACCTGACATCCTTCTTCTACTACTCGGGACGTTGGGGAGATTTGGCATACCCGGACTCCGATCCCCGCCAGGAAACAGTGCCGAGGTTCAAGATCAAACGGTTTCAGTCTGGGCCGACGGGTCCAAGACACAAACATCTTGTTCGAAAGGGCCTGAAGCCAGATCAGATGCGGAAGATGGGATGGATGGAATGGAGCGTAGGCATCTATATGTCGCTGTATCCTTGTTGTCTCAGAGGATGGAGGGCATGGGTTTCTATGGGACTGGGTATTGCAGTCTTATCAGGGATTGTTATTGGAATTGTATTTGCTTTCAGGAAATACAGAACGAGGAAGTATAGAAAGTTGCTGGCGGAGGATATACCATTAGATGATTGGGTGCTAGAAGAGGAGGCCTTGCTTTCATCATCTGACGAGGAGGATGGGAAAACCGAGGGAGGGGCTAAGCATCACATTTGATGAGTACATGGAGATAAGAAACACCAATAATCTGACTGTCGCAGCACCTATAAATCTTACCCATTGCCGTGGGGAAAGGGTGTTCACTGAGATCGTGACGAGGAAAATAGTCTTCACAGGTATAGCAGTCCAAAAGTCTTCCGATAACATAGGTTCGTTGGTGGCCTTGAAGAAAAACTGGGTTGAGCTTCTTCACGGAGACTAGCCAAGGGATGCAGAATCATGAAGTCCTTATTCTTCGTCAAGCTCGTCACTGATAACATCCCACCCTTGCCTATTATTCGTACATCAAATGATCCGAAAACACCCCAACAAAAACGAGTACGCCGCTGCCACCGGGTATCATGTTCCAATCGCCTGCTTAACGGTCCATCTCAATCCCAATCCAGCCACCCGTCCCAGTTCTCAAACTCCAAAGGGCTCAACTCATTTTCAGCATCTCGGTGTGATCGTGGCTCGTTCCGATTATTTTTCATCGTTCCTGGCAGGCCAATCTCCGGCTTGGTTGTTGGAGCCTTCGGTGACGAAGTGATTACGGCAGTCATGGAGCTGGCATCGGAGTGAGCTGATGAGATGAAAGAGTTGCTGATCCAGTAGTTATCGATGGCGTCGCGGGGCGAAAAAGGGACTAGAGAATCAAAAGGCTGGCCAAAAGGAGATGGCGGAATGACGTGGTTGGTCTCCAATCCACGAGGGCTCTTGACAATCTCGTTATTCATCTGCTCTGCGTAACCCAGCTCTTGCTCAACAGCTGCGCCAAGTTGTCGACGATGATATATCTCCGAAGGGCTGGCGGGCAACTGCATGTGACCCATGTGCGTATCGAACGAATTCTTGGGATTGGATGAGCGGCCTCGGTGCTCTTCGTCATAGAGAACGGCGTTGCGGAACTTTCGCATGAGATAGAGAATTATCAGTGTGAAGACGCACGTGCTCAGACTGACGATAACCCAGACAACGACGCCGTGAGGGACGTTGAGTCTGGCAGTGGCAAGGGTGATGAGGGCAGACGTCGAAACGAAAGAGTTAACGAGGAAGAACATGGTGATGCTAGCCGAGCCGCGGAAGATCTTCGTGCTGATGCTGAGGCGCTGGTACCAGAACGTCTTCGGCTTGACGGAGCTATTCCGTTTCTCACGGCGATGGCGTAGATGGAGCTTGAAAAGGTGGCGGCTCTGGCGACGGCTGTGGAGGAATGTCAAAGGCTTTTCCCTCTGTGTTGTCGGAATTGCCTGCTTGGATTGAACGTTTCTCTGCGGCTTTTCGACCAACTCGGGGACCTTAGCAAGGCTGCGCGGGGCCAGGCTGTAAGTAAGAGGTCTTGGATGAAGCGAGAGAAGGTTTGCATTTGGGTGGTTGACCTGGAACTCGTCCAAAGACTCGGTCACGCTAACCTGACCAATGCGGCTGCTTCTGGTGCCTAGGTTAAAGGCTCTGGAGGACTCGGTGATTCCTTGTGTGATGGGGACCATGACTGAGAGCCGAGGAGTAGCATCTTGGAAGGGCCAGTGAGGGGAGACTGGGATATTGGTAGAGGGCGTGCGATTGGCCAGCGGATGGCGCGGGTAGAACATGGACTCTCCATGGACGGTGGACGGACTGTCGTCGGCGATAAAGTCGCGATCTGAGGTCTCTGTGGTGATGGGCGAGGCCGGCGTGGGTGTGGAGGGATGCGGCGTAAGGTGGCGGATGTGAACAGACTCATTCGAGGAGTGAGAGACGTCGTCGCAGGTTGGCTCATTAATACAGGGTTTGAGAGGGAGTTTGAACGACGCGAGCTCCTCAACCGAGGGATACGCTGTTCTGCGGCTGGCGACCGCGGTCGTTGCAGAGCTGAAGGAGGCCTGCTGTGGGATCGACATTATTGCTGTTGTCGCTGTGCTCCTTTAACTAGAGGCTGTTCACAGCTACGGACGAAGGAGAGAGAGAAAGAGAATAACAAAAGAAGGTGAGGTTTTAGCGAACGGCTAGAAGCAACCATGAGAAGAAGAAAGGAAGGTCGTAAGTGGGCTGAGAAAGAAGGCGGTATTTGTGGGCGAAAAGTATTATCCCATTGCAGTGTGAGGTGAGGTGGGCAGAAGTTCGCCCCGGATGCAAAGTTAGTTACGCTTTTGCCAGGCCCAATCAGCACCAAGTATTACAGATGAATGATATCTTACCCAGAGGGCAGGAGCGAGCAGAAGTGACTCCCCAGAAACGATGGTGAAGTTATCATGAGGAAGAAGAACAGTCAAGAACATTTGATGGGGTGAGATCCAGTATTACCGTCGTTTGGAGTCGAATAATCTGTGGAATGCTCAGTTGCCATCAGCAATTAGCCTCCGTTCCAAATACCCCATTCAGGAAACCGAAATCTCGGGTTTGTTATTATGTCTTGAATGAAATTGCCAAATTTGGCCCGGGGCAGCAAGGAATCTCAATTCAAGTCTACCTTCATACTGGCGATCATCCTGAAACCACGTGGTCACGTAAGATTCCAAACCCTCCTGTGCTGCGAGATGGGAAGTATCGGAAAGTTCGTGGAAAACCACCAACTGCAGTAACTGCTTACATAACAAGAAAGAAATATGAGTTGGGAATGCGGATCAGCGACCAGCCGCTAGCTCAGAAGAGCACTCATGGGCGACTATTTATGTCTCCATGTGCCTCTGATACTGCATTCATCTACGAGAAAAGCCAACATATATTTAGCTCTCAAGTGATTCTCTACAATCACAGCTTATATGCTCTGTCAATCTTTGCGCCAAGTCATCGAAATCATAATTTATATCAAACAAAATCAGGAGATGAATCGCGAAATATCACCTCGAGCGCAACTCAAACAGTTCAGGGCCTGTTGGTATCCGTCTTTATAGAGTATGAATGTACCCCTGTAAGAACCCTCTTGTTTCGTGAGGTGCCATTCATTCAGTCTTTCACTCGTTCACTCCTTCCTGTGCTCTATGTATGGCAACCGGCGTGTCCAAACGCTCTTCCGCACCACGAGCCCAGTCATCATCGCCGTTCAAGCCCTTCTCTGAAATACCTCCAAGCCCGGAACGATGTCTGCGGAGTGCCAGTGCCACACCAGCCGTAGCAGTGTTGGAAGCATTGCCGGCGCCGGCGGCAGTGGCGGAGTCAACAGGTATGGCATGCTGTCTGTTTGCATTAGAGTCACCAATCATGGCAGCCTGTGTGATAGTGCTGTCATGAATGCGGCCGCTCAGTTGGTTGCTTTGTCGGGCGACCTCGACATCGTGCAGGACGCGCTTCTTCGATCGCTTGACTATCATAAAGGCCAGGAAGGACGCGATCCAACTCGCTGCGCCGACACCTGTCCAGGCGAACCACACGGGACCGACACGATACTTGTGGGAGAAGTAGATGAACAAGGCTATTGAAACAATGAGGCTGAGCATCATGACAAGACCGATTAGCGCGATGAAACGAAGAGAAATGTGATTAGCACAGCATCTACTGCCGACAAAGGGCTCATGGTCTCCATAGGTCTCAACATGATGGATGCCAAGAGCGCGGTCGAAATAGCCCAGAACGTCTTTTTGTGACCAGCCTTGGGTTCAACGGGCTGAGGCGTGTGTTGGGTTCGAGGCTTTGATTTACGCTTGGGTCTTCGCTTGGATTTGCAGGGAACTTGGAGATGACCGGGGGATTGAGAATGATTGGATGGTGACACGCTGCCTCCAGCATCGGTTCGAACATATCTCATGTTTGCCATTTCAATCCGGATCTCAGGTATGGAGGACAGAACAACGCTGCAAGGCGGAGAGACGGGTGAGTTGGCGAAACGAGGTTTGGATGTGTGCTGTTTCGAGCCGAGGATTTTGGAACCGAGCGAGACGCAATGGCGCCCGTCGCCAGAAACAATGATGGGCAACATCTCTCGGTGTTAGCTGGTCGAAATTTGTGGGACTTTCTGAATAGGTCTGTTCGGACACTCCTTGGAGCTTGTAACTTGTTGAAATTTTCGAAATTTCGGAATCTATTCCAGGGATACCTCCGTCGGCAACGGAAAACGAGGCCGTTTTGATGGAGTCGGTTGCTCTAGTCGATTGTTATGTTAACGATCGTTAGGGGGACTTACCCAGCTCGTAAGGACTGAGACTAATATTCTCTCGGTCTCTTTGTTGTAAACAGTGCATTATGCCCTCGCCTCAATCCCTCGAGCTTTTTTGATGCTTGCCTATGTTGTAAGGGTGTGTCAACACAGCAAGACAAAGTTTCAACAATGGTGAAGACAGTGCTATTGTTGCCTGAAGATCTCGACGTCAGTTGTGACAAGCTGTGGACTGAGACGAAAGAAATTGTAATTATCGAGCGAGTTTCTGGGAAAAAGACAAGGATCATAGGCATTTAACTGAGGCATAATCGCGGGATTTGGAGCAGAGTGCCATGCATAATAGTCTCGCCAGATTACATTGAAATAGGTCATCAACTAATAGCAACAGAGGGGTAAAAAGCATGATCAGGTCGTTGTCTGCTGAGCCTTGGAAAAATAACTGGAGCTTGAAAAACATCATTGTAGTGTTGCTATAGTGTTATTGCGTTGGTGAGTTGACAAGACCTTTCTTCGAAATATTGCTCTTCAAGTTGGCAAGTGAGGATGGTGAGAAACTTATTTGCATGCCGTGGATAATTAGTGTTTACAATTGAAAACCTCCTTTCCGGCAGCCAGCATTGTTCAAAGCTGTTGAGTAAAGTCTGCCCTTTGATACCCGGAAACTGAGGGTTGAAAGTAGGTCAATGAGCAGGGAAATCCTACAAACGAGACTGCAGGATGGGTCCACGGATCCAGGTGCCCAATTGTAAGAGAAGCTTGCTCCACTTAGCAGGAACTGGTGAAGTTTTGGACACCCGCCGCGAGCATCTATAGAGTTATTAGGATTTCCAGAGATATGCTTCGTCACCCTGTTCAGGGAGACAGGTCTCTCCGTAAAGCCTATTTCTTTCACGAACCAAAACTACAAGTGTGCACTTGTACAGATGAAAGATTCCTTACTACGGCAAGAACCACAATTGTTCATCTTATACTCCAATGCTGTTGACTCATTACACCCCGGAACTTGCAAATAACCCATTTCCACTCGAAAACGCCGCAGAGAGAGTGCGATAACGGTTAAGTGTGCTTTGTTGCGGCTCTCCACTAATTGATGCCCGTAGATTCTGGGGAAGCAATTATGGAACCAGACTAGGATACTAAAAATACGTGGAAGTGATTAAGGCAAGATGGCCGAGCGGTCTAAGGCGCTAGCTTCAGGTGCTAGTCAAGCAATTGGCGTGGGTTCGAATCCCACTCTTGTCATTACCTTTTGGTCTAATTTTCGTTGTTGCTTTAGATACCTTTGGTAACAGCTTTACTGATGTTGGCTGGGGCGTTCTCTGACCTGTTTTGTGGACAACCAGAAAACCCTTGTTTGGGAGTGACAGTACAGAACAACCCCGTCGTTCATGCAGCTGAATTAAACTGATGGGAATAACATTTTCAATTCAGAACCTGCCTTTTATCATAGAGACAGTGAGTTCCTTATCATCTCCATCTGATTAGGAACTTCTCATACTCTGCATTCATTCCTTATTTTTCTTCTGTTCGAATGTAGGTTCCGTAGTCCTCCATTGTTTACCACAAAGCTCAGTACGTTTGGATACAATCAAATCAACTGCGTGTTTAGCATCGGTTGAGTGCCAAAGAGGATCAAGCACGTGAGATATATACATAAGAGATCTTTTTACACAGACCAGCGTTTGCTGTGATCTGCTTCCACTAATCATCGCTAACGAGAGGGCTGACGACGGTAAATCGTCCTATGCAGCCACTGGCGCTTTAGAGAGGATATCGGGATCACCTTGGCCAGTAAAATTAACAAGCAAAGCCGTAATTGTCGGGAATTCGGTGACCTCTAAGTAAAATTCAATAGTCCATAGGTACTTGGTGAATTTCAGAACCATTATGGATCAGATAGCTCTCGCCGCTCGGCATCGTGCGATTAAATTGGTCGTGAAAGGTCGGCATTCGGTGAAGCTAAGAATACAATTAGATTATAAAGCGAACTGAGATCGCAATAATTTGCAACTTTTTATCCGCGACAGAGGAACGGAAAGAAATAAGATCAATGTTTCAATTAGCTTTAGTACAAGCTCATTGGTTATGAATATCATAGCTAGATACTTGGTCGCCAAAGATAGGGCATGGACTTATCCAGTATTGGTATTTATGACAAGCAGCTAAGACCCTGAAGAGCAAGAGGTACCTGAGTCTTTACATCGTCTCGTGAATTTTGCAAAATGCCTTGCAGCAAAATAACAGTAAACAAGTGCCATGTTTGCTACCGCGAAACGAACAAGTTCCGGCGCCATCGTTCCGCCGAGTGAATCAGCGCCTCTCCGTCACAAGTACGTTGGCCACCAACCCTAAACAACGATGGTGTTCCAAATGAACTCCGCAGCATCTACGCAAATCATAAGTTGAATAGAAGATAGCTAAGCTCCCTTTCAAGATCCCAAAGCTGGTGAATCACAGCCACCACATATTGAACTCGGACGTTCTTGTTGCAATGAGCTTAATATGGGTGTCCGAGAGCGACCTCGCCCTTTAGATCTCGCAGTTCTCGTCGGTGGCAGTTTGGTTTAGCGAGGTCTGCTCCGGAGAATCAGACCTTGACGAAGACTTCGATGCAGCAGATAGTTGTTCTCCGGGCGGCCCATGGGCGGGTCGCTTCCTGACATTGGGCAAATGGCGCACCTCCTGCAACAAATTGATCCATTGATCTGCGTCGGTCACCGTACCGTGTATGTCAGCGAGGTCCGGGTGGGTTCGTACCACCGAATCGAAAAGTAGCCACGTCAGAGCCATAGAGTGGCGGTTTCCCCTCGACGCAGAGTCGTATGAACTCGGCGAATGCCACAAATTCTCCTGGGGTTAGAAAGTCAGTAATCCTTGTGGTTTGAGCTTTTCCATAAGACTGATTGCAAACTTGGCAGTAGGTTTGCAGTATTTGCGGAGGGTTTGGTATAGACTCCAAGGTATCCCATCGTGCTCAAGTATGCCGTAGGCTGAAAGCCAGAGAAGATGCGGTTGTCGATAGAGTTAATCAAAACGTTGTAGACATGGGATCTGTCCCTATACCACCTAGCGTGATTCGGGTCACCGGGGGTTGGCTCAGTCGAAATTCCGGTTAACATTGCCCTCTGCGGCTCGGTCAGGCCCGATGAATTATCAAAAGTAATCTCCCAAGCCTCGTAGTTTCCACGTTCACGAAGCTTGGAAATTGAACAAGACATGACGAGAAGGTATTCTCTTCTTAGGCCAGAGATATGTGTTGAGTCAGTAGGTCAATCCAAGACCAAGTTGTCATGCCGCAGACTATGTGCAGTACATATAAAGGCTTTGTATCGAAGTGTGGGAGCAACAGAAACAACAAAAATAAAAGCGACTTTCAAAAAGGGGCGGATTCCCATAGGCATGAATCAGACGGTCCACCATGCTGAGCACCCGAACCCTTGTCAACGTCTCGGTTCATCGCATGCCCGGTCACTCTTACCCTAAAGTCGAACCTTCATCATGCCGACAGCTGTTTGACTCGACGAATCAGCCTCGCGTCCTTTTTAGACATCCTGGGATAGCGTAATATCGATGATTGCATCATAATGACAGCGAATTTCATCGTGAACTGAGTATCGGTCGGATTTCGTAAGCTCGTGCTTGCGGTAAATAGTGCCGTGTGGACCGCAAGAACAGCGGCCCTGTCTGTAGTAATCTATGTTTTGAATTATTGCATTATGCAGCTCTAAGATGGCGAAGTTGATGGTGCGTAATCTGATGGCGGTTAAACGAAAGAATCTCAGTTTCTAAATTGCCGTCACATTTTTTAATAACCGAAACGTACATGCCTAGATCTCGTTACAGTTTATCATGAACAGTATGTTGTAAGTGTTGAAGACGAACTACCACCGGGCTCTATATATTTTCCTTGTTGTACGAAGCTAAAATAATTCCGGATGCCCTCTCAGCAACCGCATACACTGTGCTCAGAATGTTTCCCCGTGGAATGATGGGAAATATGCTAGCATCGCAAACGCGCAGGTTACTCGTCCCTCTAACCAGCAAATCGCCGTTCACAACGCCTCCAAGGCCATCTTCCATCATTGTGCATGTCCCACATGGGTGATAGTTTGTAGCACCATGCCTACGAATCGCGTCTTTGATGTCCTCCAATGTTCGAAATCCCGTATCAGCCGGTAAGCGATTGCCAGCAGGTCTGAGAATAGAGGCAAACACAGGATGATCTAGCAACTTTTCGATCTGTAGGACGTGGCGTGCAAGTATTTCGACATCCAGGGGATGAGACAAATATGCGCAGTCTATAGCAGGTTGATCGTGGCAGTCTGAGCTTTTGATGTGGGTAGATCCACGACTAAAAGGATGAGACAGCATAGCGATGACAGTCATGTAGTTCCCAGGCGCTTCACTGCCAGTAACAGTGTACCTCTGCTTTCTGATCATGAAAACCGTCGCACTTGCTTCGCCCTCTTCGAGGATCATGCGGCGGATGAAGTCCTGTTGCATTTGCGTGGCTTGATCTCCGGCTGAAACCGCTTGTTCGAGGAGGACTTGCAGGGCAGTTTCTTCTGTTGGTGTGTTGAAAAGTTGAAGCGGCCAGTAAGCGAAGCTGTAAGCCCCCCTTCTGACAGAGGCCCGGTTCTGTGCTGCTCATACTCTGCTCTCTGAGCCGCGGCAACAGCTGGATCTCTTGATGCAACGTCCATTGTCTCAATGTCGGGCCTGACTTCCACGCTTGGTCCAAAGTTGAGGTGATCCTGAAGGTTTTCTGCGTTATCAGGGTTAGTATGACATGCTAGACAGGAATGCTTAGTTGTTCGCTCACCGCCAACGCCAGGCAAGTCGACTAGACATGGTATTCCGCAAGCTTCCAAGATGGCCCTATTCCCAATTCCTGACAGTTCGAGGATTTGTGGGCTACCGAATGTTCCCCCGCAAATAATCACTTCTCTTTTTGCTTTGATCGTGGTCAGAAGACCTTCTTTCTCATAGCATACAGCCACAGCACGTAGACCCTTCGTCATGTCGGACTCGTTGTCCTCAAAGATGATTCTTTGGACAGTCGCCCCGCACTCAACAACGAGGTTTTCCCTTTCCGCCGCCAATTCAAGGTATGAATTGCCGGCAAAGCTTCTCACTCCCTTTCCAGGGCTGCCGTCGATAGCATTGGAAATTGTTACGCCTCCTACAGCCTCGCCATAGGAACCATCTCCTTCAAACTTAGCACTCAGCTGGCTGAACACATCCTCCCACGCCTTGTGCAGAAGATGCGGCTCCTTTGGATATGAAGCTTGTATGGGGCCACCGGAGCGTGCAACCTCTCCAGTTGAGTTTTGAGGTTGTTCCGTCTTGAATATCTGATAACAGTCTCTCATCTGTTCCCAACTCCATCTTTGGTCCCCTGCAATTTCGGCCCATGCATCGTGCATTGCCTTGTTCGGGTAGACCAAGCTGTGCGAGTTGATTGCGCTGCTTCCGCCAATCATTCGTCCTCGAACATGCTGTATCGTGCGCCCGTTCAAGCCAGCCTGCGGCGCTGATGTTGAACACCATTCGTAGTTTGGATCGCCAAACATCCGTCGACTGGGTAGCGGCGTAGTGACTTTTTCATCATGGGTGTTGTTCACTCCGGCCTCAAGTAAGAGTACCCGCAAGTCAGACCGAGCAGATAAACGAGAAGCTAGAACACATCCTGCTGTGCCGCCTCCGACAATTATCACCTCAAATGATGACGTCTCCATTGCGACTAGCTACAAGTTCGTAAAAAGTTCTGTTGTCCCAAATAGTGGAACTTGATTGCATTTATAACTTCGATCTGTAATTGCCCATCATCAAATCGTTATCAAATGCCTCAGGATTGTCTTTTATCATGGAAATTGCGCTGGCCTACCCCTCAATCCTTCGATGCTTTAACTCGGCAAGACTACCCCACATTCCAGTTGTGATGATTGAGGTGATTTTCTATTGGCTTAGCCCCTTTGTCATTTTACGATCACGACATAAGTCTGGGATCTTAAGCCAATGGTATGAGTCCAGCGGATACGGAACTCGGCAGCGTCCATTAGAACGCCCTAGTAGTATCTGTCGTATAATGAAGTGTTTGCCAATGTAAGAGAGGGTGAAGAGGGACGAGATCCTGTTGGTTAGGAGCCGATTCAAAGCTCAAAAGGACCTATAGAAAACATCACGATGACAGAGGCGAAATGTGGCAAGGGTCAACTGCCTTAAGCCATGGTCCAGATAAGTCACCATTTTGGGCATTCGAATCCTCCACTTAGAGTCGCTCGCTTCACCGCCTGCTTCGGTAATCTCGATGGATTTTAACCTCAACAAGCGCAGCGTGCTCTTCATCGCGAGGAACATGCTTATCTGTAAAGTAGGCATTCTGAAATGATATTTTGGTGATAGGTGGCATTCACTGAGAGTGAGAAACGTCGTACTCCCGATATAGGTCTGATTTCGCAAGCAGCAAAGGATTAATACTGCTAGTGATGATTCAAGCAGAACCTCACTGCGGGCTCGTAAACCCATCGAGCGAACGCATCGACGGCCCTAGAAGGCACTCAAAGCACCATCAATCCTGCTAGCCTTGCGGGCAGCGTACTTATCCAGTAAGCCAACTTGCGCCAGTCTTTCGAGCATTTGATGAGGGGAATTAAGCAAACAATGGTCTCGTAGACAGGAAGGACAAGATTGCAGACCTTTACCTAACGGTTCCACGACACATATCTTGAGAACACCATAGCAGCTTTCCAGACTCACGACTGTTTCTGCAACTCAACAAGATACAGTAACATCCTGCATCCGACCTTAGACGTAAACTTGGCCACGGTGTTCGGTATGTTCTTTGGTTATGGCGAAAGGGTGAGGCACAAATATGTGCTTTATGGCTACAATTGCCGTTGCGACTGACGGCTAATATATTAATTAACGGTAACCTACTCCGGAGTTGTGCCAGGTACCGGCAGTACTAGGTCAAAAGTCTTCGCACAACGATAAGGATAAACCAATGAAAAGCTACCGTGGGAGGGTGAGCCACAGGACCTCTGGTGGTGCACTGTGAAGTGACCCCAAGCTAATGGGTCCCCTCTGTGCCGTTGATTGGGTTGTTCTTATTGCTGTGCAAAGACTTTTGACCTAGTAATGCCGGTATGTACTGCTAACAAGAGCTTTCAATGGTTGCAAAGACGGATTCTTAACACAATCAAAGTAAGAAACACTAGATTGTAGTTCGATATTAAGCATAGAGCAGAAGCAGGGGATAATGTAGATAAAGAAAAGATGAGAGAACAAGACGGCAATATTGAAAACTGTCTCATGCAAACAAAGGGAGAAGTAGCAGCATGCGTATAGAGCAGGTGACCGAGGTGATAGCTGTGATGTTAACCCCCTACGTGACCCTATCTAATTGTAATACGATCCTGCCCATTTCTTTAGCAAGGCAGCCTTCCTGAGAAGAGATTGCATATTCAACTAGCAAATCTTCTTCTTGGCTACCCAGGGCTTGCTTAATGTATAAGATTGTAGAGTTCATCTAAAAGTAAGCTCTTGCTTGTTGCATGTTGCTTCAAAAGGAAGGTTGCATAGGCATAGGCTGCTGGTGATGGTGATGGATAGAGAGTATATCACTAATTAATTGCCGCACAGTTGACTGATTTTCAACATTTGGTGGGGATGTTGATGCCGATTGTTTACGATTGACAACTTTCGAACTATCAGCATATCGATCAAAGGAATATTCAATAGAGGTCATATCTATAAGACACCACCTCGAGCACCGACCAGTAGCAGCTGTCACATCACCTCACGCAAGATTTTCAGCTTTCTAGTTCCATCAATACACCGTACAAGTCTGCGCAATTCTTTTCCAAGCTTTTTCGCTAGTCCAAGATGCAGTTTTCTACTATCATTACTCTTATGGTCTCCGTTACAGCCGTCCAGAGTGCTACTGTTGCGGAACATGATGCGCGCGCTGTTATTCAATTTCTCTAAGCATAGGATACCAAGTGGCATAATTATGAAGAACTCTGCCATCGTTTGGCCGTCATATGAAGTTGTGACCTTTTGCGGAGGTGTCCCATCACGACTGCGGCAAGACGTCTAAAACCCTAGTGTGAGGAGTGGAGCCAATTACATGTTCTGTTCGACATTGCAGAGAAACACTTGCCCAAGCAAATGCATCAGCATTGACATTTTGGGAGAAATGGTGGAGATTCAAGTTGATGTGAGTTTCAGACGTCTTGTCGAAATCGGTTGGATAGTAGTTACTAAGTTTGAGTCACTCTGCATGTGCCCCGTCGTCACTGGTTGTGGTTCAGTAACAGTGTTATACTGATGCTCGTAAAGCCAATTCAAAAACCTGAAAGGTGGGCTTCCGAGAATGTCTTTCGGTTGAGGACCATAGCCGCAACTGCACATCGAACAAACTTAGACACCAGTGTTTTTGTTCAAGCCTACTGTTCCGAGCAGGCTCACAGTCTCACAGTGCACGGACCCCTCACTAACCGAGATTTGGTCTCAGGCTCATTTATCATAAGCAGTCCTGATCCCGAAAAATCCAACATCCAATTGGTCTCTCACACTTCAACCAAAGCGACTATAGTGTAGCGGTTATCATCCCAGCCTTCCACTAAGCCATGTAAGCTGGGGACAGGGGTTCGACTCCCCTTGGTCGCATTTGTTTTGTTCTTTCGCCAGTTTTTTGATCCTGTTATTTGAATCTACGATCTCGAACTAGCAATGTAGTTCTCAAGTCTACCAACTTGGGATGCATTTCAGTACATGTCTTTTAGCTAAAAGCCGTGCATAAACGTTTCCCGTCTGGCTCTAAAACTATCATCTGGAAAGCTTGTGTTCGCATGCGCCGTTGTAGATATGCTGGATAGCAAGCCAACAATGCAATATCTCAAACTTCAACTCCTTACTTCTTGCCCTTACTAAATGCTAATTAGTGTTTAATTGAGCATTGGAAATGGATAAAGATCACGTATATGGCGGTCGGTGGCTGCACTCTGTCGCTCAAGTTGTGTGTTGCGATATGTAGAGAATGTGCAAAATCAACTCCACAAGAGCGGTTTTAGCCAGTGAAAACTTGGAACTGACCCAAGCCCATCTCCTGAGCGTTATGAACAACTCTGCCGTATTTTTTCATTCTTCCCGGTGGAAACGCTGATTAATGATGTGTTGCGAAACCCTGGTGTCAGGCTGAACTTTGTCGCCAAACGTGTATAGGTACGGTCAGGAGAATGTCGGCATGGCCCGACACCCACAGTACCCAATGAACCACCAGGCCTCACGGAAAAGTTTCCCAAGACAGGCAGGTGGAGAGTTGCCTAGCGCAGTCGACGTGTACCGAGTCTTGTCATGTTGCACACAGAAAAAATGTCCAGCGGAATCTGAACGGCTACAGGGCACCAACACACTAGAGGAGAGCACTGAAAATTCTGGAATGAGCATTGATCGCTCGTGGTTAATTTGTGCTGCTTCAAGCCAGTTGTACCTACCCTCCTCTCGATATGCTGTGAACATATTCTGCTTCTGCGGCGCATGCAGCAACGACAAGCCAAACTCTCGACTTGCTATTCGGCAACCGCATCGCATAAAGACCTGGTGTTTGATGTTTTTGAGATTGGAGCCTCTGCATCGGCGAACTCTCGCTAACTCCAAGCCCAACACTTGGAGCGCAGTCCCATGTTCAACACTCTCCACCAGCACGCCACCCCAGCATCTGGCACAGAACTTAGTCAACTCCACCTAAACCCCCTGCAACAACATCCAGTCCGATATGGTGTAGTGGCCAACATGATGCCCTCTCATCTCGGTGAAAGGTTAGGCATAGCCCCGAGTTCGATTCTCGGTTTCGGAACATTTAGTTTTGCCATTTGACCGTTTTTCATACTACGCGCAGATCGAAATGAAACAAATTCTTTTTTGGTGGCTTCGTGGGAAGGCGCTGGTAATTTAGGACTTTTTCCTTTTTGTTGTCACGTCAGACTGCAACGCCTACTCTCAACAACAGGAGACAAAATCTGAATGCACCCCAACTAGCAAACTTGAGAAGGTTGGGACAAAAAGTTGCATTACGCATACATTACGCCCGACGTGCCAATGCCCTGACTACTACAGCTTCACATTATTGACCTCAAAAGTCTGCACCATCTTGGTCTCAAAGTAAGACCAAAACTTGGTCCCGCTCATCGTCGTGTCAGTCGCCTGCACATACCGATCGCCGCTACCAATCTGCGTCCGCCAGCGCGTGATCTTGGCCCCGTTCGTCGACGCCTGCGTGAACTTACTCAGGTCAAAGTTGAGATACTGGGCGTCGCCCCAGTTGACCGCGACAATGACGAGCTTCGAGTGGGCCGCGTCGTACGCCGCCACGACGTTATCCGCGCCGCCGTCCAGGATCTGCATGCCCTCGCGGATGTGCCGCGAGAACTGCGCAAACACAAAGTACTTTTGGTTCGCGGAGCCTACTGTGCCCGCCTCATTGTCGGCGTCGATTATACCCCAGCCGCCGCCGTCGAGTACTTGCCAGTACACCCAGCCCGTCGGCTTCAACCACCGGAAGTCGAGGATAAGATTGCTCACGAGTCTCTCGCCCGTGGCATCGCTCTCGCCGTACTCACTATTCCACAGCCGCAGGCCACGGGCTGAGGAGAGGGAAAAGACTTGGTCACGCTTGCCGTCGCCGTACTGGTACCCGTGAACGTTGATGCGAGCGACGTTCTTGAGCGCAGCATCGCCCAAATTCTTGAGGGTTGTCACAGCTTGATCGTAGTACGACTCGTCCGACGCGGCAATGGTCATGCTGTTCAGACCGCGTTTGTTAAGCTCCGTCCGCAGGGCGTTGATAATGGTCGCCTGCGTGGCGACGTCAATGTGGCATCCCTCCTGCGTGCCGTCCGCCTTCCACCAGTTCGCCGTGGGCTCGTTAAAGGGCTCAACAGACTCAAAGGTAATGCCCCAGTTGTCCTTGGCATACTTGGCAATAGTAGCCATGTAGACGGCGTGCTGCGCGAGGTTCCACGACTGGATGTTTTCGCTGCCGTCGGCAGACCCCGAAGGGTTGTGGTTCTTGGTCATCCACCACATGGGCGAGTTGGAAAACAACTCGAACCGGTTTGCGCCGCGGCTCTTGGCCTTTTGCAGCATGGTGCGCTGGTTCACGTCAACGTCCCACTTCCAGCTGCTCGAAGTTGGGTCGGCGCTGTTCCAGTCGATCCAGTGGCCCTCAATCTGCCTGGACGGCATCATTTTGGAGGAGACGACCATACTCTCGCCACCGATGCTGTTCCAACTGCAGGCGCCAGCGTTGTGGCGGACGATGTTGAAGCCGAGGCCGGGAAGACTTGCGCCACCGAAGGTGGTTGTCTTGGTGGTGAAGAAGATGTCGGCGAGGTCGTCGCGGGTGCCGAAGCGACGCGCCCACCAGGCCAGAGAGGTTCCCCATCCTTCCCAGGTGCCGCGGTTGGACTTGGCGTCGATGGTTGTCGTTGTGTCAGCTGCGGCGGGGGAGATGGAGGCTAGGCCCAAGGCCACGGCCGCGAGAGGCTTGAGCTGCATAACGAAGGTCTGAGGAGCCGGAATCTGCTGTCGTGCAATTTTCTGAGAATCGGGACCGGGTATTCCTCCTTATAATCATCATGGTGCATCTACGTAGCATTCCAGATATTGGTAGCGAGCAGGGGCGCTGACTCGGAGGCGGTGGATCTCGTATAGCGGTTACTTTGCGGACGGGGATGCGCGGACCGCATGGAAGCGCTTGTGACCGCTCTAGGCGAGCTATCAGATCCAGCTTCATAGCGGAAAGGGACCTTAACCGTGCGCCTGGTCGGTAAACCGGTGATTCCTCTGGATCGGGAAACCCCAAGTTCGGCCGTTATGGTCCGAGACAGAAGTAACGGCGATGGTTTTTGTAGTTGGAAACAATCGAATGTCGAGACAGAATTGCGCTGAACGTCGGTTGTGCGCCGAACGACTCGTCTCAAGATTAGAGTTACATTGCAGTATCGCTGTTAACCACGTGTTGCTGAGATCCGCCCCTGAGCAAATGTCAATAGATTAAGGCTTGAGCCGAGGGTGCCGTATGAATCCACAGTAATATCGATGAGCAGCAAACAAGCCTGCAAGGATGAAGCGGTACAGAAACAAAGGTTATTGACGCGGTAAGGACTATCTTCCCTGAGAATTCTCGTATAAAATTGCGCAAAGGACTACGTCGGTGTTCAATGTCCGCTCCAGAACACACACACCTAGCCTGGATATCCTGATTCGCAGTGATCTCACAAACCTTCCCACCAACCCCCTCATCTCCCAATAGTTCATCCATCCTCCAAGAAGCGTCCCAATCCATGCATGGCTTTCCCTATAACCGATCCAATGCCGCTATCCGGATTCCCAAAGCTTGGTGAAGCGTGTTGGCGTAGTTTGTCTAGTTCGAAAATGCGGGGAAAAGGGGTCATCCGACGGCGTGGCATGCATCGCGGGGTGAAAGTGGAGCAATCTGCATCTAGCTTCTGCATTGGCGGAAGATCATGAAGCGGGAGCTTGCTTCCTTCGGTTCGGCTCCGGCACCCGCGGGTTGTGTCACCAAACCTCAGCTGACCTTGGGCACTATGCAATGTTTCCTTTCGGATATACAAGAACAACTGCGTAGATGACGTTGTCAGCTTGGTCGAAACCAAATGCTTAGCAAACCGCAGCCAACATACTGACCAAAGCGGGGCAAGTGCATGTGAGGACTTCTGTCTACAAGTAGGTACGGGTAAACAAACAGCAAGTCGGCTTGATGCTTAGATGACCACAAGGCTTGTCTGAACAACAAACACCAAGGTGACTTTGTGAGCTCTTCTGTAACAATGGTCAGCCATGAAAGTTAATCAACGTGTCCATAAAAGCGAACCTCTCAAGTGGCCCTTCGAAAAAGTTCCACAAAACCTCAACGACGAGCCTTTTTCATGAAGGTCTCAGCAGGACCAGAATCAGCAGCTCGTCGCATGGCGTTTCGTATACCTCTATCAAGCGTAGGCTGGTCGTTGACCTCAGAGGTAGCCGGAGAGGCACTGGGCGTTTCGTCCGGACGAGCCCGACGAGCTGCGGCAGGAGAAGACACAGAAGTCTTTCCCACACTCAGTGGCGTATCATAAGATGAAACAGGTCTCTGGCACGCAATGGTGGCAGCTGGAATACCTTCTCTCTGTTTTGCGGCGGCCTCCTTTTTTCGTGCCATCTCCAGCTTTAGCTTCAACGCTGGCATCTTCACGTTATCGATGTTTTCAAGAAGCCAAAACAGTCGGTTGGTCTCTGCATACCAATTTCTTTTGGTAATTTCAGCTTTCTCCACAGCCGCCAGAAGCTCAGGAATCATCACAGGCGGGTAGGGCAGATGTCTTGGTGGGTCGCCACTCTGCATTCTCTCGTCGTCCTTAACCGCGCGCATGAGACGTCTTGATGTGGCATCCACGGTGGCTTCAAGAATAACCGGGGTAGCGTTTTCATCCCGCATGAGATGCTCGAACAAGCCACGGACTCGCCGGTATTCGGCCTTGATATAGTTGATCTCGATAATGACACGCCGAACTTCGCGAAGCGCTTCGCCATGGGTAATGGACTTCGGCTGAGAGAATGCAGAACGACGACGCTCGCCTGGTGCCTTTGTAGGAGTTGAAGGCGTCGAAGAAACACCAGACGATCCAGCTTCCAAGTCGGGAGACTTAGCTCGACGGCTACTCGACAGGTCTATGATTATGGGGTTGTCGTTGCGCGGAGTTGCTTCGTCGATAAAAGGATCGTCGGTCGACTGACCTGTGGCCTTCGTCAATGGTGTAACGGTAGACATCATGTTCTCTGGCGTCCGCTGATTGCGCTTGTTGGCTTGAGACTTGCGCTTAGGGGTTGGGGTTGAGGGAAGTTCATCAAATCCTGCGTCGTTTTCTTCCCTGTTAATCTCTTTGAAGTTTGGACCAGACTCGTCGGCTTCGTAACAAATGTCGACTTTTTCGTTGCCGTTAGGTGAAGTGGATGTAAAGGATGATGGACCTAGAGTGTTGGGAAGATCAGACGACATGCTACCACACGGAGCGGCTTTGGTATCATATACTCGAGTGCCAACTGATGGCTTATTAAAAGGATGTAATTTGGCACTAGGCGATGGATTCTGGCGCATGCCAATGGTGTTTCTGGCAGAGATGGTCGGGCTGTTCAAAGAGGAAGGCGCGTCAGGGATGAGGGGTCCACCAGCACCTGCACTACCACTTCCGCCACCACCGACGCGTCCAACTCTTTCTGTTCTCGCCATCGCGGCAACAACTCAAATCGCGCTTTGATGCAGCAGGAAAGCTTCTGCAATAGGGTTGATTCAAGCAAAGAACTCGAATCTAAATCCAAGTGCGATAACCGTTGGAGCGTCGAATGCCGAAAGCAAGGAATATTGGTTGGTCCCAGGCCTGTGTCAAACTCCAAGTGACAACACAAAGATCGTCCTTGAACTTGCAACGTTACTAATCAGTTAAAAGCTGTTCCCGGATAAGAGAACGATACCTTTGTCAAAAGAACACAGGTGTTCAAAGTCACTTTTCGAGCCGTATCTGCCGTCAGAGAACCACGCGAGATATTTTTCACGGTCCCATCTGTCGGCGATAGATGGAGCATAATCAATCACCTAACCCTCATGCGGCTCACCGTTTCACATACGTCCAGTCTCTGTGTTAGCCTTCACCCGGGCAATCCTTTCGAAGACTTTCTTCGGTACCCGCAAGTTTCGATTCTTGGATGGCCCTCACCTCATTGGCTACCCCCGTACGCTCTTTCCTCGAAGTTCAAAAGCTTCTTCTGTTAATCTGCTCCTCAAAGCTGCCGTCTTCGGTCATCGGAGTTTTCAGTTTCTTCAACAGGCAAACTTGACTAATTCTCTCGCGAACCACCTTCCCCAGCCCCATTTAAGAGGAGACCACCGGCATTCCAGAAGAGATCAAGTGAGTGCTGTCTCTGATCCCTCGTGGCCAAGCAAGCAGCTGACCATTCTTCAGTATGGCTACTCGTCTCGACAAGATGGTTCTTGACGCTCTTGAGGATATCGCGGTCACCACTAAGAAGCCCATCGACGAGGTGTTGCAAGCCGCGCAGAAAATCATCGAGAACAATCTCGTCAAGACAGAGTCAGACAATGCAGATGAGATATCGGCACAGGCCAAGCCGGCTGCTGCTGCTCCTATCAGCAACTCTCGCAACGCCGGAACTTCCAGTGCCAACAATCCAATAGTTTCTTCCTTCAAGCCAGCCACTGCCGAAACCGCTGCCACCAAAACCAAACGCGCCGCCCCGAAGAGCAAGGGTTCCGCGGCCAAGCAGACGACTCCAAAGGTCAAGGCTTCTGCCTCTGCCTCTGGCACCGCTTCTGATGCTTCTGCGGATGAGAGAGATATCAAACAGTTCACTTGCGAATTCCCCGGCTGCTCAAGGGCTTTCCTCCACAAAAGCTCGCGTAGTCGTGTGAGTGTTCCAGCTGGGTTGCTCGATTACATGCGTGGGCTTACCTGGCATATGATATACAGCACTACAAACTCAATCACAAAGCAAGCTTTACGAAAAAGGATGAGAACGAAGTTGACGTCAAATGAAGATGGCCATGACTGGTAAGTTGATGTGGATTGAACTCGTTGGGCAGAATACAGCTAATTATTGTTCGCAGCAGGCTGTCAAGACGTACTTTAGTACTTGCGGTCCGGTAATAGCTCTTGGTATTCCAATTTTCATCAATCAATATGCCCTGATCCCAATTTTTTTCTTTTATGTGGTCGTTCATCGATGTCTCGCCTTGACTCAAAAGCCTGAAAATTACTCACTCAAGCATCGTGATGCCATGTTATTTGCATGCAATCTTGTCCTCTATGGAACTATGAGTGGAATCATGTTACCGAACTCTATCTGTGTGGATTTATCTGGAACTTACGTCGCGGGGGCTGGTGGACTCAGGCAAGTGAAGTTGTCGAAGGACAAGCAACCGATCCGCCAACTCAAGGAGTTTCGGCCTGGAACTTCATGTCATCCATCTTCTCAACCATATAAACGGGCATCTTTCTCTTGCCCTGATGATACAAGTATCTTACCTAACCGCCAACCATCCATTTTTCAAGTAGAACGCAGGGTTTGTCGTTTCCATTCCGATGGTTGGTTCCAAGAGATGACCGACACCAGAAAAGATGACGCAGTTATTATGGCACCCCAAACACCAAGTCGTCAATGAAACTCCTGTCTCCTTGAACTTCCTTTGCAGATATACAGTCACAGCCTGTCACCACAGATGCGGCCATGACCAAGAGCTTGAGCTGGCCTAAGAGAACTCAGCTAGCCAATGGTCGCTCAAATCAGGTCCCTTGATCTCCTTCTCATATCGAGGGGGAAACTCAAGCGGAAGTCATGGCTGGTGGCAGCCCTAAGCTGCAGCGTCGGCGCCGTAACAAGAGCTTGGAGTGTGACCATGCCCCGTGCTTGGCTGCCATGTGAGCAACACCTCTGTGTGCTCCCTAAAGGCAGAGATAATGTCAAAATCTAGAATTTTAGCGACGTCATTGTGAGAATCTGGAAACAGCACTAACGTAAACACCGTAGCCTCATATTAGGACTGACAAAGACCCTCGAGCTTGTCGCAATCAAACATGAAGGCTGATCAAACTGGCTGGCGAACAAGAGAAGAGGGAGGTTGAAGTCGACAATCAGATGCAGATTGACAACGTACAGGTCTATCACACCGCATCAAGAATGGTCTGGAGGAGCGGTGTAAACGGATAGAAAATACCCACATCTAAGAATGGCCTCGATTAAATATCTCAGTTTACGAAACCCCCAAACCGAAGATTTGTAGAATCCGGTACTTTACCTTCTATTTGTTTCCGCTCTATCTTTACCGTCCTTATTCTGCCTAGCCTTTCCATAGAGTCTCCTGCAATTGTCCATTACCTAGGTATCCAGTCTATATGAGCCGATCATGACGGCACGGACAGGAGGATTGTAGCATGAGGCATGAGAAAACGGTGTAGCCTCGCAGACCACCTCAGTGCTGGATCGTTGGGCTATACCACAAGTGCTATCTGCGCTTTCACTTATGCTAGCTAATACTGATGAAAAATCGGTCTTGGAGATGGGGTTTTTTGATCTTTAAGATTTGGCTCGGTTAGCAGGTGCTTCTATGGTTCCCGAGTCTACCTTCCCGAGAAGCGAGTCTACTTCTTCAACCTCCAATTACCTAGGTAATTACCTGGCCTAGCAAGAACCGTCTTTCCTTCCTTCCTTAATCCTCTCCTTCCTTGAGAGTACTGCAGTCTGAAATTTTATCCTATCAAATGCTGCTTTACTTCCGTCTATAGCCCCACATTTTCCATCACACAGGTAGTTCCCTTTTGTCTCGAGGCCTACTTCCATCTCTTTCTTCTTTCTACATCCCACAACCAAGGCTGTGTCCGCATCACCGTCAGATTCTACACAGTTCTACACTTTACTCCCCAAAATACCAGTCTAAGACTAGCAGAGCGACACAAGTAAGTCAAAGAATTTCCCCAGCCGTACAGCGAGTACTCACATTCTTCGTCACAGAATGGCACCCAAGAACAAGGATAGTGTTGTCAAGAACCCTTCTGCCAAGCAGAAAGGTGCCAGCCAGAAGCGTACCGCTCTGGCATCTCCGCCCGAGACTCGCTCTGTTCGCAGGGCCCGTCTCGCTGCCGCTCCCGCGGCAGACGAAGACGCCCCCAAGGCACCATCCACCGAATCTGGCGGTGGCACTGGTGTCGCCGTCGCCAAGGAAAACCATAAAAGCCCTTCACCCAATAATTCGCCTGAAGTCGCTTCCTCTTCATCTTCCTCCATTCATCCCATCCAAGCGCCCAAGGAAAACACCGCGAATATCCAGAACAACAACTACCAGCAAGCTACGTAAGCTTTCTACTATCCTAAGTGTGTTTTTCATATGAGAACTCAGCTAAATATGTCTTTAGGAACATGTCGAGCTTCACAGAGTTCACCTTGGCCTCCCTCATCGAGGGAATCCGCGCCGCCACTGGCGCAAGCTACATGCAAGCCTTTCGACAACTCCATATCGACTTGAATGTGCTCGCTCGTCGAGTTCACAACACTGGCCAGGTATTTGCTGGCAACCCTCCCATGGGTCAAAGCATCGTCGCCAACAACCAGATCGCCTATGGCACCAACCAGCCCGGCCCTGGTTCTGGTCATAACATCGTCCCAGGTCAGGGACTTGTTATTGCTGGCGCCCCTGCAGCTGAGGTCCCTGGTCTCGCTGTTGGTGGCAATGCTGGCCGTCCCATGAAGCGTTACTTGTGCGATCTTTGTCCTGGTGGCAGCAGATCGTACACCCGCATGTACAGTCTGAACCAGGTAGGTTACAATACTCATTTTTATTACGATGATATAGCAACTGACAGCGCGTAGCACAAGGAACTGGCCCACCACATTCCCATGCCGCGCTCGGACAGCTACCGGGCACGCCACGGTCTTCTTGACGAGGCGGAGGGTGATGACAACGCCGTCGGCGACAATATGGAGGATCATCAGGAGCAGGTTGGTGACGCGACTGCCAGCCGTGATGGCAACGGCAGCGTCGAGGAGAAGAGTGAGCAAGGCGAGAAGGATAACTGATCACCTGGATTGTTCGCCTTGTGTTATTTCCAACTGGGACAGCGTGATTCAGTTTCGCGAAATGTAGCCACTACAATAGCCGACTCTCTGTGGGTTCTTTTTGGCAACACGACGGTCAATAGGTCGATTCTCTAAACGATATCCAAGTCAAGGATGTTCATGATGTAAATGCCTATTCCGTGTGATGAACCCTGATGTCGTATTTGCTGCGTCCGCAGTATCATCCCTTCCGTGCAAGTACCTTTCATCGTCATTCAATATCACATTGGCAACGCACTGTGTGTATGATATTTTGATCAGGGGCAAGTTTGTGCGTTGCAATTCGTCACTTGCTCAAGCGCCATCAGCTTAATACAGGTGAGATGACGACGTTGTATTTCCGGTGTTCGCTGTGGCCACTTGTAAACATATTGCGACGCCATATCTGCGGCAGGAAGACTGGGCTGGAAGCACCTCGACAAAGCCAGCTGGTCTTACTTGCCTTTCCGAGTTACCTCACCTCCAGTTCCAGGCTTTATTGCGTCCTGTTCTTTCCTCACAAACTGTGTGGAATCTCACTTGACGTCACGTCGCCTTGCGTTGATCACCTATCAGCTTCTCAAAAACAACAACTCAACGCCACACGCTGTATCACCGCCGGAGCTGCTCCGATCTACGCAAAGGTATTTCGTTTTATTCCTTTCACCCTGCTAGATGATCTGTTCTCTCTGACCGCGCCTTTTCAGGGCTTTTTTCGTGGAGTTTACTGCCAAAAGCCCTCCAAGCCAATCCTCCTCTGAGCAACTTGGAACCCTCTGACGTGCTCATTGCTGCCTTATCACTATGGCTCGTCACCGTCGACCTATATCCTCTGCTGCATCTCCCGACGCCTCCCGCAAGCTTCGCGTTGCAAAGAAAACTACGCCTGAAGCCAAGTTGACCACGAAAGCGCACGATTCTCCTTCTTCCGACATCAAAAAGAAACCAAAGGCAACTCAGCAACCCGAGAAAGCGAACAAGCGCGAGATCACAACCACTGTCTTGCCCCCGGCGAAGCGTCAGAAGATATCCAATACTAAACCAACCGAAGCTCAGTTTGGTACTTCCGACTTTGACGCCACCAAGTCACAGACACCCAAGAAGACGACTCTGTCTGCGCAGAAGGACTCTTCGAAACCGCGTTTCCAGACATTGCCCGAAACACCTACAAAGGTAACCAAGAAGAAGGTTGATGAACCAAGCTGTGAGATACAAGAGGACTCCTCCGAATCTGACCCTCAGCCCATCGTGGTCCACAGCGGCCGTACCCGTCGACTCCAGTCTGAGATTGCTAGACTCAAGTCTCAAATCGCCAGAGTTCCCAAACTACGGCTCACCAAAGACTTTGCCAGCGCTGATGGAACTCGTGGCATGCCACCGAAGACCACGGCCAATCCGCATGCCGCAAACAAGGACGCCCATCAAGACAAAGAACAACTTCGAGATGAGCATACTACAACCAACGATAAGCTTGGCCGGATACCAAAGGTGCCTGAGGGTTACATGCTTCTCACCAAGACGGATCACTTAACCCTGGTACGCCGCACCGACACCGTCAAAAGAATGGCCAAGAGCTTCATGAAGTCAGCTGGCGATGTCGCAGACACGAAGGGCGACAAGAAAAACACCTCGTTGATCTGTCTGTTGGCCGAGGCTCACTCTCTTTACTTTGGCATCGAGTCTCTTACCAATGCTCTTACGAAACTTCCCGTCACAAAGATACACGAGAATGATGTCTCTACGGAGCAGGCCTCCGATGCCAGGCAGGTCCCTCTTGAGGAGAGGAGTCTGAAAACTACCGAAAAGCCCACTGTGGCTAAGGAGGTTAGCACTGCCGCTGCCAAGCAGGTTGCTGAGGGCCCCGAGAGCCCAGAGTGTGACGTTATTGTCGTCAAGCAACTTCCCATTGAGAAGCCTGAGCTTTTCAATGAAGACACTGGCGCCAAAGTGCCTAATCTCAATAAGAGAATTGCCATCAAGGGAGCAAATATGTCTAGGGGATGATACGGTTCAGACGAAGGGCTCTTTTTGCATCGGCTGTTTGGGTACTGTATGGTACTCAGAAGCTCTGCGAAGGGTTACGGGATAAATAGATGTTGCATAGATAATTGCTGCTACGATGACACAGTTGACGAATAGGGCTGAGTAAAATCTTACCACTTGTGTCCAATTCTATGCCTGCGAGCATACAGAGTGCAGATCTGATCATGGAAGCTTTTCTGTTCTCAAGCAAAACAGTACAGCTTCACTCTTCCAGCTTTCAGCTCATACTGTATGTGATGGAAGTTGTCACTAATATTTGCAAGCCCGGTGGATATTCGGAGCCGCCCACTTCGGAGTCTGATCTACCGAGCGTGGAGAATGTTAATAAGTGCCGCCGCCCAGTTCAAATGTGCAAACCGTACAATACGAACAGGTGGAGATGTGAAAACATCCAAGCGGCTTACGTAGCATTTTGAAAGAGGGGGCCCGGTGCTGACAACGACTTGTGCAGGTGGTTCGCCCATGATCCTGCCGTCTATAAGGACCCCATGGATTTCCGGTCTGAGAAACACATGGAGAGTCAGGATCGCAAGCCGGAGCCTGGTCCGCGTAAGGTGATATTCGCCTTCGGCCGTTGGGTCTGCCCAGGAAAGATCCTTGCCGATCACTCGATGTTCCTTAACTTTGCTCAGTCGCTGGCGGTATTCTACATTGCTAAGAAAGTCGTCAACGGCAAAGTAATTGAAGCAAAGGCAAAGTTTCAATCTGGCATCATCAGCCATCCAAAGCCCTTTGATACGTCGATCAAGCCCAGATCTCCCCAACATGAGAAGTTGATACGCTCACTCGAACAAGAATTTCCCTGGCAAGAGTCAGATGCCAAGGTGTTGGAGAGGATGGATAATTTGCGGATAGTGTCTCAGCTTGTATGTACGTAGTTTTTTGCTGCTTGTTGCGTCCAATAGGCAGACAGATGAAAGTATCTTGCTTTGAGACAACACGACTTAGTGGCTGGTGGTGCCCATCGTTCAGTTTCTAGCCCCCTTCTAGTTGTGTGCAATGTTTTTTCACAGGTCACACTCTTGTGCTAAACTACAGTTGCTTGCTGCAACCTAGGCTCTAGATTTCAGGGATTTCGCACGTAATTTTTCCTTGTCATGCCCTCACAAGCCTTCGCAGATTTCGTTATTGAGTCGTGAGAAGATTCATCGCCAAGGCTGAAACCAGATCTCCCCAAGTGAAATGATGTATAATTTTCGGTTTCTCAGCGATCAGATCCATCAACTTTTGAGTATCGAATATTGAAAGGGACCGAAGCAGAGCATCAAGCCATGTCAACTTGAAAACCCTGGTCAGCTGCACATAACCGACCCAATCAGATCCCAAGAGACGATTGGGGTTTGATTAATCTCCGCGCTTCTCTCACGTCATCTAACGGCCACATACTTCACCAATCGCAATTCATCGCATCTTTTTCATCCAGACCAAGTGTTCCAGTCCACATGTGGCTCATCGATACAAATAAACTCCAGCCCGTTGAGGTGCAAGGCGACCCTCGTCAGAGCTATGCCATATTGTCACACACGTGGGGCAACGATGAGGTAACTTTCCAAAGCTTCAAGGCCCTGAGCTCAGCCTCAGATGTGGCCAAAAGCCCGGTTGTAGCAGAAGCAGTCGAGAACATCCGCATGAAAAGCGGTTTTCGAAAGATACAAGATGCAGCTAACCTGGCCATGAGCCACGGGTACGGCTATCTTTGGATCGACACTTGCTGCATTGATAAAACCAGCAGTGCCGAGCTCTCGGAATCCATCAATTCGATGTACCGCTGGTACCAGAACGCAGCAGTCTGCTATGCCTACCTATCGGACGTAGAGCCCGTGGAATCAGATGACCCGTTCTCGGAGACCTCAAGCTTTCGGCGAAGTCGTTGGTTCACGAGAGGATGGACGCTGCAAGAGCTTATCGCGCCGAAGGTTGTCAAGTTCTACGCAAGGGACTGGTCCTACATAGGCGAGAAAAGGTCAGGAAATGCATTTTGTCAGTTCCTAGCTAAAATCACCGGCATCAACAATCAGATCCTCGCGGGCACGGCCTCATTATCAGACATCAGCGTTGCCAACAGGATGCGCTGGGCCGCTCTTAGAGAGACGACACGACCAGAGGATATTGCATACTGCATGATGGGCCTATTCAATGTCAACATGCCACTTTTGTACGGAGAAGGCGACCGCTCCTTCATCCGTCTGCAAGAGGAAATTCTCAAAGAAACAGACGATCAGTCTCTATTCTTATGGGGAATGCCACCGGATGTTTCTCCTAGCTCGGACGACCTATTTGGCCTCCTCGCTGAATCGCCAAAATTGTTCTCTCAAGTGGAAATTGGTCATGTCCGGCCACTTCCTCCGTCGGAATCTCATGAGAGCTCACCTGCAAGTGTCACCAACCAGGGTCTTCGGACAAACATGCTTCTTGTCCCTGTAAGACCAGAAGCTGACGAATACTACGCCGTACTTGACTGCCTCGTTTTGGATTCTGCTTCTTCTGTAACGGACTTGAGCCCCCGTATCATTCTGCGAAGGTTATGGAGTGATCAGTTCGCCCGGGTAACCTCAGAAGACGGCTCAGTCATTCTAGTTCCCCAAGAGCAATTTGATGAAGCCGGAGGAGCCTACGAAAACATCTATGTCAGGCAAAAACCATTTTACGCACTCCCAGAGCTGAGAGTCCAAAGCAAATATCAACTTACCGCAGGTATGGCAACTGATGGACGTGGGCCGTTCAGCATCCGTAGTGCACATCCCCCTGAAAGATGGGATGCTGCTTTGTCGGTAATTCGGACCAAAGAGCCCCAATCAGATCGTACAATTGCTGTACTGCGGTTTGTATCGAACGAACCTGGCTTTGTTTCTGTATTCAATGTGGCAATCGGGCTTCGTCGCATCAATAGACGGTGGGAGGTGTGTTATGAAAAGCACCCATTTACTGGAGACAGCCTCGAATCGGTGTATCTGAAATTTCCACATATTTCTGCTGCATCAGAAGATGTTTCTTCCACAGCGTTCAAGGAGCTTGGATACATCACAATTGACACAAACGAGTATCAGAGGCGTGGCCGGCGTTTCATCTTACTGGAGGTTTCTGCGAAATCGGAACTCATCGTAGCTTCTGACGAGGGCCCGATTGCTAGGAGTATTGGAGCAAACGTCTTGGAGCAGACCAAGAGCCCCGTTTCGACATTTGATGAAATCAAAGCAACGACGCGTCGATGTTACTATGAAGAAACATTTCTGGACATTTTTTCTCCCGTTCAAAGAATCCAGGCCGGGATTAGGACTAAGTTTTCTGGAAATATCGCGATCCGGTTTGGCAACGAGCTTCATGCCGTGAAAATTGAGCGGACAAAGCCATACGCAGTTCTTGTGAACGCCATTCGAGCAAGAGATGATCGAACCGTTATGTCACTGGCGAAGAAAAATAAAAGCATAATCGAGATGGCAACTGAAGAATTCGACAAGTTCCGAGCCCTTCATTGGGCCGCGACGCTCGGTTCACAATCTGTGGTAAAAACACTGACGAAGCTTGGCGCCGATACGACTAGTCGAACAACAAGCGGTTTCATGGCAGTTCACCTCGCGGTCCTCAATGGACATTTAAACCTCGCTGCATATATGCTAGAAGAGGAGAGAGAAATGTATTTGAAAAGCAAAAAGGAGAGAAAGGAGACTCAAGCGACAAGATATGGGATGTCAGGGGAACCGGTTGGGTTCGGCCCTGAGACGGATCCAGACATTTTTCACAAGTTCACTACCAGACGGCTAGAGACTGTTCTGCACCTATTATCATCCTACATACCGTCAGGCTGGACTAACCCAAGATTACAATCCCTTGTTGAGCATATCAAAGAAGACTTCCTTGGGTCGGAGTCTTTCCCACACATTAACTGTTTCGGTGAGCTTCCCATACATAGGGCAGCCGCGACAGGCAACATGCAGGCATTGGAAACCTTGGCAAATCTGATGGACATGAGCCGACAAGTCAATGCCAGAGATGACGCCGGTCGATCGGTCCTGTTTCACGCAGCTTGCGGAGGTAATCCGGAAATTGTCAGCAAGCTGGTGGATATGGGTGCCATTCTAGACGTTGGTGATGACTACGGCCGCAGCCCGCTGCACGCTGCTGTTATGGCTGGTCGGACACAAGCTGTCAAAACTTTGCTTCTTTTGGGTGCAGCCGCAGACAACGTCACTCAGGTACTCGGGTTGACACCACTGCACTTTGCCTGTCTATATAGGTTTGCCGATTGCGTGCTTGAGCTGCTCAAGAGCAGCACTTCAACACGAGCAGACATGAACCGTTGGACGACAGGCGACTGGGCATTTTGTCAGCCGGTACATCTCGCTGTTGCGAACGGAAACCTGGAAGCTGTCTCTCGACTTCTTGAGGCAGGTTGCGAGACTGAAGGGCGATGTGATGGGTACCTCAGGCTTGAGATCGTTGAGGATGGCGAAGGGCCAGTTGGGAGGTTGTATAAGTTGGAGACGCCGCAGACTCCGCTCGAACTCGCGCTTTATCTAGGCCAGAACGAGATAGGTGCAGAGCTGCATCGTCTTAAGAGCAAAAACAATGAGAGGTAGTTGGAAGAGGTTCATTTCTTGATGGGCGCAAAAATAAAGCCCTACCTAGTTTTGTTATTCACTGTTGTGCGACTTCCCTAACGTTTTAGACTACCACAATATGATTCGAACTATAATACACATTTCTTGGTATATATCGCCAACGAATTGCAGTCCATAGCTTCCTTGTCTGTAATATATAGCACAGCGCGGGGTTCTGGTGCACTTCCAGCAAGCTGGGCTAAAGCTAGTGTCAAAGGATATGGTCCCAGGGTGGCTAGAAAATAGTTCTTTCAAAAAAAGAAAAGGGTTCGGACACAATGTAGCCAGTTTGGTCCACGGAAATCCCACGCGTGAACTGTTATATTAGTAAATATGCACGAAAGCAAAGCCTTCGGCGCCATCCCTACATAAAGTTGGAATCTTAAAGGCTGACTCGTTAGCAGTAACTTGGCTAACTCTATATAAATTACATGGGAGAAAATGATAAGCGGCCAATCAATGGTCCCACACAAGCGCATGACAAAGTTCAGACCGATTTTTAATTACAACTTCTTAGATTTTGTTTTCTTGGCAGGGGATCCGGTGACTTGCCTTTTGTGATTCTCTTAAAACCTTAGCCTCCGAGGATACCGACCGCTGTCGTAACACTTTGGGACGGATTTCACGACCATCGATCTTGACAAGAAAAACAGAAACGGCACAACATGTTCTCTTCTATTGTTTTGACCACTCTTATTGCCGCCGGCACTGCTCATGCTGCTGTAGCGCAAGGCTCTTGGGGTGTTCGCGCCGATTTTTCAGGTAAGCGGAATTAATATCGTCAACGATGCTGTTTAGCACGAAGCCATGGTGCCATCCAATGAATTGCGTAACTAATGAATCCTCAGGATGCGACAGCACGACCCCGCTAGAGGTCATTCTCGATGGTGCAGACGGCCAGTCTTCGCCAGCAGCTAACATTACCGACTTCGATATCTCTTCACCCTTTGACGGCAACCTAGTCATTAAAATCGCCGGTGCAGTAGGTTACGGCTCACCCTACCCCCCACAACAAGTCGGTATCAAGGTCTTTGCCGATGCAACTGGAGGAGATCCTGGCATCTGGGCCAATGCCACAGTAAAGCCCGGGATTGGACAGCCAGTTCCCATTTCCAACATTTACTGGAACACGCGAAATGACATCACACTTGTGCCCGCCAACAACGAGGAGGTCTCGCTTGAGACGATCTTTGACGGAGGCAGTTTGGTCGTTACATACGTAAGTTTGTTTTTGGTCCACTAGTACCGCGTATCCGAGAACGTTGGCTAAAACTGGTGGGTTCAAGTGCGCCGTGCCAGTGACTACGGGACCTGTCGCGTAGATGTTGCTGTACAGGTTGAAGCATTTTCAGCGTGATAGATTACGTACTACTATCCAAAAGCCAGGACTCATATGGCTGACTGGACATGTTGGCTCTCATATTGGCAAGCATCCTTGAATTTGATTATACACTTCCGTTCGTCGCTGAAAGTCATGTCGCTGGCCACAGCACTCGTTAGTAGTTACATGATAGCCCTTTGGCCCGGAATACTTCAGTAGTTATCAGAGTCGACCAAATTTATGACGAAGCTTTAAAGCTTAACACTTGGAGCAAGATCTAGGGTTTCCTACCATGCCGTGCCTAGAGAGGCGATCATCAGTGCTATGATGAAAGCTGCTGTTTTTTCCCTGTGTCAGAAGCTATCCTAATAGGAACCCCTCTAGCTGAATCTTTCCAAAAATTACCCTGCTCATTCCAGTCGACTCAGCTCGATCGACTTCAGAACACCAGGTGACCGGGTTATACCAAAATTGCAGAGGCTTCCGTAATGAGGGAAATCGGTTTTGAGGAGATATGGTTATGGACCAGAGGAAGATTAAGAGACTGAGGCAGCCTTGGAAGTCTTTGGAACAGGGGGGCTGTATACTCAAGACTTGGTGGGATAATCGGCGCGATTAAAATCATACAAGCATTATGAGCGGGTAAGCTAGCATTATTCGCAGTCAAAAGCTCAACAGGCTGACTTCAGGGTATTATTTCCATCCTCACAGTAAGTACCTTATCGAATGAAGGTGGGGACTATTTTGTCCTCTTGATACCCCATTGAAGTTGATTGAATCACGCTCAACGGATGTTTGGACGGATGATAAATACCAACCACGCGGCCGAAACTGTCAAGAAGAACCAACCCTGGTTGATTTCTATATCTTCATCAGATATCCAAGCTAGTCAATTCCGGAAGGTTAGCAAGACATGACCGCATCGGATCCGCCCCGCCGTGCCGGGATACGTCACGATTGGACCCCGCACCCGACGGCCGATAAGCGACTTCGACGCCGTCAGCATTCCGGATGCCAAGGCCCAATCCCACGTGTCGACCTCAAACTCAGACTCAAATACTCAACTACACCTACGAAGCCGCTTCCACTCATCTGTAAGCAACTCATCGAAATACAAATCCGATCTTCCCAAAATGGCCCCCGGCAACTTCCATATTCCTTCAACGCACTCCCGCCTGAAATGGTCCCGCACAACCCCGCCTCAGATCACCATCTCCCCGGGCGACACGGTAACCTTTGACCTTCACGACTCCTCGGGCGGCCAAGTCACCCGGACCTTTACAACCTCCGAATTCGCGTCCCTGGACCTCTCCACGTTTGACCCAATCTTCGGCCCGGTCGCCATCTCCGGCGCCGTGCCCGGCGACGTCCTCGAGATCGAGATCCTCTCCCTCACCACCGCCGGCTGGGGCTTCACCGGCATTATTCCTGGCTTCGGCCTGCTCACCGACGAGTTTCCGAACCACGTGCTGAAACACTACACCTGGGCTCCCGACGCAACGCACATCGACTTCGCTCCCGGGATCAAGATCCCACTCCGCCCTTTCCTCGGGTGGGCCGGCATCGCCCCGGCCGAAGAGGGCGACTTCTCCACCATCCCACCCCTCGAGACTGGCGGCAACATGGACTGCCGGCACATCACCCAGGGCACGAAGCTCTACCTGCCCGTGCGCGTCCCGGGCGCCATGTTCTCCTGCGGGGACGGCCACGCGGCGCAGGGCGACGGCGAGGTCTGCGGCACGGCCATCGAGACGCCGATGAAGGCCGCGCTGCGGTTCAACATCCGCAAGGACATGCCGTACGTCACGAGCCCGCACTACGACACGCGGGGCTCGGTGCATGGCGGCGCGCAGAGCGACCCGGCGGTGTACGCGGTGCTGGGGATCGATTCGGATCTGCTAGAGGCGAGCAGGAAGGCGTTGAGGTCGCTGATTGCGCATCTTGTCGCAACGCGGGCCTAGAGCGAGAGGATGCGTACATGCTGTGCAGCGTCGCGGCCGATTTGAAGATTGCGGAAGCTGTTGACATGCCTAACTTTGCAGTGGCGGCTAGTTTGCCATACTCGGTTTTTGAACAATAACCGTGTCTTTGAAGAGCCATATGTTTTGATAATGGGTATATAATCTAGAACTTTAGCTGTACGTTGTTCCGTTGCTGATGTGGATTATTTCTGCATATCAATACACCCTAAATCCACCCTTCCACTCTCTCCTGACTCAACGAATCTGTCTTTTCTCTATTCACCGTCTTCCGTACTCCCATAAAGTTGAACTCTCCATCGTCCATCACACCGATGGTGTAATGCCGTGTCTGGTCCCATTCCCTGCGGAACCAACCCAGGCGGAAGCTGACATCTGACATCTGCCCATGCAGCTCTTTCGTCGACAGCAACTCGGTATTCGGGGGTAGATGTGTCGATGCATTGGATTCACTCAACAGGCCGGCCATTGACGCGATACTTCGCCAACCGTCCAGCGCCAGACCCGCGACATCCATGTCCAGCAACGAACTCTCGCTGCCGCGCCGACGAAGCACAGTGGACATCAACGCCCACATGTTGACGAGGATGACTGCGCCCAGGATTCCAACGAGAATGTACGTCACGTTCGGGTCCTGCACGAGTCGTCGCCGGCCTCTGTCCAAAACAGTCGCGTTCAAGAGCAGGGCACCGCTCGTTGTGCCAAGGACATCCTCAACCCTCTTGCGGTTCTCAGTGTTGGCTATCTGGGCGGCGCTGAAGGCGTAATTATGGTGCAGCAGCTGAAGAATCTCTTCCACCTTTTCGGGATCTCCAAATGCCTCCTTCGATAGCGGGCCGTAAGGCTCGACTAGAGGCAAAAAGAAGTATTCAACGCCGATGGCTTGCCTGTCACGTTGGTTGATTTCCGGAACGAGCCCCGCAAAGCCGTTGGGCTGAGGTAGATCGATCGGCGGGTCCAAGGGCCTCAGGCTTGACAGATCCGGTCGTGGGGGGTTCTCTGGATCGATGATGAACCCGTCGTCGGAAGCAATCATGTTTACCTCCGTGTCCAGCTCGGCCCAGGTGTAGTTACATCTCCAGACGGAGAACCAGTCGAAGTCATTTCTTTCTACAGAGAACTCCCCCAGACATATGTGAAGGGGAGTTCCATTGTGTAGTTCTGGAGTGTCTGGTTGAGTTTGCATTCAACATCAATGGTTTTTGGATGGTATATGCTCTGTACGTTATTGGCCACATACGACCGACCGAACAGGCTCGCTTCGCCTAAAGGAAACTCCGTGGTGAGGTTGATAATCCCTTGGCCGCCAGGGCACGGGGTATGCTCGTTGAAGCTCGAGTAGAACCAAGTCTTGCCACTTTCCGTGTAGTTCCGAAATGTTAGGCGGTACTTGTCCTTGGGAACTTCAACGCAACTAGGCTCAACCTTTAGTGCTTGTGTGTTGATCGTGACAGATAGATTCTTCGAGCTGTCTAGACTCTTGATGCTCTCGAAAGCAGGGAAGACGAGGTCGTCGAAGGTGTTCTTTGGATACGTCAAGTTGGCTTCGTCTCGGCGGAGGAGAAGTGCGGCTATCTGCGTTTGTTTGATTTCGTAAGTATCGTTGTACAGGAAATTGTCTGGTAAGCCGAACACCGTCTGTTGTTGTAATTGAACGTTCGTCGTCTCCGGCATGACTTGCACGGCGAAGAGGACAGATACGAGAGAAGTCAGAACGCCGCAAATCAACGCCAATGTTTGCGAGCATGTGATAGACCATAATCTCTGTCGGATGGAGTGGTACAAAGCCCTTATACCCATCACATCTAGTAGGGAACCGTCGAGATCCCGTGTGCCACAGGATTTCTTAGAGAGACGGCAGAGAGTTCCAAGATCTCTGTAAGCCCAGTCGCATGAGCTGATATAGAGAGATACTCCAAGCGCTACCAGAGCCGGGACGGAAGTCCACGCGAGGTGCAAATACCCTTCGGTGTCGATGGTGGCGAGTCCGCCAGATGAGTTTGACAGTTGTAGCGTCAGAATCAGCCCAGCCATGAGAAGGAGAGTATATAAGCCAAAGGACAATCGCGCCCAGGTTCTTAGGACCAGCGGAGTGAAGCTGCAGCGGTCCCATTTCCTTTCCTCAGCGGTCAGGTCAAAAGTGGCTTTTGCGAGCTCTGGGTGATCTCGTAGAAATATCAAATTCCCGAGAGGCGTTGCGGGGTTTCGATACCAAACAAATGCCTGGAGCTTACACCGAAAAGCCGAGTATGTTGTTATGGAAATGAGCAGTAAGAACAAAGCAATCATTGATAGACAAGTCCACTGGTTGATCATAAGACGATCCATGCTCTGGAGTCTGGAACCGAGCACTGTGGCGTCGTCTTCTCCTCGGAGTCGGTAGTGTCCCAAAAATGGACCGAGCGAATGGGTAAGATTCATGACGGAGTCGTACAAAGCTTCGTTGGTATAGAATTCCGGGTTGTCTGTGTCTCGCGTTTCTAACACTTCTCCTCTAAAGACTTTGGCGGCGCTGATGGGACCCATCATGTTTCTGCTTGGGTTGATGCCCCATCGACCTTGCGATCTCGGTACGGAACGTTGCATCAAGTTCCACATGTTCACAAGTACTGGCGTCTTTGTTTCGTTTTGCAGCAAATCAACTTTCGGGGCGACCCCGTCGTCGACCACCTGGACTTTGGACAGCCACGTACGCGGCTCACAAAGAACAGCAGCAGCACTCTCAAATCGGAGAATGGAGGAATTTGCCAGCGACGGCTTGAAAACCGCCGCGTAGTACAAGAAAGACGGCAAATCCTGTGCTAAGCCGGGACATGATCGCGTTTGGTTGGCTTCAATGACCCAGTAAGTAACGTTGCTTTTGGGAAGGTTGAGGTCGACTTCCGAGTTTTGGACACGGATTGGTCCGCCACAACCTTGGAAATGTAGGTCGACTTGAAGTTCTGTGCTAAAACCAACAGGAAGCTGATCAACAATCGAGTAACCAGCTAGCTGCAAACAGTGGAGGTCCGTGAACAACCCATCCACAACCGCGGTCACAGGTTTGTCAACAGTCCCGCGAGAATTGCCGCTCGAGGCCCCAAAAGTCTGATACGCAATTTTGTCAGTTACTCCAAAGGGGTAGCTCATATCGAAGTTTCGTAGCGCCATGCCCATGTACCACGCGCTCGTATCTTGCTGGTCCTCGGTTTCGCCGTCCATAGACAACGCAAAAGAATCATGGATGCGAACATCGATACTTTCGGGCACATGGATTGTCGCAAAGCTAAACAAACCAGGTGCAAGAACGACTTGGGCCTTGAGCAATACCGAGACAATCGCCACAAGTGACACCAAATAGTGTTTTTCTCGGATAGAACGGATGAGAGCAGCGGGGGAGAGCATCGACAGATAGTCAAGCAACAATCCGCTCCTCTCATCCGGCTGCCGCCAACGCAGCGCGAGCCACGGCATGTACATCATGGACTGTAGTTCGACTCTGGCCCACAAGATCGACAGGATAGTAAGAACTGAAAGGCGCAAAGTCAGCAAGCTGATCGGACTTTGACGAGGTTAGTTCATAGAGGGCCTGGGCATGACTAACTAGCTGTCGGACCGAATCGCCACACGTATATGTGGACTAAGCTGTGATCGATTTGGAACAATCCGTTGTTTTTCCGTGAGTAGTACAACATGAGCGCGAGGGCAGCAGTGGAGAGGAGAAAGAAGCAGACAAACAAGCCGAATACGGCTGGTCGGAGCCATTTAGGTCGCCATGTCGCTCTCCCGTCATCAGTTACTGTATTCCCGTGCTCACTCTCGATTCTGACAGTAGCTGCGCTCTTGAGCAAGCTAGTATTTTGGATCGTGTCGTTCGTTTTGTACTTCTCAGCCCTCGCTCTCGGAACCGTATTGGCACTGTCCAGTCTATTGTCGTAACCGAATGAAAACCGCCATGGTTCTTCCCATGGTCTGGCTTCATTGGTATGTGTCTCAATTTCTTGTCCAGGATTTTCCACTGGGTTGTAGGCGACTCTCGTTTGGGACACGGGCTTTCGTGGTATTCTATACACACGGGGATGTTTGGCACCCAAGTCGTAGTCGCGATAGCTGCCGTTGTTGGACGCCATGGTTTTCGGGTTGCGGCTCTCGTAAGCGTAGCTGTCTGTAGAGAGCGAGCACAGCGAAACAAGACGACTTAATTTGGCATTTGGCGCTGCAAGTGTCAGGCACCGTATGGCGATCCGCGGAGTTTTGTTGATGTTGGGTGGTTGGGCGGTTGACTGCGATAGGATGTGACGCTCTCCGTTCATTGGCTGCTTACACGGGTTGCACCAACGTTAAGCGCTCGAACTGCTGCAGCCCTGCAGGATCCCTGGCAGAAAGCGCGGCGGTGTTTTAGAAACAGGTAACGGATCGTCCAAAGTGTACAGACGGAGTTGCTCAGTTAAGTAGGTGATGATGGACATTGGGGCGCAGAAAACGGTGCATTCGCAGACCCGTAGCGCTGCTGGTGATTGTTTGTCGCCAGACGCAACAAGGGTATACCACAACGTCGAGCTGATGGCATGCGTCCTGACGACATGATGAGGGTACCTTCATGGGTTTGGAGGTCTCGCTTGCCCTGCTGTCTGCCGTGGAGTTCTCGATCGATCCCGGGATCCTTGCTGGTCAGCAAAACATGGGCATCTCAGAGGCGCGTGGGGTTATTTGTGGGGGGAGATGGAACTTGTCACATCGCGAACAAATTGTTGGTTTGTCTCCAAGTGAGAGATGCAATGTTTTTCGGTCAAGTAAGGCATTTTGGAGAAATCGCAACTCGAAGATGGGGCATCGTCAAGGATGGATGTCAAGGCAGCTGTTGTGGCGCGCCATGAGATGATGGCATGGAGATGGGTTGCGTGAATGGCGAGCTGCCGTTGAATCTGACATGACCTGCGGCGAATGCCTGCTCGTATTGGCATCACAAACATATCGGCAAGAAGGTGATAGCGCGAAGACTACACACTAAGGCAGGTAGCCTTGGGGCAGGCGCGGTGCGACCCGAGACTGCCTCACTCGGCGGCACGGATGTGGGGCAGCGTTCGATGGGATTCCGCGCCCCGGAGGCCCCACATCGGAGCTCGTGCCATTTTTGGGCCGGCGCCTACCCCGCGCACCCAACACTGAATCAACGGGATGTTCGTCGGGGGCAATGTCAAGACCCGAGGTCGGACTGTTGTACAAGCCGCTGTCTTCAAAGAGCGATATAGGTCCGAGAACTGCATGAAGGAAGATGACCAGCCAATTTGGCAGGAGATTGTTCCTACGCCAGGGTGCGGAAGGCCTGCTCATGTGCCACCGCGGCGTGGTTGGTCCCTTTTTCCTGCCTGTAATCCCAAAAGGGCCTCAACCAGGGCTGGACTCGACCTGGACTGGGCGGACAGTGGACCAGCGGCACAGCGTCAGTGGGCACTCAGAGGCCGGCTCGCTAGGCCCGCCAGCCGAGGGCCCGGCACCGTCCAGTTTGGTGCCGACGATAAGGACACGTGGAGCGCGATAACAGATGGAGTGGGGGCGCGTTTAATTTTGTTTAATTTTGACCATTTTCCCACCTTTTTCTTTGTTGTTTGCCCCGGTACCTTATACTCTGGTTTCCTCGCCGCCACCCCCTCCCCGTCCCCTCCCCCTCACGCTGCCAGACCGAACAACACCATCCGTCTAGTTTTGATTGTGCCATTGCTCAATTCGACACCGGCTGCAACCTTATCATTTTCTCCAACGTAAAATTTTCATTTGTTCTCCGGAACAATCGCATTTACCTGGAGCACTGACGCATAATCGCAATTAACCATATTGCAACCGGGCTTTGAACCAGGGCCAAACTCACCTGGCATCGTCTCAGCCTAGCTCGGCTCAGCTCCAGCACTCCTCCCACCCCCAAAGACCCAAAAACACATCCAGCCATTATCGGCGGCAAACCTTCCCAACCCCCAAACTCTTTCAATCCTGTCCTCGTGGCCCTGCCCTGCAGTTCTTCGACGCCGTCACACCGCAACTACTGCGTGTATCCGCCCCCCAACGCCACACTACTGCAGCTCGCTGCTCGATTCTGCACTCGAGGCTCATTCTGCTCCAGAATTTCCCACCTACGTGTCCAGAATCCGGTTTCTCGCCTCGCCTCTCATCAGGTCTCACCGCCAGCGCAAACAGGCCACTACCACCGCCACCCCCAGACAGGAGTCATCATGTTCGCCCTTCTCGAGGCCCTGCTCGACTATAACAACCACGTCACGCTGTTCCAGCGTATGATGTTCTTGATGTCCTTTTGCCTTTCCGGAATCGTTCTCGCTGTACAGGCCTCCCAAGCTGGCGAGGAGGATCATCGACGCATTCAGTGGACGCGCTTGACGGACCAGAGCCGGTAAGTTTGCTTCTTCCCAAGTTACACTTCCCTTGCATTGTCTCTGTTCGCCATCTGGCTTTTCCCAAATCACCTCACGGATGGGATCCCTTACCTGGTGGCGTGCTTCAGCCGTCTGAACTTCATCTGAACCCCCCCCAATGATCAACATCAAACTCAATCATCCCGTTCACCGTTCCCTTGCCTTTCTTTGTGCTTCCTTTGTGCTCAACCCTCAGCCGCCGCCGTTTCAGCCCGCATTGCATGTCTTTCGACTTCCCGCCCGGTCCCCCCAGAGCAAGTGCGAAGTCTTCGCGGGGCCACACCTTGGCACACCCATGGTTCTTCCATGCGGCAGGGTTTCAAGATCCCCGCAATTTATGTTCCTTATTTGGAGACAGATCCACGGACTGGGGGAGCGCAAACACAACAAAATCCCAACAACAGGGACAAAGCGCAAAGTTCGCGCGCTATTTATAAGATTGGCGCATCCGCCGGCGTTATTTTTGTTCTGCATCGTGTCCAGTGCTAACGGTGGTTTCTCTCTCCAGTCCTTACTGGTACACGTTCTACGTCACTCAAGTCTTCCTCTTCGTCTCCGGCGCCTACCCCATGCTCTACGACAAGATGACCATGTACATTGGCAGCGGCTACGAGGAGCAGATTCTCAACATCATCTGGGTCGGTCTCTTGAGCGTCGAGGCCCTCATGGTCGCTGGCGTCGCTGGCATTGCCATCACCCGCAAGTTCAAGGGCGCTCCCAAGCAGAAGACCAACTAAGACCGCCTTCTCACGCGTGCGCGCGCTTCATCGACATTCTATTATACCCCCATCTGTTGTCTATATCAAGGTTCTCAGTCTGCCGAGACCCAGTACATTACTACATACCCGGGCGCACTATGCCAACATATTTTGCATCTATGGAGTTGGGGGCCGATATGAATATACCTTTTTGTTTTGAACGCTTGCCATTCGAGTTTGCCCTCCCCGAGTGACCCACGGTCCTCCCCATCTACAGCGACGAACGGCAAATAGTCCAGTCGATGACTCGAGCGAAGATACCCAAAGGATACCGACACAGAACGACAGAAGCTAAGCGCACGCATATGATCGGAACAGAAGACCGGGAATCGCCACATTGGAATCGAGAGGAAGCGTCCAGGACCTACCCCATGGTCTGATGAGCCCTTCCGGGCGGTTGCACCCTGCTGTGACTATGCTGCGGGCGAGAAGAAACGACGATACGATGTTACGAGGAAGGAAGCGATAAGGCACCGTTGTGAGATGATGCTACGGACGCGCGGGGTTTGGGAAACGAAAGTGGCCTTCCCCCAAGGCACGCATGGTGCCGCCAAGGGCGTATTGAGCGCAGCGGAAAGGGGACATCAACCGGTACAAGAATGGTGGACTGGCTGCAGTCAGGCTCGGAATAGGCAATGACACTTTTGGCAAAGATACCCAGCAGCCTGGTGGATAGCAATGGCCGAGTCGAGTTCTCGTCAACTGCGATGTAAAACCAGCGTGGCCGACGTGGGGAACGCCTCTTCATATCGGGGCCATTACGGAGCACAACGTCCATCGCTCCCTTGCCGGAGCTCGAGTTAGTTTACAGTCGTCGTCATTGCATAGCTAAATCATTTACGATACCTTAGTGTACATGATTATCTTCACAAGTTGAATCCTCAGAGCTCACATGTTTATTCCCGTTAACTCCACAACGACAAAGATGTTCCGTCCCATTCACCCAGCCGAGTGTCCATGTGCAGTTGTATCCAACAACATGCGAAACAAAAGTCAAGCTCCCATCGTCTCACCTTGCCTCGTTCCCCATGAAAGGAAACACTATCCTCTACCCCCTCTCCGTAACGACCAATAAATAGGCCACGATCAATTCCTCTATCCCCTCCTGCCGGGCACCTTCAACCCACTCCTCCAGCTCCAGCTACGCGAACGCGTCCCCGTACGTCTTCTCCATGTACCCTCGGAACGCCGCGGGCGGCACCCTGACGCCGCTGGAGTAGTGCCGGAACGATACCCCTTGGCCAGGTGCAGGCCCTTTAACAGCCGCCGCGATCTCGACTGCCGCGTCCTCGACGCGACGGAAGTCAAAGTACCCGTCAACGTTCAGACTCGAGATCCGTGGCACGGCGCACATGAGTCGGGAGTACCTCAGGAGCGCGTTCAGTGCGTCTTCGATGGGCGCCTAGTCGCCGACGACGGCGCAGGGCCGGTGCATCGTAACGAGGACAGCCACACCTCCGTTCGCTTGGGTTATAGAGGCTACGGACAGCTGTTCCAAAATCACCTCGCTCGTCCACTTTGCCGTGAACCTTTCTCTTCCATCCGTCCTCAGTTCATGCTTCCGCACGCCGACGGGATCAGCGTTGCCACGCCATCGGGGTTCAGCAAGGTGACGCGGTTCGAGGAGAGGTAATGGATGGGGATCCGGCGGGGAGGGCGACGAGGCCCATCTGTCGCGTCGAGTGGACGTTTGGAGCGCGGAGGGTGAAATGGTTGTTCAGGCAGTGGCCTTGCGCGCCTGCGAGGACGATGGCGTCGACTGTTGACTAGAACCGCTCGTAGACATCTTCCCGTAGCCCGAGAAGGGGCTCCAAGAGACTTCCGTCGTGAACCACGACCCTTTGATCCTCAAGCTGCGATGGTTCCGAGCCGTGATCGACTGTGATGCAGTGGATCTTTGCAACTTGAGGGCTCTTCAGTAAAGATGCCAAGATCGCGCCCCCAAGAAAATCAGTCGAACCCGTCATGAGAACTCCTAACCCACCCTCCTTTCTCGGAGGCCCCCAGCCATCAGAGACGCTGGCATCAAGGGATCCCGCCAGAGCCGTTTCCGTGTCCCAGTCAATCACCTCCGGCACCCAGCTATCGCTTTTGCGCTGCGCAACCAGCGCTGCCATGGCCCCGAGCGTGCTGGCATGGTACATATCCTTCAACGACAATGACACGCCCATCGACATCCGGACCGCGCTCTGCAGCATCACCAAGAGCAGCGAAGCCCCGCCGTCCAGGAAGAAATCCGAATCCGAGGTTAGCGGCTTGCCGGCGAAAGTCTGGTGAAGGACAGAGTCCTAGAGAAGCTTCAGACCCCCCTCAGCGAGACTGAGCCGCTTGTCTGCCTGTATCGCGGGACGTGTCTCCGCCATCGAGGTCGGGAGCCGCAATGCGGTAACAGCGCGGCGGTCGATCTTGCCGTTGCTACTCATCGGGCAAACGACCCATGGCGACGACGACGGATGGGCGCATGTCCTGCGGCAGCGGTAGTGTGTCGGCGAAGGATCCCGAATAGTCCTCGACCGTTACCAAGTTCGCGGCCAACACGACGTGAGCGACAAGGAACGCGGGATCGCCGCGAATGGTAACGACGGCATCCGCGATGGACCCTTTGGACTCTCGGATTATGATGCTCGCGACGTCCTCCAGGTCGACATCGCACTTACAGCTGCCGACATGAACCCGCCCACAAATATTCAGGCTCCTTGGAGCTTTGATTGAATGCCTTCAATAGAATCCGCCTACTTGTTCGGATCTTGAGCAGCGCCACCGATGGGTTCCAATCAGAGCTCCAACGCTTGCGACGGTATAACCCATGCGCATGCGCTTGTCATATTCAAAGATTAGGTTGGTAAGGTTAGTAAAGGTCGCCGGCGAACGTGATTCCATAACCCCCGGAATGAAGCCATATGCTATAGCAATAGTAACCAGTCCTGGCAGCTGATGTAGGTATACAAATCGAAAGAGTAATAGCACTTTTGCTGAGCTAGCACAACACGGAATCATAATTGTCATGCCACCATGCTTATCAACCAGCCATTTCGGTGCCAGATGGCCAAGAGGAATGTCTAAATTCACGGCACTCAGTGAAGAGAAAGAGGACTCGAATCGACATCAAGTCGAGTCACGTACGCATCAATGAAAAATGACTTTATATATACAGCACCGATCATGAGTGCAAAAGCTACAACTGAATCATCGTTCCGTTGTCCATGGTTAGTTGGTGAATTGAGGAAAATATCAAACAACTCGTCGCTGATTCACGAGCGTGCCCAACCGTATGCTTGCCAGGCGCCCAGTGAGGTCTAATCCTTGACACATTCATAACATGGCATCTTTTTTCGCCAGCCCGGAATCTGCCCGAAACCGAAGTCGGTGCCTACTTGTTGAGTTTCATTCCATCTGGGTCATTTCAAGGTTGACTGGGCCCGCATGTATGTATGTCTGCCTCACTAAAGTTGCAAATTTCGCATGGATGAAGGTGTGCTATGCACATTCAAATGCCGTAGAACACCTCATGGCTAGATTGTCTACCACTCTAGTAATTTCTGGTAGTGGGCCAAGCAAGGCATACTAGCCCTATCAAGGGCACTTCCCGAAAAATCATGCAACGAACGGCGCTAAGAAGCGAGCTTACAATATCTTTTATTGATATAGTTTCATGAAAGACTGCGGAGCTCACCGGCTTTAGCCTTTGGATATTTTAAGGTCCGTTAATCAATCAGCTCTAGGGTATGTTGAGATCCCCCGACTTCTTGTGCTGCGCAATTGCCTCATCACGTTGTACGCCTGTGTTCCCCTATGTATGTCCTCGAAGTGGGAAAACACATGTCTCATTCGAAGAAAGCTTAAACTTCAACTCTAAATCTTAGATAAGTCTAAAAACCTGTATCATCCTTGTTTACGAAAGGCGTGTGTCCTCTAATGCGGTCTTCCCAGTGGAGTAACCAGAAAGATTTCTGGCAGGAACCCCTATGATATCCTCCGGGATCTCTTCCGGAAGTCCTAGCTGCTTGTTACTCCAGACGGGCGATTCAAGACCAGTAGTCTCCCACCCATCAGCAACCTGGCCACTCTCATCTGTAGCCCACTCATTCAGTTTCCTCAGCCCAAGTCTCTCCCAAATGCTGATCAACGCATTAACGAGGTTGTCTTGGTGTTCCAATGTGTGTGCAGCCGTAGGTGAAATGCGGAGACGTTCCTGCCCCACAGGCACACTAGGGCTGTTGATAGGCTGGACATAGATGCCATACTCGTCAAAAAGTATATCAGCGGCAATCTTGCAACGCTCTGCATCACCCACCATAACAGGGACAATATGCGAAGTGTTGGGTAAGACGGGTATTCCGTGCTTAAGCAGCCGCTGCTTGACGAAACGAGTGTTGCGCTGGAGCTGAATCCTGTCCTGAGGGTTCTGGCCCTGAAACGTGATGGCCGCCTCAGCCCCGGCCATCGTAGCTGGTGGAGCTGCGGTGGTGAAAATAAATCCTCGTGAAAGCGACCGAATCATATCCACAAGATCGCAGGAGCCAGCAACGTACCCTCCCATGGTGCCGAAGCCTTTGCCAAGAGCGCCAGACACGATGTCAATGCGGGATAGTACTGTGCCCTCATAACTACCTGAGCTGTGAGCCTCGAAATCGAGATGCTCAGAAACACCAGCTCCGTGAGGCCCGTAGAGACCAACGGCGTGAACCTCGTCAAGAAATGTAAGTGCACCATAGCGTTCAGCGAGATCGCATATCTCCGAGATCGGCGCGACAGTGCCACACATGGAGTAAATGGATTCGAAACAGATGACTTTCGGTACGCCTGGTGCGATGGCTGCCAACTTTCTCTCGAGGTCCGCGAGATCATTGTGCTTCCAGACGAGCTTGTTGGCCCCTGAGTGTCGGATGCCTTCGATAATTGAGGAATGGTTGGATGCATCCGAGAGGAAGACACAGCCGGGAAGTTGTCGTCCGAGGACTGTCAGAGCTGAGTCATTGGCAACATAGCCGGAACTGAAGTAGAGAGCAGCCTCCTTCCCGTGGAGTTTAGCAAGTGTCTTCTCCAAGGATACCGCAAAGCGATTGTGACCCGAGATGTTGCGAGACCCGCCGGAGCAAGCTCCGTATCTATCGAGAACGTCGTGCATAGTCTTCAAGACTTCGGAGTTGCCGCCCATGCCCAGCTGCAGTAATCATTAGCGGTGCTCTTAATAGTGAAAGTATCATAGCTTGCGAGACTCACATAGTCATTTGTACACCAGACATTGATCTTTTTGCCCTCGTCGGCTGAATGCGCAAGAGGAAATTCGTGTGCGAGACGGTTCACATTCCGGAAGTACCGATACGACTTGTCATCTTTCTTGGTCTTAATGACTTCTGCATACCGGTCCTCATAAGGGAACCGAGCGAAGTTCGGAATTCCAGTTGGAACCTCGACACTAGCAATTGAGGCTTTGGGTGTTAGAAACTGATGAAGACGTCGAAGGAATCAGCGACATACCCAGAGGTCTGGAATTGTTACTTTGAAGCTTGGCAGACCGACTAATGGTGCGACAGCCTTTTTCAAGTATTCTCGCAGACATTTTGAGAACCAGAGGAGAACAAACTTCAAAGAAAAAGCTCGGTTTTGAGGAAACAAGCAGCCTCTGCGGTTAGCTATGGTAGTCACAGCTTCATCTTTCTCGAGGTTCGGACGACAGAGTTCGGACAAGGAAGGCTTTATAGTTTCCACGAGGCTCACTTGGCTTACGCTTGATACATTCAGTTCAAATCGAAAATTCTGCAAAGGCGTTCCATACGTGCGTCCTGTATGTCGCACCACATGGGTGTGATCCCAGGATCGTGAGTGGTCTTGCAGCATCACTTCTCATCCAGGTAGCGGGCTACTACTTCTTGCCGGCATGAATGATTTGGTTACAACATTCGTCTAGTCATACGTCTCAGGATGGGGGCTCAACCCTTGTGAGATTCGTGCGTATAGTGCCTCGTTTGCATGTAATGGCTTATGTCTGTGGACAAGAAGCCAACATGGACACGAGCTGCATGTCAGCCTGAATGAAAGGCTATTAGAACAAGTTGAAACGGGACCAGGAGGCAAGAAGCAGACTGTTGATGGTTGATTGGTTCGAAATTTGTCTACAAGTCTGACTGAATGGCGAGCTTGTAAGAATCTCACAAGGTTCACTGATGTATGAGCCTTGGCAATGCATGAAGACTTGAGGGGAGAACTTTTGTCGCGCTAATGTTATGATCGCTACGGGTTTGAAGCATGCAGAGTCACTACAGTCTATACCCATTCTGATTCTGTGCTTAGGCGCAGGATCTTCGGTTTCATTCCAATAGCCGAACCGCACCACCAACTACACCTTGAAAGTGAACTGTGTACGGCATAGATGGGGTTAAGATCCTTCAGAAGTCCAATTCCAACATCGTTCAAAAAAAAAAAATGGAATGATATTTTTGATAAAAAAAAGAGAGAGAAAGAAAGAAAGAATGCTGTTGTAACATATCGTTTGTCAGAAACTGGCCTCAAGAATAACGCGAACATGGATTTAAATCCTATTGTCTTCGAAAAAAGGCATAGTTCTCAATGGCAGGGACGAGCGGGAAGACTCTCGGGTCGCTTACATTCAGCCGCAGCAGACTATCCCGCGAAAGGGTGTGCTTCGACTTTTGTTCGGGGTACTGGGGACACCAATGGGTCGTTGGCCCGCACTTGCAAGCCCTGCGTGAACCAGATGTGTTCCTGAGGATTCACAGAGACAATGCATACATGCCAAGCCGACGTGGCAGAACTAGTATATGTCTCTGTGACCATGTCAAGTAGTCGTTCTTTGAAACCCTTCCCCGTCTAACCTAAGATTCAAGCCGCAAACTAAAGCACGTCGGTGGATCCTGTTCCGAAGAGGGCAAAAAAGAGTCGCTCTTGAAATGAGTCAAAGCTACGGAGCAAGCAATCTATTTGGTAAGCGCATTTCAAATCCCACCATACACAGATGAGATGTTGAAATGTCGCAAACATCATCTAGTATTGCCTCCGTTTGATCAATTGGTGCAAGTCCTCGGAAACCAATCCTGCCCTATCCGCATAAATCACGCAATGATGCGCAGTCTCATTCTAAGTAGTGAACTGACGACTTCTCCGTAATGGTGTCTAGAAATACAAGCCGATATTCATCAATCTACTAGTTCGTGCAGAACTCACAAGCTGCTAGGTAGCAGACTTTTGGCAGAGCCACTGCCATGCCCCATCAGATTACTCCAACATTATTGGTGTAGTTATATCCTTCGCTTAGCAAACTGCCCTAGCACTTGGTTCAAAATTCGATAGCTGTCTTCGGAATACTTGAAAGAACTTTTGCAGGAATAAAAACAAAGTGCCTCATCACAACCCCCTGCTGCGAGGATTTGGTTGCGGGATACTTGCAAGGTTATTGCGCATGTACCTACTCAGATTCTGCGGATAGCGGTGCGGTCCGGACCCTTTCCGATCCATGCTAGCGTTGGGGCTGACATGCAAGGTCTATGAAGTTGGATTCAGGAGAAAACCTTTACATGCAGTGGAACGGAACTGACAAGGTGGCCTTGTGCTGATGTCAGTTTGGCATCCATTGAATAATTAGCCAAACCGCCCGACATCGGTTCATGCAGACCCAGTCATACGCATGAGAACCAAAGATCATCTGCTTTAAGACCACATGCACGCCTTGCACAATACTATTGGATTTATCGCAATTCAGAATGTTTGCGTGGTGGGTTTTGGCGCCATCTTGACGTGGAGAGCTGAAGAGATCTAGGCCTGGGGTGACCCAATGTCGCGATCCACCGTCCCCGTCTAACGTTACATCGAGATGTTCGCAAATCTCCTGCCTATTCAGTACTATCACACGCATTCATTTATACATCTTCAGCGTGGAAGAGGGGATTACTGTTTCGTTTCTACGAGAATTATGAAATGTCGCCATTATAACGTCTTGTGGCGTTCTCCTCATGGACGTCCACGTTGAGTCACGGAAATGGACCAACCACAACCCGATAAATGTTTACAAGCCGGAGCGCCCAATATTTGAGAGTATGACCACATTTTATGGCCCGATTAGCCCCGCTATCTCGTGAAACCTGCCCAGCTTGGTCAGCAGTATGTCTCTGGCCTCCAATTTTCCCATCTCTGTCAGAATCCTTCAACTGAGTCGAAGAGTGCCAACGAATCATACAATGCGAGACCCCCTTCCAGGTCGAACATCTTAGATCGCTCAGCATTCAGACCATCTTCTAGAATAACAGCAACCTGTCGAGACAAGCTTGACTTTCTACCCAGATACCAAAGAGCCTTCACACAGTCCTCGCATCTGTTGAGGAGGTCTGACTGAGAGTTTTCTGTACACAGGCTCGATTTGCCTGACTTAATTGCTTCATCGAGAAACAACGTTCCTGCCATAGAAAAAGATCGAATCAATACCATGGTCCAGGGCTCAGTCAGAAGTGCGCCCTCGTTCACAGCCGGGTGAAAAGCCGTCAATCTCCCCATCTCATCATCTCGTGGCGTTGAAGCTCTTGCAAGGTCAGACAACCCCTGCATACTCGTTCGTCGAAGATGATCGGTCAGACTAGCTTCAGCACGCTCCATTGCCCGCGAAGGTACACTGAGCTCTTGCTCGTCCACGAGTTTGACGCAGTCCGCTATCATCATGACAGCGAGAAGCCAGTGTCCGAGGAGGCACACGTACCAGCTCTGGATCTTGGGCGGCAACGAGTTATGACACTGAAGACAGTCCTGGAACAGTGGTCTGTACTTCATGTTCCAATGGCGATAGACCGCTAAGCCGTCTTGTATAGCATCTTCAATAACGGTTTGACTCGCGCCTCGAGATAAAAGACTTTGTATACGAGTGATCTTCCTGAAGAGTAGAACCTTGACGGGCGCTGCGTCAATAAGCTCTCTTGAAATATTCTCCTCTGGACAGGGTAATCTCAACGGGTTCAAAGTCTCATTCTTCTTAATGATATACCGATCGTTCCATCGCTCATTCGGTGCCAAAGAGGCCGATTTATCTTCATTCATCGCGGCTCGTCTCGTTTCGCTTTCATTGCTGTCTTCATCTGATACCGTAAGTGGTCTCTCCGCGATCGCAGCCGAAAGCGTGTCAAACATGATGGCCAACCAGAATATCAGTTTCAAAGTCGATTTTTCTTCCGAGCGGTTATCACCTCCGAAGTCCTTTTGCGTCGAAGAACTCCGTCCGAGTTTCGTCTTTCTCTCAAAACTGTCAGATTGATGTTTGAGAACATGAAGCCTCCGAGCGCCACGTTCAACGTAGATTGAATATCCTTCTTCGTCAATGATTCTCTGAACCCTTCTTGTCGTGCAACATCTTTTGCTCCCATTTTCTTCAGCTTGATGCAATGTTAAGTTACCAAATTTGTCGTCTTCACGATCCGTTTCGTCAATGTGTTTCTGCGTAAGACCGAAGATTAACTCCGCCATGGCTACCTTAAATGAACCGATCCCAGCACAGTCGTCCAGACACTTTCTGGCTTGGTTCCAGAACGTTACTTGAAGTGCGGCGTCAAAATCTTCTCCGAACCCATTTGAGAAAAGGTCTTCGCCAAAGATGTTTGGCTTTTTGTACCGCTCTTGGCTCCTCTGGCTACCTTGTGCCCATTGTGATGTGAATGCCATTATTGCAAGGTGGAGCGCCTTTGTGGCTTTTCTGTCCTCTGAGTTGCTCAAAGGTTTAATTCCAAGGGAGCTAAGGGACTTGTCGAGCTTGAGAACGCGCCGATAAATTCTGTTCGGGAAATTTGATGGTGCTGAGATTGACTTATACGACTGACTGTCTGTCAAGACTGACAGATTCGGAGTTTGGGGTGGTGTCAGGTAAGGGCAATTCTGCTCTGTCAACCAACAAGATAGAGCCCCCTCCATGACGTCCTGATAAAGTCCCATGAGATTATCTGTCATGAGTCCGTTATTTGTTCGAAAGATCATTCTCTGCGATGGAGAAAATTCGGAGAGTCCAGAGTTTTCATAAATGGGTGAGCTTTGCGATTGCCAAGACTGATTTTTCACAATATCCACTGCAGAATCTGGACTGACGCCGGACACAGATTGGTTTTGAGACCGGCTACTTTCGGTCTGGTCCAAATCTAATTGCTCTCCGGAGAAACTAGGAATTGACATTGACGAGGAAGACGGGAAGACGAATGAGTTTTCGTCAAGTGACAGGTCGCAGCTAGTGGTGTCGTCATGTTGAGACGGTGAGAAAAAGTTCCGGGTGATTTGAGACTCCACCACAGGGAAATCAGGTATGCCAAGTAACTCGGCATTTAACAAAGTGAGGTTTTTGTCGGAGACGATCGATTGAGACTCGATAACATAGGGTTGACTGAGTTCCCTTGTTGGGGGTGGTTTCCTTTCATGGCCAGACTTCAACCGTTTGCGGCTGGGCAAAATAGCCTTCTCAGACGACTGTCGCCTTTCGCGGATCTGGACTTTCTGTGACTGAGCCCAGTTGAACGTACAGCTTTTACTGGTCTTCGTACAGTTGGAGCACGATCCAGTCGTGCTTTGCCAGTCTGTTAAGAACAATTAACCTATGCTCATTGATCTAGAGAGATGATTCAAAAACTTGCCAACCTCCCATTGCAAATCGGCGTCCAGGCAGAGTTGGATGTCTTTGAGGGCACCGGCGTCGCAGGCCCTTTTGCCCTTACGGCATTGATCACAGCTGCTGTTCTGCCTTCTCATCGCGAGTGCCAGGGAGCATACTCGGCTTCGAGAACGTCAAAAAGATGAGATGCAGTGGAGGGGAGGTTAAGCCACGCTGAGATTGCAACAGCAGGACGTGCTCCAGTTACCCCGACCTCTCTCCGCTGGTTCCCCAGTGACTTGCGTAGCTCCGGCCATCCGAAACGCCATTGTCACGGGGAATTCCTTGTCAACCCCGCATTTAGCTGCATGCAAGGAGCGGGGTGCATGCGGCTTCGTCCCCGCCGATCCTTTGCTGGGGTTTAGGACTAACAATTGGCCTTGTGTTGGTGCCCTCGTCTGGCTACAAGATGTCGGTCCAAGCTTATGTGATGTTGATGTAGGTATTGGACGTTGTTTCCAGATTTTACAAGCTGAAATTGGACCCAGGAATGCAAAATCTCAGTTCGGCCAGGGCTCTGCATTTTTCCAATTATTACTTCAGTATTGACAAAGGCTTCGCCAGTAAATGCCAGTGGCTGGCTTCAGCATCCATGGGAGAAAGAATCCTGACAACTAGTTCTAATTGAGTATCATGTTTGGCATCAAAATCCAGGTGTATGCGACGTGGAATAAACAATCATCTGGAACCCTATCCAGGCCTACAACTAAACATCATCATACTTTGTTTGGAATTCTGAGCCCTTTGTAGACAGCAGTTTCGACCTCTGACCACAATCCGAGCACTGCTGGGTCCCCAAAGGGCAGAATCTGAGAGCAAACAATTCCAGCCACCCCGTTTTGTCGGTCACACCACCAGAACAGGTTTGGCAGTCCCGCCCACCAGGCCGTCCCATCAGACCGTCCCGTTGTTCCACCGGTAATCATGAACGTTAGCCCCCAACCTTGTGGCGGGTTGCCAGGAACTGGGTAAAGCTCGGGAAGTTCATTGGTCAACTCCGGCTTAGCATCCTGAACGCCTTGTCTGGAGAAATTAGGGAAATTGGCTATCTGGTTGGTAAACATTTCGTCTACCGTCTCTTTTTTCAGGATTTGGGCGTTGGTGATAGGGCATGTTCCATCGTTCAGAAAAACCGCCAGTATACCTGCGTTTTCTGGTGTTAGTATACAGACTACAGATAGTACGAAAACATTCTTACGGCTGTATTCTTGCGGTTTCGCGAAGATTCCGGCGCCACCGCTGTTGAAACATCCGCGGATCTCTTCTTGTGATTGAGCAATGAGCGGGCGATGAATGGGGTGGTCTCTAGTAACAATCTCGCCGTTTGGCTTTTTGTAGTGCATGTAAGCCAGTTGTGCTTTCATTGAAGCCGTTGGGATCATGTTGATGTTCTGAAGTCCCAGTGGTTGGCAGATGTTCGCCTGTATGTAATCATTTAGACTGATGTTTGTGGCACGCTCAATGGCGACGCCAGCCCAGTCGATACCAATCTGTGTCTTGGTCAGGAACAATCTCCGTAGATAGAGCTGAAACAGTTCTGACTTGCCCCATATTCCCATCCTTCCCCTGGTTGAAATAGCAGAGGTTGCACCATGTCTCGGATGCTTCCCGAGAACTCGTCAACCCCGGCCGGAAGACTCCAATCACGGAGTCTCTTGCTGAAGAACGTGTATCCAAACCCGGCGGTGTGTGTCAGTAACATGCGTAAAGTGATCCCTCGTTTTCTGTCCACGAGTTTCCCCTCATCGTCAAGAACTTTGATATCAGCTAGCTCTGGGCACAGTTTCTCCAGATGATCCGGATCATCCAGCTTCAGTAAACCCTTCTCCACTAACTGCATGCATGCAATACCGACTACCATCTTGGTGCATGAGGCAATCCAAAACACACTATCCAGAGTCATGGGTTCTTTGGAGGATATTCCTCTATTACCAGCAGAGTGAGCGAACTGCTCAGCACCTGTCCGGTCGATAACGACCACCGTCGCTCCAGGTATTCGCTTGGGGTCCTTCGCCACGGCATTTTCTACAATGCTCTTGATCTGTTCGACAGTTCGCGTCGAAAAAGGCATGGCTGAACAAATGAACTGGGCTCCCGGGAAAGCTTTGGTACAGCTAAGGGTGGTAAGCAGTTGAAAGAGACAAACGCTGAAGCCAACAAAGTTGGAGAGGGAGGAACGATGCAGGTCGGTGAGAGTTTGAAGCAGAAATTCCAGGTGTTATGGCTGTAGGCACTGGTTCAGCCGGTTTCTTGGCTCCTGCAATCAGCGCTTTCGGGTGTGTTTCTTTTCGGATGCGTCGCTTGTTCTTCCCCGAAAATGATCAAAGCTTCATCTAAGGTGAGGAGCGAAGTAGGACAAACCTGGAAGACAACCTTCGTAACCGGTGCGAGCCTCGGTTGATGCATCCTTGGCCCCAACATAGGTAGCCAATAACGCCTGTGGAACTCTACCATGACAATTCTAAGAGGAACAAGTGAGAGCCCGAGTTGACCCGGTCTAGACAAGGGGTACCCTGCAAGCCGCTGTGCGAGAGTTTGTTTCCCCGCAAAGTCGCGGTGACATGCTTGACATGGTAGTTGCGGATCCGCATCCGTAAGCCGTTCTCCGCATTCCTTTTGCATGTCATGCTATTTGCATGCGGATCCGCAGAAGCTCTTCCTTGATTTTTTGAACTGTAATGAATCAACAAGAATGGAGTTGTTTGAGCCGACAACCCAAGCCTCACTGCATGTCGGTGCTAAATGTTGGTGGACGACCTACAATGACGCGTTGCGACGATGCAACTGCGGTTTCATAGGCGAACCTCAATACGATTTGGGTGAGAGACTTGGTAACACTACAACTGCGGCTCACACCTCGTTCCGGTTTGTCTTTTCGACAATGTGTACACTAGACTGGGATGGTGGAGAAGAAAGTGTAACGTTGAGAAGGCGGTGCGTAATGTCGTCTGGTCGTCTGATGTCAAGGAAAGCAACGCTCATACGAAATGGAAGAAACTCCGTGTGAGCTGTTATGGGTTATAAGAAAGCTTCAGGTCTGCTGCAATATCCTTCACATTTTGAAAAAGAACACAACCATTATATATGGGTTCTCGATTGCTATTTATGGTCTCCTCTTTTAATATCAATATTGTGCAATCTGAACGTAACCATTGATTTCCGTCACCATGGCGACGCCTACGCAACAAAAGAAGTTCGCGACCGATCTGACAGACTACGCGTCGCGACGCCAAACCACTGGCCCGTACGCCGACAATCTCGACATCGATGTTCTCATTGTCGGTGGTGGATTTGGCAAGACTACCCTTCAAGTAATCACACATCTAGTTCATACTAACGTAACAATAGGCGGTGTCTTCATGCTCAAGACTCTTCGTGAGATGGGTCTGCGGGCCGTCGTTTACGAGGCCGGTACTTCTCTTGGGGGCACCTGGAGATGGAATCGATACCCTGGCGCTCGAGTCGACTCGGAGGTTCCGGAGTACGAGTTCTCATGGCCCGAAGTCTTCAAAGACTGGACATGGTCAACCAACTACCCCAACTTTCAGGAGCTTCGGGCGTACTTTGACCATGTCGACAGGGTGAGTTCAGTTGCCTTATTCCCTGCAGAATATGACATCTTAGATATGACTGACATCACGTCTTGCAGGTTCTAAACATTTCAAAAGACTGCTCCTTCGAGACAGTCGTCGTCGGCGCCCGATTCCAGCCCGCCGAAGGGAAATGGCACGTGAAGACTGCCGATGGTCGCTTGGCCAAGAGCAGGTACTTCGTTGTCGCTGCTGGTTTTGTGAGTTAAGGCTTCGAAGTTAGGCTTATAGTCTACAGAAACTGACCCGGGCACGTAAACAGGCTTCAAAACGCTATATTCCAAATTGGCCAGGAATTGAGAAGTTCCGAGGAATAGTCCACCACTCATCATTCTGGCCTGAGGAAGACGTAGACGTACGTGGCAAGAGATGCGCCGTAATCGGTACTGGGGCTTCCGGTGTTCAGATCTCGCAGGAGTGGGGACAAGCCGTTGGAGAACGAGGGGAACTGAAAGTCTTCCAGAGAACCCCGAACCTAGCCGTGCCTATGGGCAAGCGACCCCTTACACAGCAGGAGCAGAACATTGGCAAGGTGTGGTACCCACGTCTGTTCCAGCTCCGCGAGAAGTGCTTCGGTGGATTCTTCTACGGAATGGTTGAACGAAACACATTCGATGATTCCCCGGAGGAGCGCGAGGCATTTTATAGGGCTCTTTGGGACCATGGAGGATTCCGGTATTGGCTCGGTAATTACAAAGACATGCTCTTCGACGCGGATGCAAACAGGGAAGCCTATGACTTTTGGTCTCGGAACGTTCGCACTCGAATTGGAGATGCTAAAAAGAGAGACATCCTGGCGCCGACGGTCGATAAGATGCCCCATTTCTTTGGCGTTAAGCGGCCTTGCCTGGAGCAGAATTACTACGAACAATTCAACAAAGCAAACGTGGATGTAGTCGACATCAGCAAGAACGGCATCTCCAGCTTTACCGAGACTGGCATCAAGCTGGAAGATGGCACTCACTACGAGTTTGATGTGGTTGCAATTGCAACTGGGTTTGTAAGGAACCTGATTTTCTTTGTCTCGGCCAACTTTGTGTGAAGAGCTTGAGTACAACAGCCCTTGTTGACTCTGGCTTCATAACCCTAACTACGCAACGTTGCAGATACAGATTGGCTAATTCACGGTTCTTAGGACATCACCACTGGAGGTATGACAAACATGGGTCTGAAGAGCATCTACAACACCAACCTCCAAGACGAGTGGAAAGCCGCTGCAAACACCTACCTTGGCACCACCGTTAGCGGCTACCCTAACATGTTCCATATGTATGGACCACATGGTCCGACTCTCCTTAGCAACGGACCATCGACTGTCGAGGTGCAGGGCCGCTGGATCGCAGACTGCATCCGCAAGATGGAGCGGGAGCACATCAAATACATCAACCCTACCGCCGAAGCGACTAAGGCCTGGAAACAAAGGATCAATGCCCTCAGTGACGCGTCTTTGTTCCCCACTACGCGATCGACGTACATGGGCGGGTCGATGCCTGGCAAAGCATTTGAGCAGGTCAATTTTGCAGGAGGAATTCCTCAGTATGCGAAAGAGATCCGGGAAAAGCTGGATGGTTGGGCCGGGTTTGACATTGTGAAAGACAATCGGGACAGAAGCAGGATCTGAGGCGGGGACTGTTGATTTTAGGGGTTACGTTGCCAGCCATTGGATCGGTTGTACTGGCAAATCAATGACCTAGGCTTCTCATCATCATTAACAAATTGACCTTGATCTCGAATGTTCCATGGATGAAATTGTGCCCGGGTATTCCGTGTCATACAAAGGAGCAAGGCGATGTTACATTATTTCAAGAAGCTGTCTTTGAAATGTCAAAGGCGGAGGTTATGTTCTTGCCTTTTCCTGTTGAAACAAGTTCGTGGACACTCAATAAATTTTCTTGATATTTGCTCAGCCGTGTCATCGCGCCATGATATTTAAAAACTCTACAGATCTCGGTTTCTAAACATAGAATGACCATGTCTCGGTAGAATCCTCTCCGATAAGCTGTGATGTCTGGTTCTTCGGTTACGTTTGGATAGTCCCGACTGAGTTAATCAAAGACTCCTTGAAAGCCAATGTGTAAGCTATGGTCAAGGATGAATGCGATAGCTTGCTCATTACATCCCATGTTTACCACATCATTAAATAGTGAAGAATGGACTCGTTCTTTTAGTGAACAAGACAAACGGATCATATGTACCTGGTATTCACCTGCTTCCACGGAGTCATACAGCTAGCAGCAAAGAAATTAACTGGATTAACCCATTATCATTTGAAGGAAGTTGACCTTACTAAACATAACAAGATCCTTGCCTGCTTGGTGAGACACTGCATAAAGAAGGAGCCGATGGATATCGATGATAGAATGGAAGATGCTCTAGGAATCATTTATCTACTTAACAACTATTTTAGAAAGAAAATTCATCATGGAAACACCAAGTATTGCAGATAACTCGGGTCAGGGACCAGATAACTCGGGTCAGGGACACATTGCTGCTTCTTAGGATTTCTTGCAGGGGGTCCTTCCTCCTTTCCTCGTAGCCCTCAAATTTCTCCAGATGAGAATCCAAGCCAAAGAAAGGTGAAGTCAGGTCACTTTTCTTCCCTCCTCAGCGCCGAAATTGCAGTGCGTTTGTTCCGAACCGAGAAGAGTGGGCGTGTTCACTGCATCTTTCATTCTTACCGAACGAAGACAAATTTCTTTCCCACCTAGGTTAAAGCCCAACCCTTCTCCTTCTTCACCTTACTATCACGAAACAAACAAACGATCGTGGTAACACAGGATCCCTGCATACTCAAGTATTCCCTCTTTTCTTGCTTCACTATTGCTCTCCAAAAAAATTGCCAGCAAGTGCTATCAGTTGTTCTTCAGGCATTTTTCAAGCTCAGCTGCTGACGCGTCAGCGACGAGGATGGCAACCACCTGGCGCATCCGGGGTCACCCTGTTCTCTGGGCAGTGCTCTTGCACCATCTCTTCCTCTTCGGATTTGCGCGTAAGTAGTTCATCACCATTTGGTGGTCGTGGGCAACGATGAGCTAATAGTCCAATTTAGATGCTCAATCAACCTCGACTTCCGTCCGCAAGTGTGGCTGCGAGAGCTTCAGCATCGTTCCGAGTATCCTAAGCAATGGATCTACTTCCGTCTGTCCTTGTGCTTGTGGCAAGGTCACCCTGATCCCGACTACATACACCACCGTCTTCACCATCTACGACCCTGTCACTTCCGATAACCCGATAACAACTGCCAGACTCGATACGTTTTCTAGCGCTTCACAGGTCGTCCCTTCAGGTACCCCAGGTCTCGGGAACATCGTCAGCACCATCTTAGACTCTGTCTCATCTTGGTCCCACTGGTTCTCCCACCCGAACACCACAGTAAGCTCTGGCGAGTCGTTGACTGGTCCCCCAAACCATACAACCACGCCTTCTGGGGTCTTTTGGACTAGGCCTGGTACAGGCACCGATGACAAGATCACCTCGCGAACCTTTGTCTCAAATAACACAACCAAAGGCTTCTTCTCTTCGCCGTTCAGTGGCCAAGACAGTATTCATGGTAACCACACATCGCTCTCTTTGAGCGTTCCCATGTCGTCTGTTCTCTCACGGCCCTTTGTCTCATCTTCAACAACGCTCGCGGGACCTACAACTTTCCCTTCACTTACTTCCCCAACTCCCTCTGCCACTCCCTCCGCATCGAATACCTTGCCATCCCAGACGAACTCGACAGTCATTGTTACCAGCACTCAGAATATAGCCAGCGAGTCCTCATCAACCGGCTTGCTGCCTACAAGCTCTGCTGTTACTGCTGTCACTGCGATTATTCCTTTTGGTGGCATCATCACTGTCGAGCCTCTTACGGCAACCTCAGCGGAGACTGATGGAAGTTACAGGACCACCAGTGTGACCTGGCTCTCGATAGACATTCATACAACTATAAACGTCAGCGGCCAGGTTATTGCCAGCGGAATTCCTGCCTGGAGATGCATCTCGCTAGATCTTTGCAATCTGGTGTGTCTTGTTCCTGACGAGGCCTGTCTGCCTGCTCCATATTCCAACCCTAACGGATATCCCTGGCCTGCGAAGCCCAAAGTGCCACCCTCCCCTGAGAATGGCCTCATTAATTCTACGTCCACTACGCAACATTCGATGTCGATGAGTGATCCCGCTGCTGCTCACACTACTACCAAGGTAGGCGAGGGCGGGGGCAGTGATAACGGCGGTGATGAAGGCGATGGTGACGACGGAGATGGAAATGGGGACGACGATGGGGATGGAGGTGATGATGATGACGAAGGCGATGATGATGGGGACAGCGGTGGCGATGGTTCAAACGACGACGATGACGGTAATTCAGACAACAATGATGGCGAAGATGATGGCGAAGATGATGGAGAAGATGATGGAGAAGATGATGGAGAAGATGATAGAGAAGATGATGGAGAAGGCGGCGATAAGGGTAATGATGGCCCTGAGGACGATGACGATGATAGCGATCACGCCAACGACGACGACGATGACGACTCGTTTCTCGACGGCCTCAGAATCGACTTTGGTACCGACATACTCAGCAGAGCTATGCGTGATATCTTCGGCTGGGGCATGAGCCCCGCCCTCGGTTCCAATCTACCAGCCGGCGATATCGGGGGCGGAGGAGGCGGCAGTGGTGAAACGGAGTCCGAAGAACCCAAAGAGTCCCTCACTACGTCGACATCAACTTCATCTTCCAGCTCGACCTCGTCTTGCACCGTCACTTACACCGTCGCCCCCCACTGCACTCAGCCATGTGTCGTCTCGCAGATCAAAAGCCTCGGCACAAGCAGCTACATCACCAGCTGCGCAACCGCAACCTGCCGGACCACGCAGATGTGCACCAGCATCGACACAACCACAACAACCACCTTCACCACCAAGAGGCATGAGCGCACCGCGGCTTGTATGCCCAAGAAATGCCCCGCTTGTCAACAGAACACACCTCAGGCTTCTTCCAAGGAACTCGAAGCTCGCCAAAGCTTCTGGGATGAGCTCATTCTGCAAGAGACCATCACGGAGCCTGAGACATGGGCAGGGGGCGAGTACGAATGGTGGGAAAAGATGCGTCGCGTTGCAAAAACTTATGGCCCGGGCCTTCACATTGACAGTAAGTACCGCATGGATTCCTCATCCTCTTGGACACCGTTCGGCAATGCGCCTCATGGCGGCGGTGCCGGCCCCGTCTGGGGAGGCGCCATAGTTGTGGCCTTCTCTCCTGAGGGCGTATACGCCAATCACTTGTGGGAGATTCCTAACTTCAGCATCCCCCTGGACGAGGAGGAATACTTCAACGTCGATGGTGGTTACAGTGAAGATTACTACTTCCGGCAAAACATCGAAATGTTCCCCCAGCAAGGGTCCGTGGCCTTCCCCTTCCAGGAGCAGTATCCAGCCCTCGCACCCATGGTCGACGCCAGCGGGCCCCTGCATGCCAAAGACTTCCAGTTCTTCCGGACGATTGTATTCGTCTCCACTCACCCCAATGGGGAGATGTTCTATAAGCGTGACAACAGAAGAATCATTGACATTCTCTCCAACAAAATCAAGAAGCGTATCACGATCTATGGATACCAGCCTCGCTACGACTTGGGCAAGGATTTCGATTACGACTTCGGCAGAGCGACGCCTCCGCCAAGAATCCGCGCGTCGAATCCCTGGGACGGTCTTTTCAGTTGGTTGTACACGCCAAAGGGCCCTACCGGCCAGAGAGAACTTGTGGTGCGCTACGAGAAGAACATTATCCATCGTGAAGCTTGGTGTGGCAGTGGACGCGCCATCCCCGATGCCCCACCGTCCAACTTCGATCTTCGGCCAAAGGCAGACGGCCGTCTCGCTACTATCCGGCCTAGACAAGAAGATGCCGCCTGCGGGAGGTTCATCCTCTGCGGTCTCGGCAGTCCGGAAGCCCTCTGCGGCGATTACCGCAAGTACCCGCCTCCGTCCCTTACGGGTCAACTGCCGAAACGCCAGCTCCCCCCTTCCAGTGGTCCGACACAGGCCGAGAGAGAACTCTCGACGGACATCATGATCGATCCGAAAGATGCTATCGGTGGCGAGATATGGTGGTGGAATCGCATGCGGAACACAGTGAGCGAGCGTGGAGCCGGTTTCGGCGGCCATCCTGACAAACCCGAGCAATGGTCCACCAGCACCTTAGTCACCTTGAATCAAGAAGTTGACGGCACCGTGACCAACCGTCCTCGGTTTGGCGGCTCCGGTCCCATTTGGGGCTGTATGGCGATCATCGTCGCATCACCCGAGGCCGTCTGGACCAGCCACGTCTGGGAGATGCCCTCTCATGGCCGACCGCCTTCGAGCAATGGAGCCAAATCTTCCCTCGGCCGACGGTGGAGTACTTCAGGGAGGAGTTTCTTGACTTCCTCGACAACGGTAACATAAAGGGCACCTTCAAGCAGCCTTATGAGAACAGATTCCCAGGCAGCAACCCCGGACTAAAGGACATGTTCATGGAGAACGGCGCCTTCAACGTCAAGGAGAAAGAGTTTGTCTGGGTGGGTATCGTCACGCGATCCTACAAAAATCTTAACATGCCTCGCGTGCAGTACGACTGGCAGATACAGCAGGTGTATGAGAAGTTCATTGCCTGGGGTGTCGATTCGGAGAACATCAATGTAAAGGCTTGTCCAGCTCGCTGGGACTTCATCGTTGGCGGATCACAGATTCAGCCTCATTGGGGTATTCTCAGCTGGCAGTATCACCCCGAGCACAGAGAGGGCAATCACGCTGAGAAGAAAATCCGCGTTCGCTTTGAAAAGGAGCTTCTCTTTGAGAAGTCCTGGTGTGGTTCCGGCACGAAGATCGCGGAACCTGAAGGCGAGGCACATGTGCGTCGCAGACAGGAGGATATCGAGGCTTGCAAGATGGTCATCAGTTCCAAGGAATCCGCTTCGACCACCAGAGTATCGACGGCCTTGCCTGAACCTACCCAGGCTTGCACCAATGATACTGAGTGTGGTTCTCTCTCTTGTCCCGAGAACCGCATCAGTGTTTGTTACCATGACTTCTGTCACTGTGTCATCCTCGCAAATCCAAGCAACACCGAGGTCCTTACTGGTACAATCTACGCTACTCCCACGACCACTCTTGACGCTTCACAAACCCCCACGTTCCCCGTCTCGTGGCTTCTTCCGAACGTGACTTCGACTGTCCCGTCATTGGACATATCTTCGGCATTGAGCAGTTCAATGACAAGTGCCTCCTTGACGAGCACCATGGTAAGCATATCTTCGACAATAGCCCTCACGAGCAACCTCACAGCTACATCTTCGGGCATTTCATCTATACTCTCGTCTATGGCTACCCTCACTCTCTCAGCTTGGAACCCCGAGGAATCCGCTCGGAACACCTGCACCATCAAGGAAGACTGCTCAGCTCTTAAGTGCTCTGACGATCAGTATCCGTACTGCCGTGTTCAAGATGGCACCAATCCCGGCTGCCACTGCTTTGACAAGCCCAGAAAGCTCCTCGACGCCTGCTCTACAGCCGATGACTGCGCGAATATCGACTGTGAAGCTCGCCACATCCCAACCTGCCGCCCTGTTGTCTACTCCCCAGACATAACGCCCATCTGCCTCTGCGATGCAGATATAATCTCCCCTGGCACAACCTGTCTTGTGGATACCCACTGCGACGGTCTCCCCTGCGATGTCGCCAACCAGCGCGGCTTCTGCAAGTCCAACGCCTGCCAGTGCGACTTCTTCATCTCCGAGGGCGTCGGCTGCAGCACGCACTACGACTGCTCGCCCATCCGATGCTCCGAGGCCAAACCACACAAGACATGCTCTATATCCAGTAACACGTGCGAATGCTCCGCTTCAGCACCCGCGCCGCGCCGTGCCGAGGGCGACCAGTGCTCGACCGATGCCGACTGCACCACGATCGGCTGCACCGACTTTGAGGTCAGTGTATGCGAAGCCAACGTTTGCAGGTGCCGCGCGTGGAAGTGCGGCTCCGATAAGGACTGCGACTCGAGCGACAAGACGTGTGACTACGACAAGAATCTGCGCTGCGTGCGGGGCAAGCTGCCCAAGTGCGTCCATGGATGCCAGAGCTTCTGGTGCGGCAAGGAGTGTTAGTGTGCGGCTTGGTAGATGGAGGATGACTGTCTCTAAGCTGGAGCTTATCTAGTAGTTGTTCCGAGAGGGTCTAGGACCACGCACTTAGAAAAGTTACATCACGAGAACTCGCTCTCGAGCAGCTAGAGACTTTAGAATAAGAACAAGACGTTTCTTAACGAAAGCACGCTTACATGAAAATGCGGCTTTGGTCTGAGAAGAAGCATCATATGGGCGTAAGATTAACTGTCAATCATTCAGTGATATGGTCAAAAGAGCGAAAGCTAAGGTTCTCCTGGCTGTACAAGCCTCTCTAACCTGAACCTCGTCTACGCCCAAATACAAAAAGAAGCAGCTTGGCCTCAAAACAACACGGTAGTCATATCATATTAAGTCGTCATTACTATCGAAGTCGTGGCCCGGAAACATCCCAATGCAGGGGAGACAACCCTCCCTATTTACAAATCCCAAAACGCCATCCCGTCTCAGTCGTAAGCCATGACCCGCCACTGTCCTCTCATGGCTGTCAATGATACCGGTCCAAGGAACTAAGCAAAACCAAGCTGCTCAGGGGTTCAGCCCAGAGCTCGCCGCGCTCTCTCCTACCTGCAGCTCTTCGTCGGGTACGCCGACCGCAACGCTGCTGGCAACGCTCATCGCAGTCAAAGACCGTTCTCGCTCGCCTCCGGGTCGTCTAGGACCAGCAATGCCAGCTGCACCAGTCGTCACACCCACGCTGGTAGCCGTTCCAGTCGCGGCACTGCTTGTACTCTCGCTTCTCTCTCGCCCGGCGGTCTTCTCCCGGACAAGCTTCTCCAGGTCTCGTATTCTTTGCTTGAGCGCTTCATTCTCCTTCTTGGCGTTCTCTAACTCTTGGCGGTGCAGCGCTGTCTCCTCGTACCTCGATGTAGTAGGCATAAGGCCAGGTGACAGCTGCGACTCGCTACCTCCTGGAGTAAGGGCGACCGACGTGCTTCCTGTCTGATGCTGTGGCAGGCGCTGCTGCTGGAAGTATGTCAAGCCGCTTACAGTCGGGTCCAGATAGTGCTGTGACGGCGCAGGTGACGAGGACAGGCTGTGGCGCGAGGCGACGCTGTCTTGGCGAGCGGGATTTGTAGGTCTAGGCACAGGTACGGAAGCGGTGGACGCAGCAGCTGAGCCGGCGACAGCAGTCTGGCTTCGGGTGCTAGCATTCGAGGCGGTCCGATGGTGTCGTCGGGAGCTGTTAGATGGAACGGAGGGGGTGGAGAATGCAGCGCCAGAGAGGAGGTGAGTGTCGGGCGCCTCGGGCACATTCGAAGCTGATGTCGACGAGGCATTCGAGACGACCGAGGCGTTCTGGGCTGTGCGGAGGAGCTGGAGCTCTCGTGTAAGACGGTTCACCTGTGCATGGTTAGGTCTTTGGCATTTGGGTCCATATCGCAGCACATACCACTGCCTCTTGCTCCTTCTCGAGCTGCATGTGGAGATCGGATGCCGTGATGGGTCGCGGGTGACGTATGGGGCCCGGGCCGGACACAGATGGCTCGGGTACGGCCGGCGGTGATGTGAGTGTTGCCGGGGCCATTGGCGGAGACCCAACGGAGGTACTGGAGGGGTTGGGGTGGTTGACAGTGTTCTGGTTCGAGGGAAGGATGTTGAGCGAGGATTCGGACGATTGCGCCGGAAGCGGAGGAGGTGGCATCTGGTGTGATGAAGTGCGTCGAGAAACGCTTTGCGGATGTGGTGATGCGGGAACAGAGTTGAGGTCAGGCATTGTGGGCAAATGAGTCGGTGAAGAGGTATACGTGAGGGCGGTGCTGGTTTCAGGAGGTTGATGCGAAAACGAAGCTTTTGCTTCTGTATGGGACTGTCTGACGATGGTGGTGTTATTATCAGACGCGTGTTTTTGTTTGTTGGTCACGGTCACCACGCCACGAGTCGCCCAATCTGAGCAATAGGACTGTTTGTTTGTCTGGATTGCTTGGTTTGAAGCTCCGTCATGCTTCATGCGTGGTTCCCCCACTGCGAGCCCGAGGCAAGTTCCAGCCACAACCCCGCCTCTGCCACACCACAGCCACTCGAGCTGCTTATCGATAACTTTATCTTATCATAGCTCATCCACCCGGGTGGATTAGTCCTCCGCTCCGTGGCATGACCTCTTCCGATCTATGTCATTGGGTCTGTGGACTCCATAGCACGTGATGCTTCCATTTCCCAACCAGAATCACATCCAACGACGGCCCCCAATCTAAATCACTACTTTCGATCCGACGTCGTATTGCCGTGGTACAAACTCTATACTACTCGGGCAGGCAGTGTCACGCAATCGTCCACCGCAGACAGCCCTACAGACCGATTCCATCATCCAAAGGCTCGAATACCACCCCGACGCCACCCTCATTTGAGCTTACATAGACTTGACCGACGATGAGCATCAGCAACGACGCATAAATACGGACCCTCTCCGGGTTCCAATGAGTCGCGAATCGCCAGAATTTGCCGGCTTACACCCATTGGAGGCAGCTGCCAACTTCACTCAATCGTTACCTGCCGGGCGAGATGGCTCTGTGGGGTGGGATTCTGTCATCTGGCTGCAATAACGGCATCACCCTTACTGTTATTGTGGACGAAACACGGAGATACGTGGGCAACGGAACCATCTCACCGTTTTACAATGCAGATCATCCGCCGTTTCGCCAAACGTGGTTACAAACCTGGCGTCGGCGCCACACGGCTCCCCGCTACTTCTCCGCTCCTGACGTCGCATGGGCCACCAAGTGTGCGACACCCCTTGCACCCCTTCCACCCCTTCCACGCCCTGGGCAATAACCATCCAAAGATGCTCTATCGAATCACGGTCGACGTTTGCCGGCGCTTTTGCTCCGGGCGTCTCGGGTCTGCCACGCGGCCCCCTGTCGACGACGAGAGCTCTCTGCGCAATTTCACTCACGTCGCTCATTATCCGCTTCGAGAGACCTCCGTTGGTCAGAGCTCCAGAAGGGATCTCGATCCGACCGTGCTGGTTGTCGTTCTCCTTCCGTCACACTGTTCGACGATGGCAGCTCTGTGATACGGCGCACACAGCACTAAAATAAGTCGGTCAACTGTAGCACAATCCCATTGTTCTGGCACGGCCGTCTAGCTCGGTCAGACGTCGTCCGAACAGACTCGAGTTTAAGCTGCACCCACCCGACAACCATCGTCTTACGCTTTGTCCAGCTTGGCTCGATAACAAGGTCAAATATGATCGATCCCGCGGGTGCTACGCCGCGACGGCGACGTGCGGTACGGAACACGACTCAAATTTATGGAGCAGAGTCTGCTTCCGCTCTGGACAGCAGTGGGTCACCCCTTGTTTTCCCACTTCGTCTTCCGTTCCACTGGGGGGTGGCCTGCGATCGTCCCGTTGTCAACATCGTGAGGAACGCAGAAAAAACAGGTTTCCCCCCTGCACCTGCAGCCGCTCGATGGACACCGGATGAGGCTGAAATGTTTCACCATTGGACCTCGACCGCATAAGCACTTCACCTTTACTGCATTGTGATGCTGCACTCGGCCGACTCGGGCGGGTTCCTGTATCCATTATGATGCCGGTCCGCACACATCGGGTACAAGCACCGCGATTATACTGGGGGCCTCATCAGCCACATTTCCAGCCCATCGTCAGTGATTGGAGCCGAGCGCATCCAAGACGGGGATTGGCTTGGCGGCGTTTAGGACCGACATGACACGAGTTTTGCCAAAATACAGCTCGCCGGTGGCATGCAAACCGTCAATTTCACGAGACTGAGCCAAACGGACTAAAAGATGTAGCATTTGAAACGGGCTAACTCGCCCAAGTGAAGAGTAAAAAGTAACAGTCACGACAGAGATGAGATGAGATTTGAACTCATGCGGCCGAAGCCATGTGATTGCGATCGAAGTTCGAGTCACACCCATTAACCACTCTGGCACTCTGCCTTATCGAAGCGGAAGCCGAGTTTCTCACGATGGACCCTCGCTCGGGCCGACGAGGACTTCACACAGTGGATCGATGGTAAATCTCATTCGGCACCTAAAATTACACTGGGCAGTAGATCGGATCCGCCGCTAAAGCCTGACAAAATTGGACTCGCTGTGGACTCGTTCAACACACCACGCAAACAAATTCCTACCCAGTCCAAAAACACCGTCTTTGAGGGAGAAAGCGAACTCGTTGAAGACCGTCTGTTGCTTCTCTTTAGAATTGACAAAGGAAACTCGTTACACAATAAATCCTGCTGCGCCTTTGCAAGGCAAATGTTTTTTCGCCGTTATGCCGTGGAAATTTGGTATAGTTGGAACATTTCGATCATGAATTTGATGCTGATTGAAGGACTCGGGAAACCTTGGCGAAAAAAAGGCTGGTCGACAGGTGGACTCTCACATCTCCTCTCTAATCCATGTCCCTATGCAGTTAGCCTTTTGAACAATGAGGTAAAACGTTTCTTTACAACGAGTATGACACAAGGAGAACACCCGGAGCGTAGGACGGCCCTTTGAAGTCCGGGGACGACGGCATTGTGTCGTCACAATGACAGTGGAAGGTCAATCCCAGCGATTAAAAAAAAAGGTCACCGTTGCAATTGGCCTCCACAAACCGTTCGCTTGGGTCCGGCTGACACGCTCAAAACGGTCCCACCCCATTCAACGGCCGCGAACTATCGCGCGTGGCAGGGAGGCGGGGGGATGAGCCAGCCTCGACGTAAGAGAGGTGGAGAAGAACAGGTCCACATCTCCGTTTTTAATCTCTCCACCGTACCAGATCAGAAACGGAAAACTAGACATCAACAACCAGCGCAAAGCTTTTTGCACCTGGCTGACTCGGTCGTTTGCGCGCGTGATGGGCGCCGATAATCAGTGACGCCGGCATCCCGCTGATCGCATTACATGACAGAGTTCGACAGGAAGGTTGGCAGCGCGATGGGCAGAAAAGGCAGAAAATCCGAATCGCCTCGTAACGCGGAGTCGTCTCCGAGCCATCGAAAGAATCGCTTCGGAAGCGTCTCCGCAGCGAATGAAAGGGAGGTATAAGGCATGAAAGACCAAACCAAACCAAAACCAAGAGAAGGCGAAAGCGAAGTAAAGAAGGAGAGTGGAACACTTACAGCAAAGCTAGCGTCAAGTCACCGTGGATCCTGGCCTTGAGAGTAATCTCAATATCAAGGTTCAGATCGAGCCTCAGCTTCAGCGGGTTCTTGCCGCCCGCGTCGCCGCCGCCCTGCATCTGTTGTTGTTGCTGCTGCTGCATTTGCATCTGCTGTTGCTGCTGCATCTGTTGCTGCTGTCGTGTCATCTGGCCGTTTTGTGTGGTGTAGTTGCCGTCATCCTCCTCGTCCTCCTCGGAGTCGTAATCCTCATCCTCGTCGTAGTCTTCATCATCCTCGTCTTGCGAGTCACCGCTGTACTCGTCGTCGTCATAGACTTCACCGTCTTCACCCTCCTCGTCGTCGTCGTCGTAGTACTCGCCCTCGACGTCCTCTTCCTGGTCGCCGTCGAGCTTGGAGGGTTCTTGGTCCTTGGTCTGGTCTGCCGCCGACGGCTTCTTCTCATTGTCGAGGGTGGACGACCCGGGCTCCGCTTCGTCCTCGACGCCGGCCTGGTTTGATGACTCTTGCTTCTTGTCGGGCTCTTGGCCGGGCGTCTTTTGCTCTTGGGTCTTCTTCTTCTTCTGCTCCTCTTCGAGCTTCTTCTTCTTCTTCTGATCCTCGGTCAAGTTTTGCTCGTCCGCGGGCTTTTGTTCGTCTTGGGGCTTGTCCTGCTGGACATCTTGGGGGTTCACGTCCTCCCCAGGCTTCTTCTCGTCTTGTGATGATTGTTCTTGGGGCTTGTCTTCCGATTGTTCCTCGGGCTTGTCCCCGTCGCCGCCCACAGGGCCTCCCTCCGCCTTCTTCTCGTCGGCGCCGGACTGCTCATCCGCGGGGTTGCCAAACTCGCCGACAGGCGTCGTGCCTTCGGGCTTCTGCTCATCCGACTTTAGCTCTTCAGGCTTCTGGTCTTCAGGCTTCTGCTCCTCGGGCTGCTGGTCTTCTGGCTTCTGCTGCTGCTCCTCAGGCTTACTACTGTTGCCGGGCTGCTGGTTTCCGGCGGCACCTTGGCCTTGGCCCTTCTGCTGATAATTAATACCAATGCCAATCCTTACGCGCCAGAGAGCTTACCTTGTTCTTGTTCCTGGCCATTGTGTCGTCCATAAATGTGGTGGGGGTAACGTGTATGTGTTTGTTTGTTCAAGCTCCCCTTCAGTCTTCAGCGGGAACTAGCAGGCAATTCAATATGTGGACAAGTGTTTGGGTATAACGTGTAAGATGAGGTTCACGATGTTTCTTCTACAGTGTTCGAGTAAGGGAAAACCAAAAATGGAAAAATAAAGAGATCGTTCAATAGGGGAGGAAAGGAGGTTATGGTACAGGCCGGCCCTGACAGTTAAATCAGATCTTGTCCACGAGCTGTGCAAAGCCATGCATTCATTACCTCACACCTCATACTCACACCCCTCCAAAAGCAAACAGGAAAGGCGGTCCAGCAAGGCTGAACTAGAACCGGGACCCCTTTGTGACGCAATAGGGTGTGAATGTGTGGGCAAGACCACTTGTCACCTGAGGAGGGGGGAGACAAGAAAGGACGGGGGACCGGGTAAAGAGTTGGTAGCGAGAAGGGGGATGCCGCCTACGATTCTGGAGCAAACGGGGCCTTGGAATGGCCTAGACCTGGGGCCCGCGATACCTCGATGCCAGAGCGGGAACCAAGGCAAGCCTGGAGAGACACAGGCGAGTCCTCTTCCAGACTAGACCCGCGCTGTGATATCACTTCCGATACAGGTTTTGGACGAGGGGGCACAAGCAGGATTTCCTGTCCGAACTCCTCCAGAGGCGTCGCCATGTTGGCTTAGACAGGTAGAAGTCGAGGTGTGTGTGTGTGGTGTGCTCCCTCGATCGACAGGGTCCCCAGAGACAAGCAAGAAGGACCGGGGTGGTTTCAACCGGCGGTGCGCATAAGGCTAGATAGTCCTGCAAAGAGAGAACTAGAGAAGAGGAATCAGCATGACGTCAACGGGCTGGGGGACTACAGGAGGCTTGAGTGGCTGGTATCAGAGACGCGGACGATTGTACCGGTATGCTTATTGCCAGAGAGAAGAGCTGTTGGAAGCTTACCCCGGTCGCAAGGGGGGGACAGCTCGCGACCAATCGACCACTTACACGCAGAGACAACAAGATAATGATGAGATGTAGTCAAAGCAGACTAGACTAGACTGCAACGGTGAAATATGACGTCGAAAAGTTTACGGATGCGAGAGAAGGGGGGGTGTGTGCATACGGAATAGAAATGCGAGATCCATCGACTCCAGATGTCTCCAGCGGAACAACGAACGGTCTGGACAATGCACACACTGTGGGACTCGGGTGGTGGGCTGACCTCACCCCAGAGTCTCCTGACAGGGGTGCTCCCGAAACGGACATCTCGATCCTCCTTCGTCGTTAGACTCCCGATTTCTGGTCTACCCCTTGACACCGCACACACTGACTGCGCTGCACTGCACTGCACACTGGCCGCTGGGCCGCCCGCCGCAGAAAAAGAAAAACATAAGGACAGCAAGGAGATTTTGAAATATGATGGCCACGGCTTTCCCACGGACCGACAGGCCCCATCCCCCCGTAGAAACCTGTTTCTTTTGGATCTTCCCTCCACCGTTCTCCCAAGTGACAGCTTTCCAACCCCTCTCGAGACGCAAGTGACATATTGGAATACTCTGGCGAAAGGGCGCCTCGCCTGCCTCGCAACACAACGTCGCAGACCCGGTGCGGGTTCCACTTCACGCGGTTGGGATACACGGATCCCTCCTCTGAACTTGACACTCCCGAGTCCCGAACGGCACGAACAAGCACGCGTTCAAGAGGACTACAGGCAGTCTCACTCGAGATTAGTCCGGGTTTCCGCTCGATATACCGAACCTCTCCCACCACTTTTAACCTTTTGGGTCACTTGACCTCTTCTCACCGAAAATCATCCCCTTCCCTCATTTGGGCCCCCCCCAGAATCCGAAACATGGTCATCGGCCTGCTGGCAATCGCCGCCATCCCTACAGTCATTGGCACGGGACAGGCCGTAAGCGCGCAGAAGAAACAGAACGCCGCAGCAAAGGAGCAGGCCAAGTTCAGCCTCACGACTGTGCTGGACATTGACGGGAAAGAGGAGGAGTGCCCCATCGTCCTCGTCGACAACAAGGTAAGCCAAATCCACCTCAGGCCTTCATCCCCCATCCCTTAGCTTTGCGATCAACCCTCGTTACTGCAGTCTATGCAGCCGTTTCTGCAAATCACCTCCTTTTCCCTGATTTTCTCCTTTCCCCTTGCCAGACACGTTCCCCTTTCCGGCGGCTGGCACACCCACCTCGCCAACCTCGCCGTGCGTCGAGACTTGCACTAGCACACTCCAAAACCATGCAGCACATCCCCGTTTGCCGGTACACTAACACGCTCTCGCCCACGCAACCTACAGCTCTGGATAAATCACAGCTTAGCACCAGTCCCGGCGCACAAGTTCTCGGGGTACTATTTTAACTATCCTTCTGAGGAGCAGTACCGCGGCCTGGTATCGACGATATCAGAGGACCCACCAATGCTCAACTGGATCTACGTCGATGCCGACACCAGGGCGATGCGCCACGGGGGCCGCAAGGACACCGTCGGCCACGTCATAGGGCCGTGGGGCTGGACGGAGGACGAGAAGTATCTCTCGTTACGAGGCAGCGGCGTTGGCTTCGTGGCCGTGCTAGAGGAAGACGGCAGGTGGGCCGTATACTGGGATCCGGACGGCAGGCTGCGGGAAGGCTACGACGAGGACGATTGTGTAGAGATATCCCTCAAGAGACAGATGGCGCTAGGTATCGAGAGCGGCTATGTTAGAGGTTAGGCGGGCGACGAGGGAGATCGACCGAGGCAGAGAGGTGAGAGGGGGGTGTGTTTGCCATGGAATAATCTGGGGGAGTCGAGGAGTCTCGGAGCTTCTGGAGGAGCGTGCGAATTAGGACGACCATGCACACATGGTCCCGAGGCGTTTCTGGAAAGCTTTGCATGGATTCGAATTTAGAAGTTGGCATCTGTAACCAACCCCGTGAGCCCGTACATCGTCAGTGCATAGCATTTGGACAAGCTTGTGAGCTCAAACTGACTTACACGAAGCTTGTTTGATGGCAGGAAGTAGAGTAATGGTGCGTCATGCTTGCATTGGCGGCGCCAGTGACTCTCAAGTCAACCGTGGCGTGGGCATCCAGTGCCCATGATTGGGTACGAGTGTGCGTGTGGTTGAAAGCCGGATGGAGACAAGGATGTTTGACACCATTCGCACATATTCTTTTTCTTTTCTTTTTTCTTTGGGGACGCGGTCTGGGGTGGATGCTGTCTGGTCGGTGACCGCGCATCCTCCTTCGGCGGCGCAGGTAGATCGGGGCCACATCGAGAGCATGAGACACGTCTAACGCCCCGGCGGGCCCCAGTGTATCCGCCCCCCCCCCCCCCCCCCCCCCCCCTCCGCACGCCGCTTGGCCCTCTTCAACGTCATTTCGGTCCAGAACATCTCGAGACTCGAGTGGTGTGACGCAAATGCTCAGAGGGGGTGCGCGAGAGATGGGAAAACCTGGGTCTTCCCAGGGTCCAACATGATCTCATCAGCCGAGAGAGGGTGTAAGCTTTTCATCCTGTTTTGACCCCCCCTTTCCAGATACTGTCCGGAATCACTTATATGTTGCCGTCCTCATCCAGCGTTACGGAACTAAAACAGACTTTTGAGAGAAACACTTCAAACTTACCGGTAGAATCAAAAGCCCTTAATATCACTCCCTTATTTCCTCTTCACCTCGACAGGAAAGCTCATTAGCCCATCTTTGAACTTCCCATAGAGTTGCAGTCGCCAACAAATTCGATCAAAATGGCATCCCCCCGCGAGAGAAACAACACCAAGTACGCCTCCGATGACGAGACCTCGGAAGCACCCAGCGAGCAGCAGCAGGAGAAGCCCCAGCGCCGCCAGAACCGCAGCAAGAGCAAGCAAATGCAGAAGCGCCAGCAGGGTCAGCAGGGCGGCGGTGGTCCCCTCGGCGGCCTCACTGGCGGCCTTACTGATGGCGGTGTCACCAACGGTGTCCAGAACACACTAGGCAACGTCGCCGGTGGTGCTTTGGGACAACAAGGCGGCGGTGGCAGTGATAAGAGCGACACATTGCGGTTGCGTCTGGATCTTAACCTCGATATCGAGATTACGCTGAAGGCGCGTATTCACGGTGATCTGGAGTTGGCTCTCTTGTAAGTACCCCCCCAATTTCCTCCCAGTTGGGCCCTCTCCGTCTCTTCCGACTAGACACCCGTTCTGTCTTCTTTTCTTACTCGCAGACAAGGACGGGCTAGTTAGGCCAAGTTCATAATGGGCTAATGGGCTTCTCCTCGTCTTTTAATCAGGAACTGAGAGACGTTTTCCCAGGGACAAATCTTAAAACGATATCCATTCGTTCGGGTCGGGTTTTTTTATACGGAGTCGCGGAAATATTTAGTGGGCGAATTGTTTTTCGACACAGTTTGCTGGAATTTGCGGGTTTTTTTTCTTTTGTTGTCCACGATCATCCTACCGTAATGAGAAACGGATCAGGTTCGACAAGGGACGGTGCGGAGTTGGCGGACGGATGGGTTATCGGTATCCATCTGCCGCGTGTATTATGAAAGATTTGTGCATCGACATCATGAGATACGGACGCTATTTCGGGAAATCTTGCGGGTATCTTCTTCGACGTTAGCCAAAGCATTCTAAACAATTTTACGAATGATACTTGATCAAAGACAAAGTCACATGTCCTCCCGCTTTGCAGTGATCATGCTTCCCCGCAGTGGGTGGTACGGAAGCAACGCATCGGCTACCGCACCACTTCACCGCAGATCTGTCAACAGCATCAGTGAGTGTCGTTATTTTCAGGATCACCATCAATGCCCTAAGCCGCCGCTAACTTCCAAGTCGACGTGGAGTAGCGTTTCAAAGTTAGGCCAGGCCATAGGTATCTGTAGTGTCATGACACCCGCCGTCAACCACGCGAAGAGAGACGGGCCACTGGTAGGCTAAGCAGAAACGGTGACTGACGGCCGCTCGTAGTGCCATTTTGCCAGCCTCTGTCTGTTTCACGCTGTGAACGGGGGCGCCGTTGATCGTAAATGACGGGGCAAATCTCTGCATGCGACGGTGGGGTCGAGTCCACCCTCCCAGGTGGACGGCTAGGTATGTACGACAAAGTCCGCTGTCCATTCCTCCCAAAGGCTAGTGCCGTCGGGAGCCAAAAGGCGACGTGGGAGGGCAGGCCGACGGAGTGGCTGGAAAGGCACCTCGCTCAACTTGGGAATTGACAGTGTCTGAGACTACTGCAGGAAAGTCTTGCTGTGCCTTGCTTTCCGTGCGCCTCTTCTCTCCTAAGCTTAGCCTAGCGTTAGCCTCTTTTGGTGTGTCAAACGGTCAACCCACCCCAAGACTCGAGACAACGCATTCAAGATTCAGAGACGCTGACGGGATCATGCTAGAATCCTGACTTCATTCGTGGCGTCCAAGAGACTCACCAAGAACCCAAGGGAAGAAAACCAAATCCCGATACGCAACCTTGGGTAGCCTTGCCAGCGGCCGGCAAGAAGCCGGCAGCAAGTCAAGCCACAGGGCGTCCTCACCGTTCCTTGCCCGTCCAATGTCAGCGTGTCGAAGCCGACCCATGACGCCAAGCAACTCGGCCAAGCACACTTGGTGTGAGTGAGTGGTCCTTGGGTGCCCGCCCGCCGCCAAATGTAACGGTGGAACGGCCCCTCCTTTGCACGCCCCACAACCAATGCGACGGCGATGTCACCCCAAATGAAAAGACGGATCCACAGTACCGTCTCGACTCTTGAGGCGGGGAACGGTCTAAAACGCTAGGTGTGCAAAGAAACCGTGGCTGAACGGAGAACTCTTACGTCGCATCCCGGCATGCTGGGTGGGGGCATCAGCCACTCACAACCAGCTGCGTCCAACCTCGTCTCGTTCGCTTGAAAATGTCTGTAGAGTGATCTTCACCATTGGCCACTCTTCGTCGTCAAGCCACCAGCCCACAACGTTTTCCCGCCGATCCTACTGCTGCCGTCTCATTTCTCACGGTCTGGACTCTGATGGACTTTGCACCTACCTCGTGCAGCTCATTGCCATCTCGGGACCCATCGAGATCATCATTGCGAAGCCATGTCGGTTGTGGCGTTGGGGTGGACACTGCGGCCCTGCCCTCGGCATACTCGAGACGTCTCTGAAGTCCAGGTGAAGCTGTTCGGGCATGACGGCCAGCCCGAACATCTGATGAAGTTAATCTCTCTCCCCTGATGAGCCATCTCTGAACTCAGTTTGTCTCGGTGTATGTCTGTGTCTGGCTTTGTCTAGGGCCTTCTCCAGAGTCTGTGGTGGTCGGTAGGCTCGAAACTTCGTGGTCGAATGGTCGATTGAGGCCATCACGCGGCTCACTTCTCTTGACTGAGCACTGAAGCAACTGTCAGCTGTGCTCACCGTGCTCTTGGACGAAGACTTGACGGCTAGCCGTGCGTTCCGTCTGTACAGTAGCTTAGGCGCCAACCGAGCCCAGTCAGCAACACGGCCGCTCGCACAGTCGTTCGTGTTTCGACGGAAAACAGGCTTTTCCAGACTCGTCGGTCCTTTTGCCTCCAATCTCAGCGCTGTCCCAGCGCCATCTTCGGAGTCTTGCCTCGTTCCATTCTGCCATCTTCACCACCCGCCAAAAATCCCTCCCTCTCTTTGCTTCAAGGCATCCCAGGTATTCCGAAGTACCTTGTGGAGACCTTTGCGTGTATCTGCATCCTTGGTGGAGTCCACAGATCTCAGCTCGACCGGTCGTTGACCCCATTATCCTTGCACAGCGACCACCACCCGACAAGGTCCCAAGGTGAACCGTCGCCCCGTTCGCCAGTTCTGGAACCCCCAAAAAGCTGCCCCAGTTTCCATTGTGGCAGAAGCTCAGACAACCCACACTTGGTCATCTCGCTGAGTTGACGTCACAGCAACTGGCCCAACCCCCCTTCTGCCTTGCAGACCTTGCAGACCTTCTGCAGACTTGCTGCCTGCGTCGCCCAACAACCAGAAAAGCTCCGTCCGCGAGTGTATCGATCAAGGGGTGCACCAAGAGAACAGCACGCAACGGGACAGTCTGTCTCCTTCTCGCAACCGCCCAAACCCCCGAAGTAAGGCGATCCTCAGGTGGGTGCCCGCTCCTCATTCCTCCTCCCGGCTGGTCTTCCTCGCCATGCTTTGCCCTTCCCCCCCTTCGCCTTGACGGCAAGGCCCAGCTGACGCGGAATGTTCTTCTCCCACAGGACCACCTAATGATGACGGCAATACCTCCCTCTCGGCCGACTCCACCCCAAACTCTCCGCGACGAGTCCGAAGGCCTTGCCTCGAAGCAGCCTGCACAGCAACCTATGCAGAACTCCGTACCAGCGCGCCCCGAATCTTCGTTGCACACTATGCAACATACCGAGTCACAATCTGCGGATGTAGCTGGCGATCCTGAACACACTTCTCGGCATGACGAATATGAGGTTGTCGAGGTTGAGGAAGACGATACTAGACTGGAGGAGGCGCCTAAGGGCACCTTCTCAAGGCCGCCTTTGCCTCGTCTGAATTCTCAGTCGCGAGCCCCTTCCTCGCCGGCGCCTCTTTATGAAACCTCTCCTCCGCAACCTCCCCCTCATCGGAGCAGCAACACAAGCACCCCACAGCCGCAAAAGGGCGGGCCTGTCCATCTGCAGGGCTCGCGAGAGATACCAATCCCGATCAGGAATTCGTCAACTCAGCATCAAAGTGCGCCCAAAGCACCACAGCCGTCGGCAGCCGAGACTGAAGACGATGGCACGGACGAAGCATCAACTAGTGCCCAACCATCTTCGCAAGGCACCCCAAAGCCTCAGGAGAAGAACGCTCCGATCCAGATACCAAAGGTCACACCACTTTCTTCCGGTCTCACGCTGCCACCAAACCTTGCCGAGCTAGCGCAAGGTCTAGACGGAAAGTATGTGGACGAGTTCGGAAACATCTTGGACTGGAACGGTCAGGTGCTTGGTCGTGTCGAGGGCGACCTGCCGTCCATGATCGGACGGCCAGTCGCAGTAACGGGCGAGATCTTCAGCGAAGACGGTGAAGTTGTTGGGTATGTAGCGGAGAATGATACCATCCCTCCTGCGCCCCCCTCACCCAAGCCCATTGAAGGCATGGGCGACGGCTTGAAGGTAGACCACATGGGCAACATTCTCGACAAGAACAACAACGTCGTCGGTCACTTTGACGGCGCGCCCCTGGCCAAGTCACTCCAGCAGACAGGCCAGGCTGGCAACTCGGGGCAATCGAGTGGTACTCGTCCTGGGCATGTTCCCGACACACGGACAAGTTGTCCTCAATGTACTGCTCACCAGCCCAAACCATCCTCAACTACTCCTAGTCCGTCAGAGATCTTCATGGACGTTAAGTCGACCAACGACGGAATTCAGCTTATTATCAAGATACCCACGGTATTTCACGGCGGTGGGAATCCTAATATCCATATAGGAACCGGATCATGATTGTAACGAGATTTGCGTATTTTGGGTGGAGGTCGATCTAGGAGTTCTGGAACGGTTCGATAGAAGCTAGCATGCGGCGGCGTTCAGACGGCGGTGAGACGTTTATGATAGGCCAGGAGTTGCACCGTAGTTCCAACAATTCCCATCGTCTAAGCAGCGAGCGGTTCGTACAATGCGTGGCTCCAAGACCCTGTTGACCCGTACTGTGAGGCTGAAAAGTGGACAAGGTTGAGCTGCCGTCCGGAGAGTTGCGGGCGCATAGACGCGGCGGTTGATTTTGGGAACTTGCTGAGCGTGGCGAATAGCAATTTGTTTTTCGTGTTTCGAGGAGCGTCATGACGTCTGTCGCGCATACAAACCCAGCCTTTGTGAGCTTCGCAATCCGCATTGCAAAAGAAAGTGTTGGAGTAGTAGCTGGGGGGGGGGGGGGGGGGTCGACTGTGGAGGAACTGACGAATGGATGATGCAGGGCAGGGAGTGCCCTTGGAAACACTAGCCACACCAACTGGGCATCTCCAAGAAAGATTGTCGGCGATCGATCCGAAGGCCAATGGTAATTCCCCAGACTGGCTAGTTGTCACACCATTCCCCAAGTTGCATCTTTTCTTCTGCAAAGACCAGTTGCGTCATGACAGCTGGGATCCAGCCCTTCATGGGCTCGGACGAGTGTGGCTTTGCGTCATGATGGGCGGCTGTCTAGCTGACCTTCCCTCCCCTCCCCCCCCCCATGAAGTCACTCTGTGGCGCGAGCAGGGACCAGAGCTTCGAGGGGCAGCTCCTCGAGCTTGAGCTCCCCTTGACGTAAGTTTAGGAGCTGGAAACTTGATTTGAGCCCGAGGATTTGTGGTATAAGACGTCTGACCGGCAGGTTGTTGCAGATAGTTTTGGCTTTTTGTCTCCCAAACCAATGCAATCATCTCATGAACAGCTACATTTTCTAAGATACCCTGTTAGCGCTGAGTACAACGAATTTATATCCAAACACGAACAAGAACTACAACACTACAACAAGAACACAAACATGGTCGGCGCTGCTTCAAAGTCTGGCAGCAGCATGCTTGGTGGACGTGGAAAGGAGGCAAAGGAGAGCGAGCAGAAGTCAAGTGAGTGCACTTACATGATGAATGTGAAAGTAACAATCGCTAATATTTCCAAAGCATACTCGGTCGAACAAGATGTTCAAGAGCATGGTGAGAACCTTGTTGCCGGTGTTATCGGCAAGACGGGAGAGGTGGTAGATGAGACCGGCAAGACTGTCGGTAAGGTCACAGAAGGCGAGGCTGGCGAGCTTGTCGGCAACGTTGTCACCGCGACTGGCGATATCATCGGCAAAGACGGTGGCGTCATCGGCAAGGCGCTTCCTCTCGGTGAGTTGACCGAGGGCGGTGAGAGCAAGCAGGGTGGTAGCAGCAGCTTCAGCATCATGGGCGCCACCAAGGGTGTCAAGGGCATCGTCGACACCGTTGACGGCACAGTACAGACTGTCAACCGCACATTACCACTTGTTGGTGATCTGACAAAGGGCGTCGGTTTGGGCGAAGGCCAAGGCGGTGTCCTTGGAGGCGTCCTTGGCGGCGGTCAGTCTGAGAAGGGCTCTCAAGGGGGTCTTCTGGGTGGTATCACTGGAGCCCTTGGCGGTGGTAAGTCGGAGAAGGGCGGCTCGGAGCAGAACCCTCTCGGAAGCCTCCTTGGAGGTGTCCTAGGCCAGAGCCAGAGTGGTGGTCCTCTTGGTGTTCTTGGAGGAACCGAGCCTTTGGAACGCGACGAGTCTGTCACCGACAAGGACGAAAAGCTTACCCAGCTGCTCGCTCAACAAAAGTCAGACGTTGACGATAAGGCTTCTTTGACCGAGAACGCCAAGCAAAACCTCTTCGAGGTCAACGACACGACTTCAGAGGTCGCGCCCATCGACTTGCAAGACGCCGAGAAGTCGCAAGCAGACGACGGTAAGCCCACAAGCGGCGGCGAAAACACCCAAACAGAGACTGAAGATTCCCAAGGCGACAAGACAGATTTGACGGAGCAATCGACCCTTGACGGAAAGGATGACTTGCAAGAGGTGGATGCTGAGCCCATCGAGGAGCAGGCTGAGGGTGCTGAGACCGTCAAGGACGACACTACAGAGAAGGCTGGTACTGTCCCCGACGACATTGCTACCCTTGACGTACCCGTGTCTCAGATCCCCGACGACCTGAAGAGCGAGCTTCCCGAGGATATCCAAACTGCCGACATTCCCGTCTCCCAAATCCCCTTCGACGCGCAGTCCAAGCTTCCTACGGATTTGGCTTCAAAGCTCCCCGAAGACGTACAGTCTGGCATTGACACTCCTAAGGACACAACGACTGAAGACTGGGCCAACCAGCAGAACCCTGAGGATCAGTCCCAGGTTCCCGAGGACGCCGAGCTCCCGGACGCTGAAGGCGTTGAGGGCGCTGAGGGCGTTGAGGATGCTGAGGGTGCTGAAGAGGGTGTCGAAGATGCGGCCGAGGATGCAAAGACTGGTGACGTCCCGGATATTGATGTTACCGCCGCGTCCGACTCCGCTCCCAAGTCCACCGTCAAGGACGACATTAAGAGCGTCTTGAGCACCGTCCGCTCCGCCATCCCCGAAGATCAGCGCACTGTCACTGTTGCTGGCGACAAGCTCCTTCAGCCATTCGAGAAGTTCCCTGGTGCCGAGATTGATGATGAGGGCAAGGTCATTTTCGACAACGCCTCTATTGGCCGCATCGCCGAAGGTGATCCTGCCGACCTCGTTGGCATGACCATCGACGCCGAGGGCAATGTCATCAACGAGCGCGGCAGCATCATCGGCAAGGCCGAGCTCAAGTCAGAGGTTGCTGATGAACTCCTCAAGGACACGATTGACTTCTCCATCCTCAAGGGTGCCAAGGTCAACAAGGCTGGTAACCTCGTCAACGACAAGGGCGAAGCTGTTGGCCGTATTGTTTCTGGTATCCTCAAGCACCTTGTCGGCCGCAAGGCTGATGAGCGTGGCGAGATCTGGAACGATGCCGGCAAGATCATTGGAAAGGCTGAGCCTATTCCTGAGACTGAGCGTGAAGAGCTTGCTGAGCCCGCGCCTTTTGAGGACTTCCCTGGTGCGACTGTTGAATCTAACGGTCATGTTCTCTTCAATGGCGACATTGTTGGTCGCGTCATTGAGGGTGACCCGAAGAAGTTGAAGGGCAAGAAGGTTGATGACGAGGGTGACATTCTTGACAAGAGCGGCAATGCCATTGGCAAGGCCGAGCGTTGGGAGCCTGAGTCTGAGCCTGAGCCTGAACCCGAGGCGCCTGTCGTGATTGATAACTCTGCCCTTGCAGGCAAGCGCGTCAACAAGGCTGGCAACGTTGTCGACAAGGACGGTACCATCTACGGCCGTATCGTCGAGGGTGATGTCAAGAAGCTGATTGGCCGCATGTGCGACAAGGAGGGTAACGTCCGCAGCGAGTCTGGCGACATCATCGGCCGTGCTGAGCTCATCCCTGAGAGCGACCGTGAGGGTGCAAAGGAGGGTCCTTTCGCGGAGCTTCCTGGATGTACCGTCGCCAAGGACGGAACCATTGTTACTCCTTCTGGAGACATTGTTGGCCGTCTTGTTCAGGGTGACGCTAAGGCCCTTTTCGGGCGCCCCATCGACGAGGATGGCGACATCCTTGATCGCAATGGCAACCTCCTCGGTAAGGCTGAACGCTGGGAGCCCGAAGCCGCTCCCGAGAGGGAGAAGGGTCCCATGGAGGGCCGTAAGGTCAACCGCAGCGGTGATGTCGTTGACGAGGATGGCGATGTCATCGGCAAGCTTACCTCTGGAGAGATCAAGGCTTGCGCCGGCAAGATCATCAACGAAGACAACGACGTCGTCGACTCCAAGGGACGCATTGTCGGCCACGTCGAGCTCCTTGAGGATATTCCCCAGCCTAAGGGTCCCATGGAAGGCAAGACCGTCAACAAGAAGGGTGAGGTCGTTAGCGAGACCGGTGAGACCCTGGGCATGCTTACCAGCGGTGAGCTCAGCGTTTGTGCTGGCAAGAAGATCAACGAGGATAACGACGTCGTCGACTCCAAGGATCGTGTGGTCGGCCATGTCACCCTTCTCGAGGACCTTCCTCAGAAAAAGGGTCCTATGGAAGGCCGCCGTGTCAACCGCCAGGGTGAGGTTGTCGATGAAGATGGAAACGTCATCGGCAAGCTTACTACCGGCGAGGTGTCCATTTGCTCTGGCAAGGAGATCAACAGCGACAACGACGTTATTGACTCCAAGGACCGTGTTGTCGGACACGTCTCCCTGCTCGAGGACATCCCCGAGGTTGAGGAAGTTCCTACTGAGACCGAAGAGGAGAAGAAGGCCCGCGAGGAGGCTGAGGCCGACCGCAAGCTGGCCAAGAGCATCGGCGGACTCATTGAGCAAGGCCTCGACCGTCTGCGTCCTATCTGCAAGATGATTACGCAGAAGATTGAGGCAGCCGAGCGCAAGCCCAAGGAGGAGCGTGACGAGGAGCAGCTTGTGAAGGATGTTAAGCCTCTTATCGAGGAGGGTGGCAAGATCCTGACCGAGCTGAATGGCAGTGTCCGTGCCTTGGACCCTGATGGTCGCATCCAGCAGAACGCCAAGTCCAAGGCCCAGACTCGTGAGGCTACTCCCGAGGAGCACCACCTCGCAGAGTGTCTGAAGGAGGTAAGTTTATACCCTGAGAAGCTTCATACTACGGTATCATCGTATGATCATATGCTAACTTGCTTTTAGTTGACTGGTACCATTACCGAGACTGTCGAGGGAGCTAAGCGCAAAATCGAGGACATGCCCCACGCCAAGAAGGAGCTCAACCCTCTGTGGGGTCTCCTCACCGAGCCTCTCTTCCAGATTCTGGCTGCTGTCGGTCTCTTGTTGACCGGTGTCCTCAACCTCGTCGGTCGTCTTCTCAACGGCCTCGGCCTCGGCAAGATTGTCGACGGCCTTCTCGGTACCCTGGGCCTCAACCGTCTGCTCGACGGCCTTGGTCTGGGCAGCTTGACCGCCGCTCTCGGCGGTGGCAAGAAGAAATAAGCGCTTATGATATTATGGCTTGGTTTCATTGTAGCGTGTTCTCATCGGATAATGGGTTGACGTGTATGACGGACAAATGGAATCTGTTTGGCGTAATGTTTGTACTTGGTTTCCAAAATCGTGGGAATGGGTTGTGTACGAATAAGTAGGATTGGATAGTTTTAGCGACCAATTTGAATGGCCTTTCTCGGAAAAGTGCTTTATCACAAACCCTGAATAACCGCGGTGGTAACTGAGTCGTGACGATTGTAACCTTTGTTGTTTGATGTTTACGACGTGGGTTGGTTGATTGTCGTCTGTGAGTAAGGCCGGAACGTGGGAAGCGGTTGAAACAAAGTCGGGGAATTTTCCTTCCTTCTCTCTTTCCCTTTTTTTTTTCTTCCTTTTTTTCTCCGATGGACCATGGTTGGGGTCGGCATCATCTTTGACAGGCGTGTGGAGGTGTACCGCCCAAACGAAAGAAGCTAGGGCCGGCAGGTGTGACCTTTGCGGCGAGTTCAGGCAAGCAGGGGCCGCCATTTTGTTGATCGCCATTGTTGTTGATCGCAATCCGCTCTTTCCATCACATTCAGACGCATGGGGTGCGCAACTCGGCGCGGTGGATGGGCTCATCGTCGTTTCCATTCCCGCATTCAACCTTCTGGGGCCTTCCGCCCCGTCATCGCAACCCTCATCCTTGCACTTCACAGCGACCCGTCCAACCCGACGCGACCATCTTGGACTGCTTTGGACCAGAAGACGTGAGACATGGTGCCACTTTTGTACTTTGCAAGCTTGGGTGAATCGCCAATAGTCGCCTTTTTCCATGTCCCGAGTGACACCACCGGTGCTGGTCCCGAAGCCCCCCTTCCGGGAGACTGCTCCGCGTCTTAGACTTTGTGCATTATTGACTTCCCGGTCAATAGTACCACCCATTCATCGGCTTCTGTGTCTTCCGCAATCAAACCTATCTACTATGCACTACACACTCATCAGGGTGTAGTCCGCACTCCAGAGGTTCCTATTAAGAGCTTCGTTTAGATAGCTATAAATGCCCAGAAGAGGTTTGAAGCCTTTGCTATCGCTAGGTTACATCTGCAGATGTAGCTAACAAGGGTGCGACGTGGATCGTCCCAGCCTTATCTACAACCCCAAAGAGAGCAGAGGCTTTGCATCTCCTGGTGTTTTCTTAACGTGCCACTTGACCCTGCGATGGTATCTCTCGCTTGCCAAATGTTTGAATAGTTTCTACGCCGTTGTCATTCGAATCCACCTTTACAGATACAAAGACACACCGTCGCAAGGCAAGGTATTCTCTCCGGCGCGGCCACGCAGCCTAGCAACGCTTTTCAGACCAGGCATACCATTAGTGATTCGATTCTCATGAATGAAGTATCCAACTATTGATGCAAGATATCTCACCATTTCGTGGCCATCGCCTCGGAACTCCCAAGAGCGCGTCGGACGGACGGGACGCAAGTTGAACCTCCACCCACGGCCATCGCTCAACCACTGGAAATCCGATGAAGAAGTGACTGGAGAAGATGACCCCTACGTGGCACAACGTTCGGTATAAATTGTGTCAATGGCGTCCGCAAACTGCGGTGCAAATGATTTTCCAAGCGTTTTACACGTGCAAGTTAAAACGGATCAGAACCCAGTTTACCTGATCACCGCATGGCCTAGTACGGAACCAAAGTCCGCTGCATCTTCCACCTCGTAAGTTCTCTCTTAACCCTTCACCAGAGGCAACCACGTTGGATTCGTTATAAACAGCTGCTCCATTCAGTTTACTAGACCATCACCGGCGCAGCAGTCCGGCCAGGTCCCATCTCAGCGACATCCCATAGCGACGTGAGGCCGATGGCGCTACGAGCGGAAGCACTGTCGGGCCATGGGTGCCTCAGGTAGTTTGGGGAACTCGATGAGATAAGATAAGATATGATAGCAGACCGGCAGATGACGATCCTTATCGATAAAGCTCCCCCGATGCGTCGATGCATCGATGCACCGACCTCAACAACACCCAGCAGTGACGTCAAACCACTCCCCGGAGCTCAGAGCACGCCGCATGACGGCATCAACACCACAGACTGATGTCAACCGCCGCAATCAGCCCAAAAGACCGCAAATCGGTGCGGCGCGCAGGGGAGGGCGTACCAAACCTCCCTTTTTTTTCCCACCTTTCAGAAGCCACCGCAGCTTGCTCCCTTCCGCGCGATCCAGGAAAGCTGGTGCTCTCCCCCCCTCTCCCCCCTTCCACCCCGTCCATTGACGCAACTGCCCCTCCGAGCTGAGACTGCCCCTCTTCGGATTTCTCTCGAGCAAGCTTCCCAGCTGGCTGCTCACTTTCAGGTAGCTATTTAACTTGAATGTCTCGCTAGTCTGGCTCTTCCTTCTTCCTTTGATCTACACAAGTCTCCAAGCAAACAACATCTCTCGTCCTCCAAGCAACACTTCTCACTACCAAAACCACCGTTCCACCCTCATCCCACCAATACATATCTCCAACATGCCCGAGGGACGCCAATCTCCTGCTCCTGAGAATCAGACTGGTGCCCAGCAGCAGGACCCCCCCGCCTCCGGCACGGGAACCGACGATGCCTCCAACAAGGACGCCGCCAACCAGGAGTCTCTCAAGGTTCGTTCTTCCACCCGCTCCCATCCCTTCCCGTCTCCAAAGTGTCTAACTGTTCTACAGAGCCTGTCTTCGAACCCCAAGGGCCCCATGGACGAGAACCTGAAGGAGAAGTTCGCCAAGACCCAGTAAAACACTCTACAACCGAAATAAACGGAACCAGGAATGATACCAATAAAGGCGTTGGGAATCCCGGCCACGACATGAGCCATGACGCACCACTGAGATGAAATCACGAATTGTGATGTTGTACCATAGAAATACAGCAATGCCAAAAGAAATGCATTGATACTTCATTGAATAAACATCCTGCTGTAAAAATGGTGCAAACGGTGGTGTTTGTTGTTGCCACATCAAAGAAACTTGCGTAATGATGGAGATTTGTAATGTAGATGTGATGACACCTGTGCGAAACGGAGTTGCATCAACCATTTTTGTCTTCATCACTTTCATCAATCTCCAGAATTCAAATTCGTGATGAGTAACTCTTGAAAAGTCTGTAGCAACGCTATCGAAGTAGGCGCGCATAGTCCAGAGAGAGCTCAGATTTTCATGTTTATGTTCGCTCAAATCGGCCACCTTCAATTGGCATACAAAAAACACATCATTTTTGCGCGAGTTGATATGAATTATCTATATTTCCTAGCACGCATATTCTCACAAACCACAATAACCATGAATAATCACACGGAAACAATTAATCGATGCCATAAGCTTGCATTGAAAGTCGTAACTACCTAGAGTGCTCAAGGGAAAACCACTTGCGTAGCAGTCATAAAACGGTCGTGCCTAATGAACCCAGCCAACGCCTACCCTCATAACCTTTTGCGTGCCAACAAACATCGTCAATTCCTCTACGACGACTTCTCATCGGTCGCAGCCGAGGGCTTGGACAGAGGGACGGCCGTTGAAGGATCGGGGTTGGTGGGAGACTGGGTACCAATGGTCTCGCCAGTGGCAGGAGGAACAGTCTTCTCCTTCTCCTTGCCGAGGAATCTCTCGAGGCCAGACGCCTTCAAGGCGCTGCCGCCATGCTCCTCCTTCTTCAAGTCCGCCAGGCGGCGGGCCTCAGCATGAATGTCTTGCACTTGTCTTGAGCCGGTCTCGTAGAAACCAACAATCTTCTTGCCGGTAGGGGAGCTGGTAGCCTTTTCAAAGTAAGAGCTCAGGCCGCCAAAGATGCCTTGGGCCTTAGCAGTGATGCCGTAGGACTGGTCGGTCGCCTTGGCACGATCTGTTGCGTGATACTTCTGGTCGAGGTTCTGGAGGGTGCTGAAGAAGCGGCTAGAGACGCCGTGCTGGCTGTCAAGCTCGATGGCGCGCTGGAGAGCGGCATCACCAACGACATAGCCCTGAGCAAGGTATTCAGCCAGGATGCGGGAGCGGGGCTTCTCCTCTTGAGTAATATCGTCGGAGTCGCGGTTGGCGTTTTCCTTGTGGTGGGGGGCGTCATCGGAAGGGTCGCCGCCGGCGCTAGTGACGGTGATGTGAGAGGTACCGAGCTGAGTGTTGTTCAAGAGGAGAGCCGTCTTGGCGGCGGTCTCCTTCTCGAAGGTGACGGCAGCATCCTTGGTCTCGCCAGAGGGAGTGACCTCGATGTTGGTGATCTTGCCGCTATGAGGTGTCAGCAGGTGGTCGGAGATCATGGGGTGAACGCGAATCAGGCCTTCGGGGCCTGTCCCACGCCAATACGGCGGGTGTTTGCACTTACCAGAAGCTAAAGAAGTCCTTGATCTCCTTATCTTCGGTCGCGGAAGCGATGTTCTTGACGTGGACGGTGGTGTTGGACATGATGGCGGTTGATGTGTTGCGGTGTGGTGTTGTTGGGACAAGCGTGTGTTGTAGGAGGGAGTTTTGTGAGGGGTAACCGGAGACTGGTGGATGGGGTATCAAGGGAGAAAATGTACGTCGTCTCGAGTCGGTGTGTAGTGGAAAAAGCAACAAGAGCTGAGAGAAGTGCAACAATGTCAGGATCGTGTGGATGATGGTTTTATTATGTAGTGAGATCAGGACGAGTCACTATGGGAATGCGGGAGGAAAGGCAAATGATCAGACGAAGGGTCATGAGGACGCGCTTTACGTTTTCGAGCCAAGGCAGGGCAGGCGACAGAGAAGGGGCGGCCTCCAGCTCACGGTGACGATGCTTGACGCCGCAAGACCAGGGACCTTGTTGAGGGAGGAGCCCACCCGCCCCTCGCACGCATTGGGCGGGGACGGGCAGGGGAGAGATTTCCTCGGTGACTGTCGCCTTCCCTCCTCCCTCTTCCCCTTCTTTGCTAGGCAGGAACACGCCACAGCAGGAACAGCAAGAGCTGCCTGGGCTCTGGACTCCCCGATCCGGCGCAGCAGCAAGGGCGGCAAAGCAAGGAGCAGGGGCCGAAATGGGCGCAGTGCATGTGTCGTCCCTCGAATGGAGGGGAGGGGAGGCGACTGCCAAACGTCATCGTCCGCGAATGTGAGGAGCTCGTGCCAGGGGTGGGGGTGGCTGAGCGGAAGCATGGACCAGCGCTAGCCCCGCTAACAGAGCCACATCTCAGCCCCGTACCTTTTCCGGCTGTTTTGGCGGTGAAGCTACTTTCACATGCATCTGCGTCTATTATCCAAGCTACTAGAATGCTCCCGAACATGAGACGACCCTGACATTCCCTCCCTTCCAATGGCTTCGTCCCATTCCCGTCCCCAAGCTCCCAACACCGGATGACGCTCCTCGGGTGCGGACACGACCCTCTTACGCGAATACGGAGTACGCGCCCGTCTCCTCCACCATGCTATGTACGATCTGGACACGGCTACCGGTACACTGCCGTGGTTGCGACGCAATACCGGGAACGACGTGGCTTGTGGCTGGTGCACCCAACCATGCATGGAACAACTCTCTCCCATTCCAGACATTTAACTCGACATCCAACCCTACCTCGTCCCATGTGATCTACATGTGATCTGCAGATGCACTCATTACCACTGCCGTGACGCGCCTGCCTCTCCCAGAATCACGTCCGACGCCTTCTGAATTATGATGAAAGTTGCTACGGCCGGAAACGCCCCGGGAGCTCGCGGAAACACACTCGCGTCGACCACCCTCTGTCCGTTGGCCCCCAGCACCCGAAATTTCGAATCCAGCACAGCCATGCGGTTGCCCTCTGTCCCGATCTTGCAAGTGCCAGTCGGGTGATGCCCAAACGTCTGCTCCCGGATCCACTTCTTGTCCGACTCCGTGTCTGCGTCGCCACACCGACCATCGCTCCTGATCTGTGAACACGGGGGTTCCGCCGGCTCCAACGGACCCCACGGACCTTGGACGTTGCTCATGCTCCGCCGGCCCCATGTCACCGTCTCAGCCAATGCTCCAAGGTCCGTCTCGACGCACTCTTGATACAGCTCAAAGTTGATCTCGGGCGGTTCTGTCGAGTCCGCAGACTGGACCTTGACGCACCCGGCCGTGTTTTGCGGGTGCATCTTCACCATTGAGAAGCCTATTGTGGTAGGCGGGTCGACGAGGTCCGGCTGCTTCACCGTCGGCCAGAAGTCTCGGAATGCATTCGGCCAGCTGAAGATAAAGACGTCCCGTTCGCCGTTGAGCGAGTAGTTCGACTTGAGCAGAAGCGCGTTCGAGTTGTACCCGGGTCGCATGTACAGCCCCTTTCCTTGCCGCCACAGCTCTTCGCATGGGTCTCCCGGCGTTCCCTTTGCGCATGTCGGCTCGTTGGGGTTGGGGATGGCCGTAAGGTTGAGCTGAGCGTGTCCCACGATGGGGAGTTCTTGGTTATCCTGGAGGTTCCGGCCTACACCCGGCAAGTCCGCGACAACTTTGATCCCGAGAGCCTCGAGATGAGATTTGTTTCCGATGTCGCTGAGCTGCAGGATATGCGGCGAGTTGAAGGCTCCACCTGCCACGATGACTCCACGAGAGGCGAATACTTGCATGGTCTCGCCTGTGCTCGATACGTTTCGTCGGGCATCCGCGCCGTACGTGGAATTGCCCAGCAGATATCCGACTCCGATGGCTTTAGGTGTCTCGCCGCTCGTCTCATCGAACAAGACCTTGATGACCAGGGAATGAGTTGACAAGGTCAGCGGATACTTGGGCGAGCCGTCCGCATCCTTGGCTGCCAGAGTCTCCAGGATGAGAGTGCGGGAGTTGTACCGTTACTATTTTTCAATTGCATGAAAGGAGAGCCCCCAGAGGCCCTCTGTGGTATCCCGGTCTTCGCCGAGGAAGTTGCCGTCGCTCCCTAGCATCTTAACGAGCCTCTCCGGGTCTTGACCAATGGATCGGGCATACGACTTGGGCACATCCATCACACCCGGGTTGCTGAGATACTGCGATCCGTTGCCGAGGTTAGTCTCGAAGTAGCCATCGAACCCGTGACCGGGCGTGCCTTGGGGAGATTATTTTTCGTCTCGATGCTCTTGAAAATGCGCCTCATGTTCTTGTCGCTATCTTCACGTTAGAATCGGTGCCCCATATTCTTCCGTGTCCCGTAAACTCACTTACATGAAGCATCTCCCGTCACATTCTGCACGAACCCCCAATTCCCGTTACTGGGCAGCCACGTCGCCATCGCGTTCGTCACAGACTACCTCCCAACCGTCGCGCCGCAGGGGTAATACACTTCCAGCAACTCTGCGCCATCCGGCGCCATCGTCGCGTTGCCGACCCAGTACGAGCCATTCTCAAACCTCCACGCCAGGTGGTTGTTCCGCAGCTCAGTCTCTTTACCCAAGTGGTGCCTTACGAAAAAGAACTAGCCGTTGGTGGGCGTGACGACGTATCCGCCGTTGGCGATGATGGTGCGTATGTCAGAGGACTGGTCGTCGCCTGCCTCGATGAGGAGGGTCGAGTGGCCTGCGTGCGCGAGGTTGCAGGCTAAAGGCCCACCGCCGGGACCGGAACCAATGACTATGTAGTCATAGGTGCGGTTCGACGTCGCGTTCTGGGCAAGGGTTGTGAAGGGGAGGAGAAGGAGAGCCGTCAGGGCTGTGATGGGCCGGAGGACGGCCATGATGTTTGCGCAATTGTTCAACCTGGGTCGATGCTTTGAGCGCAGTCCATCTTCAACCTCGCTGGCCGGGCTTTCACGGGATTCTTAAGTACACCGCAAAACATATAGAGGCCCTGTCTTCATGACCCATGTCGAATATAAACCTTTTCTTTCCTTTGCCTCGCTGAGCTCGTCTTGCGGATTCCAAGCTGAGCAATGGCCTGATAAGCTTACAGCATCTTTAGCGGGTGTAACCGTACAACGGTTGCCCCATGGTTGGGGATATTAGCGAGTGGGGGTTGGAATCCTTCCAAAGTCTTTGGAGTACCCTGTTGCCAGGGGTTAACCCTAGGCGACAATGTCCTTTCATCATTGCTTTGGCACGGTTTCTGACTTAGAACAGCAGGCGCGATGTTCCCTCACTCTAGCTGGCTTATCTTCGCAACGTTGTTTGGACAGTTGGTGACCGCCGTGCTCGCTTCTCGTACTTGATGCATTGCTTCTGGACGTGGACGAGATGAACGATATGCCGCATTTCATGTGATGTGATATAAACGAAGCTGCATTTGGCCTATTTCAATCATTTCTTGTGCAATTACTTAGATGCTTCCACATCCAAGGACGGAAAGAGACAGGTAGAGGTCATAGTGGTTTCAGTATCGTTCGCAACGAGACCATCGTCAGGGCTTTCGAACCGGGAGAAGTGATAATCAAACGAAATGAAGACATGTTGGGGTTTCTGTTTTCTATCTGATTTCAAGATTTGAATCCTGATTTCATTTTTAATATTCTTTTACGAAAAATCTAGAACTCGATATATTGACACCAGCAGGATTGTTATACCGTTGCTTCCCGTAGATCTTCCTTGGAGATCGAGATAACTCAACAATTCAGGTCTTACCGCAAACATAGATCTGCTGGCTAGTATCGATTATTACTTCCGAAGATATTAACTTCGACTCAAAACTGCACCAAGTTCGATGACTTTACATCTGTCATGGTTTCATAAATCATAAACAATTGCATCGCTAATGAGTTTCAACTACATATACCTATGAGTCATTTTACCGAAATCCAGACTGCATCGATCCCCCTTGTCCCATATTTGGATTAGGTTGCTGCTGCTGTTGTTGAGGGTTGTTCATCTGGCCCTGGATACTCTGACCCGGTAAAACTTGAACATTGACAGAGCCAGGTGACATACCGGTCCCCATATTGTTTCCCCCACTGCTGTTTCCCATGGAAGGCCCAGCCATGTTCATGTTGCCAAACCCTGTGTTGCCCACGCTACCATATCCAGGCTGCCACCCCTGGTTACCCAGAAAAGTTCCCTGGTTCTGCGTGTTGTTGCCATATGGCCCGCCTCCTATCGGATTGCCGCCCATCATGTTCCCGGCTTGTCCAGCGTAGGGCATCACGTTGCCCTGCTGAGTGTTCTGCCAAACGCCGGGTACCCCGTACCCCTGTTGCTCCTGACCAAAGCCCTGGCCTCCAAAGATGAACTGCTGCCGGTTGAAGTCATCGAAACGGTGCTCCTTCGAATATGCCCTATCGTGATCAGCGCGCTCGTGTTTCACCGTATAAAGGTATCCGTTGAACTCATTCGACACTTTGGCGACCTTTTCAAAGTGTTCGCCCTTGACGATTATGGGACCGGGCACATGGTACTCCTTCTTGTGCCACTCGGAAAGGGCTACTGCTGTCTGGAAGGCATTTCGAATCTGTCTTCCATTCCAGATTGGCTTACACTCGTCTTTATTCGTCTACATGTTCCACAGCGTAGCTGATAGCGTTGAGATCTCATCGCGGTTGAACTTGACGTGCTAGGATACATCCTCTGGAGCGGCCTGTAGGGAAAGATCTTCCGTGCGGTCCATCTGCATCTCCCAGATTCTCTTGGTCTGTTCTTGAGTAAGAGGTGGATAGTAGAGAGCCATGGATACGCGAGAATTGAAGGCTTCGTTGAATGAACCGACTTTGTTGTCGTAAGGAATAAAATACCCCTCATAGTATTCCATCACTCGGAGGAAAACTTGGTGCGTCAGCATCCTCATCTCACCATGCGATAGTCAAATCCTCTGCGCGACCGCTAAATTGGGCTGACCTACCGGAGACTAAGGCGTTTCGCTCAATGTTGTCATGGCTTCTTTCGGCAAGGAACACATCGGCTTCATCCAAAAGAAGAACGCAATATAGAAGCAGGTCAAACAATTGAATCACCTTCTCACCTCGAAAGTTCCCCAGAAAATATACAGGTATCGTCCTCTGAGTTCCAGTCATGTCTGTGTATGTCAGATCGTATATCGAGACGCGAGCTGGAGAACTTGACGCAAGCTGGCAGGTCTCAGCCGGAAACAAGTTCTCTGAGAAGAAACGGCAGCAGAAAGCATTTAAAAGGTGGATTCTTGCCTCCTTTAACTTTTATTACCAAAGGGTTTCAGCTTTTGATCTGGCACACCCAAAAGCTAACCTGGACTTGCGTACTAGAATCGATGAACGTACAAAATCTTTCAAGACATTGGTCGGTAACTTTGTGAAGTATACGAAGAGTAATGAACTTTCAAGGTTTGATGTCGATCGTCAGTTCGTCTGGGAAGATGTGAGAACTATGGCATCGGACGCGATTGAGCAAGATGCCTCCAAGACAAAGCGGCTACACAATCCATTCAGAGCGGCGGGTCGATCATTCCAGCAGAACGCTTCAAATCTTGAGATGCTTGTGTCGTTTCTACCAAATGGAGAGTTCACTGGTATTCTTTGCGGAGCCCTGACCTTCGTCTTCTCTGTATGAAAATCTCCCCATAGCCAAGTAGAGTTTAAACAACTATTTCACAGGCCGCCAAACGTCTGGAAGAGGTTCGAAGCAAGATCATCAGCTGTTTGATTAGCCTCCCTGATATAATTGAGGAGACAGAAGAGTATGTCGAGATATCCGACGACGATTCTCGAGTTTGGAATGCTGCAGAGGATTTGTACCTAGGAATTCTCGACGGTGTGGAGGGTATGCTGCAATGGATTGACAAAACGGCATTCGGTATGAGTCCTCAAAACCCACACTAAGAGACAAAAAGATCTCTAAATAACGCGTCAATCATGAAAGAACGAGCTTTCAAAGCACTGCTGCGGCCTGCTACCTACGGCAAAAGCCTAGAAGAAGATACCATCAGAGGGAACATCGAAACCAATGTCACCAAGTTTCGCAATGTGGTTACACTGAGCTTTCAAAAACGTACCAACAAGTCATTGAAGGCATTGAAGGAGCAACTGGATAGCCAGATGAAACAGGTTCAATGGATGTATGGTCAGTTACACCAAATAACCAACGCAGGTGATGCCAATTACCTAGGATTTAACATGTTTTACGATTTAGAAAACCCACTGGCAGAGAGATTGTTCAGACAGCAGTTAGTCACTTTGGATCAACTTCGTACCTGTATCAACGTCGACTTGCAGATAATCTGGAAAGACTTGGCAACTGCAATGATCGACGCCCAGAACCTCTATACACCGGAGATGGCCAACCAAGCCATGCTCATCTTTCGCAACAACAACTTTGCCGCATGGTTGCAGTCTAATATGTCCCAGGTTCTGTATATAAATGGACGAATGGACTTGAACCCGGAGCAGGAAGCGGCATCTCCGCTAACATTTCTCTTCTGCACCTTCGTGCAGAGATTGATGAGACAATCAGGCCGCAGTCTGCCTCTTGTCTATCTCTGTGGCAGGCACAACCACCCAAATGATCCTTTCGTGGGGCCCAGCGGCATTCTAAGCTGTCTCAATGCCCAAATTGCCCAGTCTCTGACCCCACGGGAAGTCGACCTTTCTGGAATCAACCTGAGTTTCGTGGATGGCGTCAGGGGCCAGCAAATGGAGGCCCTTTGCTCGCTCTTTAGACTCTTCATGATTTCTGCAACTGGAAAGGTCATCTTCGTCGTTTTGGATGGTGTGTCGTGGCTGGAGGTAGGGCGTCATGTTCAAGGTCTCGGAGGGGTGGTCCTTTTCCTGTGGAACCTCGTCAATGAGTTGAACCAGCAGAATCATGGCGTGATACTCAAAGTTCTAATTACCAATCCATCGACAAGTAGCTATGCGAGACGGTGGCTTCCTAAGGAATGCACAATTGAGATGGAAGATGTTAGGTGAGGGGCGTATGAGCACATCAGCCAGGGAAAGTCTTGTGACACAAACGATCTCAATTGTTTGTCCAAATAGTTGTGCGTGAAAGAAATCAAATCAGTCCAACGTCTGTCCTTTACAAATGATAATTAAAGTCCAACTCCCAGTCGCCCGTCTTAACCTTCCGCTTGTCCTCCATCTCCCCGCTCGCAATCTTCCTCTTCATCTCGTTGCAGTGGCGGATATAGAACCACTTGGCAACCACAAGAAGTTGCGCAACACCCAGCGCTCCGACAGAGATCGCATTTCCAAGGAGATAAGGCGCCTTCCGGTAAATCTGCCCTGCTACAATACCCGCGCAATTACCGATGGCCTGCTGCATACCAATGGCTGTAGCGCGGCGGTACTGGGGCGCAACATTGACGTTGAGCCACGTCAGGTTGAGCCCGGGGCCGTTATACACAGCAACTGCACACAGGAAGGTGCCAAAGAATTTGACACCACTGCTCGTCGGGCAGATGATCAGGATGTAGCCGATGATACCGGGAATGTTTGCAAGAAAGACGAGCGGTCCACGGATAAGCATACGGTCCGACACATAGGCTGTCGACAGGAAGGCGATGGCGCCGAACAGAAAAACCGGGATGCTGAGGTATTGCGCTTCGATACTGGTGCGACCCATGCTGACAATGATGGAGGGCAGGAAAGTACTGAAGCCGTAGAGCAGGATGTCCTGACAGAACTGAATGGCGCCGCTGTTTCCTATGTTAGCACGTGGCTCGTTCTGCTCAGTATCTAGGTTCTCAACTCACCTCAGGTAGAGCTTGGGGTCGCGAAGCTCGATCTTGATCTCCTCCCAACTGAACTCATCACTTCCCATATACTGAGCTCTTTGCGCGGCTCGGACTTTCATCATCCTCTTCTCCTCATCGGAAAGAAAGTACGCCTCGGACGGGTCGTTGGGGAGACCGAACCAAAGAATTGGCGCGATGAGAATGCTGATGACACCTTCGATAATGAACACCCATCTCCAGCCGGCGAAACCATTGACTCCGTCCATCTTCAAGAGCGCATACGCCAGCAACCCTCCAAAGGCGCCTGCAATAGCCGAGCACACAAACAAGTATGACACCCGCTTCGCCTGCTCATCTCGCTTGTACACCATCGTCAAGTAGAGGTTCAACGCAGGAAACAGACCAGCCTCGCACGCGCCGAGGACCAGGCGCACGGCATAGAGGCCTCCGATGTTTTGGATGAAACCCGAGAAGACTGTTGCCAACGACCAGATGATGCACAAGCCGGTTAGGAGAACGCGCGGGGTGATCCTCTTCATCATGATGGTCCAGGGTGGCTCGAAGACGACGTAAGTCGCGTAAAAGATGGAGACGGCGGTCGAGAACTCCTGCGTCGAGGCGCCAATGTCTTCCGGCATGCCCGCGACTCGGACGTTGCCAATGTTGCTGCGGTCGAGGAAACAAGTGAGGTAAACAACCATGATGATTGGCACGAAATATGCGTCAAGCTATGACAAGAGAAAGTGCGGTTAGTTTCCCCTGCGAGGTCTGCAGTTAACATGAAGATCGTGAAGACAACTCACCTTGAACAGGAGCTTCTTCTCTGCCTCAGGGTCTAGCGATTCTATCGCCATTGTTCCGTTATTGGACTCCGAGCGGTCAAAGTCGCTTCCAAGTCCCTTGTCCGTAACGCCGCCGGAGGCATTACCAGGAGTCGTGATCGCAGCCATCACTGAAAGTGGGTAGCCTCAATCGAGGTCTCGAAACCCACCTAGAGAACAATTTGGTGCAAATGGAATGTCTACCGGGCTCAATGGCAATCTCACTTGCACAACAAATCCTAGTAATCTAGAAACGTTTGCCAAAATACTACGCCAGACAGTTGGATGGGGGACACTACCTTTATCTTCGACCAACACGTACCGTGCCATCAATGATAGACGGGAGATGACAGCAACCAATGCACCTGTTCATGTGCTATCTCTTGCCGAGCTACCGCTGCAGGCACGGGCGTACGGATTCCTGGTATCAGACGTAACATCGCGTGGGGATCATGCGGAGAACCACTCCTTGACCGACCTTCTCCTAAACTCGACCTGCGTACGCCGGGACTTGTGAGATCGGAGGTCCTCGCCGACCCCTGATGTGTGCGGGGGACGTTCCCCCACCAAGAAGTGATAGCGCAGATAGCGCGGATCCACCGACCGGCTTCGGAGTGGCGCCCCTATCATCCTGGGAATTAACTCCAGATTCAAAAGGAAGTAATGAACTGAGTTCAATGCTTGTTCACCAGCTTGCAACACTTATCGAACCAGAGCGTCGAGCGCTAGTTTGTTTCTACTTTCTCAGCCCTTCCAGGTCACTGGCACCAGTCTGGCGTTGATTTTCCAGCGGCCCGTTATGATGTCAGGGTGATGCCCTCGGGCAACTTAGCCGTCGCATCGGGAATTAACCCATGTGAGCTTGATCCTTACACTACATATCAGCACCTGGCAGCCCTGCAGATCCCTGAAAAATGGCACGATTCGATTCTTAAGCAAGATAAGCCATGCCCACTGGAGCCTGTAATTTTTCTATCGATTATCTCGGCCAACTAAGAACCTGTTCTGGTACCGTCCAGTAAAATGCGCTACACATCCATCCTATCATCGGCTTGAGTCATGCCAGCCGTTTGTGTCCATTGCGAAAAATCAAAGCTTGCATCCATGGCTGGGTCGGCGAAGCCCTCCTCCCAGAGGCCAAAGTCCATCACCGTGCTCATGCTCTCATCGTAGAAGGGCTCGCCAAGCGAGCTGTTGTCAACAACTGGGAACGTAACCCGCTGGCCAACAACAACTTCTTGCATCGCAGCAAGATTGCTATGCCCACCTCCCATGGTCGCTGGCATCATGGTAGCTTGCGCGGAAACAAGCCCTGTTGGCATCATTGACTCCGTCGGTGAGAAATTTGTCGGAAAAGGAGGCAGGGGCTCGAAGTGAGTATCCCGTTCTGACATGACAGCAGAACGAAGATTGGCGAGAAGTTCGTATCGAGCACCCATGTAACTGTTCCCCCGTTCCCCCATTCCCTTGAGGAGATCAAGCCCAGCGTTCATGGCTAAGGTACTGGAAGGATCGGTAGGGAATGCAACGCAGACCATTACAAGAACAATGGATGCCGAGAATACATGTTCTCCATCCATGTACCCATACGTTGCTGAAGTTTCGACGGTCAAAAAACTGCACCGGATTGCATCGGAAAATTGGTGACTTACCGACTAGGTCTCTCTGCGCCGCAACGGTCATAATATTGATGGAATCTTGCGCCGCACCAATGCACATATCAATGACCCTGACCGTCGTCTGCGACAAGCCTTCTTTCCAGTCTCGCTGCTTCTCTCCGGGGTCATCACTGCTGCGAATCCTCTGAAGGCGTTTCTGGACGACGTGGAATAGCAACGGTCTCGCAGTCATGTTGATGCACTGGTAGTAATGGGCGAAAGTACTGACACTCTCACGACTGATACTAAGCCGCGCAGGGTCAAAGCGCAACTCTTCCGGCAAGTCGCGGTTCCATTTAGAGAGACTGAAAACGATGTTCTGAACCGAAGTCATCAGACGTTTCCCGGACTTTGGAGCCGTCTTGCTTGTTTTGCGATAAATGGTGTTGTGAATTTCGCCGAGGATTCGGGACAGCTCGGTGTAGTGCCGCAGTACCACAGCAGGGCAATACTCTGCTTCGGTAGGTAGTCTTGACGGTAAATCTACGCCGATATCTTCGTCCTGGATGGTGATGGGATTGCCTGATTTTACCGACAATATGCGGTCCAGACTGTAAACAGACCACCAGACCCGCCGTCTGTGCTCGCGAGTTGCATTGTCCAGTGTTGATAGCTTCGCTTCCTGGCCCTGCAATGAGCTTGGTACTGGACTAAAACCGATTTCATGATGCAATCCAAGTGATATGGCCATACGAAGGGCCATACCGGTGTAGAGGAACGCAGCATCGCGACGATTCATGTTCTGCATGAAATAGCCGATGAGAGCCAGGGTCTCGACGCAAAGAATTGAACCCTCCTCATGTGTATCAGGTAATAGATTCAGCGCATGTGTAAAGTAGTCAAAGCCTGGCGGACCCCTGAAATCAACCCATTGGTTGACGGAGTAGAGCTGGCCAAAGGCCAGAATAATTAGCACCTTTGCATACGAAAGACATGCTTCTCTGTCGGAAGGATCAGGTGGCCCACGGTATGCCTCAACTAGCGCTTGGTCGAACTCTGCCTTTGGATCTGTGAAAGCAAAGATCGTACCAATGTAAGTGTATTGTGCGGCAAAGAGTCGTCGGGCAATGTCAATTGGCGGCAATCGTACTTGCGTTCTCGCCTTCTCTCGCCGCGAAGGCAAAGCGCTGGGTTCGTAGAAGTTTGTATTTGCATCCAGACTGCCATCGTCGCCATAAAAACCTGAAAGGTTCCTCACACTGCGTAGGAAATTGTCCGAATTCCCTGGGCCTTTGAAACTTGTCGATGGTTTGTGAACGCTGAGTTGGTTGAATGGTTCGAGTAATGGGTGCTCATCTTCAAACTCTTCCTCATGTTCTTCAGTCGAGTTACGTGGAGCCTTGGTGGTAATTGCGGCTTGGGACTGTCGAGCAATGGACTCTGGAAATCTGCCATTAGACAATGTGTAGCCTTTGGGACGGCCAGTCTCCAAGCATACCATCATAAGCTTTCGCTTTGGCTTCAAGTTCTCTCAAGTAGCTATATAGCGAATCAGCCAGCAATCGCGATGGAAAGACAGCAATGTAACTCACGCCTCCGTAATAGTGATCTTCCTAGTTTCTTCATAGGTGCAGCGCAAGCCACTGTCTCGACATCGAGAGCAAGTCGGCTTTTCTTTTGAACAGTAGGATCGCCGTTGACGACAGTTGGCACATCTGTCATGAGAATCTCAGTAACAAACCCTGGGTAGCAGTCAAGACGAAAAATCCAAGCTTACGCCACTGGTCTCGAGTTTCCACAATCACCAGCCTGAGGCGGGGAAGGTGAGATAGTCGCCATACTGCGACATGTGTTTGCGATGTGACGATGTCTTCGACGTATTCACTTGCAAAGTGGAGATGGTGACCCCCATGGCATGGCAAGGGGGATGGAGTCTGATGACCGACGGAACTGTGCTCTACTCCAAACTTTGGATGGGGCCTGTGACAAATGGAAATATCTTGATGACGGGGTTGTCAACGCGGGGAACGCAGGCTGTTGGAGTCTCTACCCGTGCAACCTAACTATCCAGACCCAGGGTGGGAAGAAGTGCGGCGTACAAGCTCTTGGAGTATCGACATGCATCGCGTCCCTTGGGTTCGGCCTGGAGGATCGGGATTTATGGAGAATTCTCCACCACAGCCAACGACACCGGTGGCTGAGAAAGCCGTTGACAAGTTCGAATTATGAGTCGTCAGGTTGCTTTTGCCGACATGCTAGGGGACAATTGTCCGGAGAGTACGTACCTCAGCTGCGGCTGATCGGTCGTAGGTTGATCCGTTATCTTGCTATCAGAGCCAATGAGACCAATGAGATAAGGGGTTTAGCTCGGGGACCCACTCCGACGGCTACAGTCGGGCGTCTGCCGGTATCGAGCTCCCCTGCGTACGCTTTCGCCGGCTTCGCATATCTCGCAATTTCACCCCAATCCCTACAACCATGCCTTATCACGTATCGGCCAAGACCATCATTCTCATTCGCTCTTTCTCAGATCGGGGACCCACTCCGACGCACCTCACACTTCGAGTCGCCCGTTGCTTCATGCTGGCGATGGCCGACTAAAAGCCGACATGGCTATCACGGCTGAGGTGTGGCATTTTCTGCTGCCGGCCACATGAACTCTGATCGATGGACTCCAATTTGGAGGCCTTGGCCACACTGGACGGGGCCAAATGGAGTGGTAGCTTGAGGGCTAAGCGGGCACCCGATCGCGGCTCCCATCCGAGCCCCCAATTCCCGATCTTCTCAACGTTGCGGCGAATTATTACATGATCACGACAGACACCTAGAAGTCCTCCCCAGTACAAACATTTATACAAAATATCATCAACTTCTTGTCCCAATTCTGATTCCTATCGTTGTTACACTTTTTAGGTCTTCTGTATACCCCCACTTATCTTTTTTCAACTTTAACACGTCTTCTTGCGGCAACACCTAGCCGCATTCACATATCATGACGGTCAAATCACATCGCATCCGCATTTCCATAGACCGAGGCGGTACTTTCACCGATGTTCACGCCTCTATCCCTGGCCGAGGGGATATCATCCTCAAGCTTCTCTCTGTTGACCCTGCCAACTACCGGGATGCCCCGACAGAAGGCATTCGTAGAATTCTGGAGATGGTGACAGGAGAGACGCTACCTAGGGGTCAATTGCTTGACCTATTCCACGTTGAGTCAATCCGCATGGGCACCACGGTAGCCACAAACGCCCTTCTCGAGCGAAAAGGCGAGCGCGTGGCCCTGGTCACGACCAAGGGTTTCCGTGACTTGCTAGCAATCGGAAACCAATCACGTCCAAACATCTTCGACCTATCCGTCACACGGCCAGAGGTACTTTTTGACGAGGTTGTTGAAGTTGACGAGCGCATCACGATGGAAGACTACACAGAGGACCCTGCGTCTATCAAGACGAATCCAACGCCCGATGACACTCAGCTGGTTACGGCAGTCACTGGGGAGACTATCCGCGTTCTCAAGAGACCAGACTTGACGGCGATCAAGACACAGCTCGAAAAGATTCGAGACCAAGGCTTCCGGTCTATTGCCATCGTCTTCATCCACTCCTACGCCTACCCAGACCACGAACTGTTGGTCGGAAGAGTAGCTTCAGAAATGGGCTTCTCAGTGACTCTGTCCTCGGAGGTCCAGCCCATGATTAATGTCGTGCCACGCGGTATGTCTGCCGTGGCTGACGCATATCTCACCCCTGTCATCCGGCAGTACATCGACTCGATTTCCGCCAACTTTAAAGGCGGTTTCGGTGCAGCCGCAACTCGCATTGAGTTCATGCAATCGGACGGTGGTCTGGTGGACTACCGCAAGTTCAGCGGCCTCAAAGCCATCCTTTCCGGCCCGGCCGGTGGTGTTGTTGGTTATGCACAAACCTCTTGGGATGATGAAGAGCGCAAGCCGGTGATCGGCTTCGACATGGGCGGAACCTCCACAGATGTCTCGCGTTACGCGGGTGTGTACGACCACGTCTTTGAGACTACGACTGCCGGCATTGCTATACAATCACCACAACTCGATATCCATACCGTCGCTGCCGGAGGAGGTTCCATCTTGACCTGGAAGAATGGGCTCTTCAACGTTGGACCCGAGTCTGCCTCAGCACACCCTGGCCCAGCATGTTACCGCAAGGGTGGCCCACTTACCGTAACGGATGCAAACCTGTTCCTTGGAAGACTGATCCCCGAGTATTTCCCCAAAGTCTTTGGTCCCAAGGAGAACGAGCCTCTTAACCGAGAAGTCACCGCTGCCAAATTCTTGGAGCTGACTAGCGAGATTAACAAGGACCGAGAGGCTTCAGGTCTCTCTCTTTTGTCTCCCGAGGAAGTTGCCCTTGGTTTTCTGAAGGTGGCCGACGAGGGTATGGCGAGCCCGATTCGCGCGTTGACAGAAGCTCGTGGTTACGAGGCTGGCGCGCATCACTTGGCTTGCTTTGGCGGTGCTGGAGGTCAGCATGCCTGTTCCGTTGCGACTGTTCTTGGCATCTCCCGCGTCATCATCCACAAGTACTCCTCCATCCTTTCAGCTTATGGCATGTCACTCGCAGACGTTGTCCATGAGATTCAGAAGCCATCTGCCATCACCTACTCTGAGGAGACCAAGGACAGCATCCAAAAGCAGCTCGAGGAGCTCTCTTCTCAGGCCTCCTTGGAACTGATGAAGCAGGGATTCACCGAAGACCTCATCACGCATGACACCTATCTCAATATGCGATATGCAGGATCAAGTAGCTCTCTCATGATCTTGAAGGGAGCTGATTGGGATTTCAAGACCGAATTTGAGGATGCTCACCGTCGCGGGTTTGGGTTCCACTTCCCTGAGAAGGCCATCATTGTCGACGACATCCGAGTTCGAGCTACTGGTGCAGCTCGTGCCAAGGTGGAGAAGAGCCCTTTTGCTCAAATGAAAGCTGTCGATGACTCCTCAGCTTCCAGACCCGAGCCCAGCACCGCCAACCGTGTTTACTTCGAGGGTCACGGACACCTCGACACCGCTGTGTACCAGCTCGAAACCATCCCTGTCGGCGCTCGCATCTCTGGCCCGGCTTTGATCATTGACAACACCCAGACGATTCTCGTCACTCCGTCTACAACCGCCACAGTCCTTGAGAGCTACGTTGTCATCGACCGTGAGCTCGAAGAGAAAGTCATCAAGAGGGACGGCGAACAGGAGGAATTCAGCCCCGTTCAACTGACCGTCTTTGGTCACCGCTTCATGTCGATCGCCGAGCAGATGGGACGGACTTTGCAGAAAACTGCAGTGTCAACCAACATCAAGGAGCGACTCGACTTCTCGTGTGCAATTTTCAGCCCTGATGGTGGCCTTGTCGCCAATGCTCCTCACGTTCCTGTTCATCTCGGATCTATGCAGTTTGCTGTGCGCTATCAGCACGAGCTGTGGAATGGCAAGCTTCGGGACGGCGATGTTCTTGTCTCGAACCACCCTTCGTGCGGTGGCACCCACTTGCCTGACATCACGGTTATTACACCTGTGTTTGATGGAGAGGAAATTGCCTTCTACGTTGCTTCAAGAGGGCACCATGCAGACATCGGTGGTATCCTGCCCGGTTCTATGCCACCGACATCATACGCCCTCTGGCAGGAAGGCGCTGCTATTGAGTCGACGAAGTTGGTCAGCGAGGGCCGTTTCAACGAGGACGAGGTCCGACGTCTGCTTCTCGAGGAGCCCGCGCAGTATGAGGGTTGCTCAGGCACCAGAAGACTGCAAGACAACCTGTCCGATCTTAATGCCCAGATTGCTGCCAATGCAAAGGGCATCTCCCTGATAAAGGCTCTCATCACGGAAAACGGCCTCGCTACTGTTCACCGATACATGTATGCAATTCAACACACTGCGGAGCACGCTGTGCGTGAGTTGATGCAGTCCACGCTTACCAAATTCGGCTCTGAGCCACTCGTTGCGGTTGACTACATGGACGATGGTACTCCGATCTCTCTCAAGATCACGATCGCCTCTGACGGCTCCGCAACCTTTGACTTCACCGGCACAGGCCCACATGTTCTCGGTAACACCAACGCCCCCATCGCCATCACGCACTCTGCCATCATCTACTGCTTGCGCGGGCTCATTTCCTCCCAGATTCCCCTCAACCAGGGGTGCCTGGCTCCCATCGACATTGTAATCCCTGAAGGCAGTATCCTTAACCCCGGCGCTGGTCTTGCCGTGGTTGGCGGCAATGTCCTCACTTCTCAACGCATCACGGATGTGGTCCTGAAGGCCTTCCGGGCTTCTGCTGCAAGCCAGGGTTGCTGCAACAACCTTACCTTCGGCACAGGTGGCAAAGACCCCGTCACTGGCGAGCACAAGGATGGCTTCGGTTACTACGAGACGATTGCAGGCGGAGCCGGTGCCGGTCCTACTTGGGTCGGTCAGAGCGGCGTCCATACCCACATGACGAACACCCGAATCACGGACCCGGAAGTCTTCGAGAAGCGATACCCATGTATCCTTAGGCGCTTCCAGCTCAGGGAGAACTCTGGTGGCAAGGGTCAAAACAAGGGTGGCGACGGCACCATCAGAGAGATCGAGTTCCGTGTACCGGTTCAGTGTTCGATTCTTAGTGAGCGTAGAAGCCGTCGGCCTTACGGTATGGAGGGTGGTGGCGACGGAGAGGCTGGAGTGAACTTGGTCATCGTCCGGGATGACATGACCGGTAAGGACAGGACCGTCAACCTGGGCGCTAAGGCGACGACGAAGCTTCGTGCAGGTGAGAGGGTTATTATTCAGTCACCTGGTGGAGGCGCTTGGGGAGCGCTTGTTGAAGCAAACTAGACGGCGAAGTACGTACGTACTATATTATAAAGCATCTTTGGAGTTTGGGAAATTTAATTCACACTTCTTATATTCCTGAGTCTGTTTTTGGGTACCCGATGGTGTATCCATTAGAGAATATCCTTTCCAATCTCTTGTTCACAAGCTGAGATCTCGAATCCCTCCGAACGCTCTGGGAGTTGCTCGATTCATTTACTCTGCTTCAGAGTGACTAGTTGAGTCATTTGACCGACATTACGAACTACACTTAGTGTTAGTTCTGCTGCTCTTATAAGCATTGTCCCACTATCAAATCATTGTCTAATTCAGAGCAGACAGTCCCTTTGGCCGGCATTTATCAATAATCTTCTTCTATAGAAGCAAACGCCGACTGAGACAATACCGTGAACCAGGCGCAACGTTTCAAGTCTAGCTCGGGTGGTGATCAGCCCCGTTGTCAACACGACTTACCATATCCGGCGACGAGGCTAGTCTTCACGAAAGGAAAAGGGCAAAGTAAGTTTGAAGAAATGATACGAGTTCAGAAACATTCACATGCCAAATGAGCCGTACCTCCTTCGAATCTGTAATCCTCATTTCATCAGATCGAGGGTCTAGATTCACTCTCATGTGCGACTAGCATGTCAGGAAATCATGATCTGTATTCAGAACATGTCGCTTAACAGGTGAATCCTCATCCTGGGGGCCATCAGAATTTGTTTCAAGTAGTTGTACAAGAACTTCACGATTGGAAAATCGTGAAATGAATAGTGTATAATATACATTGGTTCGTAAAGTCGTAAGATGCCAAGCCTTCCATCTTTCGTGTCACGAGCGACAACGTCAGTCAGCCTTCCCGGCCTCCACGTCGCATGTCGTTTTCCCCTTCATGTACGCTCCGAATATTACTGTCTCTTTTGTTGGGCTTGCTTCCGTCATTGTTGCTGTTGTCATTGGACCTGGTGTATATGAATCGTAGATTTCGGGGTCAATCAAACCGGTCATGTCGTTCAACATTGTCATCGATTGGTGACAGACAGAATAGGGTCCCGGTAACTCGAGGCATTCGTCATCTTCGGGAGGCGATTCAACGGTTTCCGTAGTGATCTTGATCTCGTGTGTAACAAAAATCATTCCCATGCTGCTTTGTAGCACAGGCCAGAAGACGGGTATTGAGGCGCAGATGGCGGCGATATCGATTTCGAGAATGGAGAGGACCATTGGCAGCGGCGTGTACCAGGTTATGTCGAGTGTCGGATATGTTCCGGCTCGGGATTTCAGTAGCTCTATGAGGCGCCAAATAGAGAACATCAAGACACTGTAAACTTTGTCAGCGAACCGAGTTCTACTATGTGTTCAAGAAATTTCTACTTACACACTTCCTAACAAGAACAGGCTAAGAACGCCCTTACGAGATGTCTTGTCTGCTTTGTTGTTGAAGTACATTGGTAGTGGGATGCAGAAGATTATTAAGTCTAGAATCATGTTGCTAGTTGCATGACTCTCATATATCCGGATCAACTCTTCCGCAACTTGTGTTCCGAATCCCCAACGAGCTTGATGCGGTATGGACCAATCCCAGTATGCGGCGATGGGTATGCATGGAATCCATGCAAGAAACATGTAGACCGAACCCCATAATGCCGTGATAGTCAAGACGATAATGGTGAAGGTGCGAGACTTGGTACCGCGCTCGAAGGTGCGAAGGTATTGTAGCAGAATGGCAACTTTGATAAAAGTGGTCGAGACGGGTAATGTCCCGTTACAAATATAGAAAATCTGCTCTATGTCTCAGAGAGGACGGCTTAGCAAGGTAGGTGGCAAAACAATTACCTGCAAGTATTTTACGAAAAGTCCGGGAGGAAGGAGAAGCATATGTTGCCCGAGTCCATAGTCCATTACTGAAGTCAAATTGTGTTAGTCGTCATTTGGATGAAGTCAAGGTAGTTCAACATACATACGCAAGAGCCAATGCTCCCAATTGATATCGAGATCATCACGAGAACCAGGAAGAAATCATCCCAACCACAGGCACGTACGACGAAGATGCGGCACCATATTCTCATAATCGCACATAAAAGTGATAGTACCTGGATTGAGTTATTAGACATGGTTGCGCAAGTCGATGCATATGTTTCCGCTACTCACTAGAAACGAAATTACGACACCGAGTAACACCGGCTTGTTGTTTAATGGGGGCTTGGCCTCGCCGAGGTTGTCGGCGATTCCCAGCAGCTCGTAGAAAGACGTCATGCTGTCCGAACTGCACTCACGATAAAGACGTGACAGATAGGGACGAGGCCACTTGCATATCAATACCTCCTCTTGTACTTTGAAAAGCCCAGGCTGATCGTTCGAAGGGGTTGTAGGGCTGGGGAAATTTGGTGACCAAATCAAGAAGCTGAGGCCGTGAGGGATGGTGAGTAGGTATGGGAGGCTCTGGGCCCTTATGGGGTCACGCAAATGGATACATCCGGTGTGACTACGCAGACCAATCCATCTAGTTGGGTGCATTCGGTATAGACCGCGTATGCCTCAAAGCGCGACTGTCGCACAAGAACGACGTTCCGGCCGGCAAGCAGACTTTAGAATTGGGTAAGCTTTTCTATTCCAGATGTCTCACGCTGGCGGGCGCTCGCACGCGTGAAAAGATGGTCACGCAGGGCCCAAAAGACCGGTTTACCTTGGCGAGATCTTCACTTCCTTCCCCTTCGTTATGTGGCTTGCCCGAAGTCTTTGGTCCGTTGCTGTGAGCTGGAGGAGCACATCGACGCATGCGGGGATGGATGTGGCGGACGGTTATCGGGACAGCTGCGTTGGGTTAGAGCGGGTCTCGCCCATCCGGAACATCCAAGGGTTCATCTCCTTTCGGTCAAAGCAACCAGCCATTCTCAGAAGGGGCGAGACATGCTCTCCTGCTCTCGCACATATGACTATTCTGGAAGCTTGCGGAGTGGATGTTAAACTGCTGATCTCGCCGTTTCCGGACGGGCCTCTGCTGCGATTGCTGCTATACATTGTGGCTGTAATGAAGAAGGTCCAGACAGTACCTGGACGCATGCAATTGTCTGGTTGCCCTTTCTCCTCACTTGAACGTCATTTTCATTCCTTCGCTTCTGGGCAACTCGCCAGCCTTGCCAACCGTTTTCCTTGTTTGTAAAAATAGTTATATTCCGGTGGCTGACCTCTTTCAAGGCCCATTATTTCGTCCAGCCCTAGGAGTTCTTTGGCTTTTTCCTCAGAGGAACGCATCCTTGAACCGAGGTGTGAGAACTTCAAGATTCTGATGTGCTTACGTTGTCCACGTTGTCCACGTTGTCCAGCGTCCAAGACAAGTTGCACAAGCCATCTTTATAGCTTGTACCATCAACTGTTTGTGACTTGCCGGCGTTGCTAGTGTCTCGAAATGCCTTACCGCGACCGGGGTGGACGCTACAACCTATGTCATGTATGATAAGACTCGAGGTCGGGTCAAAGGTCTGTCATCTAGAACCGGTTTATCCGACGCCGTCAGTTGTGGTCGGTAATGTCGGCATAACCCTCTTTGCTCATTGAAGCGGGCGTCGGAATATCCCTGGGATACCGTACCCAGTGTCATATGCACATAATCATTTACAAAGCCGTCAGTCAACCTAAGTTTCAGTCGCTCGCTTGGCACCGAGCTTAGCTAAAATCGTAATGCTAGTTATATGAAATCAAATACTATACTTATCTGTCTTATCAAAGGATCAGTATGACCATGTTGGCTGCTCAACCGTAACAACTGCCGACCCTTTGTGCAACGACACGGATTGGTTCTCAGTTGTCCATCAAGTCTGACACCCAGCCCAGAGCCATTCGCCTTTGAGATAGACACATGCTCAACCGTTTTGAGAAAGTCAAACCACTCAGCTGGAACCCGCAAGCTTTTCCTCGACTTTGTTGAGCTCCTCCATCAAGTTGTGCACCGCCTTCTTTTGGTCTTCACTTGCGGGCAAGTAAGGACTACGCGGCTGGAACAGCTTCTCCTGTCCCTTCAATCCAGCGCGCGGCGCCGTGAACACGGAAGCGGCGTACTTGATGGTCGCGATGCCCGCCTTGGTGGCTTGCTCCGCGATGGCGGCCTTCTTGTGCAGTTCCCATGCCTCCTGGATCTTGCCCTCGGCATGCAGCTTGTAGATCTGCACCGTTACGCGGGGGAAGACGTTGGCAAATGCCGCGATGCAACCCGCGCTGCCAGAGGTGAGACCGCCGAGGAGGAAGTCGGACTGGCCACCATAAGTAGCGAATTTATCTGCCGGTAGCTCGGCGGACAGGCGGACAATCTTTGCGACAGCGCCGCAAGTGAGCTTCACGCCGACGATCGTCTCATGCTTCTTGGCCAGCTTGGCGATGGTGCTGCTGTCAAGGTCGATGCCGTTGCAGACGATGGGAAAGTTGTAAATGACGATTGGCAGAGGGGTCTTTACGGCGATTTCGTCGAAAAAGCGGTCAATGACTGCAGGAGTGGTCTGCTTCCCGAAGTAGGCGGGCGGCAGAACGAGTGCAGAGTCGGCGCCGGCCTCTTTGGCGTCGTTGAGAAGCTCAAGGACCTGCTTGACTGAGTGCATTCCGCATCCGGCCATGATGGGGAAATCGGGACCTGTTGCCTTGCGGGCGGTGGTGATGAGGGCTTTGCGCTCCTCGCGGGTCAGGAGGAACTGTTCAGCATTGGTACCGAGAATTACCAGGCCCGCAAGGCCCGTCTCGGAGAGGTAAGAATAGTACTTTGCTTGCGCCTCAAGGTCGAGCTCATCGGTGTCGGGGTTGAAGAGAGTCACTGCGGGGGCCCAAATGCCGCTGGGGGGAACCTTGGTGCGGGACATTTTGATATCTTTAATCGAGAGGTCAAGGAGTCGGCACAATTAGATGAGTATGACAGTTTATAGGTTATAAATGAGTGAATGAGTCTTGAGAAACACGACAACCAAGCAACGAGCACTTTATTGCTAGCAGTCGGGTATGGCGACCGATGTTGGTTTTCCAAGAGTCGGGATCGTATCCGTCAAATGGGATAATAGTCAGATAACACGGGTTACTATCGGATATCCGCACCGGATCTTGACCCGATTCCCCCGCATTCAAGGCCGAGACCGGCCGAGCATGGACAGGGGTATTTCCGGCCGCCGCCCGAAAGTCCCCTTTCCCCATAAAAATGGGTACTATCAATGGAAGGGTTGCCTTCCAGTCGCGCATGCGGCGGGCAAGTGGTTGCCAAGACCTGTAAAAGTCTTTCCAGCAATCACGCAAAGGTGTGCAGGTCACAACGGACAAACCCCGGATCGACGGATTTCTACGGCAGCTGTACCAAAATAATGCAACAGGCTACATGGCGCAAAAGAAAGGCCCTGGCCAGGGATCGAACCTGGGACCTCTTCCATGCGGATCGTTGCAGAACAGCCCTAAGGAAGAATCATACCGCTAGACCACCAGGGCTCGAAGAGCTTAAGACTCACGATATTTCGCTTGCGTGGCGGGGCTTCACTAGGCCACTTTTTTCTACCGATGGAAAGTGCTGCATTGGGCCCCACAGGCTGGACAGAGTGGTAAAGTTGGGGTCAATGGGATACACAAGCCATTCTGACGCGGGGTTGTCGCAGTCAATGGTAGTGTCGATTGCCACAGTTCATTACCCAGCTCTGCATCGTTCAGCACTGCTTTCATTCATCCGCAGAATCAGTCTTAAGTACTACGCGTTTCAAAGGCTTTTATCAACCATGTGGAGTTACGTCTTATCTGCAAGCTCCAACAATGGTGACTTGGTTCCTTGACACGGCAACGGCCTCAATTCAGGTTAGCAATAATAACTCCTAACAGATTCGGTAGTTTCGCCACGGCTCGTTATGCACTATATCCTGCAGATCACTTAACAAGCAACTACTATTGCGATCATAAACTCAAGTCAAACGCAGATGATATAAGGGGTATGTATCCCTTGTGTATCTCTAATACGTCATAACCAAAGATATGTCCATAAGGGCACCCACGGCATTTTTTGGTGCAAATCATCGAGAAATGATTTTCATGTACTGGGTAAGAGCCCTGCAAGCTTCGACACAGATAACTAAATACTTGATTAACACCAGTCGTTAGACAACCCAATATCATCATATGAAGCTTCGCACAGTTTCTTGTTAACTCCATTCCAAAATGATGCTGTCCCATAGGAACCCTCTCCACTGGGTGTACCGAGTGACCGTGAAACCGACCGTATTCTTTCCAGCCTTAAGAACGTCGGTATCGATCTTGTATTGGAAGAACCTCCATTCGCCGCTGAATTTGCCTGACCGGTACAGAGACGGATCGCTCGTCAGACTGTCCTTACTCAGGGAAGCGTAGACCTGGCCGTTGACGTCAATGTCCAGCGCCGTACTCTGCGAGTACCCAGCCAAAGAGACGCTCAACAGAGCAGTTCGGTTGGCGGAAATATCACCCACAGGAAGATTGAACTCGATAGTCCATTTTCCGATGGCGGACTGCGCAAAGTACCAGTCCGAGTTCTGAGACTTACCGACGGTGAAAGTCAGGTTCGCAGGGCTTTGGGCCGCCACACCGTGCTGGTACGGAACGCCGCCGTTTTTGAAGCCGTTGGCCTTCTTGTCGAACTCACCGACTTGGAAGATGTGCTTACCCGTAGGAACGTTCCAGGTGAGCTGGCCAAGGTTGAGAGTCTTGTCTTTGACGATGGTCACGGGAGCGGTGAAGTTGGTATACACGTCGGCAAGCTTTCCGCCATTGGATGTAGTATAAACGGCATAGGAACCGCTGCGAACCTTATCAAAGTAGAAGCGTCCTTTGTCGTTGGTATAGGTGGTGTAGTAGTAATTCTTGCCCTGGATCGACGGGCGGATGGCTGTGTCGGTGTCGCCGAGGAACACTGCAGCGCCAGAAGCAGGGCGACCATCGGAGAGTGTTTGAGTTCCCTGCACTCCACCACGAGAGTGGTAGGCTGCGTCCTTAAACCAGGTGTAGGGGACGTGTTTGACCTCTTCCTGGCGCCTTTGTGCGGCATCCGCAACATCTCCATTGTTCTGTGGCCAATGTTAGTGGACTATTAAGACGGGATACCGCGATCGGTGAGTGCTAACCAGATACCAGAGCCAAGGTCCCCAGACCTTGCCTGCCGGTTGAGCCACCGTTTGACCGACCCGGAAGTGCGAAGTGTCCTGAACAACATTGAGCTGGACAGCATCCCCAGTCTTGGACTCCCGGTGGACCTGAAGATCATGTCAGAAATCTGCTGTCAAATCGCATGACTATCGTCTTGCTCACCGTCAAGGTTTGGCTTAAATGGTCGCTGTTATAGTATTCCGTTGAAGGGTGAATGAACCAGGACCCGGCCTTGGGTCCGTAGATTCCGTAAAAATCGCGATCCCTGACTGCGTTCGACCAGTCATACTTGGTGATAAAAGACCCGTCAGCCAGTTGCCAGGTCTCATCCTGGACATTGGTTGCGTTGGCGTAGAGCGAGAAGTCGGGCAGGGGCTCATCCTTCAGATGCGTGCGACCGTTGAGAAATATCTCGGGGGCCAACCTCCACAAAGTCCGGAGAATGCTGATGTCAGGGAGAGCCCGATTGACAAAGTACTGGTACGCGCCGGTCAGGTCATCGAAGATGACCCAGTGAAAGTCTCCAGCAGCAGAAGAGAAGCTAACATCGATGTAATTTGTTCCCCGAGAAGCAATGGTGGCATTCGTGAATTTAAGGTTGTTCTCCCCGTCTTTGCGATATTGTCAGCTATCAATCTTAGTTACGATGCGATGCCCCTCTTACCGTAGCCGACATAGTGGCCGACGGCCGAACCCACAAGATCGGCTCCCGGTACACCCTCCCAGAATAACTTGGTTGCGTAGATTGATCCTTGAGTCAAATTCCAGTGATCATTTCCGATGACCCAGGTCGAGTCGTTGATTTGTTCGAGGAAAGGACCTTTAGCGGCGTTGGCTAGTGCGCCAGCTAAAGCCAAAGCAGAAAGTCCAGAGACGTGCATAATTAGGATGCCGAATGAAGCCGCGTAACTTTTCCGCTGCAGTCTTCAAGCCGTCAATGAGATGAGACTGGCGATTTGTTTGACGTCTAACAGCGCCATCTCGAATGCCTGCGTCTTTGCTCTTATATCGCTCACCTCAACCAAAACTCAATGCAGGGCCGTCAAGTGAAGCTTTCTCTTCTCGGCAGGAGCCGATAGTGTCATGCAGAAGCTATATTGTGACGGGGTCCTCATTCGGGGCTTCATTGATAGACGCATCGAGACCTGACGATTCGTGATAAAGTATTAACACGGTGTAGGTTGGTATTAGATTGCGCTATATCCACAGTGTAATCAATGTCCTGGAGGATTTGCCTTCTCGAAACGAGGTAGAACATCCGTGATGCCCATGTCTAGTTCTTGGCCTAAGCCCATGACGCCATTCAACATGTATTGCTGGTTGGTGGCGCTTATATCTACCGCTGCAACAAACGCCATTGATGCAAATCTTGCACCATCGAAGATCCACTCTTTCGGCATTTAAGCCGAGAAACCCTTTGTACATAGTATAAGCTTGATAATACCATGGGTTACCCAAGAAATCCGATTGATAATATATGTCACAAATAATGGTCAATCATATGCGCATAACTAGATTCCGGCCTGGCTCATATTTTGTCCGGTTCTCTGAGTCTTACAGGTGGATCGTTGCAACACTGGCTGAGGGGCACATCAACAACACAACTCGCGGTCTCTCTAAGTTTGGACACCTCGAAAACAAATGTGGATGCAATTCGATTGCTAAATATCCTGGGGTTCAATTCTCCGAGATTCGGTTAGACTTCAAACGTCATGCAAGCTTTTCTTTTTTCCTGGTTTGACATACAAAATTCAAGCTGACAACTTGATAGTAACTATAAGCTCTGTATCCTAAGGCCACCTGGCTTTGACTAGTTATTGAGCTTATGGTAGCAGCTGATTGAATTGACGTTCGAGACACCCGATTTCTCTCGCTTTCCCTAGAGTCAAACCGTCTTTCTGTATCTTTCCTCGGCCGATCCGAGCACCGTGAGTCTTGTTAGCACAATCTGGCATATACACCGGATGGTCAATAGATGGTTGTCGGGTATCGTCAGTAACAGCTTCGAAGCCCCCAGATTTCCACACTCGCCTTACCGAACGGTTTCCAAATAAGCCTGGAGCTAGACTTTGAGCATTTGAAAGCCCGAGTCTTCTCTTTAAAGATCCCTGAGAACATCGAAAGGTCTCAGTCTCGGTGCTTCATGCCCCCGCCCCCACCACCGCCACCGCCACCGCCACAGCAGGTTAAGGTGATTTTAAGCAACTCGGAAAGGAAAACGCATCAAACGCTGCAAATTGAGTCCATTTGCACAGCGAGAGCAGCAAGTTGAATCGACGTGCTAAGAGTCTTTAGGGCCGCAATTACACTAGGTCGCTTTCTCTAGCAATCCTTATTTTCCTTCTTCTTCGGGGGGGGGGGGGGGGGGTTCGTTCCAGAGTTGGGCAGTCACTGTGTTCAACTGACGAGAACAGCTCACCTCAGCTAGTAGTTTAGTCAGAGAACTGAAAGCCTGATTCTCGGGTCGCATGCGACAGGAAGGCCTGAGAGCACCATCTGAGCTTCAGGCATCTTTAACAGGTTTGTTGGCAAACGTTCAAGCTCCGATACGAGGTTCCAAGGTATTATAACACAATTCGTCTATTTAAATATATCTTGAGGGCCTCACGCGTTTGAGTTGATTCTTAAACCAGGCGACAGGTCCTCGTGTGTCATTGAGATTGTGTTGTGCCGGGATAAACAATCTTTCCCCAGTTGTCGTACGGCGATGGCGTCAGGGAATCCACCGGACCCTCTCAAGTCAGCCCCCGAGTGGTCGCTGGCACCTTGCCCAAAATGACGATCAGCAGTCGGAACACGCATTCAAAGAAAAAAGGTTCTGCTCGTCAAGGGCGTCGCTGATGGGACCCCAGGGCAGAAGAGCTCCTGCGATTATGGACTGGTTCCATCAAAACACTTGGCGGCAGTCAAATTGACTTTCGGGATGCGAACTCAAAGACACGGACTCCAACGTTGGCGGTGCAGTGCGCAGTAATGCCCCCAGACGGGCGTTGCGGGGTGGACACGCCCAATCGATAACAGATTTTGTTGTAAAGCCCCCATTCATGCAATAAAACTGGCTGTTATGCTCTCTAGCCAATAGTCAACCCCTGCTGTTTCGCAGTGATGGAAAAGAACCTTAAAGGCGCAAAACATCAACTTATAATCAAGCAAATATGCCAGCTTGGTATAGAACCCGATGATAACTTCCAGCGGTTGGCCTTGAGCCACTGGTCCGGGGGGGAAATATGTTTGAATCTGTTGTTTTGTCGAGACAATTGGGTTGTGCTGTTGTCCTCGCCTTTGCCTTCTTGCTAGCAGGGTTCCTCAAACCGACAAACCTAACGAAGAGACTCCATTGTTGATTTCTCCTCTGCACGGAAATGCAAGTTGCTGGATTTGGCACGCTTTTACTTGACAGTAACTTTCACTGATAGCCTCCGAAAATGGCTCCACGAGGTTTTTTAAAGGGTTAGAACCTGGCAGGATGACGCGGCTCAATCTCTTTCGGTTCTGGCCTTGTACAAGCTATTCCAAGTTACTGACAAACCATGAGCCGAGGGGAAATTACACTAGGTTCTGACTTGTTTGTTGGCAGCCCGGATCCGTTCAAGAGATTGCGTTGAAGCAATCATCTGAGTTGAACGAGGAAACCCCAGAGGGAGGCTGCATCGCTATGACATCCCACCGGGTCGACTGCGGAAACGCCGTCTGTTGCCTCCTCAGTCGTCCTTCTACATATTAGCATGCTACATGCGTCTTGGTCATATTAATTTGGGAATCACGGCTCTCTGCAACCGTCTCCAATTGAGGACATAATCGGCCTCAAGAACTTGTAGCCGATGCCACGTTGCAAGGCCAATGCCGGTTGTCACTGATGATTGGCTAAGTGGATCTCGCCAAACGATGCAAGAACCCGCCGAACGGGTCTTGCCTCCTATACATTGAAACGGCTCAGGGGAGAGGGTTTCCTGGTTGCATTGTAGGCAATGGGCCCGCCTAAACATCGTAAAGGTTTTCTGTCCCAAGTAAAGCGAGCAAGCATGGCCGGCTGAGCACTGAACCTGCTCCGGCAGAAGGGGAGTACGTACATCACGGTTTCTTCGCTGGCGAGTTGCTCTCCCTGGTCGCTCCTTGATCAGTCGCTGGGTTCCGGAAGCCGCGCAGATTCAATCTGACAAATCTTCCCCGAGAACCTAAAGCACCAAGGCCGTTCATGACGGGACCGATATCCGATGGCAACTGCCGTACAGGCTGTCTTCGCCGCGACTCCATCATGTTCTAGCTTAATTGTCCAGAGAGAGCACTGGGTTTTGAGATACGGGAGTCTCGTGCTTTGGGTTTCGTACATTGTTCCGAGCCCCTGGGCTCATTTTGATTCGGGTGGTGGGGGGTTTGTCTCCGCTGCGGGAGGTAGGGGTGGGTGGCCTCACCCGGAAAGTGAGCGATGGAGCCTCAGAGGGACCCCAAACCGGACATTAATGGGATTTCCCTACAGCTTCTGAGAGGCCCATCAACTCATCTAGACTCCGGACGGGGCCCGCGTGGGAGGATGGGGTGGACCTGGCAGAATCAATGTCACACAGGGCGTCCTCCGTCTTACGTCGATCTAGCTTTACATTGATTAGGTCTGTGCCATTAACCGCCCTGACCACTCTCCCAGCATCAGGGATGGCGCTTCAGACGACAGCCATCACTGCCTCATTCGGTAATCGTTGCTTCTCCCATTGTACTCCATCTGTGGAGAGGTGAGCCCCGTCATATACTCTGTTCAAGTGTGTTTATGGTAGTACGCGCCTGCATGGATGGTCAGGAGCTAGCACCATGCGGCCAGTCAATACAACAATGTTGATGGAGAGCTGATCAGGAGTTGTTGGTTCGCCGGCCCAGTTTCTGCAGCGGCTTGAATGGTATAACAGGTCGCTGCCGCGTGCCATTCCAGTCGATCACGCTCCTGGTGTTTCATTCCGCAGTCACTCTTTTGTTTTCTTCGTTCAACCTGTTCAATTTTCCAAGATGTTTGCCAAGTCGTTCATTTTCGCCGCTGCGGCCCTTGCCCAGCAAGTCGCCGCCGTCGCCGTCTCCGGTACCCCTGAGGGGTTCGCCTCTGGCGTCACTGGCGGTGGCTCGGCCGCCGCCGTCACTCCTACCACCAACGACGAGCTGGTCTCGTACCTCGGAGACTCCCAGGCCCGGGTGATTGTGTTGACCAAGACCTTCGACTTCACGGATTCTGAGGGCACCGCCACCGAGTCCGGCTGTGCTCCGTGGGGTACCGGATCTGCTTGCCAGCTTGCCATCAACAAGGATAAGTGGTGCGACAATTACCAAGCCAAGGCCCCGAAGGTCACCGTCACCTACAACAAGGCCGGCCTTGATCCCATCAAGGTCGGCTCCAACAAGTCCATCATCGGCTCCGGTTCCAAGGGTGTCATTGTCGGCAGGGGTCTGAGAATCGCCAGCGCCAAGAACGTCATCATCCAGAACATCAAGGTCGAGAACATCAACCCTAAGTATGTTTGGGGTGGTGATGCCATCACTCTCGACAACACTGACAACGTCTGGATCGACCACGTCACCGTAAGTCATTGTGATCCGGGCTCAAAGTCTTATCGTCTCTAACAATGCCTTCTCCAGACCTCCAAGATCGGCCGCCAGCACCTTGTCCTCGGTACCTCCGCCTCCGGCAAGGTGACCGTCTCCAACTGCGACTTCGACGGCCAGAGCGACTACTCCGCCACCTGCGACGGCTACCACTACTGGACCGCCTACTTCGCCGGCTCCAACGACCAGATTACCTTCAAGAATAACTACATCCACCACTTCTCTGGTTAGTATAACAGCTTCTCAAACACATCTTGCACTCGAAAACTAAATCCTTTCCAGGCCGCTCCCCCAAAGTGAACGGCAACTCCCTCGTCCATGCCGTCAACAACTACTGGGCTGAGACCTCTGGTCACGCCTTCGAGGTTGACGAGGGTGGCTACGTCCTTGCTGAGGGCAACGTCTTCAACGGCATCAAGACCGTCATCGAGTCTGGCGGTGCCGGCGCTACCCTCGCCATCACCTCTTCCAACGCTGCTCAGTGCCAGTCTAAGCTCGGTCGCGCCTGCCAGGCCAATAGCTTGACCAACTCCGGCAGCTTCCCCGGCTCCGACACCAGCATCCTGTCCAAGTTCGGCTCCGCCGACATCCCCGACGCCGTTGCTGCTTCGTCCGTCACCAGCAGCGCTGCTGGCTACGGCAAGATCTAAGTCGCCTTTGACTTGGGTCCCGTTGGTATCAGTATCCGCTCTTCTAGATGACCCACACGTACTCATGGTCGGGGTACCACTAGTGGTAGTGGAAACAGTGACGACATTCGATTCTCTCTTCATTCTGTAAATACCTTAGTTTCTCTACAGCTGTACAAATGCAAGCATTTCTTGGAAACAGCATGTCCATTTGTGAAATTTCGTGAAGTCTCGCCGTCGTTTGATGTAAAGATTTCGATGAGCCGCACTTCGTATTTCTCGGCTTAAATTCCCGCGCGTAGCAAGGCTGTCCCTGAATCGACTCAAGTTTCCGACACTACAACGCTACTGGACAAGCAATCCTAGCGACCCCTACAGCCGTCTCACCAGTACAAACGGTTAATGTTCGGGGTTCGTGCGCTCTAATATACAGTTTTGCATCATCAACCTGGCATACAACGTGTTAGCCTGGAGCTATTCATTTGGGCTCCTGGTGACCGTGCGCGCTGAATCGACTGAACGGCGCAAGGTCCAACTGTCCGCAACGAGTCCGCAGTCGGAACGAGTGATGAGTTTCACTTGCATGACCTCTTCAAAATTGATCGCATCAGCTGTGAAATTAAACAACAAACAATGATTGTATACCGCCATCAAAACTTACACATCAGTCAACATTACTCAGCGTTACCTCATTCCACTACAGTGAACTCGGAAACCGAGGTTTGCTAGGCAGACAGGTACGCAGCTTTAGAGTACGATCCAGTGCGACCCGGAACTTGCAAGTCCACAGGGACCATTCACCTCGTGGTCTTTGGTTTGTGCATCCGTTGCTAACATGCTTGTTGACAAACAATTGCAGAGGGGGTTTTCGGCCGGTTACATCATCATCACAGCTCTTCATGGATTTGTCCTTGCATGACAACACTCGCCAAAGTTAATGGACAAGCATGGACGGTTTCACATAGGCCCTATCTCGACCCGAGCGCCAACTAAACAGAACTAGCCCAGGGCAATGTATCATTGGTCGTGCTTGTTTGGTAATCAATTACATACCAAGAAATGCACTCTCCATCTTGCAATGTTTCAAGAGTGTTGCCGATATCAACTAGGCTCTGATGGGTTTCTCGTTACCTCTGTTACCTTGACCGACAAAGTGCATGACGTTTAATTCTACCCAGACCGGTAACTGAATCATCAGCAAGTCTTGTTCTACCGGTCCAGAGACAATTCACACCGCAAAAGCCAGCAATGTTAGCACTTGTTGTAATGGCAAGACTTGGCAATTTTGTAGATTTCACTACCGGCAGTTGAACTGGTTTTAACACGCCCATGTTTCCTTCACTAAGAAGAGAACCTTGTCTGCAGAATTGGGTGACGACCTGACGTGTAACATGAAACTTGATTGTTTCTAAGTAGTAGATCCATTAATTGCATAAACTATATGCCGGGAAGCGGTGTTTCACTGAAAATGTTCGTTTGTTGTTCATCTTTTTCGTCTTGGTAAGTATCTGTTGTCCAAATCTCGAGATTCTGGAGCCCAACAACCACCCGGACTTTATTCATACCAAGATTTTCTCGACAGACACTGCGCGTTATGAAGAAAAAGAAGCAGGACGTAGACTGCTAGGACATCTTCATGGGTACCCCGGCGACAGTCCCTTGTCCTTCTGTCTTTCCCTCGTCAGCCGACGCCGATCGCGTAGCGCGACATTCTACTCTTTCGCTATTTTGTATGCGACAAGTATTCCAAGCGCCACAAGAAGGCCGCAAGAAACCAAAATAATTAACACGCTGAACCAAAGAGCAACATTGCCAGGTCGAGTGCCACTATTCTCTTCTTTCCCTTCGCCCACCGCGATGATAACCTGGAGCCCGCTGAGCACAACTGAAACAACACCCATGACAAACAAAATGGGGACGTAGAAGCGCGCTAGATACGGTCCATATTGGTATTCTACTCTCTGGAAGTGCGATTTTCGAAGCAAAATGGGGGCGTAGAAATTTAGTCGCGTCAAGCGAATCTCTCCGTAGTTGTACCTTGTAGAAACATCTCTGTCGTCGATGTCAGCAAGGCCGGACGTGAAGTTGCAGAAGTGCTCCCAAGTGATATCGGCCGGTACGAGACTAAGGCTGGGTTCCTGGGCGACCCGAAAGTCAGACTCGAATTTGATGAGATGATAATAGGTGCGTAGAAACCCCAAAGCCGCCCGCCGAACCCGATCTCCACTTCCGTTCGAGCCAGCTTCGGCACCAAGGTAGTCCCTCCAGAAGTCGTACGAGCCGATGTACCGCGGGAGCGGCTTGACGAAGATTCGGTCGTGAAACCACACCAGGTGGAGCTTTGGCTCTTCCGTGATAACGATAGTTCGGCGCTTAACAAATTGACGGTGGAGCGGTGAGATGTTCCGGCTGTCTTGTTTTGACATCCACCACAGTTTATCGGCCACTTGATCGACATCTTCAGCGCAGAATTCCGTAGCTAGAAACTTGCGGACTTTATCATGGTCATCTAGCCGAATACGTGGGTGCCCAGGAACATGCTTAGTCGCCTCGCTTCCGGCCTGCGGGCCTGGCAGCAACTGATGCTCTGCTTCGAATGGTGGGGTTTGGAGGTTTGACATGATGATTTACGATGCGGAAGTCGTTCTCAGCAGGAAAGATGGCGAGCTCCTTCAAGCAACCAGGCTACAGCCTATATGTCAAGTGGCTGCCTGAGCCGCCTCACTTCTACTGGGCGGGGTTCTGGGCGCTTACGGTGCGCCAGAGACATGCTGGCGGCTAATTTGCCAACGTCATCTTTCTCTGTAGCATTAAAAAGTCAATATCTCCGACCAACGAGGCAAAGCTCATCAGGCTGTCTGTGGAGACCGTTCTTTGCGACAGTCACCCGACAGCAACTCAAACGACAACGCCTAACTGTAACCAAAATGTCAGCTAGCAACAATAAATCAGATCTTGAGAGACAACAGATTGATGTGCTATATTGAGCGGCCCAAAACTGAGCCCAAAAGCCTGACGATCCGTATTGACGATATTCCGAACGATGAACCTGACAAGCTGGAGACAAGTCTGAAGGATATTGTGGAGCAAAGCGACTCATTGAAGGAAGCTGTACTTCGCTCTAAAGTTCACTACGTTGTTCCTTTTGGTGAAAATGTCGACTGTGTCACAGTCTCATTTTATAGTTGTCTCACTGTTTCTGAGGAACTTCATAGAAAGAATCTCCAAACAGAGGGGATTACCCACGAAACTATTCCCGGGATTTCGAAGGGTTAATATCACTATTTGAAAGTCCGAATGGAGTAACTACCGAGTAAACATGCTTCCCCGACACCCATAGTCTTGTTCTGCTGCTCGGCATAACTAGTGTGGTGCATTTAGTATCATTGCAGTCCCGGGTCTTGGTAGCTATACGCTTGAGCCATAAGGAGTGCCGAGGAGCGATTCATTTTAGCTACGGAATTTTCTTCTTGAGGATTTCTGTTGCTGACCATTCCCTGCCAGGTATAATCTATACAATATTGGGATGACGCCGAGAGCACCAGCGAACCCCCGATCGCCAGAGGCGTCTGCTGGGCCTCAATCAAGTGGATTTCCGACGATATCAAGGTCTGCTTAATCACTAACCCGAACCAGCAAGGTTACTACAAAGGAGACCCAGATTCCATGCCACAAGCGGAATGGACCTGGACACTGAATGTTTCGTAGGTTGCTCAAGATATTACGTGCATATGACCACCGCAAGAACACTAGCAGCAGAGGACTCAACGTGACGAGCAGGTCAGGACAGCCAGCTGCGTCTTGAAGCAAAAGCTTGTCTCATTGTCTCTTATTCTGCATTATATAGTCACGCTACTGCCCAGTGCACCTCAACGCCGTTGGTTCGTAACGCCAGAAAGTGAACTATATGACCAATTATCACATATACATCAGTACTTGGTATCATCCACCTGTGCTTGCTTCCTTGCACACACCACGTTGCCCTATCATTTAACATATTTATATCTCCAACATGGCCTTCAATGCATCTACGATCATTCGCTTCGGCGGCGCCAGTTCCAAAATTGCTTTGCTTGTCGGCGTCTTAGCAAGCGAGCATCTCCCCTCCCATAGCGGCTCAAAGCCAGCCATAATCGACGGTAAAACCTTTTTTGGATACACCCCTGTCGCCACCAATTCGTTGAGCCAGTCCGTAACCTTAAATGCCACACTTTCAACCCCGATTCCTGCCACCTGCTCGACCACCTCAACAATCCGCTTCCCAGTAACGTCTTCAGGGCCGCTGAGGACGTACTTAGCCTGGTTATGTGGCGTGGGATCCTCAATAGCGAGGAGATGCGCGCCCACGCTACCAACGTCCTCAGGGTCAATCATTGCCACAGCCGCTTCAGCAGCAGAGGTAATAGATAACGTTTCTTGTTTACCAGTCTTCCGGTACTCCTTGATCCATTCCGCTGCCGATGCAAGGTAACTTGCTGTAAAGAAGTTGGGCTGTAGCGACGTCCATTGCAGATCCTTGAACTCCGGCTGACTGAGCAGGTTCTCGATAGCCCAGTGCGTGCGACCGTAGTATACAGGGTTCGCAGGCCCAATATACTCAATGTTTGTTGAGACACGAACGACGTACTTAACGCCGGCGTGCAGTAAGGCAATGTGTAGGGCTGATTCTTCGACAAACTGCTGCGGCAGGTTATGTGAGGCGATGTAGACGCGGGTAACCTCCTGGTCACGGAGCCAAGCGGCGTCGATGTTAGTCCAGTCCTTCTCTAGCAGCTCGACTTGCGGGAGTCTCGCAAGCTTCTGGGAGGCGGGGCTAGAGAGGGAGCGAGTCAGACCGAGAACCCGGTAGGTACCATTTTTACTGGACTCGAGGAGCGCAGGGAGATGACGGACAACGCTTCTGCCGGTATTACCTGTCGCGCCGATAACAAGAATTGTATAAGTCATAGTGACTTGTCAGATTGTCTGAGAAATGAAGTATAGCGAATAAGATTGAAGCTGAGGTTGATAGCGTGCTGGTTGCGATCAGCGAAGAACGGCGCTTTACCGCAAGCTTATATGCTAGCCCATCGTAGCTCACATCGGGTTACAAGTACCGGTAGCTCTACCAGAAAACCAAAAAAAAAAAGACAGAAAAAAGGCAACGAAGTACGATTAGAAATCTTTGTATTAGAAATAGCTGTGGTTAACTGGATTATTCAGCAAGCGTCACTGTCCATTCGCTCGAGTACTATATAGAGAACTCTCCACTTCGCTGCTTGATTCCCCTCAAGTACTATTTCATGACTTGGAGGTACTTGTTGATATGGAGTCAGCCGCGCCCAAGCCCAAGGTCGATAGTAGAGCTGGTAAGTAACTACCGGTACCCGTTTGAACCAACGATAAACCCCTGTGTGTTAAGAACAGCAGAACTATCATGGATCCACCAAAGGGTATCCTGATGGAACCATATCAGTTAGGGTGGATGAAGATACCCGATCGAGTGCGGACTTGCCTCATTTTCACCAAGACCAAAGTTACCCATTTTTACTACAAAAACACTGGTGTACAAGCACATATTAGCCAAACGTTTCGAGGCGTTCTTGGGCAGGAAGTTTCATTGGCTCTAACTCAGCCCCAAGCGAAATGAGCTAGTCAGCACTTGATGGGATAATCAATATTTCAGGTTACCACTAGGTGATGGCAATGTTGCTCAGACCCTTTTGGACGAATTAGACCATGATTGCACTTCTGATTCCACGTGATCCACCAGTGGCAATAGCGGCCTTGCTTTTAAGTACATTGGCCCTGTTGAGGGGGTTTGATACAGTCCTCCTGGGAGTGGCAGCCGTTCCGGGTCTGACGGGTAATATGGACTGCGAATTGATGCCGAGCATATCGCACGACAGCGTCGCGAAGCAACACGGTTGAACAGTGAGACAGGCAGATAAGATAAGGAATAAGCTGTAAGACAAGCAAAAGTACGCCAAGCTATTAGTAGGTATCCATGGTTGACCTTCTCTAATCGAGGTCAAGCTGAAGGCTGGCTAAATAACTTGTGAACGCGTGGAAGATCACCTGTCAGCAGCTGCGGGATATGGGCTCACAATGGCTTGTGACACGTTGGTATTCCATAGCAATGGCAAAGTTGATAACGTTGTATTGGATGCTACATGTTTTGCTTTGAGTTGGTGCGCGATCAGGATGATGCAGTGTATTCTTTTTTCAGAATGGCCGTGTGCTACTCTTTCTACACTTGTTTACGGAAGCATCACACTGCGACGTCCCAATCCCATCTGTCTGTAAATTCCGTCTGGGTCTTTGAGGGGTTAAGACCTCCAATCCTGCGGTGTTTTGATACGGCTGGTACATGACACTTGTGACATGGACGTTAAGTAGAACTCTCCCGCCACAACGCTATAGACTGATATGGGATACTCTCATCATGCAAGGAAGTAGCTCTCACTGTTGTATTTTTGAGCTTAACGCAATTAGTAAAGGATGACGAAGTCAGAAGCCCTAGAAAAGTCGTCTGCTTCTCGAAGTGACCGAAATTGACCAAGCGCGCTACAAGCTTATGCATATTCGGTATCGCAATCGTAATCGCAATCAAACCTGCCACACATCATCTTAACCAACCTCGAGCCAGATACGCAAGGATGTTTGCGATAACCTTCTGGCAAAAGTGGAGACGAAGTCTGAAATATCAGGGGATAGTTCTGGTCAACACAGCCATTCTTGCCTTGATTTATAAGCCATCAAATTGGAGGATAAATTAACTTCCAAATCAATAGTGCGCCATTGCATACGCCAATAGCTACTAGAGACTCCGATATTCGTACCGTAGCTGATGATTCGTGTGGATTCACGTGCCCGCCTTGACCCGTACGCACCAAGCGCCTCTCTACCAGAGTCCGAGAGATGCTTCTGCTTACTACCCGCACGCCTATACTGTTTGAAGTAATTCTGATTTGAAACATTGAACTTCGGCAAAACAATATAGATTCTTGGCACAGGTCTTGTAACCCTCGACGGGCTGAGGAACCTTGACTCCGCATATGTTCCCAAGATGTACCAATGCACATTATCAATCAAGACTGACAAATAGAGATACTCGCCGAATGCAATGCTGGAATCGATTCCCGAATGATCAATGAAGATTGAAGTGGCTGGTGATACACGTATGTACGAAGTATATGAGTAAAGGGGTAAACTTTCGTAACATTGAATTCGACCGTTAGATGAAGCATATTAAATCAGTTTATTCGAAATGACGGCCATGGACCTATCTCAACTCACCAAAAAGACGTTCAACGTCTTGCGTGGCTTCACCTACACGTATTACACCTTTACTTCTCAGAACTCCAAGCCGACTCTTTTCCTCTTTCACGGATGGCCCGATTCAGCACGCCTATGGACCGGCTTCATCCACAACTACCTCATTCCCCGCGGTTACGGCGTCGTAGCCCTCGATAATCTTGGCTTTGGCGACTCTTCTAAGCCCACAGACCCCCAGTCATACGCCCTGAACCACCTTACAGCTGACGTCGTTGAGATCCTTGAAGCTGAGGGCTTGGACAGCGTAGTATCTGTTGGTCACGACTGGGGATCTTTAATTGCCCAGAGGCTGTACAACTTCTATCCTAAGCGTGTACGCGCATTGATCCTAGTCAGCGTGCCCTATATGGTACCGACAGATCATTTCGACCTTGATGCGATAAACGACATGACGAAGAAGATGTTTGGTGCTGGTATCTTTGAGTACTGGTACTTCTTTACTGCTGACGACGCTGTGGATCTTATGAACCAGAACGTCGAATCTGTATACAGCGTGGTCTTTGGCGAATCTGATACCTGGCTTAAGACCTGGTGCGCTCCTGGCGGAATGCGGAAATTTATCACTCAGGGCTGCACCCAGCCCACTATCTCGTTCGCTACCCCAGAGCACAAAACGGATTTCATGGACCGCTACCGAAAAGGAGGATTCGCTTCATCCATGTGCGCTTACACAGTGACCAGTTCTGGGGTGCGGACCGAGTCAGATAGGATGCTGACCGATGAGTCGATCACGGTCAGGGTACCGGTGTTCTACTGGGGCGGCAAGCAGGATTATGTATGCAGGCCTGAGATGTCGCAGCAAGCCATTGCTCAAGGCGTGCTGCCGGATGTACAGACTGCCCTTAGGACCGGTGGACACTGGGCCTTTCTTGAGACGCCGGCCCAGTTCGGGCAGGACATTCTGGGTTGGCTGCAAGACAAATTTGAGTAGACAAAGACGGTGATGATGATGATTCGACTTGATTTGATGCAACTATTTGACTGTGTCCCTAACACGGTCTTCATCCTTATTGGTGGTGATACCTTTGGTAGTGATCAGGAAGATGCTGGCTAGGTAAATTGACTGAATTATCAACAATAGTGGAAGATTGAGAGACTTATATAGTCTTAGATGTCTTACTGAATAGATATATTTCGCTCATTACTTCGACATATGGCTTTTTTTCTCGCCTCGCTACATCTTGATCGTCTCTCATCGTTGCTACAATGCTTAATGAGTGTGAAACAGTCAAAAAAACCCCACTGTCGAACCAGGGGCGACTGATTCTCAGTTTAACAACTGTCGATTGCCTTCGTCTCTCCTCGCGCCTGTTTGTACATTGCTCTCATATTCATCTCTGCCTCGGCACCTCTCCAACGCCTCCCATCCAGGTGTCTCAGACATAGCTGCTTTCCTTCACCAGGATAAAACAGCCAGCAGCCCCATCTTGACCACATTCCTTGTTCCTTCATTTGCGTTCTCGCGCGATGTCCAATCGTGTCCTCGATAAAGGCACCTCTTGGTATCGCCAACCTTGTCGGGAACACTCGGGATAAGTAGTGTTGCGTGGATGCAATGTGCGGTTTATCATGCCAGAAGAACATGGGCGTTAGCGGTACCTTGGTCGTCGGGTATGAATTCGGGACGAAGTCATTCTTCAACTTGGCTGTCAATGCCCGTAAATGCGGAAAGTCTTGCACATGGGCAGTCTCGGCATATTGCAGCATTCGGACTGATGCTAAACAGACGTACTTCACGGGCCCCTCTTCATCTGCGTCCTTGGTCTTCATGACATCAAGCATTGGCGCCACTGGTATGTCGTAGACGAGTGTCCAGTCATGCTGATGAATCCAAACGTAGGGCGTTTTTGTTATACGCAGAGCCGTTCGCACAGCCAGTCCGAAGCCCAGCCTCTCTGATGGCTCCACAAAGGAAACCCGATAATCTTGCGTCCGGCTCACGGTGTACGTTGCAAGATTTGTTGTGACGGATGCTGCTCGACCGTTGTAGCCATATTCAGCTTCCCCTTGTTCTCGAATCAACTCATCCTTGCTGTCGAGTTGACCATACACTCCCAATACCAGATCTTTCACGTTGTCCTTGTATGTGGAAAATTCCTTGGCGCCTTCTTCTGTGACTTGCCCTTTCTTCAACCTAGCGGCTTCACCAATGCGCTCATAGGTATCGAGGACAACAATGATGCGGCATTCCAGCAGGTCGACACAATGGAGGCGGATGGATTGAAATACGGCGTCCAGGAGCTCAGTTGAGGGGGCTGAGGGCGTTGGCGACGTCGTTAAGATGAGTGTCAGAAGCTTCGATACCGATGCCGGCGTTGGCGGCACAGGGACGGACGACATGGCTCGGTGCTGTTCCCCAGATTGTGCTATTCGTGAGTGAAAGCGGAAATATTTTGCAAGTGAGACGGAGTCACTGGAGGTACGTACTCTTTCGGAGTTAAGCATCCGGTCGAAGTGGGACCTTTGGACCGATAACCACCGGCCGGGCCCAGCCAGCAAGAGCACAACTCAAAAGTGAATCTCATCTTGATCTCATCTTGATGAGAAAACAAATGTTTGAATCAAATCGGCTATTTCTAGGCCCTAGTTCGAAAGCTTTAGACAAGTAACTAACCAGCGCCATTATGTCTTTGTAAATGTTGGTCTGTCGACAACCAATCCCGGGCCGGAACACAAAGCCCTGGCCCCGGAGACCCATTTAGTCGGGCCCGCATCCGCAAAAAGACACCAAACACGGCGAAAAGAAATTTTCAAAAAGATTGACCAGCCTGGGGGTCGAACCCAGAATCTCCTGATGCTCTACTTAATCGTAGTCAGACGCCTTGCCATTGGGCCAACCGGCCATTATCGGTTGTATCCATTGCTGGATGACGAAATTCTTTTCGTTGTTCATGTTTATGAAGCGGAGGTCCCTCATCGCGGCGGTCTCCTTACACTCTCACTAGGCAAGACATCGCCTGCAATGTCAGCAAGACACTGGGAAACCCCCTCGACCTACCATACTTGTACCAAGTTCATCAATTCCATCTTCTTTCCAGGGTATTCGAGTGCGCCACTGCAAATGTCTTCTCATAACTCCATGCCTTGCCAAGATAATCCCAAGAAATTGGCCGGCCGTCATCATAATAGTCGTTTAAACCAAACAGCCTTGAAGCTTTCGTCAGCCCTCCATCTCAAGCCTTTTTCTTCCATGCACTCAGAAAGAAGTAGCCGCCGCAGACCTCGGAGGTCTGCGCGCCATTACAGTGCATATTGCAGTTCCACAGCGGCGCAGCCGTTTTCGGTGGTGTGCTAGAGCAGTAGCACTGGTCCCCGTACTCGGTGCCAAAGTACTCATAGTCGGGGCACGCAGACGCACAAAGTCGGTTCGTCAGATTATCGATGAGTGTGTACTTATCCGGGAACACGCGGTTCGAGGTGTCCTCATAGCACCCGATGTACTCCCAGTCGACGACTTCGACCCACGTCGTTGTTGCTGCCGGCGCTTCTGTGGTTGACGTGGCATTGGTATCTGGTTGTGTTGTCCTATGGTTGCGTCTGTCAGTATGTTGGCGGATTAGACCAGTAAGACGGAACTCACTTTGTCGCTGCGATGTTCTTGAGCTCCAATATCTGCGCGTCTTGTCTTGCAAGCATGCTGCCAAAGACACCGGCGACAATGCAAAGGATGGCAAGCAAGAATCCCAATATGCACCAGAGTATGAACACCGCCTTTCCCGCACCGCATATCCTCTTCTTCGGTGTGACAGGCTCAGCAGATTGACCCGGCGAGATGGGCACCTGGCTGTACTGCTTATACTGGGCGTATTGCGGTCCACCGACAATCTTGTCCGAGGAGGCTTCCAGGACAGGATGAAGTCCGTTTTCGACATATACCAGGTCACCGGTCTGTGGTTGACTGTAATGTGTCTGGAGGCCCGGTGTGTGGCCTCCCGCATCTGATCCCGCCTCATGGGAGGTGTACTCCGTCCTTTGCTCGTGCGAGGCGTCCATCTTGTACTCTTCGTGCCGTTCACTTTCTGTTGACCACTCTGGTCGTCTGGTATCAAGCAACGACTTTTGTTCCAGTGGCTGCATCCAGAAGTCGGAAGACCTACAATGTCTCGCAAGGATGTCGCGGCGAGGTGATGAGACGAAAGGTTGTCAGACGCATGAGAAGGCTCGAGGACCATGCAACGGGCCGCTGTTACGAAGTCAGACGGATGGACATGTTTAAGAACTGCCACACAGCTCATGCATGGGCAGGGCTGGCGCTAGGCAGCCAAATCGCGAAACAGGATCCAGACCAGCGTCCTAATTTAGATGCCATTCCCCTGTCCAACGGGCGCCACGGTCGCAAAGCCATCCATCAAGGGGAGATTAATTACAGCCGCATCTCGAGTGGGAGTTACATACCAATATTGGGATCGGGCGTGGCGTCACATCCAGCTGCTTGGCAGCTCCTACGGGGGGTTGGCAGTCGAAGACGTAAATGCCGTGGAACAGCGGGTGGAGAAGAGGTTACAAAGCAGCCTTGGAGACCCCCCGGGTACTGGCCGCTACCTAGACGCAGCTTAAGCCCCTTTTGGAATTGCTCATTTGCCAAATCGTCGACTAGCGGGATATTTTTGCACTTTGAATCTCGTGCCTAAAGTGGATTAAGCATCTTGGCTCTTTATGGGCTCCGTTCTCCACAGGCGTAAGCGGCATTCACGCATGTTCTTCTTCTTGGGGGCTGAGATGAGGTGATCTTTGAGCCGAGAACAGCCCTGGAGGGCATGGTGCGTGATCCGCCTCGGATGTTAAAATTCGCGAAGGCATTCCCTTGTTGAGGCTTCCTCGACCCCCCAATCTGTATGTTTACGAGAAAACGACGTTTCCTCTACTGGAAGAGAAGATCTATCTGGAAACAGAGTAGATGGCCGTGAAGAATTAGAGCAATCGATGCGGCACCTGTGTATGAATTCTACATAGTCCGTAAGGCTCAAATTGAGAGCCCGCTGATGGACCTCGTATTCTTTGTTCAAATGCCCCTCTAACAAGATAACGGTCCCCCGAGTTTTATCTCCAGCTTGGTAGCGCTCCTGTACTTGTTTTCTAGATGTTCTATTATCTAATTGGATGCCTTCTCATGCAGCCGTGGGGGATTTTACGGAATTAGAAACACTTGCATCACAGTGCATGGCCCGTAAGCACGATTCACGCTACGCGAACGCTTCAAGTGAGGCTGACTCTTTCCGCGACACTTTGGCTAAGTTTCCCTTCACCGCATTCTGGCTTCATGCCGGAGACGGCTCATCAACCAAGAACTATCCAATAGATTGGTCTTATCCCATCTCATTGACCTAGACATCCAGTACTTGGTCTATGGGACCGCGTTGGAATGGACTTCTTCATCCGACACCTTACTGAACCCACGGCGATCGCCGAGGAACCGTCTCTTAGCCATGTTGTGTCACGCGTCCGCGAAACCGCTGTCTGCCTCGCGGTCCTCGGCCAAGTAGACTACGGCACCCGTCTCTTGAGCATTCTCCACTCACACGGCATCCCGCCGTTTGACCTGCTCGAGAATGGGCCGGAGATCTTTACGGCGGCATATGCGCAATGCCAGTCGCTGGCCAAAGGGGGTGAGGAATACGATGTTCCCGTGCACCCTCCGCGATCAGATCCGTTCACGAGGATTGTCTTCGGCTTTGCGTGGGAACAGATTGGGGAATGGCCAACATGGGCTTCTCCGGGACCCGAACCTCTCCAAGCCAATATCGTGGGGCTGGAGGCATCAACCGATGACGGGACGACGCTGGACGCCCTGGAGCTCTATGCCCTTACACTCGTCTGCAATAGGTTTGCCGGCGAATGGCGCGTGGATATGGAGACGTTTGAACGGGCCAAAGGGCTGGCCCTGCGCCAGGACAACAGAGCGAACCCGCATGGTCCGATACCTGAGCGGATGTACGACTTCTGGATTCTCTGGGAGCGTATGCTTGCACCTTGGCCCATGAATCAGATCGTCAAGGCGACGGGGCGAGTCTTGACGCTTGACCTTGCCGTGCGACTCTTTAACCCCGCGAGGAACGCTGGTAGGGCAGGTGCTGGGAATAGTGACAAAGACACGGAGGAGGACCAGTCTGAGGAGGAGCTCATCGATGAGTTCATTATCGACGATGACATCAAAGAAAGGGAAGATAAGGAGGATGCGAAGGACAACAATGGCAATGAACCAGAGGGAAATTTTGAAGGTGACGAATACAGTATCGAGGCCTGGGGACGATGGATTGCCAAACAACACGGTGCGCAAGACCAGATGCCGATGCTGGGAAGCATGCGGGCCCTCTGGGGTTACGAGTGGTTCACCGATCCGGAAAAGAACGAACTCATCAAAGTTTTGGACATTGACGTGACAGAAGTCCGCAATGCCGCCGAGAAGGGCTGCGAAATGCTTATCAGGAGGTTGGAACGCGGCCCGACGCGGCCATATGACGGATGCACAATCTCGGGGCTCGTTCGGGCCATCGACGAGAACACACGCACCAACGCGAAATATTCCCCAGACGATTCCCCGGATCGAGAGAGCTTGCTTGTCCAGAACACAGCACTCGGTCAGATCAATCTCGACGAGGAAAAGGTCTTTAGACCCACGACGCTGCTGCGTCATCCACCGCCTTCCTACCAAGATATTGTCGACCTGGAGAAGCGGCTCGAGGTAAGCGAACCGTTGCCGGATGATTACAAGATTTTCCTCCGTACCACGGACGGCATGGGGCCGATCTGGTGGAACGAATTCAACCTCCTTCGCCTCTTGGCGCCGATATCCAAAGTTGCCATTGGGGATGAAGACTTCCTGTCGAGCATGGACCTTGAACTGATACCGAGATGGGGTCTGTACAAGTCCTGTTCCATCGAATGGCCGCGTCTCCACCGGGGTATCCTCATTAGCGGGGGTGGGTACGAAGGCCATATCTACCTTGTCGAGCCCAAATACGTCGTCACAGCCAAGGCTGCGTTCTTCAAGGTCTACGACTCGGCAACAGATCACGAAAGACGCTTGCTTCTCCGGGAAGTTGAGGAGGTCTACGGAAGCCTAGAGACGTTCCGGGAGCTGAGGTGGGGCGTGTGTCTCAACACGCAGTGGACTGCAGAGATGGTCCCTTACCGGAGCTTTAGGGCTCTCTTGGAGGACCTTGCGGCAGGTAGTCGGAGAACGCCCAAAGATTGGTCGCTCAGCTTCGATCCCAGCCTGAGGAAGCTGCTTGGCATCTATTACCGGCCTCAGTCGGAGTGGGATGACAGTGAAGAAGGAAGGCTTGTAAAGCAGGGAAAGGGAAACCTTCGATACAATGGGAATTGGACTTTCTCGATGGGCGAACTAAAGAATACCGATCTCGAGTTCAACATGCCAATGGTTGATCACTAAATTTACAGACGTTCACTCACAAGGGAGGTTCTCCCACCTAGCCACTGAGACTAGAAGTCATCTAAAGATTCCGTCAAATACGATATTGCGGTGTAAGCCATCATTCCAGCCTCCCTAAAATCCTATGCTATTTCCGGATGGAGTTTGCCTTCCAAGTCCCACTTAAACCTAGACCGTTTGTTTTTATCTTGATTATGCTAGAACAGTATCACTACTGTTCGGCCGTAAGTGTGGTGTCGATGATGGAAGGATACTCGCATCGGCCTTCTTACTCGAACTTATGAGAGCCTTTACGGACCTGGAATGGGCGCTCTGTACGACCAAGAGACACGGCACAGTATGGGCGTGTTAACTACATCAAACAAACAGGCATGAGCGTCTAAAAAAGGAACACTTGTGGTACCATGGCTATCTTTTCATGCGAACACGCTTCTAGATCACCTCATAGTCGAGTTTAGTCACCATAGCTCTACTTGACCGACGGCTACAAGTCAGTCAGTTGCTCACAGATTCTGAGCGTCTTCACAAACACGCCACCAACAACTTATCTCTCTCCTCTTCTATTCACAACGATCTCCGCCCCCAATCTTGTCCTTACTTGCGCGCTCCTCGGAGCCTTCGTCGACACGGGCAAATCAGGCCGCCCCGGACGCAGATCCACGTGGGTCTTTCTGTTACCGACACGGAGCATGTAGCGCCTACCGGAAACCTAAAGGACGTCGAAGCCGCGTACCGGGCTAGAGCTTCCCCTTGTGGCCAGGCAATACCCTCATAAAGCAGCCAGTTAATCAGTGGAATCGGACCTCTCGCGTATACTCCGTCGGGGCTTTTCATAACTGCCGACTTGACAAGCGGAATGGGCCTCCTTGCAATTGCGGCGGGGGCAGTCGTGGCCTGCGGACCGCTCTTCACTATCAGCCTGCCTCGATAGACATACTGGAAAGCGCAGGCTGGCTCGGCGGCTGCCCAAATGCCTATGTGATGAACGATACCTCGGTCACTGCGGCGAGCCTTTGAAAGGCTTGTGATGATAACTAGCATGCACCGGCCCTGAGACACGCCGGCCAGCATATGCTTTCCCTGCTCCGGGCCGACATCATCTTACTTTGCGTTCTCGTCTCTATGGTCTCCATCCCACTCATTCATGCCCCTGTCATCCTATTTCCTCTTGCCCCTGTCCAATCTTTTCATTCGAAAGAAGGGAGGCAACATAGAGGTAAGAATTTCAGACGGCACGAGAAACGAAGACTATAAGCGAGATGGTATATACAAACTTGTCAGAAACCTAAACTGCCCTTGATTTACCTTCGTCTGCACAAGACTTAAGTAGAGGCAGGAGACAAAGAACCATATTTGACTCCAGGGCGAGAATATTGCCATAGCCGTGACCTCAATTTGAGTGAGAACCTAACATAACGGCTCCTTGTCATGAATAGGCTCGTGACAGAAAAACGGTTTCCAGGGGCGCACATGTAGTGCAGGGCAAATGGGAACAGATGTTGGACACGAGACCACCACGACGTATCCAACGAACCGCTATGGGCTAGCAACAATGAGGAGTCGAAATAGCATAGCCATTCAACTCTCTATCTAGGGGACTTACAGTTGCTCGTATCTCTTTTTTCGCAACAGATCCTCTGTGCGCGAGAGGTTCTGGACGCAAATAGTATTACAACCCTCTCTTGGTTGCCATTCAAAGCATAACAACATCCATTGCGGCCGCCACCGCAAGCGTGGACAACCCAGAGTAGCGTTGAAATGTTTCGAGCGATACACCGAATCGAACAATGTTTATAACAAGGCTGCGACGAGTCTTCGGGAGCCCCTGCCAATAATGTAGCTTTTGTTTCTTGCAGAGGTTGGAATTGTTCATTTCCCCACACGTAGCGGGCCGGCCACAGTCCGAATGTCCGCTCGTAGTATCAATCAGATGTCTGGCACTTTTGTTCAGGCGTGTAGCCCCTGCAAGATGAAGAGTGCCACGCAATGGCTCACCATCGGCCAATATCGCGAGCTCAGTCATAAACCGACTTCAGATCAAGGGGATCACAACATCCAACAACGGGATCATTCTCGCGCTTGGGCTCTCAGAACCTATAAAGCCAAGCTGTCAGATAATGCCGTAAGTCACGGGTCTAGCCACGCCGTTGCATGTTGGGTGTTGAGACGGGAGCATGGTTCTGTTTCCAGATCACAGACATAGATTTGGTCGATTTACGACGGCGTTTTGGAGGGAGGGGTTGACGGTGCAGATCGCACCCGCTCCTTACCCCCTCAAGACAGACCGATTCGGCTCCGACCGAGAAACCAACTCCCAAGTAGGTAATTGCCAGAGAATCAAGCGCCGGTTTTCCGTTGCTTATGATCCCGGGATGGTATGTTTCTGAAGTTTCTGGAAAGTGTATGTGGACGTCGCCTAGAGCAATCCTCGGCTGGGAAAGGCGGGACCTGAGGGGAGAGGCAGGGCGGCCCCGCGACGGAAACTCTATCTAGAACCTCTTGGCTGTCAGCAACCACGCAATCCCCGGTATGACTCTTTCGGGGTGCGGCCAGTTGTCAAGGATAGGGCCGGCTCGGACGAGTTCGAACGAAGAGTGCGCTGTGTTCAATTCAGGGCCAGTCTGAAGTTGGAAGCAACCGCCACGCCATCATTCGGATGCTGCCAAAAGCGAGCGAATCGACGTCGTTCATCCATCCGGGTGGGAACGAGAGACGAAGCGAGGCATGCACTTGGAGCCGAGCGCGCATGGTGCATGCTGCACCGTGTGCTGGATGCTTTGAGTTTGCTATCGCGTCCATGTTTCGTGTTCGTGGCACTTGGGGCCGAGGATCAACCACCAGACGGCTGGGTGTGGACATGTCTGGGCCATGTGCTTGCCCTGCGATGCGCGCGATGCGTACGATGCGTCACGCGAAGCAGCTTTGGTAGAAGGCGCATCTGAGTGAGACGGACGGACTTTTTGTCGAGGTGTAATTAGCGGGGCTTGGCAAGTGTTTACAGCATGACATGGCTGGCTGGGGTCAAGCGTTTCTCATCAGCCTTGAAAAGTTGGGGGGGCTTGGACAGCAGCAGTGTTACTGATTTTAGTAATCGCTTTTGTTGGACCTAGGGGGAATGCGTTCTCCCTCTCCGAATCTTCGGCCGATAACCGCCGAGGACTGGGCGGGAGATGCAGCGTGACGGGTGACTTGCGGCGGAAGGGTGCGCGCGGGAGGCGTGGCGGCGATGCACACTAATTTCGCAGGGTAAAGTCTCCGGAAAGGCGGGACGGCAAAGTGAGACCTTGGAAAGCCTGCCCCGTATACCTAGTACCTACTCATTGTCGTTTTCGCAGACTACACTACATTGCACTAGACACACGCGGGTGGCTCGCAGTGGTGCGCATGAACGGTCGGGCTTTTGTAGCATGGTCATCTCCCTCCCACTTGCGGTTCTACTCGAGTGTTTGCTGCGACGGTAGCGACTAGAAGTGGTGCGCCATTTATAGGACGGGCTTGGCGACGTGCAAAAAGTCCAGAATTGCTCCGAGTGCTTGATAAGCCTGCAGGCGACGACAAGAGAGTGAGAGATGTAAGCCAGCGAGCGCAATGGGAGGGAGATTTGATGGGAGCCAAGGGCCGCAGCTGACTGACCGTCCAAGGGTTTGAACCTCCGTTGCGGCGGACGAAGAAGGGCGTTGAAATGTTGCAAGCAAGGGGAGCGCGGGGCGCGATACCCACAAGACTATACGACCCCCTTTTTTCCCTTTTTCTTTTCTTTTTCTGCTCTTCCATCTTTTCCTGGTCCAAGCGTTGCGGTTTGCCAACTTGGGTAGCTGCGTTCGGAGGCGAAGCAAGACATCCACACATGGTAGGTAAACGTGCAGCAGAGCCTGTCTGCTTAGGTAAGGGGCAGGCAAAAGTCCACATTGGGCACAAGTCGTGATCCACAATGTAATTTCGCACATGGAGACCCTGTAAGCTAGCTCGTGGTGGATGGAGTCGAGAAGAAGGGAGGGTCCAGTCTTTTGTCAGATCTGCGGGCGAGATGCGAGATGGAGACGGTTGGAGTGAATGGGGGCTGAGATAGCCTACTTTGACTGGTCCGAATCTGCCTACCTAGCGGAAATACGGTGGAGAGTTGGCGGGAAGTTTGCGGACGGGAATGGGCATGCCCAGTTGTGCTGAAAAGTTTTGAGCAACGGGTATTCAAAAGAAGGCAAAGAGGAAGGGGGTGGAAAGTACAAGCAAACAGTGTCTGTCGTTGAAGCGCTTAGAAGCAAGTGTGAGGCCCCCTCCCCCGAGATGGACGGGATTTGACGACGTGTTGACATGTTTGGAGGTCGTTGGAGGACGGGCCTGGTAAGTGCAGATTCGGAGGAGAGCCTCCTCCAGGCCAGGCCTGGACGGGCAGGACCGCCAGCGGCCCATCGGCTCGTTGGCTCACTGGCGAATTCATCTTGGCACTAGGCGCGAGCTGAGTAAGCAGCGCTATGCCAAAACAGGTGTTGCAGCCAGAGTCCCATGTCTTGCCGGATGACTCGACAACGCGGGTCAGGACCCACATACCTGACAAGTTGTGATCCCAGACGATCTGACTGGCCAATGACTAGTTGTGTAACAAACGGGAAGGAGGAAAGAGCGACGGCAGGCAGGAGCCGGAGGGGAGCAACGGGCAGAAGCTGCGACTGCGTGTGAGAGGAAGGAAGGGGGGCGGAAGACTGAAAAATGGAAGAGAAACAAAAAAAAAAAGGAAGAAAAAAGAACGGGTGGAGAATGAGCGCCACCCCTTCGTCCCGCCCGTGCGACGTCAGCTTTGCAGGCAGGCACGGCAGGCAAGCTGCGGTCAACACAACCCGCCCCTGGGGCAGCCTGCCGCGACAAGAGGACGAGGACTGTACCTACCTGTAGGCTGTGCTTCGAGTGCCTGTGGCGACACGGCGGAAGAACCGAGAGAAAGAGAGAAGGAGAGACCCGCTAGATTCACTAGGTAGGTACCTAAAGGTAGGAACGGAAGGTGGAGCCCTGCTATTGCCGCCTTTCTACGCCGGCTGCATTGCAGACGATGCAGCAGCGCAGCAGGCAACGTGCACTATCTAATGTGGACCTGCACAGTACCCGTCCATTTCCCCGTTTTTCCATCGCCGTCGCAGCATTGTTTGCTTGTTTCCTTGGTCGGCGGCCTGTACGACATTGCATTCGTTGGCTGCTGCACTCGTCGCTCTCGGATTTTTATATGCCTGTCGAGTGTCAACCACCGCGCTGGATACCTGCGTTTCAACACATGCTCGTATCCACCACAAGTGCTGCAGCTCTCTCGCGCAACCGCACCCTTTTTTGCTGTACCTACCGTCCTGTACTATACGCGCCACGGCCGCGGGCCCGCATCCGGGCCCATGGATCTGCCAAGATGCCTCCGTGACGGGCAGGTAGCTAGTGTAGGTAGCCCAAGATACGTGTATCCAACGGCTCTCGTGGGACGGCATGCCCCTAGCATTGGCCACTGTTGCCGTCGCTCTTGGCCGTCATCCATCCATCCATCCATCTGTGGTCGCGCACAGAGATTGTGTTCGAGTCCTCACCGGCAGTCTGGACGACCGACAGACCCTGCTGTACATAGTAAGTAACCTTTTTCCTTCTTCCGATGACGCATTTTCACCCACGGACGGCTACCCGGCCGATGAGAGGCCCCGAAAACCTTCCATCCCATTCATCCCATCTTGTCGTCCTCTTGCTGACCGCCTCTTCTTCGTCCGAGATCGAAGGGGGACCACCTGTTTGGCGCTGTCACGCCGCCCGCCCTTCTGATGTCGCCCCCGAGCCCGCGGTAACTGCAAGAATTGCCGTCTCTGGCTCCCACCCCGATCGACACCAGCTGCCGGCCTTTGGGCTTCTGTGACGACGCAAGTATCAAGTCTCATGATGGCTCAACATGGCTCATCCAGTACATGCATGCCTCCCGCCAAAAACTGGAAGGATGATCCACACAAACTACACCCCCACCACAGGCACGACAGGGTCTGGGTCTCCCCGACAATTTAACAGCTGCGGACTCTCTCCGCTGCCCCATGAGTCTTCGAGATGGGCCTGTATCGCCTTAGTCCTAGTCGCATCTGCACACTTTTTCTTGGTGCTGCCAGCATTCACACACCCACATACCCACACCCGAGATATACTATACGGTACCTACATTTCCCACCCACCAAAGGTGGGATTCCCATGTAGAGCAGAAGTGTACATGCCAGACAGAGGCCCGTCGGTACAGAGTCGCCTTGGGTTGCCCTGCGCCCTGGCGTGCAGTCCACCTCCATCCATCCTAGACAAGCGGCGTGACAAGCAACAGCTGCTGCGCGCATCAAGTGCCCACCGCGGGCTTAACACGTCCTACGTCCGGGTCACTACTCCGATGAAATTGTCATTGATCCTTGATTGGTAATACCTCTCTGTTTTGGCTCCCGAAGTCGATCCGACAGAGCAACGATGGACAGCCAAGCCGGCCCAGGGGACCCTCTTTATTTTTTTTCCTCAACTAGTGTTTAGTTATATGTCTCTCTAGTCAACACAGACAAGCTTCTTCTTGCTTTCCTTATTTCTCATCATTCAACTCGCTTGGATCATCGGTGGTTGTGAGTCAACCTGTTACTCTCTTCTCCTCCGCCGAACGGCCGCTCTTTGGTCCGAAGCATCGCCGTCTCTCTCTTTCACCCATACCCACCCTCCTTCTCTCCTTATTCCACCAGTCCTTTGATAACTATTTGATCTCCCTGAAACTGCACGTCCCCCGACTTACTGTCCCTCCCTCCTTTGCTATTCTCCCCACGGTACACATCCCCGTACCTCCACTACAACACCTTCGTCTCATCGGCACGGGCCAGCCACCGCCACTTTCCGGCTGACTGGATCATCGTCGTCGCCTATAATAAACAACTACTTGACTTGTGTCAGTCGCCCGCCGTCGCGACACTTTTTTTCCTTGAGAATTCATACGCCACCTCCGAACCGCCTTCGCAGTGGACAACGATCAAAAGCGAACACTTCCTCAGCCCCAAGGTCCAATGGCGGACCAGGACTTTGAGAAGACCCAGGAGGCTGTGGCCGGAGGCAGCCCCACCGCCAACGAGAAGAACACGGCCGAAGCGCACCCGGCTCCGCGATCCTCGACCTCGACCGCCGCCGACAGTTCTGAGCACCAACGAGAGGAGGCCCGCCGCAACAACCCCGATGGCTTCACCGCAATCCACGCCGGTGTCTCGGTGCACCAGGCCGAGGCTGAGTTCGCCGAGCTGCAGCGCGAGCTGTCTGGCGTGTCGCGAGTAAGCAGGGTGAACAGTCGAGGTAGCCGAAACAAGTCCGAAGATGTCGAGAAAGCCGTTGCAAACGTCAATTCGGCCTCGCCCTCATCCGATACCGAGGGTGAGCAGTTCGACCTCGAGGCTGTCCTGCGTGGTGGCGTCGAGGCCGAGCGTGAGGCCGGCATCAGACCGAAGCACATTGGTGTCTACTGGGATGGACTCACGGTCAAGGGTATGGGCGGCACCACCAACTACGTCCAGACCTTCCCCGATGCTTTTATCAACTTTGTCGACTACGTCACTCCGGTCATGAACATGCTGGGACTGAACAACAAGGGCGTCGAGGCTACGCTGTTGGACAACTTCAAGGGTGTTTGCAAGCCCGGCGAGATGGTGCTAGTTCTGGGTAAGCCTGGCTCCGGCTGCAGTACTTTCCTCAAGACCATTGCCAACTGGCGCGGCGGGTACACCAGCGTGACTGGCGAGGTGCTTTACGGACCCTTTACCGCCGAGGAGTTCAAGCAGTACCGCGGTGAGGCTGTCTACAACCAGGAGGATGACATCCACCACTCCACCCTCACGGTTGAGCAGACCCTGGGCTTTGCCCTCGACACCAAGGTCCCCGCGAAGCGCCCTGCCGGCCTGTCCAAGAACGAATTCAAGAAGCAGGTCATTTCCACCCTCTTGAAGATGTTCAACATCGAGCACACCCGCAACACGGTCGTTGGTGACGCTTTCGTGCGCGGTGTTTCCGGCGGTGAGCGCAAGCGTGTCTCCATTGCAGAGATGATGATCAGCAACGCCTGCGTTCTCTCCTGGGACAACAGTACTCGCGGTCTGGATGCCAGTACGGCTCTCGACTTCGTCAAGTCCCTGCGTGTTCAGACGAACCTGTACCGAACCACCACCTTCGTGTCCCTCTACCAGGCCTCCGAGAACATCTACAACCACTTCGACAAGGTCATGGTTATTGATGCCGGAAAGCAGGTCTACCTGGGCCCCACCAAGGAGGCCCGCGCCTACTTTGAGGGCCTTGGCTTCGCGCCTCGCCCCAGACAGACCACCCCTGACTACGTTACCGGATGCACCGACGAGTTCGAGCGAGAGTATGCTGCCGGTCGCTCGCCCGAGAACGCGCCCCACAGTCCCGAGACCCTCGCTGAGGCCTTCCAGACATCCAAGTTCAAGAAGCAGCTTGACAGCGAGATGGAGGAGTACAAGGCTCGTCTCGCGCAGGAGACGGAGAAGCACGAGGACTTCCGAGTCGCCGTCAATGAGGCCAAGCGTGGCTCGTCGAAGAAGTCCGTCTACGCCGTTGGCTTCCACCTGCAGGTGTGGGCGCTGATGAAGCGTCAGTTCGTCCTCAAGCTGCAGGACCGCCTCTCCTTGTTCCTCTCTTGGGTTCGCTCCATCGTCATCGCCATCGTCCTCGGTACCCTGTTCTTCCGTCTCGGTTCGACTTCCGCCAGCGCTTTCAGCAAGGGTGGTCTCATGTTCATCTCGCTCTTGTTCAACGCCTTCCAGGCCTTCTCGGAACTGGCAGGTACCATGACCGGTCGTGCCATTGTCAACAAACACAAAGCGTACGCCTTCCACCGACCTTCGGCGCTATGGATTGCCCAGATCATCGTCGATCAGGCCTTTGCTGCGACTCAGATCTTGGTCTTCTCGATCATTGTCTACTTCATGTCGGGTCTCGTCCGCGAGGCGGGGGCTTTCTTTACGTTTTACCTCATGATCTTGTCCGGAAACATCGCCATGACCCTGTTCTTCCGTATCATCGGTTGTATCAGTCCCGACTTCGACTACGCCATCAAGTTCGCTGTCGTTTTGATCACTTTCTTCGTTGTCACATCTGGCTACCTCATTCAGTACCAGTCTGAGCACAAGTGGATTCGATGGATCTACTGGGTCAACGCGCTTGGTCTCGCCTTCAGCGCCATGATGGAGAACGAGTTTAGCCGCCTCAAGCTCACCTGCACTGACGACTCGCTCATCCCCTCGGGCCCCGGCTACGGCGACATCAACCACCAGGTTTGCACCCTTGCGGGCTCCCAGCCCGGAACCACCCTCGTCGACGGCTCGGCCTACATTGCAGCTGGGTTCAACTACTTCAAGGGCGACCTGTGGCGCAACTGGGGCATCATCTTCGCCCTCATCGTCTTCTTCCTCATCATGAACGTCACTCTCGGAGAACTCATCAACTTCGGCAACAACGGTAACTCGGCCAAGGTCTACCAGAAGCCCAACGAGGAGCGCAAGAGGCTCAACGAGGCTCTCATCGAGAAGCGAGCAGGCAAGCGCCGCGGCGACAAGCAGGAGGGTTCCGACCTCAGCATCAAGTCGGAAGCCGTCCTGACCTGGGAGAACCTCAACTACGATGTCCCCGTTCCTGGTGGAACCCGTCGTCTCCTCAACAACGTCTTTGGATACGTCAAGCCCGGCCAGCTCACAGCATTGATGGGCGCTTCCGGTGCAGGCAAGACCACCCTTCTCGACGTGCTTGCGGCCCGCAAGAACATTGGTGTTATCCACGGTGATGTCCTCGTTGACGGCATCAAGCCCGGAAAGCAGTTCCAGCGAAGCACCTCGTACGCCGAGCAGCTCGATCTTCATGACCCGACCCAGACCGTCCGCGAGGCCCTCCGATTCTCCGCCCTCCTCCGCCAGCCCTACGAGACCCCTATCCCTGAGCGATTCTCGTACGTCGAGGAGATCATCGCCCTGCTTGAGATGGAGCACATTGCCGACTGCATTATTGGATCGCCCGAGTTCGGCCTGACGGTCGAGCAGCGCAAGCGTGTCACCATTGGTGTCGAGCTGGCCGCCAAGCCCGAGCTCCTCCTCTTCCTCGACGAGCCCACCTCCGGTCTGGACAGCCAGAGCGCCTTCAACATTGTGCGCTTCCTTAGGAAGCTGGCCGCCGCCGGACAGGCCATTCTCTGCACGATCCACCAGCCCAACGCCGCCCTGTTTGAGAACTTTGACCGTCTCCTGCTGCTCCAGAGGGGTGGACGCACCGTCTACTTTGGCGACATTGGCCAGGACGCCGTCGTCCTGCGCGACTACCTGAAGCGCCACGGCGCCGTCGCTAAGCCCACCGACAACGTCGCCGAGTACATGCTCGAGGCCATCGGCGCCGGCTCCGCGCCCCGCGTCGGAAACAAGGACTGGGCCGACATTTGGGACGACAGCGCCGAACTTGCCAACGTCAAGGACACCATCAGCCAGCTGAAGGAGCAGCGCATCGCCGCGGGCCGAACCACAAACCACGACCTCGAGAAGGAGTACGCTAGCCCGCAGTGGCACCAGCTCAAGGTGGTCGTGAAGCGCATGAACCTCAGCTTCTGGCGCAGCCCCAACTACCTCTTCACCCGTCTCTTTAACCACGTCGTTGTCGCCCTCATCACCGGTCTCACCTACCTCAACCTCGACGGGAGCCGCAGCTCGCTGCAGTACAAGGTCTTCGTCATGTTCCAGGTCACCGTCCTGCCGGCCCTCATCATCAGCCAGGTCGAGGTCATGTTCCACATCAAGCGCGCCCTCTTCTTCCGCGAGGCGTCGTCCAAGATGTACAACCCGCTGACCTTTGCCGCCGCCATCACCATCGCCGAGCTGCCGTACTCCATCATGTGCGCCGTCGCCTTCTTCCTGCCCCTGTACTACATGCCGGGCTTCCAGTCCGACTCGTCCCGCGCGGGCTACCAGTTCTTCATGGTCCTCATCACCGAGCTCTTCTCCGTCTCCCTCGGACAGGCTCTCGCCTCCCTGACGCCCAGCCCCTTCATCTCGTCGCAGTTCGATCCCTTCATCATGATCACCTTTGCCCTCTTCTGCGGTGTCACTATCCCCGCCCCGCAGATGCCCGGCTTCTGGCGCGCCTGGCTCTACCAGCTCGACCCCTTCACGCGCCTCATCGGCGGCATGGTCGTCACGGCGCTGCACGATCTCAAGGTCGCCTGCACCAAGTCCGAGTTCAACCCCTTCACGGCGCCGCAGGGCCAGACGTGCGGCGACTACATGCAGCCCTTCTTCGACAACGGCGGGCCCGGATACCTCGCCAACAACGACACGTCAAGCTGCGAGTACTGCGCGTACAAGGTGGGCGACGAGTTCTACCAGCCTCTGGGCCTGGACTTTAGTCACCGCTGGAGGGACCTTGGTATCTTTGCGGCGTTTGTCGGTAGCAACGTCATCATCCTCTTCATGGCTGTAAGTTTTCCTCTCCCTCTCCACCCTTGCATCTCGTCTTGAGGCAGACACTAACACCCTTTTGCAGAGCAAGTTCTTGAACTTCAACCGCAGATAATCGCATCATACCCAGTCCGGCATGGACACGTTTTCTTTACTGTTTGTTGATTTCGGTGCATTAGCATGGGGTTCCCTCATCCATCACCCGTCGACGGTTCTCGCCGTCGGACGCAAAGGTTTCCATTGGAGTCCAGAGGGAAATCAAAAATTCAAAAGAATGGTGGGTTTATTTCGTAAGAGAGAAAGAGAGATTAGAGAAGGCCTTCATGGCGCGCACAGCAACGTGGCATGGCGAGAGAACTGTAGTAGTACCCCCTAACATAGAGGTTTTTTACGTAATCTAATAGAAATGGTCAAAAGGATGTCTATACATTGTTTCACACCAGTCTTTGTTGAGTTCAGTTCCGTGATGGGTAGCTATCGCAAGCTGGGGTGGCTGGTGTTTTTGTCGCCAGTGAATCGCATCGCACCGTTTGAGCGAGCAGCACCTCGATGTGGAAACCAAAAGGCTGCAGAGCAAATATTCTCAAGGACAAACTCCGTCAAGCGAAAGAAGCATACCATGCTCATCGCTCGACAGTGACCCGATATCCCCCCCCTCGTCATCGTGGCGCCCCAGACGCCCTCGACTCTCGTTGGCCCGAACGCATCACATCCATCCCGAGAACATGTCGTGGCCACGCACCGTGACGTACCCCAACCCCAAACCCCCTCCAGGCCTCCCCTCCCCCGCACTCGGAACCCCGCCGCCGGCCAGCACAGACCCGCATCGGGCGACAGTCCTCCGCCAGGCGTCCCCCCACCGCCGCACGGCGCCCTGTCACCCCCCTCCATTGCCTGACGACATGCTTGAAAACCCGGACGACCCCGGCGATCTGGACGTTCGGCATCGCCCAAGAAGAAGGGAGGAAAGGAGGTAAGAAGGAAAAAAAAGTAAATTCATCGTAGCATCTTTTCCTACTGGGCGTTTCTTCCAAACAACTCACTCCCGGGCCCTTTCACTTACACAACCATCTCATCTCATCTCACACACCCAAAGCCCAACATGGCCGACCCCTCCGCCCGCGCCGAGCTCACGAAGCGCCAGATCCCGTTCATGACGCTCGCCTCGGGCCTCGCTGACCTCCCCGGCGCGTCCCTCCGCACCGCGTCCGCCGCAGACACGGCGGAGTCCCGCTTCGCGCTCGCCGGGACCGCCGTCGTCACGGGCGGCACGGGGGCCATCGCCCAGGCCGTCGTGCGCGCCATGCTCCAGCACGGCCTCACGGGCCTCATGCTCCTCGACCTGGACGTCGCCTCGGCCGCGGCCACGGCACAGATCGCCGCCCTCCGCGCCGAATTTCCGGCCGCGCGGATCGAGGCGCAGAGCGTCGACGTGACGGACGAGGCGGGCGTCGGGGCCGCCGTGGAGCGCGCGGCCGCGGACCTCGGCGGCGTCGACCACCTCGTGTGCTTCGCGGGCGTGGTGGGCTGCGTGCACGCGCTCGAGATGCCGGCGGCGCAGTTCCGGCGCATCCTCGACATCAACACGACGGGCGCCTTTGTGTGCGCGCAGGCGGCGGCGCGCGTCATGGCGCGCCAGGGCCGCGGCGGGCGCATCGTCTTCACGGCCTCCATCTCGGCGCACCGCGTCAACTTCCCGCAGCCCCAGGCCGCCTACAACGCGAGCAAGGGCGCCCTGCTGCAGCTCAAGAGCAGCCTCGCCGCCGAGTGGGCGCGCTACGGCATCGCCGTCAACAGCGTCAGCCCCGGGTACATGGACACCGTGCTCAACGAGGGCGAGGGCTTGCGCGAGGCCCGGGACATATGGGCCGCGCGGAACCCCGCGGGGAGGATGGGAATGCCCGAGGAGGTGGCTGGCGTCGTCGTCATGCTCTGCTCGAGGGCGGGGAGCTACTTTAACGGGAGCGACTTGGTCGTCGACGGCGGCGGCATCGTGTTCTAGAGGGGTTTGCCGTTGGGGTGCATGGACGTGTTGGAAGATGCGGGATCTTGAGAAGATGCATATGCCTAGAGAGACGAGCGAACATTGATTTGCGCGGCGAGGTGCTTTAATAGCCCATCCGGGCTCGTCTGATCCTGTGCAGGCCCTGCTGACAATGATCGCCAAACTGCTTGATCCCAGTTTCCATCGGCATGGCGACATTTGCACCACGCTCTTGGTATATGACACGGTTCAAAGAAGTGTTCTTGTATTATTGCGCAGACGACTCAACTGTGGTTGAAGCCCCGGCACATGCTGCGATTAAACTCGTGTTTTCCATCTTTTCGAAGCGAGTGATACTCATATCCAACGTCCTTGAGCAGATTGACAGTTCCTGGTATCTCCCGCATCAATCCATCAGCTCATGAATCCGTTCATCCGCTCTGACCCTCTCATCCTCTTGTTCATTTATTACAAGTACTTCCTCTTACACATCCCCGTACTGGTATTATGGTACACAAATCGTAGGAGTAAACTGACTTAAACGCCAGCAGACTTCTCGTGCTCGGCAACGTCATGTTTGGTCTCGGTGGTGTTGACCGGGCGTCCGACCTTGATGTTTCCGGCAGCGATCTCATTCTCGAGGTCGTCGAGACGCGACTTGGCCTTGTGGCTCTTCCAGGCTGGAAGGCCGGAGTTGAAGACATCATCCATCTCCTCGAGGGTGAAGCCCTAAAGCATACATCAGCATGAGGATGGAAGCAGGGCGCAAAGATGAAGGTTACCTTGGTTTCGGGGGCAAAGAAGGCAGTGTGGAGGAAGGCAAGGGCGTTGAAGGTAGCGAAGATGTAGTACATTTTGTAGTTGATGTTCCACACTGAATGTTCTGGTTAGCAGTGGCACCGGAAAGTTGGCGACGACACGTCAACTCACACAGGGGAGGAACGGCGAAGGCCAGAACCATGTTCCAGAACCAGTTGGTGCTGGTAGCTAGGGAGACGGCCTTGGCACGAATCTTGCTAGGGAAGATTTCGGCAGGGTAGGTCCACGATACCGGGCCCCAGGTGGTTGCAAAGGTTGCAACGAAGAGGTAGGAGCAAGAGACAATAGCGGCGGAAACGGAGTACTGGTCCTTGACGATCCAGGAAACGGACTCGTTCTCAGAGTTGCTCGTCTCGTCAGTGTTGGCTTGACCATAGTACTGCTGGAGCGCGCCAGAAATGAACAACCACGTCATCATCATGAACGATCCACCGACGAGCAAGGGACGACGGCCGAGCCTGTCGATAAAGACAATAGCAGGCAGAGTCATGACGACGTTGATGATGTACTGAATGGAGGCGGTCAAGAGCGGGTTGCCGATGCCTGCACCCTGCATAATGTAGACAATGTAGTCTGGAGCGCATGTCAGTGGAGGTTCACCGTGAAAGCAGCATTCACCCTCGGGTAGAGTCACTTACACATCATGATGTTCATGCCGCACAGCTGGGACCACATTTGAATGCTCATACCAAGAAGCACACGCTTGTACATGCGGGGAGCAACAAGGCCCTTGAAAGAGCTAATGTTCTCCTCGCGCTCGAAGCGGAGAGCCTCCTCGATCTCTTGGTACTGAGCCAGGACCTTGGGGTGGTTCACGTCGCCGTTGCCGTGCAGGTGGGCGAGAACCTGGATAGCCTCGTCCCAGCGGTCCTTGCTGGCGAGCCAACGCGGGCTGTAAGGGAAGAAGAAGAGGCCGATAAAGAGGACGACGGCGGGAACCATCTGCACACCCCAAGGGATACGGAAAGCAGCGGTCGGCTGGTTGGGGTCGGTAGGGCCGCCTCCGATGCCCGAGGCGGCGCCATACTGAATGAAGTACTGGATCAGGATACCCCAAGTAATGGCCCACTGCTGGAGCGAGACGACGCGGCCGCGAATCTCCTTGGGGGCTATCTCGGACTGGTAAACAGGGACGATGGAGGAGGCGATACCGACACACATGCCGGCAATGACACGGCCGACGCAAAGCATGCCAACGTTGACAGAAGCGCATTGCAGAATGGCACCAATGATCCAGAGGATGCAGGAGAACTGGAGGGCGACCTTACGGGAGTACTTGTCGGCGATGAAAGACGAGACAAGAGAGCCGGCGAGGGAACCGGCAGGCATGGAAGCGGTGATACCGCCCTGAGCGTACGACACAGGGTTGCCGAAGTAGCGCTTGTAGGCCTCGGTCCCGAGGACACCACTCATGGAGCTGATATCGAAGCCGAAGAGACCACCGCCTGGCCATAGTCAGCATTGGTGGATTGGAGGGCATGGCTGGCACGGAATGGGAGAGTGGTCACATACCAATGGCGGCGAAGCCGCAAATGAAGTAAACATTTTGCGCCTGATACATGGCGGCGAGATTCGCACGATGGCGAGTGTTCTGGTGTTGTATTCAGTGGTGTCTCGTTGATCCGTTTTGTCCCGGTAGGACGAGATGGGGTTGTAAGGTCAGATGCGTCAACGAAGGGGTCGCCGCGTGGCTTTTGAACAGGTTTGCAGGTGGGCGTGGCCGAAACTTTATGTAAAGGTTGAGTTACGCGAATGGTCGGTACGACTACGTCCCGGTCGACACGGTTCGGGGGTGACAGTGACTGTCTCATACAATGAGATCCGGGTCGCATGGCGGTAACAACACGAACCCTCGTCGCACCAGGATGCGGCGTCGACTGACATTGGCCTGGCCGGTCGAGGTCATCGAAAGGGGGACCCCAGCAGATGGATTGGACGGACCGAATGCAAAGGGTTGGCGCATGGGGTAGACAAGGTTGTTGTGGAGGATTGCCCGTTCCCGTGGTATATGATGGGCCATGGGTAGGCGCAGGTGCGGAGAGAGGGCAGCGAAGGGTGTGGACGATCAATCCTTTGGTGGCCGGTTCTAGTTGCGTGTTTTGTGACATGTTGAACGACGAACATGGGGGAAGGCGACACGACAACTAGGTCATTGGCTCGTTGGTCGAGACAACGATGGGCCGCGTCTGTGGACTGGGAGTGGTAATCCTGCATAGATCGGGAGATTGAGACTGGAACGGGCACGCATATGAGGTACCAGGAGGTCAAAGCCAAGGTACCATCAATTCGGAGCTTGGGTGTAGGAGACGAGATGCGGAGAGGGCAGCTGTGAGTGGCTGACAGGATAGGATGGTTGGCGATGTCACCAGGCGAACAGCGTGATGTATCACTACCTTACAGACCATTGTTGCGTGTACAGGTATGGATGAACAGGGCGCGAAGCGACATTGCACCGGGCTGGATGGAGACGAAGAAGCTCGACCAGGTCCTAATGCCACAAGGGCGGTGTCTCACGCTGTGCTCACCTCATGTTTATGGTACGTACCAACACCGAGTTGCGGCTACAGAGTTGGGCAGACTCTGGGAACCTTCTCTGCTATGTGTTGTATGTGTGCTTGTTTGTTGCTTGTGTCACTCTGTCCGCCCGGAGACGAGGACCTTGACGACGCGGCGGGCCGTGGACATGGATAGGCCAGCTGGACTGTCGTCGTTACCTGAGGATTTGCACATGCACGGGAGATGAACCCACGCGAATCAAATGAGTAACACCAAGCAAAAAGAAAATCCTCAAGGTCAAGGTCAAGCTCGTCCGGCACGGCCAGAACAGAACAGTCAAGGTACGTACCTCGTTTCCTGCGTGTGTCTTTTCCGTCGTGATCCTTGCCGTGCCTTCCCTCTGCCCTGGGCGGGCGGGCAGGGCAGGTTGGGTTCACTAGGTCCGACAGGGGTCAGCACCGGTGTCCTCCTCCATCATCAAGTGACGGACCAATCCCGGCGGACGCTCTTCCCCGCACCCGACTGTAAAAAAGCCACAAAAAGTCAAACTCAACGCAAGTGGCCGCACAGGCGAGTAGCGACGCAGATGAGACTGAAATTGCCAACGGGAGAGGGAGTGAAAGACTTGGTCAACACCCCTGGCAGTTTACCCAAACCTTTGATGGAGATGTCACCACTTGCCTTTGCGAGTATAGGCCGGGAAAGAGATTTGTGTTCTTTCACAATCGTTCGTTTCCTGGACCTTGAGGCAAACAATAACGGAGGCGAGTGTGAATATGATGGATTGGTCGCCAGCGGGATACTCGCAGAGGTGTTAGTAGTCCAGAACACCTGGGCGGTTGAGAACCCAGACCATCTTGGATATCCGACAGGTGCTAAAAAGAAGATGAGCAGTCACAGTCAACCAATCCATTTGGCATGTCGTTGGTGTTTCCAGCCAGCCAGAAGAACATGGGACTATCCTCTAGGACCACATGATGGGCAGAAAAGGCTCCTTGAGGAAGTCGACATTGCTCGTGCCCGTTTGTCGTCTGTTGTCCCTTCCAGTCTTTTTCTTCTTCTGATGGTCACGGGACAATGCGACGAGGGCGAGAGACGAGGGGAAGGGAAGGAAAGGAAAGAGCTCTCCAAAATCGATCCTTCTCCCTGTCTGGCATGTTCGATGCTCCACTTCTAGAAACCCCGGGCCATCTCCAATTTCGGTCCAAGGCTCCTTCCTCCCCGACCTCTCCTCTGTGACTGTCAGTCGTCTCACACTCTCTTCTGACCTCCTCCATTCACCTGGCATTCGCACACCCATTTCGCCCCCTCACCCAATACTACACCATACGACCAGGTTGGCTCACGGATTGGGGCACTGCATCCATCCAAGTCGCGGGCCAAGCGACATCGAAACCATCCCATTCGTCGCCGGCTCGTTGCTCTCAAGCCACCCGCCTCATCTTGCATTCCATTCACAGCACTTGCAGAGGCTACCTCAGCAGCCACCAACCAAAACGGCATCGGCAATGTTTAATGCCGCCTAGCTGCCGCCGCCGTTGCCTGCCTTGTGCCGTATCTGCTGCATACCACCCTTCCTCCCTCTGCACGCCACGTCTCCGCCTTGCTGTCATCAAATCGAAAGCCTCCCCTTGCCTGGAACCGACCCCTACGTCCTTGCTAAGATCGAGTCCCAAGCTTGCCTTTCGTCGCAAATCCGCCGAGAAGACGGCCGCGCGCCATGCCAACGGCTGGCCATGCACAAGTCGCCCTTGGCTTGACCAAGCAGCCTGGCCTCGGGCGACGGCTAGCCATCGCTCTTATGCACGCCTACAACGAGTTATGAAATGTGTCGTTTGGTCGCGGACCTGCCCACCCTCCTTCAAGTCATGCTTATTCGCAAACGAACATGCTCCCATGCTCTTGCGGGGGAATACCTCCCGAGCTGCGGGTTCCCAGCTCGGTCCCGTTCTTGTTTGGCGGGCCAATTCTCGGACCACCTCTCCGAGTCGAGCTAACCTGGTCCACATACTCAGTCCTACCTACAGGCTTGGATGTCTCTAGGCTGCAAAGTCCAGCGATCCCAATGTTGACATCAAACCAGCAACAAATTCATTTTGTCTCGAGCCATTTGAAGCCATCTGAGGAAACAGAGGCCCTTTTAGCTCTACTCGGGAGATGCAGCGGGCACAATACCTTCAATATCATGATTGACTCGGTTCCCATCCTTCTCAGTCCACTGCGGGTTTATCACAAATTCATTGGCCGTCGTTGGAATTTGGATCGGATTACCTAAGGCAAAGCCTGCCGTCCCACAGGTAGCGTGCTTTAGGCATTGCTAGCGCCAACTCGGGTCAAGCTTGAGTGTGTCCCCCTAGCGGGCCCCAGAATAGACGCTGGGGTCCTCGCCCGCCGCTCCACTACGGATATGTTGAATGGACCGCTTCAGAAGCATCGCCCGTCGACGTAGTTCAACCTGATTATTTCGACTTTATTTCACCATGTCTCTCTGCCAAGTCATTCTTGGCAGACTCATCAGAGAAAAATTTTCCTTCGCCTTCGAGAGACTTGAGATAAACCTTGCGACAACAGGCATCTCTCGCTAACCCGAGACCGAGCGAAAACTCTTCCTAGCCGAGGTACGCCGCAGACGTCCCGAAGAAGGGCTCCCTTTTTCGCCTTTACGTAGGTCATTTGGTGTCTTGAGCGCAGAATCCTTCAGAAGGATCGGCCCCAAAGCTGTATGGCGGGATTCCAACGCTGCAACGTTAACCCGAGGAGAGTGCCAGAGCCGAGGCGCCAAGCTGCTTAACTCGACGCACCACTTCTTTTTCCTTGGCCATGGCTCAGTGCTGCAGGAAAGTTTCCCGCTATCTACCTGAAGCAGCAAGAAAAAGAAGGGCAAGGCTGGCATCGCGATCCCGATCGCGCTGAGATTGTGCACACTTCCCCTAGGCCATGCCGCAGCCTGTTCTACCGACCGTCTCATCCCAAGGCAGCGGACCTTCTCGCCCTGTTCTGATCTCTGTAAGGGTCAAGAGAGACTTTACGTGATCAGACCATGCCAGACTTGCATCTCGGTAACAAAGGTGTATGTCCACCATGCGGCGTTGCTCTTGCAGAGCCTGCCGGTGCCCGTAAGCTTGACAATCAGGCCGATTTAGAAGACATCAGATGATGTCTACACATACTTCCACGTCATCAACGCTCTTCTCAAACGAAGATCCTCCGTCCGCTTGCTGACGGCTCTCTCCACCGTCTGTCGCTGTTCCCTTCAAGCAGATATGACTTCAGTAGAGCCGCGTGACTTGCCAACCTCAGAACAATAAGCAAAGAGATGGAGTCATAGTCTGGCGCATCAGTAGAACCCGGGAGGCCGCCCAAACTAGTAGTACTCATGACATCACTCCTGGTCTCTAGAGCTTCCAGAAGCCCACGACCTTGCATGGGCCTGAAGGCGCAGGAGCGTGCAAGGATGAACGGCGTGGCATGTCTGAGCACAATGGGGAGCTCATCAACTCGCCAACCGTCCCGCCGGGAGGGTTCGCTTGAAGAGAGCTCGGCTCGGTCGACTTGGGTGGCATCCGAGGCTGAACGGGGCCCCTCTGGCAAGGAAAAAGTGAGCCGACTCTACACGTCTCACGGCCCACGTTGGCGCTAATACTTGAAGGAACCGTCGTCAGACTGCCGTCAAGCTCGTGACGCAGCTGCCGCCGTCGCCTCCACCGTGACTCTCTCCCAACCTTGCCGTCTTGCCTTCTCGCATGCTGTTGTTTCCTCTCCGCACCCGTGCCCAAGGCACAGCCTGCAGTGAGAAAAGCCACCAGCACCCCGAAGAGCGCTGGCTTCAAGTGAGTTTTGTTTTTGTGCGAGTCCTCGTACCAGGGCCAAGCGTCCCGTATCTCAGGGACGCAGAACCCTCCCTCATCGCGCGCAGTCTCCAAGCGAAGCTGCGTGATATCTGCGAATAATCAGCGTAATGGTAGACAAGCCTCGGGCTGTCAGGGCCAAGGCGGGCACAGCTCATGCTCAAGCAGCATCCCGCTCCTGATGAAACGGTAGCACTGCATCGGTTAGCTCGTAGCGCGCTAAGTAGTAGAGAAAAAGTTCCATGTTCATTGACAGACGCCCACTAGGGCTGGGCCCGGCGCTGCGGTAGCTGGTGCAAAGAGAAGGGCGGCTGTGTGGCGAGACACGCACGCGGAAGAAACCGGGCCTGTAGAGTCAATCCTCGTAGCCGCCCCAGACCTCTGCTTTTATCATACAACTCGTTTCGAAGAGAGGAATAAAACAAAATAAAAAGAAACAAGAAAAAACGGAACTTGGAAATATACGCAAGTTCGACTCGACGGCTCAATCCCGAGTCCAAAGACCCGGGGAAATGGTGGGGTGGGTATCGTGTGAAAGAAATAGCCGCCTCTCCTTGACTCCGTCTCCAAGCTGGAGCTTTTGCTGTCCCCTTCTAAGCAATGAAAGCAATGATTCCTGTACCCTGAGATAGTTCGTTTCCTTTCTGACGTATCATGTCAAGTCCATCCTTCCTGTGTCAATACTTGGAACGGGAGTGTCGGACCATCTTGCACAGACTGGTGCTATTTCATCATCTGGAGTCATACAACTGGCGGAGATGCGCACGCTGGAGACGGAACGAAGAGTAGTTACCGGCGTAGATGGTCTCAAGGATGCTTGAAGATCTCTTGGCGCGGGACCCCTGCTGAGCAAGCTCGTTCATCCTCTTCTTCAGCATCTTGTGCGCGACGCTGAACTCTTCCAAAATCCGGCCGGCGTTGCTGGAGCCGCCGGAGATGTCATTGGCAGGGTTGTTGGGGTCAATGACGGAGATGCGGTCCGTGTTCTTGTAAACAACTTCACGGACTCGAGCCTACATTGTAGACTGGTTAGGTGGAGCCAGTGACGACTTGGACAAACGAGACGTACCTTGTGCATGTAGCCTGGAGGGTTCATGCGGATTGCTGTGTTCACATAGTCGAACCTGTTTCCGTAAAGGTCGAAGAACTCCATGAGCATCTCACCAAGGTGGTGCTCGGGAATGAGGTTGCGGCTCTGGACCTGAGGCATGAGCTGCAGCATGCTGACGACCATGCAGGTGACAGTGAAGCTGCCAATGCCTCCATTGACAGGCTCGTTCAGCCCGCGCATGGCGAGGAAGTGCTTGATCATGGTGACGAGAATAGGCATAGCAGGGTACTGCTCCTTCCACTCCGCAAAAGTCTTGACAGCTTGCGGCCCGTCGAGGCGGTCGAAGGAGATATCAACTCTGAGTCCAGTGATGTTATCAATGTACTTGACGAGGGGTACCTTGGCACTAGCGATGAACTCCATGCTGTTGTATTGGGTGACCTTCTTTTGGGAGAGAAACTTGCCAAAGTTTCTCAACGCCTTGATACCGAAGAAGTTGGAATGAGCACCGTTGAGCCAGCTCTGCGCACAGACAACCAAGTCCATGTCAGCTGTAGGGAGATACAGACCCGACATGTAGGAGCCAAAGGGGCGGACGTCACAGTCTCTATAGAATTGACTAGTTCTAAGAGATCTGCGGAGTCGCTCCACGAGCTGGGTTCGCATCTCATGCTCAAAGTCGCGGGGTCGAACGACCTCGTAAAAGTCGACGATTTCCTTATGGAGCCTGCAGGAAATTAGACGTTGCATCCCGCGAAAAGACTTTCTCACTCACCAAACACTCAAATCAGAAGTCTTGGAATGATCGGTCTGGACCCAGGGTGTGGGATCCTCGTCCTTGATGACTTGCCAGTCTGGCAAGATGGCGCCGCCAACTGGCATCTTATTAACCTTCTTCAGAGGACCATATGTAGGAGGCTTAATGTGGTCGTCGGCAGTGCGCTTCCGTGAGCCCAAGGCGTCGTCGGCCATAAGAGGCTTGGGAGGCAGGCTCGATGGCTTGTTGTTCGCGGGCGTAGATGGGGCTGTTGAAACAGCCGATCCGTTGGTGGCAGGTCGGTTGTCGCGATCTGCCCGGGGTCCAGAGGGAGGCTCTCTGGCAGAGTTCGAAGAGGGCTGCACAGGGGGTGCAGGGCCCGGAGGCGGCGGAGGGGGAGGAGAGGGTGACTCGGAAGGAGGGAGGATGATTTCTTCCTCTTCGGCGTCGTCGTGGTCGCCAGGTTCATCAAGGTCGAAGGATATGAACTCCTCTGCCTCAGTGCTGGCGGCAAGTTTGTCGGCAGCAGTCTCATCCACTCGCGCCTTCCGGATCATCTTGACCATATCCTTCTTCTTGCGCTCAGCAGCGTCGGGTGGGGGTAAGGCTGTGTATGGATCTGGATTGGACCACTTGGGGACGCTGTTGCCCGATTCGTCGTTGCCAGAACGGCGCGCGCGCTTGCTGGAAGGCTCTCCCGACTCATCGTCCGAGTTGTCAGAAATATCCATCTCGGCCTCTTCGTCATCTGATAGCTCGTCAATGTCTCTGTAGACTATGCCACCATCGCCCTCGGCGACCAGGTTCTCGTCGACTCCATCACGTCGGGCGCGCAAAAGCTCGCGCTCGGCCGGGATGATCTTTTGGTATGCGCCTCGACCACGACCACGGTAGGGTCCTCCACGAGCGCGTCCAGCTCTCCGTCGATCGTTGCCCTGATAAGGGCGGTAGGAATCTCCCGAGGCGGCCTCGCCTACACCGGAGGGCTTATCCATCCGAAAAGTGAAGTCGCCTTGGGGCGGTCGGGTATCGGGTCTGTAACCATCGAAGGCTCCGGATCTACGGCCTGCATCGGCTCCTCTGTAAGAATCATAATGGTCGAGATGCCGCGGAGGGGATCGCGATCGGCTAGAATGGCGTCGGTACTCACGGTCCTCGGGCCATGGATTGCGCCAGGTGTCTCCCGCTCCAGGTGGCGGTGGGTGATGCGATGAGCGCGAATCGTAGCGACCATGGTTACGGTTGTCGCGCGCATTGTTGTGGCCGCCATTGCCTCGGCGAGGCGGATATGAGGGTCTGTATGAACTCATGGTCGGCGCGTTGTGCTGTGGATCCTGGTGTTGACGCGTTGAGAAGCTCAAGCGACTGAATTAAAATTTGGGCGGTCGACGTCAAGGACGAGAATTCCCGCGCACCCTACCACTATCGATAAGCCGAAGTGCACGTGATAGATTTGTCGGAGGTGGGGTGGGTGGTGACGTCTTATCACCGATTTCATCCCACTTCTCCGTTTTCGTCAACCTCTCGTCATGCACCCTAGCCTTGACTGTGCACTTGGGCTTGTTCACCGCAACACCAATAACGAAATGTGAAAATGAGTGAATTGCGTAGTTCTCGGCGCTATCCTAGCTTTGTTAATATACGGAATCAAGAAACATATCTTTGAGTCTATACGACAGATGTCGGCACAGGCGCACACCATCAAGGTCAGGGTAAATGATCTCATTATTAGATACCAGCTGATTAACACGGAGGACACAAGGACTTGATTGCACTCTTTAATAAGGCGTGTAACACGCTGGAAAACTTTGATTCTCTGTCGTCAACATGCTATGAAGTACCAACCATAGTTCCTTCTTTCAAAGATGTTGCTCTTGTTTTCTCTCAGCTAGACAGACTACAGTCAGAGCCTATTGAGTTTGCCATGTACTAGTAATTCATTCAGCAGCTTCTTTACAAACCTGCAAACCTTGCATGACATCTCTTACAGCTGTTGGAGACTTTCCCTAGAGGTTACCGTTCAGATTGTCATATTATGAAAAGAAACGTACCATTCGAAGAACTGGCAGCTGGGCCTGATAATGCCAACTTCCAAATCAGGCTTTGGCTCCAGACAACTTGGTTCCTTATCCGATTTGTCGCCCATTTATAACACCACTCAATAGAACAACGAGCATGCCAAGACAAGGCAGATTCAACAACAAGCAAACTCTAAAAACGAAGTATTCCGCTCGTATCTCGCATTCGTATACTAGTATTACGACTCACCAGTCAAGGCTCTACTAAGGGTTGTCGGATTTCTCGATAGCCCATGCGAATCCTCTGCACAATTGGAGAGAGCTGCTAAATGTCGTGTTGATCTGAGGATTATACGGCATCTGCATCATGTTTGATGCACCGCTGCATTATACTGGCAACAACCCCAAATGCATAAAGAAGACCCTGCGGTCATGTTACACATTGAATTACCCTATGTTGCTCCACAACGTACTAAGGAGATCTTGCTTACTTACAAGGTAGTTTTGGACGATTGTCTTATTCTGGTCCGCTGGGCCAACTGCTAAGCGCCCGACAAGAGGACAAGAACTACCGGGAGTATGGTCCAGCGTTTTATAAGCATACGTTTCGCTGTAGGCTCATCTCATCGGCATAGGCCATGATCCCGTCTGACCACCGGTTTGCTGGATACATGAATCAGTAGCTCGCAGCGACGTTTGCGTGAATTCCATGGTTTTTGAAAGTCCTCGTATGTCTAAGCAGCCAGCCGATAGCACACAGGGTTCCAAAAACGAGTTCTCCAAGGCAAGTACAATATTAGACTGGAAAGTAGCTGTTTGCACACTCTTGGAGACCCCTCCAAGGATCGAGTTGGTCAGTTCGAAACTCACGAGGCTAAACATTGGGACCCGACGACTATCGCATGCAAGTCCCATGAAAAGCAATTCAGCCTAAGAAACTCTCAAAGGGTTTTTTAATGTCCTATGAAAACCTCACACTTTCCAAATATCTGCCCACTTCCGGGCTGTTACGAGAGGCTTTCATGCAAGCCCACGCACGCCTACTCCACTGCGGCTTTAGCCCTCACCCGCAACACAACTTGGACCCATTCGCCGCCAGATTTTCCAACAGCTCCTCTCCCCACCAAGGAAAGCAGCAGCAATTCGCCCAGATCGTCTAGTTGGTTAGGATGATACGTTGTGGTTCTTCTATACAGCGATCCGTGTTGACGGCGGTTCGAATCCGCCTCTGGGCAAATTCGGGATTAATTGTGACGATTGGTTCTCTTTTTTTACATTTTAGTGGACGCTCACTCAACTTGAGTGAGGCGGAGGAGTTGATTGAATTCGCCGAGGATCGGAGACATGAAGTGACATTGGACCTGATGTTTTAGCATTCCAACATTTGCGCTGGCGTGTCGATAGGGCACAGAGGAACCAGGCCACATAGCTCTCGAGGAACCTTTCCCGGAAGACAAGATTATGATCGGGTATTAATCACGTGGACACATCCAGAAACCAGGTAGAATGTCGGTCATCTGGATGCCAAGTCAACCGCCTCCAGTCTGGCCATCAGCAGTTTAACAACTTCATTCTTGAGTAGTACACAAGGCCTGCATTCTCTAGGCTGACCTCTCTTTCCATCTCTCTGGTCCAACTCCTCGCCAACCTCTTTCCCGTGTCTTATAGTACAGTATTAACACATTTCCGCGCAAGCACCACACCTTTTATATCGTCTAACCATGCCAATGCTGGCGGTGCCGCGCCGTGAAAAAAAGATTTCCGTCCCCAGAAACGCCATGCCATGCGGAGTCGAGTGAAGTTTGTTCCAATACAGTTGTTTTACCCAAGGCCACCACTCTCTCGAGCGGACTCCGCGTCAGCAGAATACCACTCTCTGGCCTTGCTTCTTTCCACCCATCTCGTCGCGTCAGTCCGTACTTTGATTGATCAGTCGGTTACGTTCGTCCGTCGTCCGTCGTCTGTCGTCCGGCACCGTGGTGCAACCGTTCACCGGTCCTTGTAAATCTTGGGCTTGAATCCCTCCTTCACCTCAGACTCGACCTCCTCCTTTTCGACCAGCGGCCCAATCTCCTTCTCCAACCTCTCCCTTGCGCGCAGAACCTTGCTCTGCAGGTAGAAGCTGCCACCCTTCTTGGGGTCGTTGGCGTCAAACAGCTTCTTGAAGCGCTCCATGACGTTGCCCGCGCTCTTGGATCCGTCCTTGGGCGTCTCGACGTCGAGGATCTTGCACGCCTCGTCGAGCGTCATGCCTGACGACAGGTTGCCCTTGGTGCCGGCGCCCGCGTTGCCGTTCTTGGCCTGCGCGCGCGCGTATTCGGACGAGGCCTGGGCCTGCTTGTAGGCGGCGGCGAAGGAGCGACCGACGATGCGGGTGCCGACGAAAACGACCTGGGTGATGAGGCGGTAGGCCTGTGATGAAGACGTGTCAGTTGAGAAGCTTCAGTGACGGCGACAGGTGGCGGAGAGCTTCGGACGGCGCATCGCATCGCATCGCAAGGGGGGCAAAGCTAGTGGACTCACCATGTTTGCGGGTATTAGAACGCTGCCTACGGAAAGGACTACTGGTACAGATGGGGTATATAAACGAAGCTTCGTTTATCGCGCGGTCTAGGGGAACCGGGATGCGATGTCGCGCGTTGAGAGCTGGCTTGTTGCGGAGGACCGGATGGGCGCTGAGTTGACTCGCAATCCAGAAAAATCCAACTCACGACAGGTAATTTGCCGACGAGAAATTCCGAGCTTGTCCAGTGGCTGTCATCGGAGGGGCGAGTTTGGCCGTGCGCCGAGAACTTTTTTTCGGGCATTCCAGGTGCACGCCACTTCACATGGAAAACACAGCAGTCCTACAGCTGTGAACAGCTGCCAGTCCGGTAGGCAAGAAACGCTATCCCAACTCATTTCCGATGGATTCCCCTTGTCAACAAGCAACAAGCATGGGTCTAGATTTTGAGTTTGAGTCTATCACTGGAAATTTCCGCAGCCTGTGCTTTTCTAACGCTTTTGACAGGGCTTAAGCAAGTGTTTGTAGTCTATTCTTACCTCAATTCCGCTATATGTACATGCATAACGCAGGTGGTAGATGCTCGTTGCGGTTGAGCCGGACGCTGCCCCAGATCGATGGGTTCTCGATACTCACTTTATCCTCACGTGCAAAAACGGGCATCCGCTCATGTTGCCAGTTGGTCTATCTGGGTTATTTGACGAAGCAGCCATATAATTGATGCACTAGTGAAGCCACCTGAGATTCAAGTACAGAAGTCACACAGACTCGTATCACCAGCAATCATCAACAGTCTATGTACTGGTTGGATTTATGTGCCTCGCTCTATTGCGGTCTAGCTAAATATATACAGGGGAACTATGTACGGGAGTATTTAATATGTATCAATGACGATGAAGCCCTAGAGATTTCTAAGACCAGGTGGTGGTGGCGCCAATGGCCTCGCCAGAGGTGGGAATCAAAAAGTTGCTCGCGGCGATCTTGCCATTGGCCTGGCGCGCGCCCTTGACGAGACTGACGTCGACGCTCTTGAAGCTCGAGTCGGACCAGGTGGTGCTTCCGTCCCACGAGTTGCCGCTGCTGCTGGTACCGCTGACGAGTGACGTCTGGCCCGACTTGGCCGTCGTCTTGGAGTTGGACGCCGCGATGTTGCTCTTCAGCGTCGACTTGGTCGTGACGGTCTGGAAGCCAACGCCGCCGTTGTTCCACGCCGTGTTGCGCGTGAACTGGAAGTTACCGGGCTGCTTGTTGTCCGTGAAGCCCTTGGCGACGTTGTTGAAGGCGATGGAGTTGGTGATGACGTGGTTGGCCGCGGCAGTGTTTGCAGCATCACCGCCGCCCAACTTGAACCCGTTTCCATCCCCTTGGAAGTCGCTGAAGCCCCATCGATTCACGCCGTTACCCCAAGAGATGGTGTCAATGATGGTGACTGGCGATTTGAACGCCCTGTTGTGTTGTTAGTTGGGATTGGCATAGTAATAGCATTGATGACGATTTGGGTGGTGAAAGGGGCAACAATGCCACACCCGACACAGGGCAGCTTTTACTCATCATTGTGTAGGGAAAAGGCATCAGCGCAGGAGAAAGAAAAAAGTACTTACCAAAGATCAAGACCGTCATCGACGTTCTCCCAGAGACGGGCGCCCTTGAGGATGTTGCCCGTGCCGGAGCCCTCCTTGCAGGCGAAGCCGTCGGCACTCTCACCGTTCTTGCGGGGGTCGCGGTTGCGGTACGAGTCTAGATAGACAACCTGGTTGTTGTTCAGGGAGCCCTGCATCTGGAAGCCCGTCTCGTAGTTGTCGTGGGTGACGATGCGTTCAAAGTAGTTGTTGGAGCCATCGCGGAGGTAGACGCCATAGGGACCGTTGATGATGGTGAGCTTGTAGAACTTCCAGTAGTTGGCCTTTTGAGGAGAGCTGTTAGTGGAAGCTTCTTTCATGGTGAAGGCTGCAAGTCTTGACATACCTTCTCAATGTGAAGAACGCCACGGTCGGCATTATCAAGAGAGGCACCGAGGGCGGCAGGGGTTCCTGGCAGAGCCTCGCCGTCGATAATGACCGCCTCGTTGTTATATGCCGTCAGGGTGTAGGGCTTTGCGGCGGTACCGCTCTTGGTAATCTTGATGTTGGTTGTAGGCGAGTAGGTACCGGCGCGCAGGTAGATGGTGTCACCAGCAACGGCCTTGTCGACGGCAATCTGGATCGACTTGAGGGGGGCAGCGAGAGTGCCGGCAGCACTGTCAGAACCCGTGGGTGCGACGTAGAGGTCAGCGGCGAGGACGACCGGGAGGATGGCGAGGAGGAACTTGTAGAGACCCATGATTGCTGTTAAAAGAGGCAATACCAATAGAAACAAGGTAAACAGATGAATGAAAGGCTGCAGCTGTCAAATGACTGGTTCGAGAAGGATCAGCAGTCTGCCGTTTAGCCGGCTGTCATCAAGCTTAAATACAAAGCTTCGCATCGTCAACAGGGAGCCCTCGTCGATGACAGCTGCCTCCTTGGCCTAGACTACGTTGCTGGATGCGGTCCATCCACGCAAATTAGATTGTATATTGTCATAGTCTAGTAAACAGCTGCCATCCAGGGCCGCCGTATTCTATCTGACACCACCAGCAACCCCCTTGCTAATTGGGGTTGAAGACAAACCGTCCTCCCGTTGGTGGAAAACAATCTCCACAGCCGTAGGGCATCTCATTGATGGAGGCTTGGCCACGAGGTGGGATCCATTAACCTTTTCTGTTGGAATAGAAATCCCGGCAATCCAGAGATTCCAAGGACCAGTTAACAAGAGGGACCCCCTGGGCTCTGAAGTTGATGTCGTAGAGCCGCCAAAGAACGCAATATCTTGCACACGCTTGGCATAATCACAGCGGGGATATTGTACCTCACGGAACAGTCCGTGGTGCCCTTCTCGGAGATCCTCGCCGGAGAATCTCAGTCCACCATCTGCGCGGACAGCATCCGGACACGGACTCAATGGAACGTTGACTAGGGCTTTAAATCAATATAGGCAAGCATACGATTCAGTGTGCACTGGGGTGAACACACGATGGTCGGCTTTTCGACTCAACCACACCCGAAAGCGAGACTCCTATTTTATCGACAGGGTGAAGCGTGGCGAAACGAGGTGCGCATTACAAGACTCACTTGACAACCATGTCCGAGCCTCGACTCCGGCGATGTTTGTTCAGACTCTGCGTGATTTGCATGGGCGAGTGGAGATGACGGTCCACTGCCGTCAGGCTTGGCGGAGTTTCCTCGTGGCCATGTACCGGTGCCATGGGCTGATAGGGGAATTTCTCCAGCGTTCCAAACGAAAGTCGGGATTCAGGAAGCAGCAAATTGCTGCAGACACCGGGGAATTTGATCTGCGGACTGGCCTAGACGAGCGCCAGTCCCCTCTGGAGCGAGTACTTGCCTCTTTGAGCAAGCCGGTGGGCAGAAATTTGCGCTTCGTTTGACGCTAGATGCAAGAGGGGCAACATGCCGTGATATGGATTCCTGTCCTCAAGGCCGGCCTCTAAAAGTGGCGGAAGTTGGGGGGGAATTGCGTGATGTCGAGTCTTCATAGACGAGGACCAACCCATGAGCTCAACTGCCAGGTTTGTTGCTCTGCTCTTGAGCGGTTCATCTCATGGTTGCTGGGTGCATAAGGTAGCATGTCCGTCAAGATGGGGAAACTGGAAATGCCGTGCAAGGATGTGGTGACTGGAATAGGTAGGTAGATGGATGTCAGTGAGTGTCCGATCGATAAGATACTGACTGATGGTATCGATATGCCGTATCGATAAGATACCCACCAGGAGCTTATGCCTGACAAGCTCCGGACTGATGCCTGGGAAGTCAGGCTATAAGATATCTTCAGGACCCACTCCGCAGCTCCTGCCCTGACTGACGTGGTGAACCTCGAAAGAAGCTACATCTCCAACATCGCAAGCTCGGGTACAACCTGTCCTCTCCCACGCCAACCACGCGCCGCCTCGCAACCCCTTCCGGCGCTATACGGCTCCCGAGCCCACCATCCGCGACGACGTTTCATTCTCTCCAGAAACTCCATCGCAATCGATTCATAGCGACACCGACAACCATCGATCCCCTCACAGGCTCCCCCCAAACGGCGACAGTCCAAGACAGGGGTTGAACAGCCTCAAGTCACACCAACACCCAGACTCCGGAACCTCACGCACCACGCACAACCGCGACCATGTCAAACTACTACCCCCAACAATCCTACGGCCCCGGCCCCGGAACAGGCGCCCAGAACCTTCAATTCTACCCCTCCTCCTACTCCCCCGCCGACGCCGTCTCAGGCCACGCAACCCCACAACAGGCCTCGTACGGCTACGGAGGACAGCCCTCCGCAGGCCAGTTCGGCGGCAGCGCTGCGGCGGCCTTTGGCGCGCCGCCCGGCGTCTCGGGGCGCATGGGTGAGCAGGGCGGCCTGCGCACGGGGTGGCTGGCCGCCTTCTCGACCGAGGGCTACGACGGCGAGCCGCCCTTGCTTGAGGAGCTGGGCGTCAACTTTGGCCATATCCAAGCAAAGGTGAGATGGCTTCCCCCCCCCCCCCCCCCCCCCCCCCCCCCCCCCCCCCCTCTCTCTCTCTCTCTCTCGTGGCAGTGGCTACGCCAGCCCCCGCGAACGTTCCCCCAAAGGTTTCGAGTGACGGACAACTAACAATCCTCTAGACCCTTGCAGTCCTCAACCCCTTCCGCCGCATCGACCAACACCTAATGGACGACAGCGACCTCGCCGGTCCCCTTCTCTCTTTCCTCCTCTACGGCACCTTCCTCCTCTTCGCCGGCAAGGTCCACTTCGGCTACATCTACGGCCTCGCCCTCCTCGGCAGCACCTCGCTGCACATAATCCTCTCCCTCATGACCCCGACCGACGCCCACCCCTCGGCCTCGTCGCACCAAGGCGCGCCCCAGTATGGCGGTCCCGTTGGCGTCGGCGGAGGATACCCCGGCGCCCCCGACGACCACGACCACGCCTCCCGGACGGGCCACTTCTCCGCCACCCTCACCTTTGCGCGCTCCAGCTCCGTGCTGGGATACTGCCTGCTCCCGCTCGTCGCGACCAGCCTCTTCGGCATCGTCATGCCCATGGACACCCCGCTAGGCATCGTCCTGACCACCATGGCGATCCTATGGTGCACCTACTCGGCCTCGGGCATGTTCTGCGCCGTCGGGCGGATGAGGGGTATGCGCGGCCTCGTGGCGTACCCGCTGGCGCTGTTCTACGTCGGTTTCGGCATCATGGGGATCTTCAGCTCTAGGGGAAGCGGCGGGTCGCTGGCCAAGGCCGCGGCTGGCTTGAAGGGATGAAGAAGACACAGGAGAGGCGGGGAAATCATATCAGCACAGACAACAGTACCTTTTTGGTTCAATGGGCCGAGCCAGACTAGAGCAGCACGCCAGGACAGGGAGTCTCCAACATTAGATGGCGATGTCAAGGGTTGGGGTCGAAAAGGAGGAAGAACACACGTCAGGAGTCCAAAAGGGGTCAAGATAGACTAGGTGGGAGGCGACGATGGGACGCATGCCTGCGGCCAGGAGAGGCCGGGGCCAAGATGATGCTTCACGTCACTGTACAATATCCAATCATGTTCAGACGAAGCCAGAATAAATCTTTGATAGTCCAATGCCCTCCCTTTTCCATGCCATGCTGTTTAAGAGAGAGGAAAATGCGAGGTTTTGCACACGGGCGCAAGAGAGAAGGTGCAGGAAAAAAGACACGGATGCCAAACGTAGTATTACAAGAGACCACCAACGTCTCGATAACCAAGAGCCTCGCAGTTTGATGACAAACCTCTCGCCGGGCACACACACCAAGAGGACAGGGCGAGGCTCGATGAGCCAGAGCCCCCCAGGTGGTATCATAAAAAAAAGTCTGACTTCCCACGAGGCCGTCTCCCGTATCCGCCCATACGTCCATGCCATGCCGGAGCTTCACTGCTGTTCATCCTCGAGGAAAAGAACGTCTATAAGTCCGCTTTCCGGACGCTTGAACAAGCCGAAACCCAAACCCAAAAAAACATCATACGAATATGTCGTATCGTAGAGGAAAAACGCTCATGCCGGAAAATGAGCCCAAAAATTCTCGCAACTCTGAAAATGGTAGCGCTGACTTGACCTCCCATGCCAAGTGCTCCCACCCCCGATTTCTCTGGTGGTCTCAATTCCAGCTCATTCATCATGCGTGTACTTGTAAAAACCACCATTCATACCCGCTTGCTTCCATTTGGAGCTTTTTGACGCACTCTTAAGACCAAAGTGTTTGCTCACAATAGCCTCTTAGAAGACGGGTCTGAAGCCACCAGTTGCCGGCTGGCTGGCTGCCAAAGCTGCGAAACCGTTGACCTTGGGGACGTCGGCAGCACCACCCAGGATGGAGTACTGGCCACCAGCGCCAGCGAAGACGAGCTTCTTGCCGCGAACAGCAGTGTTGTCAATGGTGGTGGGGGTCTCAATGTCCTCGGTCGTGCCCTGGCCAGTCTGGTAGTTGGCAGAGAAGCCCCAAGAGTGAGCCTCGCCCTTGTTGTCGATGGCAAAGTTGTTGTCGACGCCGGCGGCGACGTACACGCACTTGGCAATGTCTAGCATGGGTTGTTAGTCTAAATCAGAGTCAAAACAGCAAGAATCACTTACCCTCAACAACGGTCGGCTTCGAGAGGATACGAGGGTTGTTGCTCTCATCCTTAATGACCCTGTCCGCAGGGAGCTCCTCAACAGGAATGCCGACCTGGTGGCCGTCCAGACGACCCCATGTCAAGAGCTTGCCATCTTCAGTGCAGGCAAGGGAGTGGTGCTCTCCACCAGCAATCTGCTTGACCTTGTAGTCCTTAAGGGACTCAACGAGGGTAGGTCTCAGGACAACAGCGTCGTCCTCACCAGCACCCATCTCGATACCGGTCTCGGCAAAGTTGTTGAGACCCCAGGCCCAAACGCGGCCGTCCTTGGCCAAGGCAAAGCTGTGGTAGGATCCGCAGGCAATGCGGTCAACCTTACCCTTGGGGATACCCATGCTCTGGGGGACAAGCGACGAAAGCTTGTTGCGCTCGATGATGCGACGTCCGAGCTGGTTCTGCTGACCGCAGCCCCACGCAACGACAACACCCTTGTCATCAAGGGCCAGGATGTGGTTGGAACCGGCAGCAAGCGCGGTGATGTTCTTGAGAGTGGGGAGGTACTCGGGGGTCTTCTGGATCTGGATCTTGTCGGTGAAACCGAGAATACCGTCGCTCGACTGAACGTATGTTAGTGACAGAACTTTGAAATCCGACCGAGGGCCAACTTACCCTGAACGTGCCCCATCCGTACACTCTACCGTCCTCCGTCAAGGCGAAGGTGGCACTATCACTTGCCACAACCTGAGTGAACTTGGCCTCCGGGGCGAAGTGCTCGGCACCGACAGCGGTAGGGGTGCTCTCGCGAGGGTTGATGCCAGAGTCATCATCATCATCGTCCTCTTCCTCCTCGGCATCAGCATCGCGCAGTCCACCGTCCCAGTTGGTGTCGCGGCCGAGAGCGCCCTGGTCGTTGACTCCCCATGTCAGGATCTTGTTGTCCTTGGTCAGCGCAGCGACGTGCATGCCACCGCAGGCGATCTGAACAACACCGACGTCCTTGGCGGAGAGGTGGGGGTTGAGTCTGGGGCGCTTGACGTCGACAACCTTCTTGCCGTCGAGCTTCTTGCTGCCGAGACCGAGCTCGCCAGAAGAGCCCTCGCCGAAGACGTAGACGTCGAGGACTTGTGTGGGGGCAGAGTTGATCTTCTTGCCAACCTTGTGAGGATGGGCGGGAGGAGGCTTGGGAGCAGCAGTGGCAGTCTTCTTGGTGGCCTTTGCAGGCTTGTCAGCCTCGGGCTCCTCGTCAGCAGATTCGGTCGCCTTGGCGGACTCAGTGGCCTGGCTGTCGACCTCAGCATCATCGGTCTTGGACTTCTTCGCCTTGGGCTTCTCGTCCTCGGTCTCTTCGCTAGACTTGCGCTTCTTGCTTGCGGCAGCGGCCTTTGTATCGGCCTTCTTGGCGGCAGCAGTCTTCTTGGGCTCGGCCTTCTTTGCGGCGACCTTCTTCACAGGCTTCTTGGCTTTGGACTCATCCTCGGTCTCTTCAGCGGCAGCGGCCTTCTTCTTCGCGGCAGCAGTGACAGGCTTTGTCTTCTTCGCCACCGGCTCGGCATCCTTCTTGGCCGTCTTCTTAGCCGCGGGCTTCTCAGCCTCCTCGGCGGCCTCGTCGGCAGACTCGTCCACTTCCTCCTCTTCCGCGAGCTTGCGCTTCTTGGAGGCGGCTGTCGCGCCGTTGGTGGTTGTGTCCTTTTTCGCGACGGGCTTTGCGGCGGTCTTCTTGGTTGCCTCAGCGGCCTTCTTCGTCGCAGCAGCGGTAGTCGCGGCCTTCTTGGGCGCGCTGGCTTTAGGCGCAGCAGCCTTCTTGGTCGCGGCCTTGGGAGGCATGGTCGTCAGGTGATTGTGATGATGCGATGATGTAGGGGCTTGGCGAAACGACGCGCGTGTAAGAGAGAGAGGGAAGGGGCTGGGTGAGGGAAGATTTCAGTAATGGCAATTGCAAAAGCGCGCTGTCAAGACGTGATCAGAGGCAATTGGGATGATGGAATTGGAAACAATAGAGTCCGAATGAGTTGGCGTTCTTGTTTTTGGGGGAGAGAAAGAAATTGTTTCGAGGACGGACGTGGGCGGAAGTGACGCGACCGGCAGGTGCAGCTTTATTTTCTTGGGCTGTGGAATTCTGACCAAGCAGGGGTGGCGCTTTGTGGCTCTCAGCGCGGGCTAGGTACGCTGGGCCGCGCTGCAGCACCGGACTGCTGTTTCTTTGGTGGCCGAGCGAGCTCGCCTCTTAGTGCGATCGGGTGGGAACCTACGTGGGTCCCTTCTGGGCCGTTCATGGTCCCTCGCGCCAGGGTGGCCCGAGCTCCAGTTCCTGGGACCAATTGCGTTGAGACGAGAAGCTACGTCCCTTGGAGGAGCTCTTGACCGCCCGGTCGCAGCTACCTTTTCTTCGCGGCAGAAAACATGACAACGAAGGAAAGACAAGAAAAAAATCCGTCGAAAAAAAAAGTCGGAGTGGGCCCAGCGCCTTCCGGTGAGACGGGGAAATCTCGCGTCGTCTGCCGATGCCCCCAGAATCTCCACGCCACGACGAGCCCGCTCTCATTTCTCTTCAATTTGCTTGAGATTGTGCCGGATGCCATTTGGGATGCCCTTGTCCGTGTGCACCAGTCTTTGTGACTTAGTGTTACTGAATAGGCCCGACAGTAGCTGCTTTTATACGTGGAGGTGTCATTGTTGTGAAAGGGACGCGTTTGTGCCTGCAAGCTCGTTGGGAAAGCCATGACACAAGACTTATGACTGCCACGAATATCCGCGGCCTCCCTCGCGGGTCTCGGAGGGCTGATACCAATGGGGCGTGTGTGTAGAGCAGCGTTGACCGCCCCTTTACTGTACGTACTCTACGAACATCTCGCCTGGATCTATGCAGAGTTCAAGCATTAGCCGTAGACGTGATGGCTTGTGTCCACTGATTGCCGTTTCTGATCTATCATCATCGCTAGCCAATATACAGGACGCGTATTGCTAATGCTATCTGGTATCCATGTACCGCTGCCAAAATCACTTTGAGGCTTGATTGCGTCTCCAGTCGCTGTCGCAGCCCCAATTAACGCTTTTGGACCCTTGGCTTCTGCGTCCCTACGTTGTGAGGTGCACGCGCCTGCTGCCCTTGTTTTTTCCTGGACCCTTGTTCTTGCCTTTCTTCTTGTTGTTGTGTCTTGTGTCATTTGTCTCGCTTGAATCGACTGCTGCGGCTTCGGTAGCATCCACGGTTGACTGCTTGGGCACTTCGGGTTGTAACTCTTCGACGACGACCTTGATGCCTTCCTGAAAAGTTTTCTCCTCGTACTGCTTCAGAATCCATGCAATAATGCGCTCATCCCTGATTCCGGTCAAGTTGGCCAACAGGAACATCCACAAGTATAGCAATGACCAGCCGCTCCGTTTGGTCATCCACCAGAGAATGTCCCATCTCGGTTTGTGCCACGGGAGGCAGGGAAGTGATGCAGGAAAAGCGGCATACCACTTGAGAGCAAGTACGATTGCGGTGTGGCCAACGAGCACAATGAGCGCATACCAGAGAAAGCTGCAAACAAAGCCGTACAGCGAGCCGAATACGGTTCCCACGGAGTCGCAGATGTTCGTTAAATCAAAGAAGAGCGATATCTCATACCACTGGAGTGAGTTGGAGAATATTGTGAAATTTTTGACGAGTTCATGCCGTTCCTACCAGCCAGAAACTCCCACCTCGGACGAGGCCATATCATGATGATCCGTAAACGCCGAAACCCCTTCCGCCGGATGCTTGAAATAACCCCGGATACCAAACGCCAAATCCTTGAAAGGTTGTACAAAACCCGCTAAAGTGTAATTGCCTAACTCATCGGCGGGTCGTGAAGTCGGTCTCGTGCTCGCTCGGGTTGAAAGATCCATCGGAGGCCTTATCACAAGTACAGGCGTCTGGGAAGCGTCAGTACAAAATCCGAGAACATTTCGGGAGAAAGGGGAGCGTACTGGCTGGGCGGACGCCGCAAGCGCAGGTTTCACCGGCGGGCTTGGTGTTCTCGGTAGAAGCGCGGTCGCAAGTGCACTCACCAGCCGGGCGAGCTCGGCACGAGCAACGCGGGCCGGCGACGGAGTTCTCTGTGGAGGCCTTGCTGCAGGTGCAGTGAAGGGCGGACTGCTGGCCACAGGAGCACTTGGCTTGCTGGGCTGAACGAGAGGAGAGGTCAGTCAGCTTGTAATTATTCTGATAGTTGTGTTGCGAGCGAAAGTGGGTGTAGATATCTCCCAGAAGAAGGACGAGCTGCTGTTGACGCATAGAGGAAAGGTTCTCGAGGTTGGAGACGAAGGGTGAAGTAGGCAAGGAGTACATACCACAGACGCACTCGGCGCTCTTGCCGCAGCAGGTGGAAGCCTTGTCGACAGTCATTATGATGGTTGGCGGGAAGGTGAGGTTGGCTAGGTAGAGAGGAAGGTGTCGTTTGTTTGGTGTTTGTGAGACTGAGTGCGAGGGAAGGCTTTGAGTCGAACTGAATTGGTCTGTCTTGGAGGGGATAATAGCCAAATGGGGGGGTCGCAAAGGGTCCTTTTAAGCAACTGCGACGCAGGGACGGAGGGGCCCAGTACCGACGTCACGGTCCCTGCCCACCACTCCGGACGATCCCTGCTTCAGGTCATCGCCTGCCTTCCTATTGGCTGGAGATCTTTTTAGCCAATGATGACATACTTATTTCAAAGAAGCAGGTGGGCTCTGGGTCGTTCCATTTCTCGGCCAGATCCTGATGTGTCAGCCCATCTGCAATTGCATGACAACAGAACGAGTAATTACCATCTGCTCCCACTACTTCCTGGTCAGCAATTTCAATGCAACTTTATTCTGCCTTGCGACTGACATTTGGATGCCACCCAATACCTGAGGTGACATGAGGGTGACGAAAAGAGTCCAGACAAGCCTAGAAGTATCCGCCTCAGCTGTCTACTCTAGCTTTCGCCTCTCAGGTCCCCTTGTCTTTGCTACCCGTATCGAATTTGTTGTCTCTGTCATATATGGCTCGGTCTTTGGCTTTTTAACCCTTGGAATTCATAGAACATTAGCAGGACGATAACAGGAAAGACACATTTGTAACAGCCAAAGCATCGTGCCATTGCCCTTTCTTTAGTTATGCGCCAAAGTGACCCTGAAGCTTGTTGCACGGCTTGATTGAACGCGAAGCACCGTAGGATCCGTCTTGCGCCGCGACTTGAACCCACAGCCCCCTTTCCATGACCCTATGATACTAAAGCTGTCAGCAGCAGAGATTCGAGCCAAGAGATCAAGGCAAATTATATTGCCTCTGTTCATAAACTTGTTAAGGAGTCCACTACTTCAACAGGATTGCATCTTAAAAACACATATGAAGGTGTGTCAATACAGATATTATAGGCAGGTTGCTGCATTTTGTTTCGTCGTGGGCAGTTTGCCTCTATTTCCATAAGCAGGTACTTATAGAACAGGTTGCCGCAGATATCTTCCAGACACAGCTTTCCACCAGGCAATGATCATATTCTTCACCATTTGATTAAGGTACTCCCTGTTTGCTCTCGGATTGCAAGACGTCCCTACAGCAACTGAGGCTCTTGCTGATGGAGGCACCTGTTCCATCTCTCAGATTTTCCAAGGGCTTCTTATCCCTCTTGCAGAAGGATAGTCACCTTAGCACAGCTATCCCCTCGCGAGTTGTCATTTTATCTGGGGCATTCTCGACTACAAGAAGCCATACCGCCCGCCGAGTTGAACACGACGCCACCATAATTTACAAATTCCCACTTGTCAAAGAGAGAATGGCAGCGGCAAAATACAAGACCGGTCCAGTTTCTTATGTATCTACAGAATCATAATCGGTCTCATGAGGAACCGAACCTCGCTATAGAATTGTAAACACGTTCAGTTGCAACACGCCATTGTCCAGTGCCGCTCTCAAGCCTTTTGAGCTGTCCCCCCCCACAGGGGCCACGAATTAATAACGAACGCCGTTCCGCGAGACGTCGCGGTAAAGCGTGCTTCCATACTCGCTTGTAGTACTCCAGCCGGTAACGTCGCGGGGCGTTGCCTCGCCGCTCTCTTCAGGAATGACACCGTAGACCTGGCCAGTGTTGCCCGGTGGGAGTGGCCAGGATTTCGGCAGAGGAGGAACCTCGCTGGAGTCGTCCGTCTGGCTCACAACACGATGAATGACAATTCTGACCTGCTCGCCCTCGCTCGATTTATTGCTGCTGGTTTCGCTGGGTACGCCCTGGCCTTGGGCGTTGGCATCCGGGATATCGGGTGCGGATTTATCCATGATGGCGCTAGCCGCCGAGGCTGATGTCATTCGATAATCCCTTTTGGACGACTGAGGATGCTGGCGGCTTCTGAGGAACTTTCGGTATCTTTGGTAGACGAAGCCAAGGAACAAGAAAATCAACAGAGCCGTGACGGCGCCTAGCGTAATGCTAGCGATCGTCCCTGGTGACAGAGCAGGGTCTGAGGCGGCTTCTGGGGCGGCTTCTGGGGTGGGGAGTTCAGTTGACCTGGAGGATGCGATATTGGTCCCCGAGGTCGGTTCCGATTGCGTGGAGCTTGTTGCGGTGCTTCCTGTCGGGGGTTGAGCTCCTGGACCAGTGACACCAGCGTCGGCTGATGTCTCCGATGGAACGAGCTTAGGGCTGGTGCTCGCCGAACCCAAGACACTTGTGAACGTAGTTGAGCTTGCGGACGGCGAGAGTGCGTTACTGGTGGGGGACGTGGTACTGAAGGGTTCAGTCGTATCGGTCAGCTCGTCGTCGCTGGATGAGAGAGCTGGATCAGCCGGCGGGGCGGGGGACACAACAGAAGACGAGCGGGAGGTTGTTGTCTCAATAGAGGGCGTGGTTGTTGTGAAAGTCGTGGTAGTCACGATCTGGTTCTCTGTTACGGACACGTAGACTGGGTCGAATACGGTGACCGTGCGGACGGAGCAGACGTTTGTTAACGTCCTAATGATCTCAACAGTGATCGTCGAGACTCTGGTGATTGGATTCGAATTCTGTCGTCGAACGCGCCCTGCCTTTGACAAGAGCGTTGCCTCTTTGGAGGGAGACGCATAGACTGGTAGCGTCACGGAATGAAACTCTGGATCGGATGCAGCCGCCTCGGTCAAGTCTCTTGCGGCGATGTTCCCGGATGGCTGCGAAGCAGTGATCACGCGTGTCTCGAAGACCAAGACAGGGTTTACGATGGTCAGGGTCTGCTCGACGGGCGAAAAGACGACTCTTGTCTGGCTGGGCAACTCAACTGTGACGGTCCGAACGACAGTCAGAGTGGTGATGCGAAACAATCCTGAAAAGGGCCTGTTCGGACTGCTTAGTATCCTCGGGAGAACCAAAATTACAGCTGTAACTTGCGTCAATTGTCGTCGCGCCAACATCCGATTTAGAGCTGAACCATCCTGTTGTCGGCCATGTCCTTCTCCCACCGAATCGGTCTGACCTCCGCGTGCGTCCTTCTGCTGCTCCAGAAACGCCGTAGGTATTGGCGTTCTCTCAGTCGAAGACGGCGATGTCGATGGCGTTGATGTATGAGCAGGTTTGCCGGCCGGTATAACAGCCGCGCTAGCGATGGCCAGCAGCAAAAGAAGGCTTATCCAGGCCCAGGATTTCGTCATGGTAGCTATTCTGAGGCTTGTTTTTCCTCTAGCCCCTTCCTTCTAAAGATCGTAACAATGAGAGACAGTGTGCGAGGATAAAAACGAGCGTCAGGAAGTTGGCCCTCACAGAGAGAAGAAGAAGAGGAAGGAAGAAAAAAGAAAAGAGCGAAAGAAGCTTCAAGGCAAGTAGGTGTTAGTAACAGAAAGGAGGCGAGAAAGAAAGAGTCAGATACGGGGCACTTCGGGGCATAGGACTGGAACACGAGGACGCGGAACGGGACGCCTCGCTGCCCCCGGTCTCTGGGAACCAAGTATCTCTAATCGTGAAAAGAAAACGACAGGCGTCTTGGTTGGTGACAGCGCTCAAGATGACATCGTCCATCCACTAGGTGAACAACGCGATTGGCCTCCTGAGATATCCTTGGCAATATCTCGAGACAGCCTACCGCATCACACCGCGTCACGAGAGGCGGGGATTTGCGTCCCGGATTCATGAATCCGACGAAAGAAATCCAACTTCACGAATGAGGCAGACCCATACGTCGAACGGACCCGAAGGCGAAATCTCTTTGTCGTAGGTGGCTCTTTAGTATAGAGAAGAAGGGGGTTTCTCGACGTAATGGGAACAAAACACTTGTTCTAGAAGCCAGAGAGAACATCCACGATGGTTGGGGTTAATGTGCAGGGAACGATCCCGTGCCGCGATCCGGGTCATCCCAAACGAAGGTAGCCAGAAGCCAGTGGGCATAAAACTGCACCATGATGGGGGACGGAAGATCAGGATGGGATGATTTGCGTTCTCCAGCATTGCAAATCAGCATCGCCGTGGATGGAACGCGAGGCAACGGGGCGTGGCGACAAGACCGAGGAGAGTTGCCAAGTCTGAGGCGGCAAAGCAATGATCTGCCCAAGTGCGTCTGATTTGCAATCAAGATCGCAAAGGCTTGGCTTCTTTTTATTGGAAACATGGCAAAAAGGAAGCGCTCGGTTTAGGAACGCGAGAAGAATCGAGACGTTGTTGGCGCCCTGGCCTTGGTTTATGCGACGAGAGCGGGAAGCGGGAATCCGAACTCTGGGGAGGGACGTTAAGTCTAACGCACAGACCATGCGTCTTCATAAGCCGCTCGTCCATCGCGTGGCCTCCCCTGCTTGTTTCTGTTCTTCGTCCTTTTTCCGTCTCGTCTTCTGTTGCACTCGAGTTCCGCGACGGCGTGCAATAGGCACGCCATCATCTGACTAACACCCCTGTTTCCTGTCGAACAAGCTGCCTTATTCAAATGATGGATGGGTGATGCAGATGACGGCGCGGGCGGGAACATGCCTAGCCTGCGTCTGGCCTGTCTCATAGCCACCGAGCCAGAAAGTCGATGGTATGCAAGGCATTCACGTCACATCATGTATCGCAAGGGACCGATTGCACCGATCGGGTCGGGACGTGTTTGATCCAGAATCTGTACCCGAGAGAACACGCCAAGCGTGGGATGATCAGACGTCCACCACCTCAGCACGCGATTGCTAGGAAACCCTGGACGCGCTTCTCGCTATTACCATGTCTCAACCTCGACCCTATCGTCCGTTTACCATGCCAGTGTCAGCGAGATCCAAAAGGTGATGAGCAGGCTAGTGAAGACGTGGGGAATGGTAAAGGCAAAGTAGACAAAAGGGACATAGACCATGGGAGAGACAACAGGCCTGGCAGAGGCCAAAGGACTATTACCATGTCGCTACCCCTGTAAGTTCCCACAGCTACGCACCAAGACAGGAACGGAAGCTGACTTATCAGCCGAGCGAAGGGTAGTTTGCTCCATCCTCGCGCGCCTTTGGTTTGAACCTTAGACTCGTCGTGTTTACGTCCCCGCATGAAGAAGCTGCCGATCTGTAGAGACGAGAAGTACGCATCTTCCGGGGATCCCACCTTAGCAGACAGCAACATCAAATATCACGTCGATTCTCCAAGATGCGCATCGTCTCGAGCACCTGGCTCTTCGCCGCCACGGCCCAGGCATCTCTCTCCTCCATCGCCCCCCTGCGCTGCAGCGACGGCCTCCTCGCCACGCCGTCGTACAACCTTACGCGCGCGCTCTTCACCGTGTGCGCCGAAGTGATAATCGACGCCCCCATCCAGGCAATCTACGACACGGTCATTGACTTTGGCCGGTACAGCGAGTGGAACACCTTTGTTGTCGAGGCTGTCCCCCCGCCCAACGTCCAAGGCCCTGAGGACGTCTACCTCGAGATGCCAGTCAAGTTTACCAGCGCCGGCATCATCCCGCTGTTCAATGCGTCTTCCAACGAAGTCGTCTCTGTGCTTGCGCCGGATGTCGAGGATGACGACGGCCTAGGTCGCGTCCGAGCGGTGTCCGCGTGGAGGTACGACGACGGATTGAACGGCTATGGGTTGCTGGCAGAGCACCCGAATCTTCTGACGGATCTGGGGAACGGGTCAGTGCGGATGGTGTCGTACGAGACGTTTTACCTTCCTGGAGCGGCGCTGCTTTTGTTATCAAAGGGCACTCTGCGAGAGAGATTTGACACTCAGGCCACGGATCTGAAGAGGTACTTGGAGGGAGGCTTGTAAGAATGATCTGTTAAACGCTGTTTCTATTTGACATTATCTTCGACTGTCCCTCAACGGGCTTCGCAGGGGGATTTGGGGCTTGCCGTCTTCCTCCTCCCGGGGTATATCGGCCCACACTTTCCTCTCCATGCCCTCCTTATTTGTGCCCGAGCTGCTTCTATCCGCGGCCCAGGTATCTCCGCTGAGCCCGGATGTCGGACTCCAACGGTTGATATTCAGCGGCTCATTCTTCTTGAACCTAACGTCATTCTGTGCTATGTACTCGGAGCGAAGGCTCAGCCTCATCGTCTTGAGGATGGCACCCTTCTCGTAATCGTACTCGCGGGGACCGTCCCATGCCGAATCCTGCGAGTAGATGGACGAACTGCGCTTCATCTCCCACGTCTCGTTCAACATGGGCCGCGTGTCCTCCATCAATGGGCACCCTTTGCCCCGCGGCGCCGTGCCCACAATCATGTCCCCAAAGTGCAGCGTCGTCGGCGGACGCGGCGGGCGTTGAGCCATCGGACGAACCGGCGCTGGCGGCGCCGGCATCCGTAGCTTGTTCAGGTGGCTGGCGACGCTGGCGTTTCTGCTTCCTGTCACAGACGTGCTCGTGGTCGCCCACGGGTACCCGTGGTACGTCAGACTTGTCAAGTCGAAACTGTCGGCGGTGTTGGCCTCCAACGACTTCCTCTTGGCGTTGCAGCTCGACCCCCCAAAGAACACCCTCGCCAGCAGCGGCCGAAGCGTCGGCGCGCTGGCGCAGATGAGGGCAATGTCGCACTCGAGGACCGTCATGACGAAGAAGCCCAGCGTGTTCCTGACCGCGGAGCTGTTTGGCTGATAGTGCAGGTGCAGGCTGAGCTGCAGCCGGATCATGCTGGCGGCAATGACGAAGATGCCCATGCTCATCACCAGCCCAAGGGCAACCTTTTGCCGACGGGGGATGTCCAGCCTCATGACGCAGGGGATGACCATGATGATCAGCCAGGCGTCTGTTGCCGAGTGCAGACTTGCGCTCGAGATGAGCAAATCCGGGAAGTCGAAGCACACCATCGGATGACCAAAGAACTGGCCCCGGACGGGGTGGCATTGCAAGAAGCTCATGAGCAGCATCGGTGCGCTGTACATGAAGACAAAGACGATGGCGGCCCACGCCAGGTAGCGCTCTGTCGGGCGGCAGGCGAACATGCGCAGGTAGAAAGCGAGGATGGAGAGCTTGGTGAGGCATAGGCAGAGCTGGTAGTAGATGAGGCCGAGGTAGGTGCGCATGATGTACGGGTTCACGTCCATCTCCTCCGAGGCCGCTTCTGGAGGCGCACCAAGAAGCCAGGGCGTCGCTGCGGTGATGCCATACACGACGCATAGGGCCGAGGAAAAGAGCCACGCGAGGAAGATAAGGGTGTCGTCGATGTACCACTTGCGTATGACCCAGACACGGCTGACGACGCGGGCGAGGATGAAGAGTGTGCAGATGGCGTGGGGGAGGAAGATGCCCGTCATGAAGAAGGGGACGTCGGCATCGTCCTAGTCAGAGATTAGCAAGGTGTCGTCGGGGCGTGTAGAAGAGCACCCGTGGATGGGACGACTTACAATCTCCTTGAGCACGGCCGGCGACAACGTCGGAGACGGCGACGGCGCGCGCAGGCTGAGGTGGAGAAGCTCGTAGGTGCTGCCACTGGCCATTGTTGCGAGACTGGCTCTGCGGACGCACAAGTGCTCGGAGGTGCTTGACCCGTTGTAAGTGGACGTGGGCGACTTACATCCCCCAAAACCCGTGAGAGAGGCCCGTCGTTTTGGGAGGGGGATTCGACGTTTGGCAGCAAAGCACTTGGTCTAACAATCGCCTTGTACATCAAAGCACATCTGAAAAGCAGCTCTGGGCCTCTTTTTACATACGAACAAACTCGTCGCCATGTCGGGGAGCTCGATTCTGCTTCATGCGGACCGGCCGCCCACCACGTCCAACGCACCCTGGTCCTGACACAGCGGGCGTCCCGGCAAGGACCCTGGAGAAGCAACTCCCGAGTCCCGACAGATCGACAGCGGCCCTCACGTTCGAACGCCAACTCAATTCGTCGGCGCGGGCGCCTTGGCTCCTTGTGCGTGCGCGTGTGGGTGGTGAGACATGGTTCTACACCACCCAGCAGACGGCTGCCCACATCCAAGGCATTGATTGAACAAGGCGGGAAAAGGAAGGTCATCGTGCCAGATTGGTGCTGCGGGCCAAACGGCCGGGATTGCGATTGGGCAGATCGAGATGGAATTCTATCCTTGGCGACGAGTCGATTATGGAACATTACTGAAGTTCGACGTCTTCTATACGTCTTTTTTCCCCGTCTCCATGTCGTCCATCAATAGCATCGACGGGGTTGAAACGGTAGACTGGATGATGCGGTTGTCCTCCTCGCTGCGGCCCCCTCCTCCCCTCCATCATCTCTGCAAAGATGGAATGAAACATGTCCCCTCTGCTGTCAAGACATCCAACAGGAACAGGAAACCGACCGGGACACGCCCATCACCTAGAGAGTTTCTCGCTAGCACTCGCACGTTAGCCGCCGTGGAAAAATCTTTGGATGCGGGGTGGAACCACACAGACAGACACACACTCATTGTCCAGCATCGCAACGAATTCTGCAATGCTGCCGAATCCGCAATGAAGGTGCGGAATCATGCCTCCCCCTCATCGGGCCCTGCAAACCCCTCCCCTCCCTCCCGCGCAAACCACATGCCCACCTGCAGACGGAGTGCCGTCCGGGGCCTTCCCGATCCGGAAGGACGAGGCCGTCCCGCGACGCCGATTGGTGGGCCATTCCCCCTTTGGGCACTTTTACCTGCAATCGCCGCGCCAACACACACGCAATTGCAATTGCCAGCAATCGGCGGGGAGGAGGGAGAGCGGACAAGTCGCGAGAGAGGGAGGTGAGATACGGCCACGAGAATGGAAGAATGCGTCTAATAGGCCGCGCTAGATCATGCGTTCCTCGTCCAGTGTCTCTTACTGCCCACTCCCGTTCTGCCTGGCCCAACCACACACATACACACACACGCGCACCCGCTGCTTTTGTGCTCTCGGAGCATGTTCATGACGGACTCACATCTCGTCTGTGCAAGGGCGCGGCCCTCATAGGCCTGGCCCAGATGCCCAGGATGGAGTAGGGCCTCCGTGCCAGCGCTTGTCGATGGGTGTGGCAGCTAAAGACTAATTAACTGTGTGGTGGGCGAAGCTTTATGCGGGCCGCCTTTCCCTCTTGTCGACTCAGGAGCTGCTGCCCGTGGCTGCGGCGCACGAGTCTCATACCATGCGTCGATTACTCTTTCGCGCGTGCCTTGGGACGGTCCAAGGTATATCGAGAGGACTACTGGACTGCAGGACGGCCCTTTTTGTCGCGGGATGGTTTGGTGAGACGTGGGCAAACGCGGCGGCGTTAGACTTGGACGACGGAGGGGGACCTAGCGGTCGGGACCGGAGGCCGTCGATTGGACTCGACGTTGGGAGGGAGGGAGGGAGGGGTGATGATGGGTCTGTGTGTGTGTGTGTGTGTATGTCCTTTTGATACTTACGAGCCCGTCGGATAGCCATGAATTAAGGTAGTGGATTGAGGGCAACGACGGGATGCCCTCCCACGGTTCTCAGCCGGGCTCGTGGGACACCTTCTCGACGAAGTTTCATTCCCAAATGCTTGATCTGACACGACGGAACCCCTAGTGACATCACCGAATGATCAGGAAAAACTCTCGGCTTTCCCAGGCCAGGCCGCCTGCGGAGCCCGGCGCACGGGGGGCCGGAGCGGATGGGGAGGAAAAAAGCCTGGTTAATTGCCATCCTCCGACAAAAGGCTTTTGCCGAGCCAGAAACCCTGGCCATCGCAAGTCCTGTCACGGCGCCGCATCTCTTGGCAGGCCAACCTTTTTCTTCCTCGGCCTCAAGATGAGACTGGAAGAGCACCTCTCCCAAGCCTGGGATGGCGAGCCGAAGACTTCGGACATATGTCACCGCACGCGGTCAACCACTCGCCGTTTCGCCGCCGAGGGCTCGTTATCGCGATCGCTACTTGTAGCAGGTACAAAGTGGCATCGCCGCAGCTAAAGCGTAGGCCTGAGGATTGTTGAAAGTTTTCGCAGCTTGCATCTCATGTTGATTATGTTAATATACACTTCAGTAGCCGGGATTAGGCGCATCCAATGCCGTCATCAAGTTGAGACGCCAACACCACTTGCACACTGAACATCTACACCGTCCTCATTCTCCTCGTGGCCTGATCGAAGCCATCGCCGAGGAAAAACTCTGGACATTTTCCTTTCGTACCTCGTCTCGTACCTCGTCTCATCCCTCAATCTCCTTAACCTTCTCCACGACCTTGAGGTACCCCGGCTGTTTCTTCAGTCGATCGGTATAGTCGAACAAGACAGGGTGCGCCGCGCGCGCCGAGCCGCCGGGCCAGCTCCCATGGCGTCCCAGGCGCCCTCGTCTTCGGCCGTGATGAGGGCGAAGCTGATGAGGATGTCGGCGGCCGTGAGGGCGGGGCCGCAGAGGAAAGCCTCGCCGCCGGGCGCCACGCCGGGCGCCGTCTTGAGAAAGTGCTCGAGCATGGCGAGGTGCTTTTGCGCGGTGGGCAGGAGGGCGAGGGCGGAGATTTTGGAGGCGACGGCGGAGGTGAGGGGGCGGACCAGGAAGGGGACGTTGTTGGATTTGAGGACTGGATGTTCGCGGCGTGTTAGTAGTCGAATCTGGTGCGTAAAGGCTTGCGGTTCGGCGGCGGGATGGTGCACTCGGTGCAGGCGCTCGCGAGGATGGAAGAAACGGGGGAGTAAAACTCACTATCGATGAGGAGGAACTGCACGATCACGGGGAAGAAGCTGCCCTCGACGTAGTGCAGTAGGTACTGGAACCTCGAAAACGCCTCCGTCTCGCCGCCGACGCGGCCCTCCTGGCCCGGCTTCCACCGCGGTGGCACGAGGCCCGGGCTGCGGTGGCCAAAGTGATCGACGAGGTACTGCGTGATGTACCCGCTCTCGGCGAGCCGGATGGGTTCCGGGCCGGGCGTTCCCGCGGGATCGGCCGCGGAGGCGGGGGGCGTGAGCTCGAGGATCGGGGCCTTGCCGAGGGGGTGCACCTCGGCCAGTTCCGGGGGCGCGAGGCGGTTGGCGTCTCGGCAGAAGGTCTGGACGGTGTAGGGGATGCGAAGCTCTTCGAGGAGCCAAAGGGTGTTTTGGGAGCGAGAGTTGTTCAGCCTGGGTTGGTAAGTGAGATTGTACGAGGGCGGTTGAAGGGGAATTGGGCCAGGTACCAGTAGAGCTTTACTAGGGGGAGGTCTTCCGTCGCCATTGCGGGAGGTGACCGAGTCGTTGCCAAGGATCGCGAGGTTATGGTCGTGGCGTGCAACGGTTGAGCGAACCGGGTTCGGGTGTACAGATGGTTCTTGAGCTGCGATGAAGGGATACCGCGAGCCGATTGGCTTGGATGACAGCAGCGCCTTGCGAGTATTTCAATTGAACGCATCGTGATTGCAGTCTGGTCGCGCGACGAGATGTGGTATTTATCCTATTCCCTCCACTGTTTGAGTGACTGACGTGACGCATCGTCGGGCGAGTCGGAGGCAGTACTCGAGCTCAAATATGGCGCTTTTGTTGCAGGCCGGGGGTGGCGCAATGTTTCCGCATTGTCTCCGAAGAGGGGCTGGGCAGTAAGACGGCGTGAGGAGGTGCCAGGGAATCCGGAAACTGGCGAAAGGCATCGTGAGCTTCCTTGGGTATCTCGCTGTGGCTTGATGCAACAGGGCTCGAAAGAGGCTGGCACCGATGCGGGTAAGACGGTCATCGGGGCTTACGAGACCGATCTCAGGCGTTCTTTAGCGATGACGAGGGAGTGTCAGCCGGAATGGATTCCGTCCAGGTTTCCGGATACGGCACGCGGCATGCCCCGGTCAGATTCCCAATGTTTCTGCATCTTGAGATCTCGTGTGGTGACTGTGCCGCACAAGCTCCCAACAGGGAAATACAAAACGGGCCTAGACTTTTGCCAGTCCAATTGCGATTCGCCGTCATAAAAGACCTACTTGGACGAGATGCGGCCCTCGACCGGCACATTCGTTTACATACCACCCGGGCGACGCCTTGGAACAGAACAGGGTACATATCTCGGCGCCGCCTTGGCTCACCCAGTCAGCCCTACTACAACTTCCTCTTAACGAGCCCCCTCCAGAAATCAAAGCTGTTCTCGTCGCTCTGCAGCGCCCACATCCTCCCCGTCTCCCTGCCCATCGAGTCGACCTCGACGGCCTTCAACATGCCCCAGTCCCTCGTGATGCCCACGATCTTGGCCTTGGCACCCGCCTCCGCCTCGAGCGTGACGTTCTGCCCGCTGTGCAGCCAGTGCGCGTAGTACCGTTCCTCGAGGTCGCGGGAGAAGCCCTCGCGGCGGAACTGCTTGTACAGCGCCTCGATGCGCGTGAGGATCCGCGCGAGCAGCGTCTCGAGGTGGAACCCGCCCGCGAGCGATGCCGGCGCGATGGCGTTGAGCGAGGTCGTGGGGCGCGAGTTTGTCGTGTTGATGCCGATGCCGAGGACGATTTGGTAGGCGCCCTGGGAGTAAGCGCAGTTGGAGAGGATGCCGCCGATTTTGACGTACGAGGGCGGGTCTGTCGTGGGAGTGTTTGGGTCGCGGCAATCTGGGCACATTGTTAGTTGCGGTGATCCTAATGGTACTGTATCTCTACTGAGAGATGGAGATATTGCCACTCACAAATGTCATTGGGCCACTTGAGCTTGACAGGAACGTCTCCGCAGCCGTCGTCGTACGACTTGACGGCCTCGACGATGGCGATGGCGGCGATGTACTGTATGAAGACGACTGGGTGGGAGGCGGCTAGGTGTGCCGGATGGTTGATGACGGTGGAGAAGATGAGGCAGCCCGCCGGCGAGACCCAGACATTCGTGCCGCGGCCGCGGCCGGCGACTTGAGTCGTTGCCGTGAGCGTGAAGCCGGTCGGGAGGTGCGCGAGGAGCTTGGGGTTCCTATGGACGTAAGCGTGAGTCGGGGGCTCTAGGACAAGAGGGTGAAGAGAGAGCGCGGAGCGCACTTATCCATGAGGGTGTTAGTGCTGGTGACGACCTCCCCGTACATGAGGGTATCACCCCACTCCTCGGCCGTGGGTTCCCTTGCACGGTACCCCTGGAGCGAGTTGTAGAACAACCTGTGGTTGAAACTCGGCGTTTCCTTGACGTCGGGCCACGCCTCCTCGTGCGGGACAATGACCTTGACAACCCCGTCGTAATCAATCATCGCCGCCTCCTTCCCTTGCGGCAGCGCCTCCCGCAGCTCGTCGACGTCCCATCGCGAAGAATGCTTTTCGATGCGGAACACGTCGTGCTCACCGCGGATGTACTCCTCGGCGTCCGCGCCCTCGCCCTCACGAGTGATGGCCTCTTCCCACGACGCCAGCATCTCGCCCACCTCGGCGTGGTTCGCAGAGGTCAGGTGCATGCGCGAGAGCGATGGCGGCGCGGACGGATCGGCGCTGAGGTCGAGACCGAGTTTGGACAGGCAGGCGCGGAGGAAAGTGACGCGGGCAGCGTCGGCGGCGGCGAGAGTAGAGGTAAGGGATTCATAGGAGGGGATGTGCGGCTGCGGGTGGAGGTTTGCGGCTGCGAATCTGTGATGCGGGTTAGTCTTGAGATTGTGGGCGAAAAGGGGAAGCGGACGTACTCCGGGTGAGGGCCGGTCAAGATGACACTGCCGGAGCCGATTTTGCAGAAGATGACGGCAGCCTTGCCGTCTCCGCCGTCGACGGCGACGTCGTCGGCATACTGCGCCAACACCTCGACACCGTCAAACTTGTCAGCATCGACAAAGACGCCTCCGCCGTTGTAGTAACTCAGCACCTCCCCGTCCCCGAACCCCTCCTTCACACTCAACCGCACCGCCCTTGCGCCCTTCTCGCTGTGATACTCGAATCCCTTGAACGCCCCGCCGCGACACGTCCCTGGGAAGAAGCCAAGCTCGCGGGTCCCAATGACCTCGAGCGTGCGGTTGCCGACCTCGAATTCGCACTGACGGCTGCCGTAGTAACCCCCCGCACAGAAGCCGAGGTACGCGCCGCCGCGGCGGACGAAATCGGCGATGCGGCGGTTGCCGGGGCCGTTCAGAACGCGGCAATAGCCGAGATCGCCGCCGCCGGGGATGACGAGGAGCGCGCAAGTGGGCTGCCAGGGTTCCTTGAGGAGGGCGGACTCGGCGACGGGGATGACGGCGTAGGTGGGGGAGAGCAGGCGGCGGAGAGAGTAGATGCAGTGGCGGACGGACTCTACGGTCGTGCCGGTGCCTGGGAGTGGATCAGAGATGAGGCCGTAGTCAATTGGAGAGAGGGGAGGTACCAGTATAGACCAGTACGTTGAGTTTTCGTGAGGCCATCGCGGATGCGGGTGAGTGAGCTGTGGTGGGTATGATGAGATGAGTGGTGAGTGATGAGTGAGTTTCTGTGGTGGGAGTCACCAGCTTTTTTTTAGGGGCACTGTCTTGAATCCCTAACCCCCAACGGAATCTCAAACGCTAACCTGAGTCTTTCCGTTTACACGATCAGAGGTTGATGAGACACGGCAGCTTGGAGGCACGTCAACAAGCAAAATCCAACAGGGCTGACAATCCAAGCGGAAGACGCAATGTCGAAACAAGAGAGCGACGCGGTGCAGAAGGCCGCCGTGGATGATGACGAGCCTGACGACTGGTACGTTGACAACAACCCAAACTCCGTCCCAGTCTTTCGAGGCTTGTTGCTCGCGATGAGGTTCGGAGGAGACAAGAAGAAAACATTGGAAAAACAAACACCAAAAGCAAACAACATGGCAGCTAACGATTGTCCGTGTGCAGGGACAAGCGCATCTTCAGCACGGGTTGCGCAGGTACGGCATTCCCCCCGATCATGTCCGCCGCTTGGCGGCGGGACATGCGGACTGCGGACGCGGGCGCGGACACGGCGCTAACGCTGACCTCTACTTCTGGCAGACGAGAACACCAAGTTGACCGATTGCTACTTTGAGAAGAAGGATTGGCGGCAGTGTACGGCCGAGGTACGTCTCTCTGGACCCTCGGAATTCCCTTCGACATCAAAGTGAAGCTGATGATGTTGACTTGCCCAGATGGAGCGGTTCAAGAGCTGCTGGAAGCAGCAGGGCAACGACCACCGGACCGATATGAAGGATGCATGAGCGGCGAACGCAAGGCTCTCCTGGAGAGGATGTAAAACATTGTCCCATAACTATAGATTACACCTGAAAAGAAACCAATCCCAACTCAGTGCCTCGCAGACAGCTCGGTGGGCTGATGCCGGCGACGGTGCTACAAAAACGTCGCGCGCACAGTGTTCACGACCAGAATGGCCCAAGCTCCCGCCACTCCGGCGTGGCGTTCACCCGGGCCGACCAAATTTCGATTGGGAGTCCCCGTTCGAGGATCTTTGCCATCTTGACGATGTGAGCATCAACGGCGGCGCAACAACACCCACCACATAGTGCGACTCTGTTATTTCACCCTCCAACATCCGCCGACCCCTCCCGATATTCTTCACAGACGAGGAATCCTCGCCGCACCACCAGCATGGCGTCCCCCTGCACCCTCCGCCCGCTCCTCCGCGCGACATCACGACAGTCCCTCTCCCAGGTCGCAAGGATCGCCACAACATCCCGCTACAAGGCCGCGGCCGCGGCCGCCACCACCCAGCGCGCAACACCAGCAAAGTCCAGCACGACGTCCAGCTACGTCAGACGGTCCCCGGCATCGAACACCTCTCGCGCAGCCGCCCCGAAAGCGACCCTGACTTCGACGCCGGCCCCTTCAGACCCCTCCGACGCAGCCCTCGGCCCGAGCCTCTCCTCCACGACCCCCCTCCCCGACGCGCCGCCGGCGTCCTACCCCTCGGAACCTACGTCCTCCTTTGCTTCCTCCGGCGGCCCCCCGTACCAGCCGCAACAACAACAACAGCAGCAGCAGCAGGGGCAGATTATAGACTGGTCGACGTCGTACTACGGCCTGGGCACGCAGCGCTTCTCCAAGGAGGTCGTCGACATCCTCCTCCAGCCCGTGAACCCGGCCGACGTGGAGGTCAAGCCCGACGGCATCATCTACCTGCCCGAGATCAAGTACCGGCGCATCCTGAACGCGGCCTTCGGCCCCGGAGGATGGGGCCTGGTGCCCAAGGGCGAGGTGGTTGTAGGAGACAAGATTGTGACGAGGGAGTATGCCCTCATTGCGGAGGGACGGTACGTTTGAACCCCATCTTTCGCTGCCAGACCTGAGGAGGACCCACGACTAACGCAGGACCACGCAGATTCATCTCCCAAGCGCAGGGCGAAAACACCTACTTCGCGCTCGAGAACCTGCCCTCGGCCGTCGAGGGCTGCAAGTCCAACGCGCTGATGCGGTGCTGCAAGGACCTCGGCATCGCCTCGGACCTCTGGGACCCCGTCTTCATCCGACAGTTCAAGAAGCAGCACGCCGACGAGGTGTGGGTCGAGCACGTCACGACCAAGAAGAAGAAGTTGATTTGGACGCGCAAGGACGTGCCTGTGGGATACCCCTTCAAGCGGACCAACTGAGTCCGATGAGAAGAGTAGACGGCGGCGGTTGTAGCTTCGAGGCCTCGACTTGGCGAGCATTATGTATGAAAAAAAACAGAGCGTAAGGAAGTGTAAGATTTGAAAGAGCGGGAATCTCAGCTGTAAAACATAGAATAAACACCATGGCCTCCTTGGAGAAGACGGGGCCATGGACGACGAGGTGCGCGTGTAGACGCACGGCAGACACATTTGCATAGCGGCCAATCAATACTCTTGTACAATCACGCGGGGCCGGGCCTCACGAGTGTGACATCGAAAACGGGATATCGGCTGTTGAAAGCGATTCTCCCGGTGTCTATTCAGCCCCTGAACACGGGAATCGAGCGGGGAGCGCAGAACGTTGCTGGTCCCAAATGACAACCACCCTCGAGTGTTATCACCGTCAAGCCAAGACTCCCTCGCCAAGCCGAATCTAAATCATGTATATAAAATAAAGCAACCCCCGCAAAACTCCGTTCCCTAACCAAACACCATCCTCACAAGAGCGGGCGGGCTGCTGCAATCACTTCTGCACGCCCGAGCTGGACCCACCCTCTGGGTTCTCGGCCGTCGGCGTCGTGCCCCAGCCCCACGGCATCCACGACGATGCCCCGCCGCTCGTCTGCCTCCGCCGGACGGTCCCGTCCTCGTCGTCGCCGCCGAGGTCCTCGGCCCCGCTCTCGGCGTCGATCTTTTCGAAATCCGTCTCGCTGCGCGACTTGCTCAGCCCGCTGTGCGCGCTCGGCGGCCTCTGAGTGATCTCCTCCTCGCTGCCGTCGAGCTGCATGCTTCCCGAGCGGCCAAACGCTTCGGCCGAGGCCGAATCCGACGCCGCGGCTTCGCGGTCGAGAGCCTTGAGGAGGAAGGCGAGGCGCTCGCGCTGCGCGGCGATGAAGCTCGTCCTCTCGCCGCCCTGCAGCTCCGGCGGGATGAGGGAGCCCGACTTGGAAAGGTCCTGGTGCTGACCGGGTGCACCGCCGCCCGCGGCGGCGCTAGTGGCGGCGGACACGGCGCCGGCAAGGAGGTTGTAAAAGTCGGAGCCCGCGTGGCCGGCCGGGGCCCAGCGCGCGGTGGGGACGCTAAACCGGGCGAGGAGCGACTGGGTGTAGGTCTGGTTCGGGGCGGCGGCGGCGGCGGGCTGAGGCGCGGGTTCGGGGTCGCCTGGGGGCAAGCCGAGGACGGAGGTCTTGATAAGCTCAATGGCGCGCTTGAGGTAGGCAATGCCGGCGGCCTTGAGGCGGTCGTGGGCCTCGGAGATGAACTCCTCAATCTGGGCCTCGTTGTCTTGGAGGAAGGGGTGGACGTGGGTTTGGTAGATGATGCGGGCGCCTTGGGTCTGGGGGAGGACGAGGTAGAGGAGGAAGAGGAGGCGGATGTAGGCGTAGAAGGGGATCCTGCCGTGGTGTTAGTGGGGATGTGAGCCGAGGGAATCGCAAATAGGAAAGGGACTGGATGCGATAGAGTGTGCGAGTCAGAACGTACCAAACGAGGAACCATTCAGTCCAGGACTCGACGAGCAGGCCGCAGGCGAGGACGACCCAGTACATGAGCCATGGCGTCAGTTGGGCGGGGTCGGAGGTCTTGAGGGCCTTGTAGGAGGCGAAGAGGGGGAAAAGGAAGGACGCGATAGAGCTATGATGCGGGATGCAATGTCAGCCAAACGGAGCAAAGTGGCGGTCTCCAAGTACACTCTGGAGGCGGGGGCCAGGACTGGCTTGATAGAGGCGGGCGGGCGAACGAGAGAGGGAACGGCAGACAGCTGCCCCTGCCACGCGGGCGGGGGAACTCACGATAAGAGGTGGGCGAAGATGTCGAACATGGTTGTGATATGAAGGCTCGAATAAGGTCGCAAAGTCGAGTGAGGTGTAGGAAGTAAAAAGGTTGTCGGAGCAGCAGGAGGAGAAGAGACGGAAAGGGTCCGTAGCCTTGCACACGGCTCAGTCAGCGCGCAGCGGCGGCGGCGGCGACGCACAGCCGACGTCAGGCGAAGATGGTGACAGAAACGATGGGCGTACGCTAGACGGAGTGATCAGGCCGGTACCGATTTAGGGTGACAGGTGAGAGGCAGAGCGTTTGAAGGGGTCTCGAGGTCCCAGAACGTTCCCGTCAAGGGCTGCAGGTCTGGTGTGTAAGCTTTCTGAGAGGTAAGTAAAAGGTATGGATGGGTGTACGAAGGATGGTTGGAGATGCAGGTCGCGGGGTGCGAGTGCAGGTGCAGGTGTAGGCGCAGCAGCAGCATCGGCATCCGGCGCTCGGTGGGGTTCTGAGCACGAGGACAAAGCAGCTCAAGGGTCAAGTGAGCTCACTGCTTGGCGGATGCAGCGGGCAATCATGGGGGGGCGTGGCGGGAGATGGAACACTGAGTTGGGGAACGCACATGGGTGAGGGGCCGCTGAAAGCCGGGCACTTAGTTTACTACCGGTATGCTGCGGTACAGAGTAGAGTTGGGGAGATCGGAGGGGCACACGGCAAGTGAGGGAGGGGCCCGGATGAGATCTTAGCTTGGTGCTTCCAGCGTGCCTAACGTCATTGAGGGGCACTAGAGTGCCATGGTACTACCCTACGGCGTGGATAGCAAAGCTCCGAGGGGGGGGGGATAAGCCGATAAGTGGTCAGGCCGATAAGGATGAGGTAAGCAATGCACGCGGGCTGAAACCGGAGCTGACGAGGAACCAACCTGATGAATTCGTCCCGTCTCTCCTTTCGCAGGGCTCATCGAGGGAAAATGACCGCCTCTAAATACCACGAGACCCCTCCTTAATCAATGCACGCATTGTGGTCTGTCTTGCTGAAAAGTTCTCATGAGCCAGTTTGACATATAGGTGTCCACATCAACGAACTTTGGTTCCTGAGCAGACAGCCATCGGTTCTCCATGGACCAGCCCCCCAATACGCGTCTCACGACGACATGACATGGAGGGCAAATCTTGGGCGACAGGAACCATGTTTTACCTCCAGGCATCCCCCGTATCCAAGCGCCATGTGATATCCTTTAGTGGCTTTCGGTCCCGCCCGATGGCCGGGGTGCCGACTCGACGTTCCCTCCCCGGATTGCCCTTCCAAGACATTCCAAACAGAGTCGCCTCACTGAATCATTGCATCGAAATGAACCATTCCCAAGCTGCACTGTTCCTCCAGAGCTCGTGGCAACACCGGGCAAGATGGCAACTGTTCTTTCAACAGACTACTTTGGTGCTGAGCGTCGAAGATGTACTATGCTGGCTGCCGAGTTGCGCACTTCCTCTAGGCAGTCAATCCGTGACGCGTACTCAGGCATACCGCCACGTACTTTCTCCCCCAGGCATACGTTTTACAATGAAAGGGCAAGTTGGCTTCCTAAAGTTCAAGATACGATTGAATCGTCAAGGTGATATCCAGCCACAATATCATGTAAGGTTGCCTTCACACTGTCGTCACCGTTGTCGCTATTCCTCGGTATTACCTGGCCAGGAAGGTTCTGGAGGGTGGCAAAGAAATCGATACAGAAGATTTGGGTGGGAGAGTGCAGCCATCTTGCTATTCTACTCCATGTCTGTATGGCCACTTCTCTCGGTTCCGTTTAGGAATGACAGGGCACGCCTATGGAGCAATGTTGCGCCTTAATATCTTGGGTTCAGTCCTCGTCTGTTTCTGCTCTATGGCCTTGGTAGGACTTCTTTTCTTTCCGGTCGTTCCCTGATCCCGGGGTGTCCACTTCAACGATGTCCTGTTCGCAATCCGCTTCCAACCACAGCATCTCGATCCGAGGCAAAACACTGCCTCAGCCGAATTGCTGTCTGACATTACTTACACCAAGCTCCCGTGAAGGCACCTGACAGTTACTGATAGCTTACTCGAGCGGAGTCGTCGAGGTGTTGACTTGGATAAAGTGTCTTGCCTCCAGTATTTGGTCTCATTGACTAACAAGGACATAGGGTATCAGAGCGAGCTTCTGTAGAAAGCAGGCGTGCAACCATTGATACCCTCCCAAAATACAAACTCAGTTGTATGCTTCGACATTTGCAATGGCAGACTTGTTCAATCCGGGCCAGTGCTTCTTACCACGGGCGAACCAGAGCGTCAACGCACCAACCACAGCAGCCACGTAGATTGGGCCGGCGTAGTTCATCTCCGTCCCCGTGACAGGAATGGTCTGCGGGAACGGCAGCCAGATGGTCAGATACATCGACCACAGCAGCGCGTAGATGTTGATAGGCATGCCCCACCCCTTCGGTAACGACCAGCTGCCGTACTGGACCTGGTACTCCGGGCCGTGGCCGATGCGTCCGGTCATACGGGCGTGGAGCATGCAGGATATGGCGATGATGTAGGAGCTGTACAGACCCAGAGACGAGAGCGCAGTAAAAGCCGAGAAAACCGTCGCCGTCGCGTTGTTCCCGACGGTGAATAACGAAAGGCAGGTGACGATGATGCATGGCAGCCACACGGAGCGGATCGGGACCCGGTGCTTGGGATGGATCTTGGCAAAGTACCGCGGCAAGCCTCCGTCTCGGGCCCACGCCCAGGTGATTCTCGACACCGACGCCAGCGAAGCGGCAACGACACAAAACGTGATGATGAGCAGACCACACACCATCGCGGTTCCCGCCTTTGGCCCCGCCGCGTTGAAGAGCAGGGGGATGATGGGATAATCCGAAGCCAGAATCTCCTCCGTCGCGCCGCCCATGCCGAACAAGATGGCCAGGATGATGCCGTACGACAAGACGCCGTTGAGCACAATCGTCCATAGCATGGCCCTCGGCACGGCCTGCTTCGCCTTGCGCACCTCCTCGGCCATGTGCACGACGCCGTCGAACCCGATGAACCCCCACGCGGGGACCAGCATGCCAATGTTCCAGCTCACGAAGCTGTTGGTCCAGCCGGAGCTGACGGTGCGCTCGAAGAAGACGAACTCGGCGCTGGCGCGCGGGGCGAGCGTGAGCAGCACGACGACGAAGATGAGCCAGAGGACGACGTGCAGGACGCCGGCGAGGAGCTCCATCCACGGGATCGTGCGGAAGGCGTACATGTTGATGAGGCCGCAGGCGACGAGCTGCGCGATGATGACCATGGTGATGTGCCAGGGCTGGAACTGGTAGGAAGGGTAGTTCGTGCTGACGAGGCCGATGATGATGTTGGCTTCGGAGGCGGCCGAGCCGGCCAGGGCCGAGACCCAGGCGAACCAGGTCACCCAGCCTTGCATCCACTGTGAAGGTGGTCAGTCTCGGTTCCATTCGGGTTGTGAAATAAGACGCCAGTATGCCAACAATTTGGCGCGATGCCAAGGGAAATTGGTAGACATACCGTAATGAACCGCCGGTGTCTCTCCGGCGCAAGGAAGTGAGTCCAGTGATACTGCGCTCCGGCGATGGGTTGGATCGTCGCCAGCTCAGCCATGGACAGCGCCTGCGCCATGGCGCCGACGACCACGAGGATGATGCCCCACGCAAGTGTCTGCGGGCCGCCGTTGTAGAAGGTCGCTCCCATGTCCATGGCCATGACTTCCCACGACGACATGAAGATCAGGGCGAAGGCCAGAAGTTGCCAGAAAGAGAACAACCGCTGCGTTTCGTTGTCAGTGTAAGTGCCACCAAAACAGTCGGTTGATGGAGCATCTCATTACCCTTAGTGATGAGCCACCCGTGCCGCCGTCCGTATGCTCGCCTCCGCTCTCGTGGTGGTTCCTGGCGCTGTCGTCCGTGTTGCCGGACGAGCTAGTGGTGTTGACGGCGGCATAGTCGCTTTTGGGCTGCTGCATCTCGAGAAAGTCCCCTTGCCCCATCTTGTCTGACTTTCAATCCGATAACTTTCTTGAACTTATGCCGGCGAAAGAGGAGGCTTACCCAAGGGAACACGCCAGAGGAATCATCGCGAAAGGAGAAGGAAGCATGTTCAGAAAATCTGGGAGAGGGAAAGAAGGTATTTCTCTGCAGCGAAAACGGTGCCAAGAAGACTAGACGATCTGGGCTATGGACTAAACATGCAGTCCCCTTCGCACCAGTCCGACTTGAGGTGGTCGGTACGTGGTGCGATGCGACCTTGAGACAAGGGATCTTGTAACTCTCATTGGCGAGGTTAAGCAGGACCCTCAAGTGAAGATACTGTGGATAACTCATAGTAGCTGCAGGAAGTTGTGTGAGACCCCAGCCTCTGGCCTAGATGCAAGTGCCGCTAGCAGGGGGATGTTGTAGGAATTTTTCGCCACGGCCCACGGTGGTTCAATGTGGTAGGGGTCGAAAGTTGCAGTGTTTGGGGCGAGATTCACGAGAAAAAGAAATTGCATGCAGAGTACAGATACGGTGTCGCTGCGCGCCATTCTCGGTTGAGTGTTGGCGTTATCAGCGTCAATTGAGCACGGGAACACTTGAGAAACAGGAATTACGCTGTTGATTAGTCAATTACTCTAGCATCGTTTTGGTCTTATACGTTCATTCATTTGGTTGCTACATCTTCTTTCTCGACATATCATCTTACATTGAGACTCTTGCTGAGTTCAAACATTGTGAAATGCAGGCGGACGTCAGAGGTGCGAAGAAAATGTTTTCTTGTCGTTCATCGCGTGGCAAATCGGTACAATATTACACGCAACCAACCATCAATCAAAGGCGGTAGTCGACCTCATTATCAAGTCGAACTCTAGAGTTTACTCGAGGCTATGCAGACGCTTTCATCTTCCGCCCCAAAACTTAAACATCAAGAATGGCTTCAAGTAACCCTTATGCCTCTAGGATGTCCTCAATGAACGTTGAGGATGCCAAGGTAGATACTGCATGTACCAGTCTGCTGGCCAAAGTGAAGTTCAAGTTTGTATGTGTTTTCTTGTCGTGGGTGGTGAGAGCCGTAAGTGGAAGTCCAGATAGAAGGATACGGATTAGGGAGACGATGCTACGAGGCACTCGAGGTAAGCATCAGCTAGTGCAGCATTTGAATATCGCTTCAGTTCTAGAGTTTTTTCCGATGGTAAGCATATAGAAAGTTCCATAACCCTGTTGTATGCATGTTCTGTCACACGTCTGTCACGGCTTCAAAATATAATCATACTGCAATCATGGCCGGAGTTGTAGCATTGTATTGAGAGAGAACATAGACGCAGAAAAACAACAGGAAAATTAAACTGCTGACTGAATCCCGTCACTGTTCGAAGCCTTTGATTATGTCTGCTGCGTACTCCGCTACAGCATAGACTGTAGCTTGGGTATGCGCCGCTGGCAGAATTGGCATGATACTAGCATCCACTACCCATAAGCCCTTGACTCCGTAAACGCTCAAATTACTGTCCACAACACCTCCCCACTCCCGAGGCATCATTGCTGCTGTTCCCGCCGGGTGGTCGAAACTTGAAGCCAGCCACGACTCTTTCATGAACGTTTCAATCTCAGCGTCACTTGCCACGCCAGGGCCTGGCATCAGCTCGACGGCGCCAAGTGACTCGACACCCGGGCTCGACATGAAGGCCCGCGCTTTGGAGACTGCGCGGGTGAGGAGGATTGTGTCGATTGGATTGGAGATCGTGTTGAAGTCGATTAGCGGTGCGATAGCTGGGTCTGGGTTTGTGCTATTGATGGTAATCGTACCTCTCGACAGAGGCTTTTGCAAGGCTATAGGGAGGTTTTCCGCGCCGCCGAATGTAAACTCAACTACCCCTGCCTTTGAATTGAGGAACTGCCGCGTCAAGACGTTTCGTTGCTGGAGAAACCCCTCTATTAAGGCCGAGTTTTCGGCGTAGACTTGAGGAAGATGATGCAATGGATCTTGCTCACTGACTGCCATTGCGATGGATTGATAGTTGACAGGTTCAAGATCTTGCAGGGACGTGAAAACGACTTTGTTTCCCCAGGCATGAGTGTGCGGCCCAGTTTTGTTGGCCTCGTACTCCGCCCAAGACCTGTTGTAGAACGTCTCGTTGCTCATCAAACTCGGGTTGAGTGTAGTGTCGTTTGTAACTGAACGGATGCTAGGTTAACTACAGCCGAGGCTACAAAGATGTCTACTTACAATCGTAAACCATGAAGATGGAAGGATGATCTTGAAAGTTCGCACCAACTCCAGGCAAATCGGACACGACTTCGATATCCAGGGAGCCGAGGAGCTTCTCTGCGCCAACTCCACTAAGCTGCAAGATTCGTGGAGTGTTGACAGCGCCCGCAGCTAGGATGACATTCTTCGATCTCACAAACTTTGTCTCCGAGCGATCACGGCTGTCGATATCGAGTCCAATCGTCTGGTTCCCTTCGAACTTGATAGCTGCTCCGTAATGGTGCACAAGAAGGTGCAAATTCAGGCGATCGCTGACAGGGTTGAAATATGCGGGTTCGGACGTCGAGCGCGTTGCGCTCTCGCCTCCCGAATTTTGCGGTAGCCAGGCAATGCCGACATTGTCTCCGTCAGCACCGTCTTTCAACACAGGAATTGCTATGTCTTCGGCCCAAGCTTGAGCTTGAATAGCTTGGGAACACTTAGCTCAAAGGCTCAAGACTCAGCAGGTTCATGCAACTTACCTGCTTCCGGCCACTGCCATGACGGAAAACCTATTTTCACAGGCCCGTCTCCGTATGCCTCTGGACTCCATTGGTAGCCGTACTTATCGACATACTCTTGAGCAGGAGGCGCGAAAGTAGAAGACTTGCGAAAATATTTCAGCAGAGTGTCCCAACCCCAACCTGGATTTCCGAGAGCTTCCCATGCGTTGTAATCAGCCACGGAGCCACGGTCCCAAGCCATGCCATTGACGGTTGAACTTCCGCCAACGGTGGCCCCGACGCGTAGCCGAGAAGTACGGTTACCGAGATGGATTTGCGGAACAGATGTGATATTGTAGAGGTGGGCTGACTGGTCATATGTTGCGAAGTACGGGACAGTAACGTTAACGGTGTTGGCAAAGTCTCCATATTCAATTACAAGCACCGTCTCTGGAGAGGTGTTAGTCGTACTTCGATGACGTGTCTCTGAACTTGAAGCATTACTGAAGAGACCCGTGGACATCGTCTCTTACTGTTTGGATTTTCGCTAAGCCTGTTCGCCACAACGAGCCCACTTGTGCCACCTCCGACCACCACGTAGTCGTATTCTGCCCCGACTGCGTCGAGGCTTGTTCTGGCCTGGTCTTCACATTGCCCTGCAACCAAGCCTGTCACCAAAAGGAGGGTCAAAGACAGTATCAAAGTCATGACTGGGATGCTCATGAAGGCTTTCGTCACTATGTGGAAAGAAGATGCACTGATGAGAGGAATGGGTGAGCGATGGATAATAATAAATCTCCTGAAATTCGCAGACGGATCATAAGACATTGGTACTTATCATTTCTTCATTGCTACGAGCCCCGCAGTAGGGATGTGATTACAATTGCGTGCCAACAAGAACCGCAGGAGCTGGCTGCAGTGTAACCTCCAGAATTGGTCAACTTGCTTATCCGCCAAGCAGACTATTGGCCTGGAATGAGGAGAAAGTATGAATTTTCATTTCGGTAAAGCTCGACAGGAATGCTACATCATACCAGAACAAAATAGACGACCAAATTTGGAAATGATGTGCTCATATATATATAGTTGTATTCGTTCCTCCCATTTGCGCTTCATGGCGCAGCTATATGTATATATATATAGATAGTTATTATGTATGTTTGAGGATAAAATTAAATCCACCTGCAAGCCATGCAAAACCTACTGGCTTTCAACTAACCAGTCGAAGTCGTGAAATTTGAGCGAGCTTGTTGCAGGATTCCGATCCATTCAAGATGCAACAGGTTCAATGGAAAAATCTACTCAAGTTTTCTTTCCGTACGTAGCTTCCGGTGCGCCAAGCCCCCGATAAGTGATGAAGCATTTTGCGCAACACTTTTGGATACGAACAATAAACCACACATATGTCAAGCTCAGCGAACTAGCCTGCGATGCGACATAAGTAGCAAAAGTTCCGAAACCGAGAATCGAACTCGGGGCTATGCCTAACCTCTCAATTGATGAGAGGGCATCATGTTGGCCACTACACCATATCGGATGTGGATATCTAGGCTGGAAAACCATAGGCTTAGGTAGAAAGCCAGCTCCACCCTTACCGAGAAGCAGGCCGTATGATTGTCGATTCGCAAATTTACAACAGGCCAGATTTAAAGAGTCAACATGAATTTGAAATCTGCTTAGCTCCTTTACTGAAAACACTTTCAGCGAACACCTAGAACAGCAGCATTCTTCCAAAATACGGATCTCTACGGTTCGCTGCTTCTAAAAGATGCATTTACTCGTTTTTATAATGTACCTGAACATCGGCTTTCGGATAAAACATTACTTTTGTTAGTTTCCTGTCAGTTCATAGGTGTTTAGCTTCAAACCATGCGATTGTGTTTTGGGGGTTCTGTGGTCACAAACAAAACGCCCTCTTTTCAACCATGGCAGTTGAGTGACAAAAGCAACATTCTTTTGGTGCCCCTTGACTAAAAGTGAATTCCGCCCGAATAGGCAAACTGAGGGAACGAAGCTGAAGAAATCTCCGGTATAAAACAGGAAAGCAGGCTTTTTCCATATTTCCTTATTCTGAACTGCTGCCTAGCATCTCAGCTTGATGGAGGGAGGTGCTTCAGCTGCAATGCGGAGTTCCGGCTCGGTAATCGAGTCTAGACTGTTCCCACAAGCTGTTTCCCCGGTGGAGCTTTCCAGTTATTAGGGATATCATAATTTGGACTGATACAGAGATTCAGTCCCAAAGCTTACTAGCTTCGGCTGATGTATTGGCAGGCCTGTGCCTTTCTGCGCATACGGCAATTCAAGAACATGAGGTTTTAAACAAGATCCGGATACCAAAAGGGCTTCTCGAACTTCCGAAAACGTTGAGCGTTGCCAAGGTTGATTGATGGCACTTAGTAAGAGCTGGCTCAAATCTCAGATATACATTGCACCATGGCTCTCTCCCTGTGCCACTAGTGCACTGAGCGCGGAGTTCCGTCCGTTGACCTTCTAGATTTGGTCTCGTTTTGTAGTTGACTATGACAGGTGATTACAAGGCCAAGAGAAATACAACCCTTTTATCAGAGGGCTTTGCCAATCATAGCAAGAATTCGGTAAGAAGGCGTCTTATTCAGGGCAGAGCAGTATCATGTCGAACGCTGCGAAGATGTGGCTGCTGACGCCCATTGGTTACCATAACAGGAAGCTCAAAACGGGATTCAAGAGCACAATCAAGTTTGGAGTAAGCAGCCATACACCCTTAAGGGCAACAAGAAGAAAAAAACGCGCCTAGCCCTCAGATAACAGACGAAACAAATCGACCTTAGAACATAAATACTCACTCAATGTCTGTTGTCATCGTCCCACCATTTACACTTTGCAACTCAGATTTCAGCGCAGAAAGGCATCTCTCAGCAATTTAAAATGAAGTTTTCTTTTTTCACATTCGTCACAGTCTTCGCCGCCATCGTGATGGCCGCCCCTACTCCCGAGCCTGCGGAGCTTGTTGCTAGACAATGCACATGCACAAAAATCGGCGACGAGTGGATTTGTCGCGGCAGGCTCTGCCAAGGTTGAATTCAAAAAGGGATTCATGCGATCCGTAGATGTTCTTTGAAAATGGGTACGTTATCAAGCCCGGTGTGTGAGGAACTTAACTAATATTCACCTGATATATAGGTTTCGATAACATCTGATAAGGCAAAACATTTGGGTGCTTTGGCCCAAAGCTTGGGAAATTGTGAGCCGTCCCTTGGGTTCACATGTTATTGCGTGTTGGTACTTATCCACCATTGGAGTGAGAGTGGGAAGGATGATGCAATTACTGGCTAGAACAACTCGAATATGCAACAAATCTTCTGATCGTTTTGCGAGGAGCTTCTTCAATTGACCGAACTTTCAGCATGTTATCAACAGGATGGTTGAAACCTCCTTCCGAACTAGTTCGGGTAGGGGCACCTTTCCATCGCAATCAAAGGAAATCTTCATACGCATCTCATTCTGTTCGACATCGCGTTATGCCACCTTTCCATCGACTACATCAGCGGGATGACCGGCTTCGAGGGTTGGATAAATGGCATCAAAAATATGTCAATGGATTTTATATTTCAACTGGTGCTTGTGACCTGGGGACTGTGAACATGTGACCTGTACTTCTAAAAATGCCGGACCAACTCAATCTCGGCGTTCAATGTTCGACAGCCGATCAAAACTCGGACCATGACCGGACTTTTCATCGGACTTTTCGAGCACCGGTCACCGAACGAAGACCCTGCGTCTCTGATACTACCCGCAAACTGATCGAACCCAATTTTGACCATGTGGCGGTAAATCTAAGGTTGCATAGCTTCCTGCAGAGTCTATGACGATTTTGTGTTCGGCATTTGCTTGTCGCCGTGCACCGAGTGGCCGTGGTCTATGACGACAACCTTGCGCCAAGTCCTCGCATGATCGAACCGCTCGGTCTCGACTGAGCAACGGATTCCTCCGTGCTTGGATTCATATCTGTTCACCTAATCATATCTACATCAGTACAACCTATACATCTCCCTATGCGGGCTAATTTATCGTATTTGTCCGAGGCCGAGCCGGTCGGCGAGATGCTAATACAACGGGCGACTGCTTGTCTTCCCTACGTAACGTCATAAACAACTAGAAGAATCAAAAGAAGCTTGAATTCATAGATATATAGTAGATAGACTCACTGTCTGACCCCGCCATCGAAACTTTGTTCAGCCAGTTGCAGAAACCTTTAGCAATCACACATCAGCACCTCCAATACCACAATGTCGTCTGAGCCAATATCGACTACCAACCGGACTCTGGCCATTTTTGGCGCGACCGGTCGCACTGGAAGCGAAACTATCAAAGCCCTCCTCGCCAAACCAAACAACCCCTTCACCATGAGAATCTTCGTCCGCTCTCGTGATAAGCTTATTTCCATGTTTCCCCAATTCAAGGCCGACCGCAACGTCAAAATCATCGAAGGACAAGTCACCGACGTTTCTTGCGTAAGAAATTGCCTAGAAGGCGCGGATACCATCATCTGCGCGCTTGGCGACAACGACAACAAGCCTACCATACGCGTGCTAGAAGACGCCACCAGGTCAATTGTCACGGCACTGAAGCAATTGAAGAGCGATGCGGGTGGGGAGTGGAGACGGCCGCGATTCATCCTGCTTTCGTCTGCGACGTGGAACAAGCGCTTTGAGGCAAAGACACCCGTGGTTGTAAGGTGGCTCATCAAGAATGCGTTTTACTATCCCTACGCCGACCTTCTCAAGGCGCATGAGACGTTGCAAGCCGAGCCGGAGTTGATCAAGTTGTTGCTTGTGCAGCCACCGGCAATCATCGAGGAAGAGGCCAGCGGGTATACCATCAGCGCTGAGTCGGTAGGCCTGGCAGTTTCATATGGAGACCTCGGCGCAGCGTTTGCAGAACTAGCGACTGAGAAGGCGTATGAAGACATTGCGGCTGTCGGTGTCACTTCAGGCCTGGCAAAGGAAGGGTTTCCGAGATATGGCACCGAAGTTTTGTACCGAGTTATTAGAGGGTTGATGGCGAGTTTCATCCCTGGATTTTGGAGGCTCATTGCTTAAGTTTGAAGGATGGTTGGACAACAGCCTAAGTTTTCCACTTTGGCGTTGATTCTATTAGACATTGTTAAAGATTATATACTGTTCGCCAATCTTTTGCTTGGCATTTCCTTCAGACACGCTGCATGGTCAGCATGCCCTTCAACATAGACTTTATGATGCCTGGCTTGGGCCCAGTGCGTCGCGAAGTCGTCAAAGAGACGGCATCGTTGTTCTGCAGGGTATCTCCTTGATGCTCTTCCGACAGAGCAATCGACTCCAGTTCTCGAATTTTCCAAACGCGCAGGAACCAGACTACGATTTCATTAGCTGACCGAGGTCGTTGAGCTGTTGGGTTTTAATCAGCTTACTCGATATAAAGGCCGCGATGTACATGAAGCCCGTGAACAGCTGAACGTTCAAGTAGGCATTGATGCCGGAAGTCTTGATCGTCAAGGCGATAGGCTCGGCAAAGGTGGCCGGGATGACAAGGATCATCCAAAATATAGACAGCGCCGATGGGAGAAGCTTGATTCCGACGACTTCAGCTCCGACGGGTCCAACAGTTGGCCACAACACACCAGCAAAGGCACCAAAAAGTGAGAAGACGATGGTGCCCGCGAAGTTCTTTCCGGCAAATATCCAAATAAAGAATGTCGCGAGGCCGGCAACGAGGGTGCCCAACCCAGCCATATTAATGCGGCCGAAGCGATCACTGACCAGGCCGATGACGGGGCGTCCGATGCCTTGAGATACTACATGACAGGTCAGCGTCTGAGACTTGTCGACGAAGAAAGGGGTCTACTCACAGTTAAACATCGCCGACACGATAGACCCCTGACTGGCACTAAAGCCAACAGTCTGCGCATAATCCGCTAGTGAGAAGACGGATATCACATATCCAAACAACCCAAAGAAGCCCCAAGACACAAACAACCAAAATTCAATCCTTTTGAAGATATCCTTATGGAAGGCAATGTGCACGCTGCCAAGCGCCTTGTTGCGGTCCTTTATCATCAGACAGCACGCGCCGTTGACGACAAACGACAAAATTGCAAGGATGCGGAACGCCCACGGCAGGCCAATGTTGCGGATCATAGCATTGGCGCCGAGAGAATAGATGAGGCCGCCGAGGCCCGACCCCGCGGTAGCGATGGAGTTGGCGAAGGAGCGACGAATGACAAACCACTGAGGAACGAGGCCGACGGTGGAGTTGAAGGTGAACCCCATTCCCACGCCGAAACCGATGCCTTGTGAGAGGAGGAGATGCCATATTTTGGTAGTGAAGGAGGCGCCGATGAGGGCGGCGCTGGAAGGTGGATGTCAGTTTCCGGACGGTAGAGTGCAGACATGAGCGAGACTTACGTCTGGACTACGACGCCGATGCCGAGAGTCGCTCGGGTCCCGAAGCGGGGGATGCAGAGTGTTACAATCGGGGCGATGAGCAGAGCTAGTCCGGGGGTGTCAGCGAGATGACGCGGGAAAACCTGGGGAATGGGGGAGTGATGCTTACCCACAGAAAAGGACAAGCCGCCGACAAAGGCCAGCGCGATGGGGCTTGCGCCAGGAAAGGCTCCGGAGTTGAGATAGTAGGCAAGGAAGACGGCGTATGACTGCATCTAATCGTCAGAAGATCGTCTCGCGTCATGTAAAGGAGAGAAGCTGTCAGCTCACCGAATTCAAGCCCCATGTGTGAGCGTTGATGAGGAAGACGCAGCCGACAACGACCCTTCTTTCACATTAGTAAACCACGGAGGGTGAGTACAGCGCTCTAGGACTCACCATCCATAGCCGCCTTCTTTGAACTCTGCTTGGCCACTCGGCTGGTGATCAGCAGGACTTGTTGGCGATGCGCCATTCTTCTCATTCTCCGATGCCCTGGAAGCATTGTCAGGCATCCGTACCACGACATCGTGGCTGTCCTGTTGACCGGAGGAATTAGAGTGAAAAGGCATACCGGGCAGCGACAACTCAGGTGGCGCGCGTTGTTGTCGGTAGTGTTGAGTCACTGCAAGCAAGGTCGAGCTTTTTAAAAGATGCAATTTTCATAGCAGGAATCGGCTGCGGCAATGGATAACAGCATTGGTCGTTTCGTGAGGTAAACCGTTTGCTGCTGGGCTTTGTCCACCTGTTTGCTTCGCTTGACAAACGTCTTCGGGGTTCGGTGACAACGGGAAACTAGATCATCGAGGTTGGATCTGAGACATATGACTATGTTGTAATGGTGGTCACGGGATTGGGACTAGGAACTAGGGGAAGCGAACGGGGGTTTCCCTAGGGAAAAAAATCTTTTAACGAGTAGAGCGCCTTTTTTTTGACCCGATGCGCGGCGCGTTTTGAGGTGTGGTTTGATTTTCTCGTTTGGGTAGGATCGGGAATAGAACGGACATGCTGGAGGCAAGCAATTTCATTTCTCGGCATACGGGGAGTCGAGTGACGAGCGAGAAAACTGCAGAGCCAGTGTCTAGGCCGGATACGGACGGTGCCAGAGCCGATGTTCGCAATGTGTAATGTATTGCTCTCATTGGTCTCATCATCTTAATGCTGCATGCCTCGAGGTATCCCTGATCTTTCTAGGCGAGAAACAAGGACAAAAAGACGTTCTCAGTTTCTAGCCTCAAGGGATTTTGATCCCCCAAATTCCGCACACCTTTACAGTAAGTCGCCTGCACTTTGTTCTGTGGTGCAACTTTCAGTACCTTTGAACATTCGGAACGCCCTCAAAAACTTTAGGCAAAGACAACCAGAAGTTCAATTCGGCAAATGTTTCGCAATCTCAAAGCTGTTTTTCAGCCTTGCCCCAGTTCAATCATATTTTCGGATCACGCGAATACAAAAACCGAGCTCGCGGCTTCACCGGTGACTTCCCCGTCTTGCCGGCCGGTTTCGGCGGTTAGTGGTTGGTCGCAACCGAGTGCCGGGCCGTGCTGGTTTAACTTTACAAGAAAGTCGGGACGCATACCGGTTCGGCGATAAGAGCTCGGATTCTTAACGCTGCCAGCTCTGAATCGTTTGGTCCAAGTTTATTTTCCAATTTCTTGGGTAGTGACATCAAGACATGGAACGATGAATGAGAAGGATTATGTTTGTATCGACCGGTCTCCGCCTTTGGCTGTTTATCATTGTTGCTGTTTTCGACCTCAACCATTCTCACTTCAACTAATGGACCACAGAGAGATGCCCATGTCATATTTTATCAGTGTAGCATTCGTGTCTCTCCAAACTCATAATCTAACAAACTCTACTCCTCAACAGCATGGGTGTGAGATTTATCCTTACCATTACAAGTCCTTGGTTGTTGGTCCTACTTGCACTCGCCTAAATTTAATCTTCTATACTCCGGCTAAGTTTTCGCTGGTATGTTGCCTTCCTATGGCGAAGCTGGAGGCTGCCAATCCCAGGAAGGACGCCATGTTTCTTTACTTCTTCGGGCATTGAAGGGCCCGATGAACAAGAAGGTGCCACGATTTTGACGCAGCTGCCTAGGCAAGTTCCAACAACGAGACCATAAACTTATTAGCTATAGTAGGTTGAAGAGAACTAGGCTTTGTGGCTCCTCATAAACTATCAACTTCCTTCCTTGGAAGTTCCTGCAATCCTCGTACGCCAGATGGCCAACTGCTCTGGCTCTAGTTTCGACAGGTTTATTGAAGGTATTCGAAGACAACACTGTCAAGTTGGGCTACACTCGCAACCTTTCCGTACAAGAATTCGAAGGCGATCTGGAGAGTATCCGAGTTGGGCGTGTAGTCCACTGAGACTGTTTTCCAAACACCCCACCCCGCCCCATCTCTTGCATCAACAGTTCTTAGTGGTAATCCGTTGAATTTAACACCCACAAAGCCAGCATCCATGTTATCGAACCACAGGGCAAAGGTCAGCTTGCCAGGTACATTCCGCTGCACGGAAAATACCCTACTGCTGATCCTCGCACTCAGTACGGGTTCCTGAAGAGGCCTGTCCCTGAGCAGCTTTGCCTCAAACGAACGTTGCCCAGAGTTCGAGGAAACAGACGTGATACCGGTGCTTGCGTTGGGATCTAACACTTCGACGTTCCATGGAGAAATGCCGCATTCAAAGTCGCCGTTGGTGAGCAGACCGCCGTGAGCCGGACACGGAGTCGGCCTTGGTGTCGGGGTGGAGGTAGCGGAACAGGTGGGGCCACACGCGCAGGCTGAAATGTACCGAGATGCGACGGTGCCACAAGCCGAGCTGGCACGGGCGGGGAAGTTCGTGGCCGTGATGCCACCTGCATTTATTGTCGCGCAGAAGGCGGAGGCAGTCGAGAGAGCGGAAGGAGACGGGCAGGGGAAGAGGGCACGGTAGCAGCTTGGATGGGTTAACTGGTGTTATGAGATGGGTAGGAAGGCAGTTTACTTGTCGGCGTTGCAGCGGGCTAGATTCGTAGCCGCATGTGTGCCCAAAGCGAGTACACTGGCGATGAATGGTAAATAGGCGGAAGTAAGCATCTTGTCTGATGTTGAGTCACGGGGCTAAACGGATTTGACAATGGGTTAAAGCATTCAGACGCCGGGACTAGGTTCGGATCTTGTTGTGGTCTTATAGCGCACCCTTAGTTCTGGAGACTACTAGTCTCTGGTGAAGGATAGAGTAGAGGCGTAAGAGCATTCAGGCTCCATGTAAGACTTGGCTTAATCCCTCCGAACACGAGTTCAGCTGTGCGCAAGGGGCCTATTCCAGCCGGGTGGCTGCATATCAGCCGTTGCAAGTCAGCGAATGGGCATCTTTAGCATATAAACTAGCCTCAAAGTGAGTCAACGAACTATGGCTACCATGTTGAACTGAGACAACACGGTGTCATCATATGCGAGACCTGAGAACGAAGTTATGGGCGAACCTGATAATACTTGGTATGACCAGCTGAGGTGCCAAAGTTTGGTAGTTACAAACAGATGATTTTAATATCGAAACCGCGGCAGACAGGAATCAACGAAGATACAAAACAGCTTTACCGAACCAATAGCAGAAAGGTCGATAGTTCAAAACACTTCGTCTATAAAGATCAGCTCCAGCTGTCCGTCTACTGGCTGGCGATATCTCAACAGCAAGCCGCTCTGATTCCAACAAAGTATAAATAGGCCTGTAGTTCTCCCGGGTCTGATAGAGTGGGCTGATGCGAAGTACAAGTCGGCAAAATGGGACCTGTTGTTCCTGAAGCCGATTGAGAGATGTGCACTCTCGAGATTAAGTCCTTCAGCATATCCACTTGAGAATAGAGCCTATTGATAGATGACTCATCGTCAGGGTCTCGAACTCATGCCGATGTCCAAACACTTCACGAGGTTTGTGTTACGAAAGAGATCATCAAGTTTGAACACTTGAACACTATCTAGGCAGCTCCGTCAGTAAACGATATGGCAATATGAGTAAACAACTGGTCTCCGGCTAGATAAGATGGTGTCTCAATAAGTCTGAGTGTTCTGTGGCAGCGATTTGTAATCATTAAGTCAGCTGCAAGCACCGGTATGCTGTGCAGCACAGAAATGAACACCAAGGTGACCAACTTATGTGATATCCTCCATTGTCATGATCTGCGGCTGATTCACACCCAACGTCACACTGCCAAGAGCCAAGTGTATGGTTGATAAGACTGCTATTCATCTCTGAAAAGCGCAAGAGGATGATATGGATCAGATTGCAGGAAACAACGAGACGAATAGTGTCGTGAAGAAGGCGGCCCATGATATAGAAAACCGTGCCAACATGTCTGTGAACAGCAAGGAAGATCAGAAGAGTGTCACGATCAGTAGCACCTAGCGGTGAACAATGAGGACGACACTCTGTACAATGTCAATCAGAAGCCTGATGAAGATGTCCAGTCATCCAATAACAGGAGCCTGGGATTCCTACCGCCAACGCCTCGTACCGACTAGTTAACGAATAAGGCTCTGTAGAGAAGCTCGCTAATCGCGATATGGGTTTGTTCTACTACGTTAAAGCCATGGGGCCGTACAATAAATGTGGCTGAAGAAAAGACCCCAGGTAGCCTCATCTCCCTAGTCTGAGGGTGTTGAAAGACCGATACATTCTCTCCTCCTGCAAAGGTGTAAACTCAGAAAGACTGCCGTCACGTTAGTAAACTAGTAATCATCGTAGGAAGCGCCTTATTAAGCTTACCACGCATGCTTCGTGTAATCCATATAGTTGTGAATCGGATCCAGCCCAGGATGATCAGGACAGGAATCCTGACTTACAGGACACCCGACCGTGGCAACCTTCGTCGCGGGGGTATCATCAATCAAATCCCCCTCGCCATCACAATCAAAACCTTCAAACACATGAAACAGTCCGAACCAGTGCCCGACCTCGTGCGTCGCTGTCTTGCCCAGATTGTCTTCCGGATCCCACGGGACGCCAGGTCCGCCAGGCATGGTGCCGACGCTAACGTGACAGCCGTCGTAGGTGTACCACGAAGTGCCGTTGATGCCCGTGTTCCAGGGGTCTTCGACAGGGAAGCTGCATATGCCCGTCGCGGAGTTGGGGTTCGTCATGAGCCCCGTCTCGAAGTAGATGTTGAGGTCGTCGTAGGCGCCCTGGCGGAGGGCCTCGGCTTTCTCTTTGATGCGCGCCTGGCGCGTCCAGGCGTCGTTGACGGTGTGGGTAAGATTCTTTACGACGAACTGGATGTTGTGCGGAGCAAAAGTCTCGTTGAGGACTCTCATCTGTCCTCTGCGGTCAGCGGTACGTGCACAAAGTTGCTGGCTCTTCCTTCTTTCAACAGTAGACTGGGCTATGAGTCGTGGTGTACCTGGTCGTTGATCATCTTGTCCGTGACGAAGCCTCTGTGCGCCTCGTCCTCAACGACATGCAAATATGTAGAAATGAGCAACCCCTCTGCGCGCTTGTTGAGAAACCCGGCCGACAAGCCTTCGTCGCGCTGAGCTGCGCGCAAACCCACTGCGGCTCGGTAAGCTTCAGGATCCGGTTCTTCATTGCCGCACTTCTCCTGCGCCGCCGCCAGCGACGCCATTACTAGCCCCGCGGCGGCGGCGTTAGCAAGCAACGCGTTGAACCTCATGGTGCTGAAGTTGACGTGCAGCTCATGAGAAGTTTGGGGAGCGCGCGAGACGTCAACTTAAATGCCCAATAACATCCATTTTGCGATGCTGAAACGGGAAGGTGCCCGTCGCGATGGAGTTCATAATGCTCCATCCAGCCAAGAACTCGGCCGGCCAAGGCTTTCTTAAAAAGGCTATCGGTCCCTGTGAAGCAACCAAGATACGGGGCGATACGAGGCCAATTGGACCGCCATCTAATGCGTCGTCGATGTCGTGATCTCCTAATCAAAGTCCTGGTCCATCCATGCAATCGCAAGGCCGAAAATGCGACCGGCCATCCCCATTGGGGGCGACCCGGCTCGGCGCGGAGGTGTGAGCGGGGATCTTGCGGCCGGGGGTCGACCAGGCTCGGAGATATATGCCGACCGGGGTGAACTGGGGCTTGCTGGGGCTGACTTTGTTGAGTTGACTGCATGGGCAATAAAGAAACGAAAAAAAGGAATGTGACGTGGTAGCATCCACAATGGCACGGAAATCCGACTTGTTGGATTATGCTCTTGGATTTCAGCAATTTCGCACGCAAGGTGTCCTGGTTCATTCGCCCAGGGCAGCCTACAAGCGTTCTACCAGCCTTCCCGTATTTACCGGTGTCGTGGTCCTCCTAGTAACCACAACACCAGGTCCATTCAACCATTGTTTTCCGTACTAAACCCTTGTCACATATCTCCCATTGCCCATCACACGGTGGTCGTTTAAACTGAGCAATAGCCCGAGAACCTAACCTAACTAATATGAACAAACCTTTGAGTTCAAGCTAGACGGTGCAACGTCACAACAGCTGACCCAAAATGCCGGATTTCAGCTCAATGGTGCCCAAACGCATGCGGGTGATCATCAGCCAGCTGGGGTGTCATGAATGAATATGGGTTCGTGGCCTATCACGATAGTAAAAAGAAGCGCCTGGCGGAGAAAGAAATGAGAAATCTCAATCTCGATCTCGGCAGAGCGAGTTGCAGGGCCCCGTTGTCCAAGTGTAATCCTCTCCAGAGTGGCCTGTAGGCCTTGGATGTCTTATTTCCGCGCTTGCATCGATAGTGGCTTCCAAGACAAGAAACTATAGTGAAGGGAACAACTATTCACCGACGCTGGTCACAGCGCGTCGGCCGCGCCCCCTGAGCTCTTGAACTAGTCCAAAGACAGATGGAGGGAGATGAAAGGCAGCATTCAGACGCCGGTGATTGTTTGCGTCGTCACGATTATTATCCCCAGACGCAAACAAGCAAGTGGCTCTTCTAAGCCCCCAAGTGGACGCCATCCCGCATGCAGCCACGAGTGCCAGATCAATGTCCGGATGGATCAGAAAAGCTGCCGGTTTCAACGTCTGCCACCACAAAGAGAAGGGGGCGCAAGGGATGACCGCAATCTGACAACTTGGGGCAACTTTGGCAGCGTCCATAACACGGCATTGCGGCATCCCACTGCCGCCGCTGCCGTCGTGGACTGGCGATTCCTACTAGACGGCACTGGGGGGCGAGGGGGGTTGGAAACCCTTACTAGTCTTTGTAGCATAGCAGGAAGTCCAACGTGCTGTAGCTCCGTTTGCTTGGGCGGTTTCAAATCATAGAGCGTTTATCTCGACGCTGACTCTCGCCGGGGCCCCCGGATGGTCGACATACCGATCAACGAGCTGCGACGAAGAAAGCGGGAGAGTTCAAGCTAGATCAGCATTTAGGCCGCCGTTTATCATCAGCACCGTCCGTCAAAGTGAGAAGCTAGGCGACGGAAGTGGTGTGACCCCTCCCGTGAAGGAAGCACCTGAACTATGTCGTAATGGAAGAGCGGAAAAGAGAGCGGAACGCTTCGTGATGTGCTAGCGTCCACAAAAGAGCCAGAAGGCGGCACACCGAGATCGAATGTGGGAGGAAAGAGCAAACTGCATCTTCTACCTGACTCTCACCCCCAGCCCAGGGCAATCGATAATTCGTGTCTCACTCGTATGATGGCTGCATGTCTTACGCCAGAGCTAATCTGCTTTTGATCTGATCCGCGAAATAACAAACGCTTCTTGCAGTCTGCTCGGTCCTGGCAACGGAACAGACTGGATGGTGGTGAATGGCCGTTGTCCCAATGGACCGAATTCCTGCTTAGGGCAAGCCGCGAGCCCAGGGTGGCCAATGGTAGCTCATGAGTGACGGAGACGACCCTTGTGTTGACTATTTCCCGAGAAAGAGAATGCGAATACAAGACGCAGGCACGCACGGCATACACGCTTTGACAGTTTGCAGATGCAGCAGCGTTTGCCAGTCGAGGACGGGGGTGGTTGGATCCGGCAGAGGTCCATTCGGTGCATGGGATGGACATGTGCAAAATAAGCAAAGTGCATATCCATCCGTACCTGCTTATGCAACTACTACCGTATGTAGGAACAGTGGCTAGTGGGAATGATAGGGCGACGCGGCCCCTGCTTAGTTTCCTCCACCGCAAAATGCTCCTCACATCGCGTCCGCAATCCTGCATCTCATCAGCATTGGTATCGTCCTCCCACGTGGCGACCTTGCGTCGCTCCTCTGCATCACCGCACCTGGCGTCGGATGGCCCTGCCATTCCTGCACTAAGGTGTGATGAGGCCCTGTCTAGCACTCGCCGCCGAGGAAGCACCACAAGAACGAGAGGATCATCCCGTCCGAGCCGTCCATCTCCCTGTCGTCTCCCAATTTAGCATCATGGCCTTTACGGCGGCGTCATAGTGGTCGTGGTCGTGGTTGTCGTCCTCTTCGTTTTGGATGGGACAGAATTCGCGGACAGGGTCCAGAATGTCTAGAACAGACACACTTGCAAAGGAATTTGCGGCCTGGCTTCCCGCATTCTATCCATCCTTTGACACCGGCCGACCGTCCCCAATTCTCGGCTAAGTCTTGAACTCTGACTTCCGGGCCGACGTAGGTCGACGAGACCGATACTAACAGCTGGCCAAGCTGGAGGGATGCGAGTCGAGACTGGGCCCGGGAATCTTCTTTGTTTGTCGTTGTCGAGGAGGCGAGGGCGCAAGACAAACAAGATTCTGATCGGCCCAGTCCCTGCAAGACACGGGCAAGAGCAGGACTAGCTGCGCAAACTCCGATACGGACAACCCAAACGCTGCGGGTTGCCTGTCTCGCCACATCCGCATCCGAAGGTGTGCGCCCTCCATTACCCCATTCCATCAACCATAAGGCACCGACACCGGCTGCAAACTCCAACACAAGTGCAGTGATTCTTCAGCCTAACCTAGGATAGTGCTACACGCTAACTATCGCCGTGCTAGCAAAACACACCTTTAAACTAGCTCGCTTTGACTGGTCTCTCTGGATTCGGTTGGTTCGCCGCCCCGTCCGAACTCCTCTCCACTCCGAGCATCCCAAGTTTGGACACAATGGTGCAAACCATGACTGCCCGACCAAAAACAGCCATGGCGTTTTCTTCTGCTAGTCCCCATTGGACAGCCATCATGAGACATGACTGATGAAGAAAAGGTTTAGCGGTGTCTGCTCAGCACTTGCAGAGGCCCTACCCAGATGCCACTGACCGAATCATTCTGATCGACTCGTTCTTCTGTTCCTACCGGGTTGTCTGCACGCCCGTGCGAGGTCCGTCTACAGTTGATTTGGAGCAGTGGCGCTTAGCACCCGGCCTCGTCGAGTGGACTCTTCCATACGTCCAGTCTTCTTGCGGGGCCCCCTGTCTGGACTGATCTGCTGCATCGAACACGGCCGCCGCACACGCAAACAAAGGCACTAAGAAGAAAGGGACTTCATATATGACTGGGGCGAGCGTTCCTGACAAACTTGTCCACCCCCTGGTCTGTTCATCCAACCTTCCCAACACATTGGCCGCACTCGAGAAATAGTATCTCTAGCACCAAGCTTTCTTCGATATGGACGCAACCAAGGAAAGGAACACGAGGAGGGAGGAGGATACTGAAGGCCAAACGACAAAGCCATCAAAGTTCAACTTCCCCGACTGGTTGGTTTGGTATAAGAAGCCTGAGTACCGAGATTTCAAAGAATATGCCAACGCCATTCGAAACGGAAAGAGACCCCTGAGCAGAGATGGACGAGACAAGAACCCCATCCCGGCACGGTTGAGCTTGGAAAAGGTTCTGGCCAACGAGACATGTGAGCATATCCTACCGCCGAAACCGCAGTGGAGATGACTGCCATCGTGACGAACCGAATAACTAACACAGTCAATTGCAGGCTCCCCCATGTCACTATACGATTTTTACATGTATCTCAAGTACATCGAGTTTTCTCCCGAGAACCTTGAATTCTTCGTCTGGTAAGTCTCCTTTCATCATGACACCGGGCCCAAGCCTGACGATGGATTCAGGTTCCGCAACTATGAAGCGACATACGCAAAGACCGGAAGTCTCAACAACTTTCCCATCGCGGAAAAGGAAGTCAGCCAGTCATCTTCATCGAGGAATAGCCTGATGGACAGCGCGAACGAAGCTGCTGGCCTCCAGCTCCCATCTATCCAGATGTCCGAGTTTGAATGTGATCCTGAAGCAGGTTAGTCGTCACCCTCTGCCATGGGCATTCTGCCCTCGACAATCCCGAACTAACATTCTCAAGCCAATGAGACCATGACCAACATTGTCCAGCTCATTGCTCCGGAAAGTGCCTGCCAGCCCAACAGCCGAGTCGGCCCCACTGGCCGCGATCGCATCAAGTCATGGGCCAACGCCTGCGCAAAGCCCGTCTGCTCCAACAATGCCGCCAGCGTCATCCCAGCTCGCATCGCCCCGCACTCCGCATACCGTCCCGAACTCAACGCCATTGTCAAAAACTTCCTTCTGCCGGGATCCGAAAAGGAACTCAACATCCCGCCCGCGCTGCGCGACCAGGCCCTCCTCGAACTCCAGCACTCGTCCGACCCCGCTCACCTGCGGCCCATTGCCGACCATGTTTATGGCCTCCTGAAGAACTGCTCGCACCGCAACTTTGTCAGACTCGGCGTCTCCAACGGCACCTTTGAGACGCTCTGCATGGCCACCAGCGTGGGCATTGTCCTCACTATCGCCGGCTTCCTTTGCGTGCTGCTTCGGGCCTTTGTGCCCTTCATGGGCGCCCACAGCCGCTGGAACGCCTTCGCCCCCTGGCCCATGTGGTTCGTCGGCATGTCTCTCATCCTCTCCGGCCTCCGCGGCAGCTGCTTCTTCCTGCTCCTATTCACGAGACGCCAACCCCTCCCCTGGGAACGATTCGACGACAGTGCGTCGCTCTTGTCGCAGCGGACCGGGCTCATGAAGTTCATATCGCGCATGATGATCTTTGATCGCAAGATTCGGGTCAAGGACACTCACCTGCGGAGGCTCCAGCACAAAATCGTGCTCCAGGCCATGTTCGGAGGAGGTGTTTTCGCTTGCTTGTGTGTGTTGCTGTTCGTATTGCTACCGGTCTGGTCGCAGACGGTGAATTGATCTGAGGCGCGAACGTTTATGATTCTTAGCACTATGTATAACGTCGTGGGGTTTTAGGGGATTCTTGATTTAACGATGTGGACTTAGCGCTTGATATCCCGGGGCGGTCAAAATTGCAGTCTAGCACTTTATCTTTACCCATTAATCAGATGACTTTCGTCGAGTCCATGCATACCTTTGCGCATGAATGAAAATATGAATCCGGTGTTGGAACAGGAGGCTGCGGACACACCTACCAGCCTGATTCTTGGCCAAGCGTATGGGAGGATGCATGTGTAAGACCGGAACGTCGGGGTTCAACACACGAGGCAGTGTTGCGGAAAGGAGGGCCGAACTGTTCATGTTGACGCCGTTTGGACCCTGAATTGCAGCGATCCCCCACGTTGTCACTCGTGTTTTCTCTATCGGCTCGCTCTCTGGGGTAGGAAAGAGGATCCCCTCAGCGCCGCGGCTTTGCCCCGGACGCTTCTGAAGCCTGCTCAGCGCAGCACACGGGCGGTTCCAGACCTCACGATGACTGGCACCATTAAATCGGTGGTGATTGAGTGGCAGTGGATGGCGAAGTGAGCAGCTGGCTTACTAGGGAGCATTGAGGAGTTTCTTAGGAGAAGTTGTCTCCATGTATAGGGAAAGAGCTACGGTAGAAGAACCGAGGTCCAGTCAAGAAAGCTTGGAAGTTCACTCAAGTTGATGTACTCATGGAGACAGCGTTACATCTGACGCACGAAGTCCTGCCAGGAGAGTATCCACATAAGAGCATCACATTATGGTATGATTACACGCCCCCCTGGAGATTGGTCAATGACTATCGAGCCCCGAAGCTACTCCGACCTAATCGCATCATGCCTGAGTCGATGCTCCCGGCCAATGCTTTAGAGTCCCACAGTCTCCTTCTTCTCGATCCATCGCAGAAAACCATACAGACTTTCCATGGGGAATGTCTCCTTTTTTTGCTCCCGCTGACGAGAGTTATAGTCGATAACCTCGTTCATCCAGAAATTACGACGCTGCTGTCGGCGCTTCATGTTGGCCTCCCTAAGGCCGTTGAGCTCTGGCCGCATGATTTCGTTCTCGCCTTCAAGCTGCCGAACGCGCTTCGCAAGCTGCAAGTTCTCCCGGGCGAGTAGGTCCTCGACCTGTAAGCTCAGCTTCTTGAGACCAGGTGTCAGGATGGTATCTAGCTTCTCGTCTTCGTTCATCTTGTCATGATTCAACTGGCCATTACGAGACTTCATGTAGTCTGAACAGGCGGAGATGAGATAGTAGGCCGTGGAGAAAGGGAGAGGCGTGCGGCCGATGCCGGCGTCGAGGGCGGCCCAGCCGTTGTCGAGAATAAGGACAGGGTTGCCATCCGTGGTGAGCTCAATCCAGCGGTCGACGAGGCCCCAGAGCCGGGTGTACGTGGGAAGGTTGTCTCCCAGATGCTGAAGAGTCGTCGGGTTCTTGAGGAACTTGCGACGAGCCTCGTCGTAGACGCGCATGCCATAGGACAGGTCCTGCTTGCCCTTATCCTCGCGAAAAGGGCCCCAGGCCTGGTTGACGATGACGAGACGTTGGAGGATTCGTTTGTGGAGCTCGGAAGTCAGGACGTGAGCGCGCATGACCTTGCCTGTGTTGTGGCCGAGTGGAGGGTTATGCTTGAGCTCGGCAAGCGCGACTTCGTAGATGTCGCCCAGGCGCTCGGTGACGTGGTTAGGGTCGGTGCCAAGCTTGTAGGGGCCATTCCGATCCCGACCCGACCATTCGAAGGGATTGGCGTGGAGGGGTCTCCACCACTGCTTGTGGTTCACGCCCAGGACGACATCCAGGAGAGTGAAGCCTGGTAGGCGCAGGTTGTGTTGGATGGTCTTACGATTGTGCTCTCGTTCCTCGGGATCATTGGGCTCGATCGAGGAGCGGATGCGGGTATCGACCGCATCTGTTGGATATGTAAGAACAACTGGGTACCAATACAGTGTTAGGATCATGATACTCACTTGGTGATTTGATCTTCGTCATGGTATAGTTGGGGTTGAAGGCCTATTGTGAGACGAGAAATGGTCCCAAGTGACCCGGAAAGTAAGGCTTTGGCGCAGAAACGAAGCCAAGAAGATTTGATTGCAGAATAATCAGCAAAGATAGATGAAAGGGAAGGCATGGATGGCGGTTCATTAACAGTCTCGAGAACGGAAGGAGTGGTATGGCTGAGCCAATGCTTGCTTAGGTGTACCTTCCTCCAGTGACCAATATCCTACACAAAAATCTCAGAAACCCAAGGGAAATATTCACGGCGGTCTTCCATCTTCGTGGAACTTAATGAAGCTGTTGACCTTTACCAACCGGCCATGAGATGGCCGCTTTCCGGGCTAGGTTGAAGAGGCTGCATCCATAGAGCATATGGTCAAGACTAGAGATCTGCAATGAGTGGTTCACCAACATCTGGATGTGTCCCCGACACTCCTGTGATAGCACTTGTGGTAACTCGAGATATGTCCACAAATGACACTAACGAGGAAAATTTTTTGCCATGTGGTCCCCAAATGCCCAGGAGATGCCTTAGGCTATTGATAGTTTAGCCATGCGAGGACTATGTGAGAAAGACAACAAGAATACCACCATTCTCGCATGTTGGTTCCTCGAAGCAGGCATCAAAACCTCCTCATTAAAGGACTCATGGAGGCGAAGAGCTATCTAACATAAAGCCGCCACTTGTCTCGCCCAGTCTATAGGGTCTCCTTCTCCTGGATCCAACTGTTCACAACTTCGGCAATCTCCAAGCTGTTCTTCTCCAAATGCATAAAGTGGCCATTTCCATGGATCCCAATATCACCCAACTTGATCCACTCCGGCTCTCCACCAACCTGCTTCAGGTAATCCACCGTGCAGTGATCATACGTAACATGAACACTCGCCTCCGTCGTGACCATCAGATACGGCACGCTCGCAATCTTGGGCAGCTTCCTCGCCGGCTCCTTTTGGCGATGACAGCTGCGCAGTGCAAGCGTGTCGTTGCCCACAACCTCGGTCTCGAGCTCGTCCGCGCTGGCGATGGGCGGGTCGTAGTCGATCGGCGTATTGGTTAGGCCCCACGGGTTCGTCGCCGAGCGGCTCTCGAATGACCAGAACGGCACTGTGGTGCCTTCGAGGTTGATGTTGCCGGCGATATGCTGCGGGCAGTCGTTAGACAGGAGAATCGGCGCGCGGGCGCCGATGGAGTGGGAGATGAGGTAGGCCTTCTCACCGAGGAGCGACAAGAGTTCACAACCTGAGGCGCGCAGAGCGAGCTCCTGAGGCACCCAGTTGGTGGAGAGTGGGATGATCGCCTTCTTGAACTGCTCGAACGTGGGATCGCCCTTCTGTCCGGTGCCGGGCCATTGCGTGTGGAGCTTCGCTTGGGGATACGCGTTGTACGCCTCGACGTTGGTGAACGCCCGCTCCACGCCCTCTGCCGCTGTGCCGGCGATCATGGTGAACTCCGCAAGGTTATTTTCTGTCGACCTTCCAATCGCAGTTACGTCGACTAGGTACACTGTGTACCCCTGCTGCAGAAAATACGTTGCCCACCCGGGACGGTCGTCGGGAGTGTTGAGCCACGTGACACCCGTGGTGCCGCCGCCGTGGAAGAAGATGATAGGCTTCGTCGCAGGGACGCCTCGACGACGGCTACGTCCGGCGTCAACGGGAACGAGCTTCTCGACATAGAGCTGATCGACCGTGACGTTGCCTGAGGCGCCCTCGATGTAGCGGCCGCCCACGTAAAAGAAGTCGCGGGTATGCGCTGCCTCCTTGGAGGCGCACTTGGTGCTGATGGCCTGGACGCCAGTGCAATTGCCCGAGGCAAGAGCCTTGACGGCGGCTGCAGCGCCGAGGGCCACGGAGGCGAGCGAGAGACGAACCATCGTGGGAGGTGGGCGGATGGATGGGAGAGGGGTGGAGCAGAGTCGAATGCGACGTTGAGGCCAAGGAAACTGCTTAAGTATACGGCGGATAAGACGAATGACCGGGATTATCACGGGCGGCCGCCGAAGGATCGAGACCCAAGTGATTGCCGGGATCTGGGGATATTTGTGCCTGGCGCGAAGGAAATCCCCAAGGGGCGGGGACATAGCTGCATTCTGAATGGATCCCTAAAGATGCCGATCCACTTGGTCCTGTACCCCCAGTTTGCTGATTGACGATGAGAGCACTGGAGAGCTTCGGTTGACGCAGCCACTGCGATGTTGATTGGGCTGAAAGTGAACTGTCAGACTCCGATGAGCGCTACGGCATCCTCAGACGCATTTGCTGAGCCGAAAGACGTCCATCGGTGATCTAGAGAACCTTCGGCAGGCAGCATCCGCATGGGGCAGAGCTTAACAAATGGCGAGTCGGAGGCGTTGGCCGTTCTGGAGGATAGTGGACTGGGTCTGGTTCAACCGCCGACGCTCCTCCAACATAGTCCATGTTGGCCCCGTTTGTATCACCATCCGGAGTTTCCTGGATCTCAGCCTAATTGATTGCTTGTAAAGCATACAGCACATACCAACTCATGGGGTTTGTCGATTTTGTCGCTCTGCAAGAACTCTTGTAGCCAGCTGACTGCTTCCCTAAGGGTGATCACCTCTACTATCAATATCTTTGGCACCTCCAATATTAGTGCGCAAACAGCGCCAGCTACTGATCCCAGTGATACCGGCTATTGACGTACTGCTTGCTGCAGCGGTATTATGATCTCGATCAGAACAGTCTGATTACTATCTTAAATGGATGAGGAGGGTCTTGCTTGCCAACTTGGGGTCCTGCTTGAGGAATGTGATGAGGATGGTCTAGGCTTTCGGATCACTGGTGCTTGTTCTGGTTAACCCCCAGTTCTTTGAAGACTTCCCCTTTCTTGCTGTTTTATTTCTCATTTCATGTTCCTGTAGTAACATATCAGTCCTCCAGGAGACGTTTTTGCAGCCGCTTGTGGCACAGGAGGTGGGATGCAATGAAACTTCAGACAGCATTGCCGCAGCATCATTTTCGAGTTGGTGAGTGGGTTCAAAGTTTTGCTCCTGTCACGGCTTCAGGCGGGTACAATGTTAAGGATATCAAGAAAGGATACGCACTTTAGATTTCTTGCCACCTAAGTTGACGAAGTCACAGAAAAAGGTCTTCGATTTATGCGTGTTGCTTCTGGCTATCGTGTAATATTACTCCAAAGCAAATGCCCAACAGTGTGAGAGATGCCATCAAGTTCCAGTCTTCGTCCATTTCACGTCACATACATCGAGCTTGTTTCGCATACATTGCTTCATACTGTTGCTCAAGGCTCCTCTGTGGCCCCTACACAAGACGCTGCGGATATTTCCACACCTTGCTGCTCACCCAACGAACCTGGACGGCGTGACTCAGCGATAGCCCGGAGCTGCTTTTTTAAAAGGCTCATAGCATTCAGCGACACCCTATCCTTCTTCTCATAGACAACATTGAAACCTAAGTCGCTCTGCGTCCGCATCCGCGATGTGGTTGCGATAGTGATGGCCAGCCGCAAGACATCTTGCGTCCGAACGCAGGGGCCTATACTACCTTCACTTGGTGGATGGACGTCCCAATAGATTCTTTCAAACGCATCAAGCCCTTCTTCTGCGTTGCCAGATTCCGGCCTGGGCAAGCTCAAATCGAACGTAATGAAGGAAACCGGCAGAACCTTGCCAACAGCCTTGCGCCACGCTTTGTCAAGGACTGTGAGGTCGAGAAACTCGTCTCCGGCGGCGGTGGTAATGTTTCCATCGCCAGAGTGCACTGACATGGAGGTGAGTGCCAAAGAGGGGTTGCGGCAGGCTGCAAGCATTGCGGGCGTCGCAAGTGGCTGGAGAAGAGCCAGTTTGATGTGTCGCGTTGGAAGCTGCGACTGTGACTCAGAACGTATCATCTCATCTATGAAGAGATTGGAGAGTCTAATTGAGAGACTAAATTCCTCCAGTTGGCTAGGGCCTGTGAAAGGACTGGGTTTTTCGTAGGCCATCGTGAAAGACTTGCATGTTTTGCTTACAGATGAAAATGTTCACCGGCGCACAAAGATAGAGGGAAATTGACACCAAAACAGCCAGTTGTATATACACAAAAAGCACACGGTTGCTACCTACAAGCAACTGTGAAGTTGCCACAGCTGACGTTTATGAAGAACTAGGGGGCTTATGTTGACAGGTGATTGGACGGATGGATCCTGCTGCCTGTTGCCAAGGGATTGATGACTCTTCCAAATCCAAGCTCTATGGTCACGTATCGCGTACGGCGAACTTGATCAATACAAAGATCAAGCGCAATTTCCCAGTGATTTGCAAGGCTGCGGAAACCATGTCGAGTAACTCTATGAAATTTCCCTGTGTATAATTGTCGTAGCCAAGACACCGGAACATCGGCACCAAGTGTAGGGTTAAAAATCCCCATGGATATCCATTTGACCCATGGGGGGGAGGGGGGAGGAGGGTACTGATATGGGTTATGGGGGCTTTTCTTCAAGATTATGGGTATGGGTATCATAGGTACTCATTACACGTTCTTAGGAGAAATCTGCCGGTTTTGACTCTTATATACGTAAATATTCTAAACCTATAAATCCATATTTGATCTGTTACATCGGTTGGAGAATTTCAAATTTAGAATTTTACATTTCTTCTTACTTAAATACCTAATTTCCTAAAAATCAGTTTCATAGGTTGACTCTTTAATCCAATGCATTCATCCGAGTCCTCATGAGTCCTCATGGCATGGGGACTCTTAACCCTATTCGGGTAGCAATCTAGTCCAAAGATATAAAAAATACAGAAGTTTTGATACCTTATTAAGCTACAGAAGAAGCCCTTCACCTGCGTAATGATGAGAACGGAAGACTAGTTGATGCCGCTGGGATAGGTAAGCCCCCCCCCCCCCCTCTTCGAACGCATTCGTAGCAAGAGATCGACGAGAGATCACGAAGTACAAACGCAATGTTTCAAAAAGAACAGAGATTTAAGATCTAGAGAACTCTAGGCTCGGTCCGAGAAGCGAGGTTGCTCAGGAAGTCGGTGCGTTGGTGAGTGCGCGATAAAGCACGGATCAGCATGAGTGTATCTCCACCTAAAACCCATGAAGACATCGTGCTTTCCCTTGAGCGCAAAGTAGGGCAGCGTCAGGAACCTAGAGTAAGCCTCAATCAGGTGTACTTGATCGATTATTAGAGAGGTTGTTAACTCTTACGTGTTGGCAACGACAACCTGCTATGTTGTAGGCAATCACCAGTTGCGCAAAACGCTACTTCGGAAAAAACAGATCCCAACTTTTGTTTCAGTTATTACTTACAATCAAAGGAGATGAGCCGGTAGGTTCAAGGAAACTAGTAGGTACTCTAGAAACTACCTCTGGCGGCATTCATGTGGTTATACTGCAAATACCTGATACGGGACGGGAGTGCATTTCCTATGCGCCTTGTCTCGACTATCAACCGGGAAGTAGCCAGCACATCGTACAGTTTCGTAGAGCGGGCGGATATACTTTATGCCTTGCAAGCACCTACCAAGTTGAGGTTGCACCAAAGAGCAACCTGGAGTATCGCAAGCATCTGCTACCCTGCAACTCCTGATTCAGACACATCCCGATTCAAGTACGTCATATGAATTTGTCGCGAACAGGTGCAACCAAGTTGTCCTTGTCTGTGACAGCTTGACTGGGGGTTGAAGTCTTCGAATATCGACACAAGGATTGACAAGTGCATTCGTGTAAGAAAGGGTTCATGAGGCATGCCCGAAAGTATGCACACCATGGTGTATCCGTTAGCCTCATTTTCATCTAACGAGACTCCGTGTTCTCGTGTACCAGCCCTTTCCATTCCCGGCGCTCGGGGGCCGCGCTTTCTCTTTTTTGCAGGTCAGGGAGGCAGTGAGCTGTGATGGACATTGGTCGGAACACAATGTCCGCTGTCGTTCCTGGGCGATGGCCGCAGTTTCGTTTCTCTTCATTATCCACTGGTGCTTGGGCTCGATGGACTGTTTGTTCGATTGAGACGGCCAAACCGAATGCCGTCGTCTGAATTCCTATGGGACATCTCGCGTCCCAAACGGCGGTGGTCCGTATCGGAGGATGCCGGCACAAAGTTGGGAAGTTCAGTCCGACTACGGTCGCGAAAAAGAGTTCTGTTCCTTGGCGCGTTTTCCCTAGGAACAAAACACGCTAGATCCCTATGATCTGTTTCGACAACACCCTCAAACGTGCCAGGAACTGCTGTTTTGGTCTGGGGATGGACCCTGACAAGAGGTTGATCAGAAAACTCGGGATTTGCGGCAATTGATGGATAACCCCCGTACTCGAAAGGGCCTGTGAGGTCGCGGTAGTGATTTGCCGATTGGCTCCCGCGATTTCACTCCACAAACCGGGATCTCAGCCAGAGACTGCGACATGGCCATGGGGCGGACCTTATCCAATACTCAATTTCAACGGCGCTGATTCATCATAATAGCATTGAGTATACCACGCCCTTTGAATTATTTGTAGCTGAACCAATAGACAGACTTCGTTTATTCGAGAAGCCATTTGGGGTCTACTACTGTCCTATTTCCCCGTACAATCACTTGTCACCGCTTTGATGGAATAGGGAAATGTGAATGGAAAGGCTGCCAATGGCACGGACGTAGCCTACAAAGGCTGGTGCTAAGCTTTTCTAAGCTTTCTTCGGCCCAGACACAAGCGCAAACCTTCTTGGCAGCCTCACTCCAAGCATCCATACAAGCTTGTGTAGGCAGTCAAAGAATTTAGGGTTGCGAATCTGTGTCATCCGATCAGATCTGAACTTAGACGCAGGATGCATGAGTCCGCAGCATTAATTTGATCACATAAAGCTTTTGAGGGTGGCTTCTCTTCATCCGAGTCCTGTCAGATTGTATTCTTTTCTCACACGCATGATACCTTCACCCGGATCGTCAACATCTCGTCGGTCACCATCGCGATGATGGGCGACTCTGAGGCCGCAGCCGCCGTCGCGGCCGGTCGCGTACCACCAGAAATCAGTCTTGCATACTTGGAAGAGGACAGAGACACACCGTCTATGAACGCGTCAATCTTCATGTTTGCACTCACACTGGTGATCGTGAACGGCCGAGCAATCTCACGATTATACCTTCGTAAAGTCTTTGGGATAGACGACATTCTTGCTGTGATATCGATGGTAAGTGTAGTCGCTTTGCGCGGATCAAAGAGTCAGTCTGACATCATCACTGCAGGCAATGCTCATAGCCTTCGTCCCTCTATGTATAATATTGATTAACATCGGTTCCGGTCGACATTTTGAATTTATTCAATTTGTCATGACGCAAGAAATCCTAGAGCAAACCGAAATTCTCGACTTCAGCGCACATCTAATCTATACAAGTGCACTTCTGTTCTGCCGCTACTCGGGGTTGGCGTTCTACTACCGCGTATGCGGTGTTCACAGTCGATTCCTGCTGGCAATCAAGGGTGCTGCCCTCTTTTTGCTTGCAGGATATATCACGCAAATGTTACTCATCATCTTCCACTGTCTGCCAGTGACGGCAATCTGGCCCTATGAGTGGCAATCGCAGTTCAACGAGTTCAAGTGCCTGCCATGGGGCTTTGTTTACGGAATCAATTCGGCTGTCTCACTTCTCTGCGACTTTGTTCTGTTCGGAATACCTATCGCAATGCTGCGAATGTTGGACATGACTCGAAAGCGAAAGATTCAACTTGCCTGTATCCTATTACCAGGTATTTTGTGAGTCAGATCTACAAGCCCGTTCTGATTTATCATGTCACTAACCCCTATAGTGTTGTTGCAATCTCAGTCGCTCGTCTTATACTCGTCATCAACGGACAATGGCAACCGGACCAGTCATGGATTTACAGCCCGCTGCTCGCAACCGAGGTATCAGAAATTGGCGCAACTCTCATTGCGCTTTCTATTCCGGGATTCAGACCCTTGGCGGAAGAGGTCTTCAAAAAGATACTCTCAGTGCTCGCCAGGTGGTTCCCCCGGCTCTTCAACAGACGAGGGCGAGCTACTGTTCACTCGGACTTATGGTACGAGACACCGCCATGGCAGTCTACCCCTACACCAATGAAAACAGACTTCAAAACAAAAGACATTGAAAGGGGCTTCGGTCTGGAGTTGAGAGAACTCCCTAGTCCCGATAAAGCATTCGCTAGCCCCACGGACAAGAGCAGAGACAAGCCAAGGCCGGAAAGTACAAACCTCTGGATGTTTGACAATGACAAAGCAATCCCTAGTCCTACGGACAAGAAAAAAGAAAAGCCAAGACCAGAAAGTACCAATCTCTGGATGTTTGACAATGACAAAGCACTCGCTAGTCCTGTGGACAAGAGCAGAGAAAAGCCGAGACCGGAAAGTACAAACCTCTGGATGTTCGACAAAGCACATGATAGGTCATGAATTTGGTCTCTTACATATCATTTTCTTCAATCGACCTCGGCCATACTCAAGCAAAGCAAAGGATCGGAGAAAAGGGTCGAGGAATGTTTCAAAAACAACACACGAATACGGATTATCACCCGGAAAGGAATATAACTTCTCAGAGTGCAAGTATATATACCAGCACCATGTAAACGATGAGTTATGAAAAAAGTACTATTATCCTAAATCGAGTCTTGAAGGCTGTGCAAACCTTAACTTACCAAAGACATTGTGATTAATGAACCGCGTGAGTTTTGAAGGGCTAGATTTGTAGACGATGGCGTATTGCAAAGTCAATGACTGGACAAGTCTGGAAAATTATACGAGCCTGTCGAGGTCCTGCGAACCAGTCTAGTCATTTGGTCTGCCGACAGTAAGCTGGGCAAATTAACAAAGATACTTTCGATAGCCCGGGCCTGAAGCCATCAACGTCAATCGGCAACGCTGAAAGTCGTAAGAGACGAGCAGAGTTCATTATGTTCGCGTTTCGTTACGAGAGTGCTCCGTTCGCGGCTTTTCGGTTCTGATAGGATAGATGTTCCGCTGCTGTCGCGAAATCAGTTTAGTGTTTCTGGTTCCGAAGAGAAGCATGTGGTAGGGCTGGAAGAATTATGGAGAACCGATACCGAACCACAATATTGACTTACGGGCCCTTTGAAAAAGCTTATCCGAACGGGTTTGCCCGACAACTCCTGCGGGGCGTGGGAGACAGAGAAGGCAGGGTTGTGGGTGGACCCCCGTTTGCTCGTTGGCTTGTCGCTGTGGGCATCTCCTGCACGGCTATTCACTCACCCACCTATTTGATTCATCCAACGGCGCATACATGTGAGGGCGCAGTCCATGAGACGTTGGCGGCGGCGGCGGCTGGTGTAGCCAGGATCCCATCATACTGACCATATCATAAGTGCGTTGCAGGTGCGAGTGTCTCAATTTGCCAGAAGCACCATTGCTGACACGAATACTGCAGGTACAGGATGAAGCTCAGACGACGGTTGGAGGTCCATATTAATGCGAGATTATGCTACTATCAACGTGATCAATTCTGATCCCTTTGGGAGGAACGCCTGTTGCGGAGAGGACTTCTTCCCAAATGGGCGCGATTCGCCCGATCAGAGATCTACAGTCGGGCCTTTAGACACTATTCAGTCCGCCTGACCTGGTAACTATAGAGGACAGAGTGACTCGAAGGACGACTTTTTACGCCAGACCAACACCTCTGTACAAGTGTGCTCGGCCAGGAAATCTGCCCTTTCGAACTGGAGCACAAGTCAAATTTTTCAGAGAGGTTCTTTGATCGTCGCCCTGTCTTACCTCTGAGAGCATATCATCCTTGAATTTTAATCCCTTTCTCGACTAGTCTAGAAGCCAAGATGTGAAGAAAATTATTTCTCCTGTTTCATGTTTCAGCTTCGTCTCTTGGGACGAAATGGATGATCCCCGCATCAAATCGAACGAAAGAGATTTACCCTACTTACAGCTCAGGCGCCCTCCACTCAGAAACGTGTGATCTCTGGAATCTCAAAAGGGGTGTGAATCGTGGCACTTCTACACTCTCTTTGTAAGGGCTGCGTCGGCCCGTCTTTCTCACCAGATGACTTTTCCTCTTCTCCTCCCACATTTGGAAGTCTTCGGACTGAAATTACACCCACTCTCACGGGTCTTAGAACTCGAGTTTGAACGGCAAACTCAAACCTTAGATGGCCGTTTCTCAGCGCTAAGCCAGCTGTAAGACCGTTACGACTCATCCGTATTTCCCGCGACGGAGTATCTCCGGCTGAAGGGATTGGCGAGCCCCTCATCACGCGCTGCCGCAGACGCGAGGAATCCCTGAGCGTCTTTGCTTTCGTGGGGAAGGTCTCAATGACAATTGTTTCGTTTCGTTTCGTTTCGCGACACATGAGAAAGGCCACGCCGTGTGCCGAGCGGGGACGGAGTCTATATCTCGTCTCTGGCCGCGCGGGATACTTTCACCCAAGAGTACCTTCAATGCGGCCTACGTCATTTCGGATAGTGGGGGGCGTGATCCCGATCGCAGCAAGGGCTGACTTTCCAGCTCGGACATTTGATCGCAGCCGAGAAACAGCATGTCTTTGACATAAAAACCCTCATTGCCCCCCACCAACAGATGCCACAGACGGCTTGGCAAATGAAATTCTCATATGAGATGCCGGGAAATTGCTCAAGCGTTAGTCCGTGTATTAGTGATCTCAATTATACCTGACGGCACGTTGCCGATACCGATTTGCGGTTCTAATCATACCGACTTTTAGTGGACTACAGCACAAGACGTGCAGAACAGCGGCCAACAGGTAAATTCACCTCCGTTTTTTGTCTAGTCAACATTTCGTGTTTCAGGTTGGTTTGCGGCAAAGCGGACACTTCGATGCTCTCTTGTGCTGTAGGTCACTCGCAGCCAATCAGATAATGCCATTGTGATTTGCCCCATCGACTTCTATTAGAGGATTGAAAATGATAACAACCTATAATCGAGTGGTACTGTGAGCTGATGACCCCGTGCTACCATAATGCAGTGTAGTGTCAAACACTCCTTCAGGGTAAAGACAAAACAGAAGGCAGAGGCGCAGCATTCCTCCCCAACCAACGGTTGGATGGCTCAGGTACAGGTTTGTTTTGAAGAACAATGATATGTCGAACCTGGGGCTATGATCATTTGGCTTATTTCTCCCTATGATACCGTGTCAAATTCAAGCCCAAAATGAGATGCAAATTTTGTAAATGCAAAAAGTATATTGAGATGTTAACCTTCCTCATAATCGGCCGCCACGTTGAAATGGAGTAGGAATTGCGTAGTGATCATCACTTGGTCTATCCCTATCCACAAGTCAATGACACTAAAGGCATACACCAACGGAAGTTCTTCTGCGTTTATCTTGGAGTAGGAGAGTTCCAGCAGTGTCCTCTGAATGGTCACTACCAAGCGTGGCTTTGATACTTGCAGAGGCCTTCGACGGACCCCCATTACGCGTCGCACGAGGTCCGAGTGATCCAAAAGTCGGCTCCGAGACATTGAGTATGATGATTGGTCCATTCATGGCATTGTACCGGCGACAGCTCCACCAATTATGACAAGGCCAGCAACTTCAGACGGCTCAACCTCTAGCGGTAGGGCGTTCTGAGTGGAAACCGTGAAAAACACTAAAGGTGCTCATGGGGGATCATTGTTCCAAAAGCGATGGAGTGCCTTTCCAGCGAAGTATTGCGAGGACAGCCTAAGTATTACTGAGCATATGACCATCAAAGTGAAGTGAGTGTCCAGAGTCTTAGGGTTATGATCCAGTTCATATAAATGGAAAATACTCGTGAAGAAAGCATCTGTCGGTGAAAATTAATTAAGGAAAATGGAGGCCATGTGTTTCTTAAAGAAAAATTGATGATAGCAAGAAGTGAGATTCCTAGATTCCTTAGTGCTGTGATGTGGGACGTAACCTGGCTCTTTCGTCTTTCAGTCCTCCTCAGTCGATTGGGACTACGTTGCCTAATTACAGTGACTCGTGGGACGTATTGCCCACGAGTAACAGAGATCTTATGCACATGCAGCAAAGAACATACAAGTCATTTTTATGTTGATATGGCTTATGAAAAGAAGTAGTACCAACACACTTCCAACGAGAGACTATACGTTTGCTTTTTGTTAATCAGAACTTTGACTGGACATTGGCACCGGGATTGTAGCTGGAATCTAAAGACCTCATTTCCTGGAAGTAACTTGTTCTTCCTCTTCCGGGTCTGGAACAATTGCGTATATGGAGGTGGAAGCCGTGCTTATATATCAAGCCATTGAAAATCAGATGGGGAACAGCTTACGTCAATAAATGTTAATACTCGCCGACATCCATCTTGAATTCAAAGCCAGTCAACCCAGGCTATGCGGATCTCAAATCATCTGCTAAAATATTACCACCTCTTGCACCAGAGATATGAGGGGCATTGCTCTTGCGTCTTTCACTTGTTCCTGATCTCGAGTCGACCGAGAACGCCGAATTTCGACTTAACACGTTGAAAGTCTCAGCTGCCATATTCTCCTAATTACTACAACTTATCGAACAAATTGAGTGATGCAAGTTTCACAGTGTCTCCCCTGAATTATCCTGAAGATCTCTAACCTCTCTGGTGTATTACCACCCATGTCATCGCCTATATTAACAGGATATTAGATGGCCGGGATCTGCTCGGGTATAATCAAACGCACACTACCTTAAAAAGCAGCCTCGGGACCCTGTTTGCCTGCAGCTGCATGATCACGAGAGTGGTCTTTGAACCATATGGATCCAGGTTAAAGGGATCTAAAACAGGGAGAAGTCTACCACACCCTTACGCAACTATTTTGACAGTATTCATCTAATGTTGGTGCTAATGTGTTCTCTGGTGACACCATTTAGAATGGCAGCAAGAAGGATGGAAAAGGGGGTTTGACTGCATGAAAGGCCCGCAGCTTATTCGTTGCCCGTTTTCTTTCAAAAGAGGGAGAATATTTCAGGTGGGATGCTGTACATTTCATCTCGCATCCGCATCGCAGTACTAGGATGATGAAAAGAACCCACTTCTGCCACGAGGTGGGTCAACCAATCGGCAAAACACCTGGTGCAAACCAACAAAACACCTCTGCTGAATTGAGAGAATTTCTCAGCCATGGATTATTTTCAATTGCAAGTGAAAGTGTCCCAGTCAAGCGGCTGGCGATACTGTGTTGTTAGATCAAAGGTAGTGAGTGGAGCGTCGCACCTGTTAGGGTTGTGCTCCGACGCCACGATTGTTACGATCGGTCCAATCATTTGCCGCGAACACTCCCAAAAGAGTATGCTAGCGAAGTCATCCCACAGATCCGCATGGAAACTCTACCTAGCCCCATTTAATAATATGTAGCGTAAGAGTCTTCACCCCTCAAAAAAATGTTGCACATGGCCTCTTTCCCAAAGACCGAGTGTTGTATGATGTTAGTTGAGGGAGTTTTCCTTCTCTGGGCGGGGATGCGAATTAGCATCCAAAGCCGCCAGTTGGAACTGATAATTTCGCTGGGTGGTGTCCGATCTGGGGATTCTAGCCCTTTCGAATCCAAACCGGTCGTATCACTTGTTCTTGTGAAGTGAAACCGGATTCTTATTTGGTCAGGGCTGTGCTTTCCTTTATTTTTAAGTCTGTCTTGATCGATACCAATAGGTGGCACCATCAAAACTGAAGGTCCATTCGTTCGTTGGCCTGCGAATATTCCACGGTTAATCAGCGTTGCCGCTGACCGAAACTGCATTATTAGTCGTTGGGTTACTATTGCATCCGGGTGCACATTCGTCTTGATCTTTCTCGAAGAGCGATTTCCATATCGTACCTTCCCCTAGTCTGCGCCTTTCATGTTCGCTCCTTCCGTCTATTTGGCGATAGAAGGTGAAACCACCTCCTTCTACCCTACCCTTCCTGCTATCCTCTTTGAAATCCTCTCCCTTCTTCCATCCAAACCTTCTTGACAGAAGTCTTACAACTCAAGTCTGGGCCTCAAAGGACCTTTCATCTCGAAAATCCAAGCTCCTCCCCATCTTTCTTCTCTTCGAACTCTCTTCTAATCTCACCTTTCCAACCATCACCAACGCACCTCTTTGTCTACGCGTCGGCTTCAACTTCGCGATCCAAATTCTCTGGGCCTATTTGTGCTTCAGACTTTCCATCCGAGATCAGTAATCCGAACCTCTCAAGGTCCACACAAGCTATCTGATCATCAGCCTCAGCAAGTCGACGTTCCTTCTTTGCCCAGTTTTATCCTTCGCTAACCTTTTCCTTGGCCGCAGGTCAGGTGACATTAGTCTTTCTGCTCTCTGTTCCAGGTCAACGACAATGCCCCTTCCTCCCGCTCCCTGCGTAAAACGCTCTGGTCGTTCTGCGGCGCGACCCGGCCTGAAAGAAGCGCAGCGAGCGTCCTATCTCATGCAGTTCCACGTCATTGAACTGGAGACGTTCCTCAAGGATCAGACTAACATTTCGAAGACCACCCACAAAAGCCTCAGTTTCCACGAATCTATGATTGTCCGACTCCAGGGCCTTGTGGAGAAGCCGGACATCACCAAGGACGACATTGCTGAACTTATTGAGGCCCACCGGGCTGAAGTGTCGAAGGGAAAGAAGGACCTTGATGCAGCTTCCTCCAATGAGAATCGCGCGATGGCGCAAATATCTATGCATACCACCAACCACCCCAATGTTTGCACCCAAATCAGTGCTGGCGCGGCCTTCCGCAGTGTGGTTGATGATCTGGATGTCGTTGTGCATGCTCTTGAGGAGTCCTTGCCACCTAACAGTGTTCATGCCAGAGATAACATACGATTGCGCCTCGTTCTCGCATCTAAAGAGGCAGAAATCACCCGCCTGGGAAGAGAGATTAAGGACTTGAAAGTGTGTTTATATGTAATCGGTCACCTGTTATGGACACCAGCTGACCTAAACAGGGCAAGAAGGAAGAGACCGAAGGCCGTCTGATTAACCTGCTTGACTAGCCTTAATAAAGTCTGAGGTGTTGAGGCTCCTACTCAACCCCGATCCATCCAGAAGGTTCCCTGGAATACCATTCCATCTTTATCTGCATGTCGCGGTGCCGAGGACTTGGGATAAGAATTGGGACCAATGTATTACGCTATTATTTGGGCAGTTCGGAAATGGGAAAACTCAACGAAGTCAGTCCAGTGCTAACAAACCAGTTCGATTGTTTGTTTTGTGCATAAATCTTCTGTTCAAACCTAGTGACGTCGATGTTTATCAAAAATAATGCGGCTGGAGTTAGTAGACTCTTTTCCATAATCGTTTGCAGCCGGATCATCGGTTCTCTTCGCTTGATATGCTACGAATCTACTACCACCTATCTAGCCGAGAAAACATGGCAACAGACCATCGGTCTCCTGTCATGATCTACGCGCATGATCTCTCTGATAATCAATACGCTCGAACAACAATCTCATTCATGTCGCGCACAGCTGTAGTATCATTGGACCGAGTCTCCGTCACCAGACTGGAGGTTGGCCGTGAACAGAACCGAGAGGACCCCAGGTACCTGACGGCCCACGTAATCAAATTGCAGCCTATTGCCCTGTCTCATTAGTTACGCATCAGGCCTTTACGTTGTTCACAATCTGTCGCAGTCAAGTCTTTGTCAATGAGAACATTTCGGGTAGCTTGAGGAGTAAAACTTTTATCGTGCACAGGTATCATATAATTAATCTTTGGAACTCAACACAAGCGCAGCTCGAGGGAAGCATTGCACCTGAAGTGAGAGACACTGCCTTCCTCCGTCGCTGATCCTTGTGGGCAACCACCTTACATCGCCGCCATGACACCGGCAGCTACTCCCGCCGCGACACCAGCAATCGCCATTCCAGTGCACTTGGGCGCACCGCCCTTGGAAGTCTGGGTCGCCACAGTATCCTGCCAAGCCTTCTGCCAGTCAGAAATGTAGGACGAAACCCATTTGTCGTCCTTGTCCGGCACGTTATCCTTCCACCATTGCGCCTCCTGCTGGTCGCTCAGGCTATAACCCTCAACAGCCATGGACGCGACGACGTCTGGGGCGTTGGTGGCCTTTGCAGCGGCTGACCACATGTGCGAGTAGACTGTCGTCCACTCATTGTCGCTGTAATACTTCCGGTCAACGCTGTAGAGGGCGCTGGCGAGGGAGGTGGCGACGGCGCCGGTGACGGTGCTCGGAAGGGACTTGACGTTGTTGGAAAGGTATTCATCGGCCGCGGTTGAGGAGGGGAGAGGCGTGCCAAAGTAGTTCTCGCCAAGAACAGCGGGCGCGATAGCTGCGGCGAGGGAAATTATCTTGAGGAGATGCATTGTTATACTAAACAAAGCCCTAAACAGTTTGATAGATAGATGGTGGTTCTTCGGAATACGGGGCGGCTTTCTATTAAAGATAGTGGGTTGCTGGTACGCGAACAAGGGCATAAAGCCACCGAACGAGACGGGAAAGTGGTCGTTTAAATACTCACAAAAACTGGAGGCACAAGGTCCCAGAGATGACTTCACCCGCCACACAGTTACCAATTTTCCAATTTCCTCTGAATCCGTTGGCGGACCATCGTCTGCTGTGCCGCGATGCCTTGCGGCACAGCAAAATTGGCGCTGGTTGCCTAAACGACACCCGCCCGTAGGAGTCACCAATCCCAAAAAGGGACGAACAGATCCGTATTGAGGTGAAAATGTAACACTGCCAGCAGTTGTGCAGCGGCGAGCTTATGAAAATAGAGCGGCGTGCAATGTAGCCGGGCGTAGCCCGTGCCGGAGCTGTACCCCACTTCGGACTTTTTCAGAACTCGGCGCGTGGCCGAGTGGGGCCTGAGAGACCGTATTGGAGCAGTTTGTTTTCTCCGAGGTCTTGCCGGAGCCTTCCAGTTCCTAGGCATCACATATGCCGAGTCGAAATTCGGCAATGACTTGGCTCTATCAATTACCAGAAAGAGTGAACAGGAAATGGACCCAATCGTCTCATGGACCCTTGCGCTGAAGAAGAGCCGCCGGAGAAACTGAGGGTGTTGCTTCGTGACGACCAGGGGTTGCGGTAAAGCAAGACGAGTTTCCATCGAGATGGACGCTGGACTCAGGTCTCCATGGACGAATGGCTACCTGCCATGGTCAACGTTGAAAACTGGGATGAGAGCGCGATGGCGATAACGATTGGCTTGCTATGGAATAGCGCCGATCCGACAGTAGTTGAAGACAAAGAGGGAAAGCGCCCATACAAGTATGCGAAGGCAAACGGTTGGCTCGATGCTGAATCCCCTCTTGCCCAGACAGCCGTCAATCTTCTTGAAGCCGACTGCCACTACTGCAGAAGAGGAGACTATTATTTCAAGGAGATTCTGTTGGCTTGATATGGGAGATATGCACTGTTTTACATGGAGGCCAAGTTGTTCATTGAGGATACTGGAAGTGTGGAGGCGGCGAACCTTCCGAACGGGAACTTGATTACAGCCTCTGCTTAGTTAAAAGCACGGTGCAAGATTCCACGTTGTACGATCGATGTGTAATACATAAGGGTACCGCAAACTCTTACTTCGAAATTGCTTTGAAATTTATATTACTTCCTTGTGATAACGACAGTGGCCAGGACATCGACACCACCACCAGGGCCGCACGGCGCTGTCATCCCTGCAATGGCGAAAGGGGACAAGTCCACCGAAAAGTTAGCGGCGCACCCGCACACCCGATTAGGAAAGGCGTTGCTCGTATGGCTTATCTGCCCAATCTGGTGTTTTTCTTGCGCAAGGTGGGGCCAATCAATGCTCCAACAGTGCCTTCTCGGCACCGAACATCTCTCAATCGCGTCACTGTCATCCTCGACGATCCGCTATGGCTTGTCTGCTTCCTTCAAATTTGTGCTCCAGAGCTGATAGAGACATTCCGACTGTGCTTGAGAAATTTAGCCAGCCGTTGAAGGTTTCCCATGGCGAATTTGCTGGGCATGCATGACAGCGACTTGGCAAACCTTATTTCCCCTACACCAGCATCTCGATGGAAATCCAGTCCTCCCGGGCGAAAAAGACCGACATCGTTCGCAAGCGGACAGGATGTCAGAACTGTAAGAGCAAGCGTAGAAAGGTCGGCTCCCGAAATTTACATCACCTACCCTGCTAGTCTATGCTCGCTAACTATTGAATAGTGCGATGAGACGCGCCCCCAATGTATCGCCTGCGTTCGGAGAGGGATCCAATGCAGCGGATATCAGCGCCCAGTCACCTTCAAAGACGTCACTTCTCAGGCGGCCGAGTCTTCGAAGCGCTTCGAGGAGGCAAGGTGGAGGGCTCTCAATCTCGAGGATGATCAACGGAAACGACGGCGTACGGAGCCACTTCAGAAAACTTCCTCCACCTCCCAGGGTCTCTCCGGCGATGTGACGGACCTACCGGAGAGCATTAATGCTGCAACGGGGCAAACACTAGCTCCTATACCCCCTTGTTACTCCGACCATACCGGAACATCGCTTGGCGGCTCTTTCACCTTGCCGTGGGCCCTGTTCGACAACTTCGACACGACTTACGGTTTTGCCTCCAATGCCCTTCTTCCGGAAGACCAATCCCATGGCAGAGCAGTCATTTCGGAAGAGGACCCACTTGACCAGGACCACACGACAGCCGCCAAACCAATCAATAACTCCCTTGCCGTATCAAGGGGAGGACGGGGTGATCCACCGCCGGCATTTACAGAACCCTCGAGCCCTGCTTTGACACCAACACCTTGGGACGAGTTCATCGTTTCCGAAAGGTCGTCATCTGGTTCAACAGGATCCCCGCCGTCGCCCTTGGGCGAGCCAACAACCGACTGCCAACTTTCCCTGCCTCTAGAGGAGGTGCTGATTCAACACTTCGACCAGAACGTCATTCCTTCCATACCCGTGGCTCTCGCCTTCCCGAGCCTCTTCCGCCAAAGTAGCTTTTTTCGATTTGCCGTGCTAGCACTTGCCGCCAGCAACTTGAAGTTGACGCGCCCCCTTCCACTAGACTCGAAGATCCTTCGAGAAGCTTGTCATGACAAGAGCGTGTGGCTTTACTATGACACAGCGGTCAAGGGCCTGCAAGATCAATTGCAGCATGTGGAAACCCACCACGGAGAGGAGTTGGCGGGTGCGGCATTGCTTCTTGCGTATCACGAAATCGAGGCAGGGACGGCTTTGGGTATCCGAAACCACGCTACCGGCCTTGACGCCATCGCCTTAAAGTTGGACTTTGCCGCTTCCTCGGTACCCGATCTCTTCAAGGCCTGGCGCATGCTTCGATACGACGTGCGATTCATGATGACACCAACAAGGAGGACTTACAACGCTGTAGACAGCTTTGATATCTCCAGTCTACTCGACCCCCAGCTTGCCATCCGAGATATCCTGTTGAGACTCTGGGGTCTGCACGCCAGGTTTGCGATGGAGGCTACATTCGCCCAAGACACCACCATCGACGGCGCCAGTGCATCCGAAAAGGCCGCATCGTGGCTGTTGTCGGTGCTCGGCCGGAAATGCGATCACCGTAATTTCCATCTTCGTGACTTCCACAGAGAAAACCTCACGTCGGGCTTCATCCTCCAACAGTGCGATGTCTTCACCCGCCGTCTGGACAACTGGCACAAGGCGTTGTGCGACCACGACATGCCCATCGTCAAGCTGGGCAACGATTCGGACATAGTCAGCGGTCCTACCTTCGAAAGCTTTGTCACGTACAGATTCGCGAATGATGGCAAGGCCTTGGAGTATGCCATGTACCTTGTCTGCCGCATGGCATGCAGCTATCTTCGCTCCTTGTTCGACTCCTCTATCGCATCATCGGCGACCGACGCTTTGGGCAAGGTGCTTCTCGGAATTGTCTGTGGTATGAACATTCAGCAGAGACAACAGTTTACAGTTTTTCGGGTCGACGTTGTGCTTAGGATGGCTGCAAGCATGTCCGAGGGAACCAACTTCATAACAACGATCCTCGACTGTCTTCTGCCCAAGCTCATGGCGTTGGGCCTCACTGGGCCCGATATTGTTGCTTGGGTTCATCTCAAGTCGTCCCTAGAGCTTGAGCTAAGGGAGAGAAGGAAGGGACGGGTCATCAGAATGACCATCGATGGGATCGAAGAGGACTGCGAGATGTGGCAGATAGTGAGCGGACATCCGATTGCCGCCTTTGGCGACTACAATGGGAAGGGATACTTCAGGGACTGTTATGCCATCGAGTGCCTGGGATAAGGCTGCTCTAGGCGAGACACAGAGGCTTCTAGCACTCGTCATTATTAATCTGTCATAATCTGTCACTACTCAAGGACCTTACAGCACGTCTCGATGTTCAAGCCTGGACCTGAATACTTCCGTGGCCGTCTTCTTCCTGCCGCCCAGCAGACAAAAACAATCGCTTACAGTAGTGAGAATTCCTTTTTCTCCGCCCGTTTTGCTGTGATGGATACCTTCCATCCTTTGTAAGCCAGACGCGGGGGGCGTCGAAAACGTTCGCGACAGCAAGCTTTTGGCAGGACTTCTGGCGCGAAGCGATACAGCTGCGGCATAGGCAGGCGCGCATCACCTAGTATTCTTCTCTCTACTTGCCTGCACCTTGTGGGATGTCTCTCAATGGTGAAGCTCCTTCCGGCGTCTCATATCTCTGCTGGTCCGCGATGCCCCTTCTTGCCCATTGAGTTCCCAGGGAAAGGGTCCTTCCAGCACTTGGGACCCTCTCAGACGCTCATATTCCCACTGAAGAGATCCTTTCTGCTCTCAACCTCCAACACACACATCCACACGTCGTCGAGATACCTGTAACGGAACTTTTATTGGACGGTAAGCAAGCAATCCTACCGCCACGGTCTGATGTTGCTGACCAGCTGCTTACGAGACCAGAAAACAGACACTAGGTATTTTCCCGCTAAGAGTGACATTCTGGCTCAGTAAGTTTGACCTCCTGCCAAGCAATCGACGCTCTGCGCATTCCACGAGCACAAAATGTTCGGTTCACCTGGTACACACCCCACGACGTACGAGCAGGAACGTGCTCGGGTTGGCAACGACTGGTCAACCTACTATGCAAGCCATCCTGACTTGCGTGGCATTCCCGGGCTCGTGTTCCGAGGAACCCCTGGGCAGCCTGTTTCGAATGGCGGTTGGGACGCCTTCGGACTCTTTTTCGACGGCATCAGGGCCCCATCCAAGGAGAATCAACTCAAGGTTGCGTCAACCGCACGGAATTATTTCCAAATCCTGTACATGTGGCTTACCAGGATCCCGGCTCAAGGACTCATTGACCAAAACTTTCTTACAACGTTCGGAACTGACTATGCCCAACGTTACAACAAGGACCCGCAGGCCTGCTGTTCTGAAGACAATTTTATCGTCATGATTACGTTTATTGAGGCCAGGAAGGAAGCGACCGGCCGGCTCGTGGACCCTTCAGGTTTCGAAAGGCTTCTTCACTTTCTTGATTTATGTATCAGGGAGACCAAGGAGCGTTTGTGGGACCTGCCACCCCGAATACGAAATGTTATCGGTGAGACTACCTCATCTTTGACACCAAAGTTTAGGGTCAGACTAACGAGATGAGCAGCCGCAGATTTGCAGAAGGAAAATTCTCTCAAGAGAAAGGCGTCACCATTTCCCGAGGAAGATGACGAATCTCGAAGCAAACGTGCCAATCCCTCACAGGCCCCACGGCTGCCAGAGATTCGCGTGCAACAACCTGTCGCTGCGACAGGTGAGCAACTGGAAGCTAAAGTCAAGCTTTTGCGTGCACGTGTCGATGCGCTAAATACCGCCGATCAAGAAAGACAAAGGCGTCTGATTGACTGTTTGAAGAGTATGGACGATTGGAAACAGATTGCGGCAGCCTCAATGGAAATGGACCTTGACAACTGTCGAGCCGATCTCACAAAGAGTCAACAGGCCACGAAGAAACTCTAGGAGATTTTGCGGGGCATTAAAAACAAAGAGCTGGAGAACAAGGACCTGGGCGTCGTTTCTTGGGGCCCAGATGACATGGATGCTTTCCTTCTGGACTTTGATCGAAATGCCGACATGGAGATGGGTGATTAAGAAGAGAGATGATTTTGACGGATCCTATTGCATACTTATAACATCGCTAGACTATTGGAGTAACAGAAGATGGTCGTGCTCAATCGGATTGCATCATTACTTGGTCAAAAGGTTTGCTGAATCCACGGGGATACGAGACTGGGGCGATGTTGGATGCCCAGGGCTTGCACATGGGGTATGACATGGAAGCACCAGATCCATGAGTTCAAGAACATATTGAAAATTGCTTTCCTCATGATATTCATGCCTCGAATTGAAGGACCAAGGCCTTCCTCGGAGATGACTCTACCATCGAGCGGCTCAAGATGGCCCCGTAACAGGTCCCGAAGAGGAGATTTCCCAACGCCAAAAAAAGAATCTCCAAATTCTAATCCTTGCGAACATCCGACACATGACTTAATGAAGCACTGCTAAGATTTCCAACAGACGACACCCATTCCATCAGACGCAGAAGTCAATACGCCTCCACAATGTCACTAAGCCCAAGCTCCTTCGCCGGGCTCTTCCAGGACGACGATCCTGGACATCCTTGAGTCCGCGTCACCCCGAGACCAATCCATCTCAATGTGCGCTCGTCTCGTCAAATCGCCCGAATCGCTTCTCTGCGCGGCCGCAGTGATGCAAAGGGGAATCGGTTTCTGAAAGGGTTAAGCCGCACAAGGAGCCTTACTTGGCATGGCTCGGCGCTGTCGAGGGCACGCGTGACTTCGATGACTACCTGTTGTGGACCAAGATATTGCGCGAGGAAGCATACAATGGTCGCACCTGCCTAGATATACGGTCGACGGCTGATCAGTAAGTATTTCGTGTGGTGGAGCTCAGAAGCGCCGGACTGGGAGCCTCCTTCAGCTACTTACAAGCTTAAAGGTTGTTCCTCTGGCTCTTTCCTTCGAAAATCCAAGAACAATCTGTCTCAAAATACCTTAACAAGACTCCTTTTGACCTTGGAGGTCTTTGATGCCGTAAGCCCATCCATGACCCCGAGACTATTGGCGCGCCCCGACCCAAGAACCAGAAGCTTCAGCAACTGTTTGCGGAGGAGGACGATGCCAACGCCAAGTAAACTCCTGCGAAGGAGTGTCTTTGGGTCGAGGTTGCGCTCATCATCAATCTTACCCGAGGTATCGGAGCCAGCGGGAGTGACGTCCTGACAACCTCAAGGGGTGCTGGGAGGGCTGGGAGCTAGCTTCAGACACGCAGAGCAGAGGGTATTAGACTCTCAATAGGCTCTACCAATCGCATGGGTAACTGCCAGGATTGGAAGACAGTCACATCTTTCAGGGGCATCTGGTACCTGAAGGAAACGGGAACATAAAAAAACATACGAAAGGAACATTTCATGGCACAAAAATGTGTACCCAAGCAATGAAGAGGGGTATTTTCCTGGCAGGTCTGCCCAGAACTGCCATTTGAACTAATGACTGCTAGGAATGCTATCCCCTGTGCACGAAAGCTACGGACTCTGCTCTTAGTACGCGTAGAACAAAACGCTTTCGTTCTCGGAACGCCTGATCTTCTTGTTCTCGCGCATGAGCCAGAAACGCATTGCCCACGCACCAAGTGCAGTCGCGACACTCAGAGCCGCGCTGGAAGACATGGCCATGACGTACCGAGGCTCGTCGGACTTGGGCCACATGTACGGCGTCCATATGAAGGAAGCCACGGCGATGCAGTTGACGATGGCCAAGGAGGAGGCCTTCTTCTCTTTGGTTTGAGAGCACGTGGCGGATACCCAGCCCAGGATGATGGAGTTCACGGCGTATGTTCCCACGCTGAAAACCACCATGGCAACTGGCCTCATTGTCAGCTTATGCACTGTCAGAGCATCCCGGATACAAGGACTACTCACAGTATCTGGCACCAGTGTTGAGAGTTGCACAGCCCAAGATGAACCCAAAGACTGCGACGGCCTTGGCGATGGTAATGTGCCTGCAAGGTTAGCCGAGTTCAACTGCTGAGGTCGGGGCCACCTACCAAGTCCGCTCGTTGAATTTCCCCGAAGACCAAGACCACGCGATAGAAATGACCCCCGCAATGAGATACGGGGGGCAGGTCAGGACCAGCGTGATAGTTTCGTTGAAGCCGAGCGTCTCGACGGCCGTGGGGAAGAAGTTCTTGAAGCCGTTGGCGCCGAGGTGGCAGTGCTGCATGAGCGTGAACAACCACACTTTGGGATCTTTGGCCGCCTCGAGGAGTCCCGACCAGGTTGTCGTCTGACCGGTGTTGCCGACCGTATCGCGTAGGATGCGCTCGTTGGCGAGGATACGTTCTTCGGGGGTGAGCCAGCGAGTTGTGAGAGGCTCGTCGGGCAGGACGAAGTAAGCGATAACGGCTATGATGAAGGTGACGACGCCTTGAATGATGAAGAGCCATCTCCATCCTTCGATACCGGCCTACAGCTGAGTTAGGAGCCGGTCGAGGGCTGAGGGGTGCGGTCATCGAGCAAATACCATTCCGTGCATCTGGAAGATCCCGAGTGCAATCAGCCCCGCAAACGCCGTGGCGAGGATATTGCCCGTGTAAAGGATCGAGATCCTCGTTGCCAATTCCTTGCGAGTGTAAAAAGTTGCCAGGACGTAGAGAGCACCGGGGTAGTACGGAGCCTCGGTGATTCCAAGGAAGAACCGGGTGAGAAGCAAGCCGGTGTAGTTCTGGCTTATCGCGGTAAGGGCGCTGATGATGGCCCAGACGGCCATGCAAGAGCTCATCCACAAGCTAGGGCGGACGCGCGTCACGACCATGTTGGCGGGGATGCCGACGATGACGTATCCGACGAAGAGGATGGAAACGCAGGTCTGGTACTCCGTGGACGAGAGGTTGAGGTCTTCCTCGAGGGTATTTAGTCTAGCAAGCGCAATGGCATTGCGGTCCTTACGCAGAGTATGAGTGGATGCCAAATGTGGGTTCTCCAAGCTGCACTTACCAGGTAGTTGAGCCAGTACATGCCCCTGATACAAGACTGTCAGTTACAGAAACAACGGTTTGGTGTGTATAAAGAACGGAATTGATGGTTTGGTAAGAGCCGGGGTGCTTTCATACCACAAGATTGGCATAATCATCCAGTCGAGGCGTCGCACGAGAGCAATTTCGGCTGGATCATACTTTGCGTGAGCACCCGAGTAGTCTCGAGCTTCCGGTGCAACCTTCAGAGCGTCTTCTATGTCATCTGGTATGAAGACAGGCTCTTTTTCTTTCCTGGCTGTCTGCCGGTTCTCGGAAGAGCCCATGATGCAACTTTGTTTTTGATTGCCTCGATGTTCTAGAGACGGAGTGAAGGAAATTCGCTGAGCCAAACCGAGAAGGCTCGATCCAGGCCGAAATAGTCTCTTTGAGCGACGCGGCCTTTTATAACCCTCAGTCATCTATCCGTCGGAACAATCAGCACGCAGCCAGCATACATTTCTTCCCTCCCTTGGGCGGATTCAGATCTGTACACCGACCGTTTGGCATTTGCAAAATAGCCTTCCCCGCACCGCCAAGGGGGCTTATCCAAGGCTACGTGGTGATGGCGCTCTTGGTACCAATCCTTGGCTTTTGCTTGTCGCTGTCGTCGTGGCGTGCGCGACATGGAGCCATCTCTGACTGGCGAGATGGGTACTAGGTGTCCTGGGCAGGGTCTTGGCGAGACAGGGTGACGCCTGGGCATCGTGTGGGGGAATGTTTAACGGCCGTTGGGTAATGACGGCATCGTTTCTGATGAGCAACTGAAACTCAACACGGAACGACTTGATTTGCTAGTGATCATGCTTGGACTTGGTGGCGGCCGATTAGAAGCTGATGCCAGTGAGTGTAAAGAAGTCTAGAGACACGCTGTTGATTTAAAGTCGGGAGTCCGGCGTTTCTTACGTAACAATACCCAAAGTCCCAATCACCAAGCACTAGCGTTCGTTCCACTTCAAGATATGTCCGATACCTGGCTTACTTAGTTTGTGCACAACAGGCTTCGAGCCAGGTGATCTAAGGTCAGTGTTACTGGGAGAGCTTGGTGCGCAGTCAAAGTAAGGGAGCTGTGTGGCGTGTGTCGATGATGCCATATTGCCTTTTCCTGGACACAGCAGAAGTGCTGATGGATCAGAATAAATCTGGATGTGAAATTTCAAATTCCAAAACAGTTCAATTCCTCTATCCTTGATATCTCATGAAAGATGTGTGATGTTGAACTTCTTTTCAGCGACGGACAAGCAACTCGGCTGATGCATAAATGCTTTTTGAACAGACTGCTGCTCATCGTTCGTTACAAGTTCTCACATCACTTCGTGGTTTGGTTTTTGACCGCATTGTCAAAATATTTCTCACGTGAGTTGCATCTGTCCAGCTGAACTGTATCTCAAAGCCTTCGGGACATAATGAAAACGCTATTCCACTTGATTTCACCCTTGCCTGCAGTTGCCTCGGCTCTTCCCCTTTCTGTTAAAGCAGAATTATCCACCCTTCCGACAATCACATCTATCTCCCCATTCGGTCTTTCATTTCCCTTCACCTGTCACTTCATCTTTATCAAATCCTTTGGCGTCACAATAGACTACCCGAGTCCCAGTCATTGCGTTGGCCTTCGTCATATCTTCCCAGAATTGCTGTTTCCGCTTGACCAGATGCACGGAGCTCAGATGAAGACAGCCAGACGGTCTCACCACCGTCGTCAGCTGCGGGGAACAACCCAACGTGAGCAATACAACCGAAAGAGTCAGACTAAACAACGTCGGCGACAGACACGTTCGCTTTACAGAGCTATCAGAGGCATTCCCGGCCTGAAGTTCTACGGTGGTGATGACGATCCCATCGTTTCCCACAGGACGATTCCAGCTCTAATCGACCTTCTCACTGACACCAATGATGAGCCGGAGAAGATGACAGAGCTTGACCACCAGCTCACAGCCGCGCGCCGTGCCAGAGTGATTCTGGGTACGGCCATACACATTGCAGAGCATTCGAAAAATTGGTCCCATACGGATATCTGGAAAGAGGCCATGGATGAGGCTCGTCTTCAGAGATCCTCGTGGCAGATGCAGCATGATCCCGAAAGAGTGGTCGAGGTCATCGACTCTCTTTCCCGCGCTCGCGTCGCATCCCAGCGCCGTCAGCTCGCGTCATCTCAAATCCCGAGTAGTCCTATACAAGGTTTCCAAGCCTTTCTTGCGGCTCTGGATCGATAGGTCTCTGTCAAGAATGCCGCCAAGCCCACTCCGGGAAAGGTGTTTTCCAGAATCAGCGAGCATAGCCCTTGGGTTGTCGTCAAGCAAGAGGTAAGACTGTACCGATTCTCAAAGGCAACATTTCTGACTCTTCTTTGCATGCAGACTTTAATCTGAATTCTGGAGCGTACCAGACATCATTCCAAGAGTCGCACCCATCCAGTTCAAGTACTAATTCCTAATTTCGTTCAGAGTCCCCGGATTTTATCACAAAGCTGACTGTTTTTTTGTCTAATGGTCCGACCCACGCAGATTTCTCAGCTGGCCTGCGATCCCATGTCTTGCGCTCCCATGCCTGCTTCAACATCGGACAACGCTAAGATACGAGAGTTGCGGGCTGACTTGGAACATCTCAAAGCTCAAGAGAACGTATGGACGGCCGAGAAAAGAGACCTTGCAGCCAAGAAGCTTGTGTTAGAGGCTGAGAACAAGAGACTACTGGATGAGAATTAGGAGTTCAACAGCAGGATTAAAAGTCTGATCGTCAGCAACGCCCGGCACTATACGACAATCGAGCACCATCGAGATGAGCGCAACAAGGCTCAACAAGAGGTTGATAGCATGGAATCCCAGCTCAGAGCGGCCCAGGAGGAGATTCAAAGACTTCGATCCGACAACACCAGACTGCGGGCGGAAAACTTGGCTTTCCAAACCCAGCAAAATGCCGCCGAGGAGTGTTATCAGCTCCGCAATCAGTACGCCGCACTTCAGGCCGATAACCAGCGGCTTGTGTTCGACATCCGCTCACTACGTGCCCAGATGGGCATTCATGTGGTTACCAACACGGAGCTTTGAGTAAATCAATGGGCTGTGAATGGTTGCGTCAACATTTTCGGGAATCAACACCCATGCCTTTTTTTTTGTCTTTCGCCCTTGACTGTAAAACAATGCAGGAGACTGCCACAAAACGAGAAAATCACTTCGTTAGCTAATCCTAGAAATACATCAAAAGCTGTTGCTCTTTTCAAAGAGTTGCGGGAGATTGTGCTGAGACTGATGGAGTCGTGACGGACTATCGATAGTCCCCGATTAAGCTTGCTAACTTGAAAACATGCTGCAAAGGACGAAGCCAACTTTTGGGTTTGCAACGCACCACCGGGTTCCGTTATGCACTTATCGATCCCGACAGGGGGGTTTAACAGCTGTGCACCTTTTCCTTGTTGTAGATGTAGGATCGGCTGTAATTTTCCACGTCAGTACTGCGCATTCGGGATAGTATATGTATATAACGTGGACGCAAGGTCGATGACAGTAGGTCTTACTCATGCAAACGAGAGGTGTGCCACTTACGCATCTTATGCAACCGTTATCGTCGACACATTCTCCTGCGCACGTATCTTGTCAGTATTTGACCTATTAAAAAGGGCAAATTGCAATCGAGAGAGCATGCTAAGCCACTGGCCCCCAGCACCGCGTTCCTCCTGCCCAATCGCAGTACAGGCTAAGAAAGGCAATAGGCCGATTATGATTGAAAACCGCATGACGATGGTAGCTATTGCACGAAACTGAACAAATAATTTGATATTCAGGTTAGAGACAGAGAGTTACCCTCCTTAGCCCGGTCCAATACCCAAATAGCCAGCGAGATTGTTCAATACTTATACAGCTCTTTGGTTGTTGAATAGTGATGATCAAACCTCGCTGACTCGTGCTACAAAATCCTTAGAGCTGTGTCTCCAATTAGGCATTCATGCTTCGAGTCAGGAACTTGGTGATATGGAAGCCGTTAACAGGTCCAAGACGTAAGAGAGGTAAAACCCTATTATTAAAGAACGCTTTGTCTAGCTAATCAGACCTATGGTATGTACCACGGTACCAAGATGAGACGGCTGCTCTTAAATTGAAGATATCAGACCAGACAGCGGCATGCAAAGCCCTTAGGGATTCCCAATTTGTTTCATCTTGGACAAGTAGCATAGAACATATTGCAACTGTCTTGGCGAGTCATTTTTACTTGATCAACCTGCCAAGTCTCCAAGTGTGTCTTCCTATGATCGGTAATCCGAGACTTTCGTACCGCTGCAACGCCATGCAAAAATGTCGCGAAGGTGCCCCAGTAGTCGAGTGTACATCCTGGTCATCGGCCCAGGATCAAAATAATGAGACGAACGCTAAAATATGAGACAAGCTCTCAAAATCCGAACGACGATCTGGACGTATCCCAGACAAAAGATCCGACAATTCGGTCAAGACGGTCGATCCACCTACAGTGGTCCCCGCCTATCATTACCGCTAAGAGGACGCATAACTGGGTGAATGGACGTACACGTTCGCTGGCACAACCCATCCACCGGTCGCCTGTTCAAGGGTGCCGTTCCGTCCGGGTAGCTTATTCAACAGCCATATGCTGCACGCATAGTTGAGCCCGGTCGACTATGATATCAAACCGCCGCTGCCATCTAATGCCTAACGCGAAGGTCCTGTGAGTCGGCCGCTGCAAGTTTCCGGCCTTGGACTTTTTCAAGGTACATGAAATTGAGCCATGGCTTTGGGTGGTGGGAGATACAATCCTGGGGCTTTGGCGAAGGGCTCCACATATTCTTTGCCGTCAAGCAACCTCAAACAATGCAGGAGTCTCTGCATGCCTAGTTTGAATGTTTCCTTCTCTCCACCAAAATTGAGTCGGAACCACCCAGGTCGTTTGGAGCAGAATGCCTGCGGCTCATTAGCGTGCTGTTATTCACTTAAGAGCGAGGTTTGGAAGGATGAAATTACTTCACCGGGTTCAAGGAAGACACGCTGCTTCATCAGCAGTTCCAGGAATGCTGAATCGCCCCCTTTGCCATGCTTTTGTGAGTACACCTCCACCCACTCTGACAGGTTGACAAGAACGAAAAATCCAGCTTCGGGCTTCTCATATGGAATGCCGTAATCGTCAAGCGCTTCTTCGACGATATTCCGTCTCTTGCTCAATCGTCGGAGGAACAATGGGAGGTAATGCTTCCGGAGGTACTTGCTGTCAGACAACAGCTTCTCTGCCACTGTTGCACTGAACGACGAGACTCCTCCAAGCATACTGCATTGCATCAGTCATGGATATAAAATGATGATACCAGAATCTTTGCGTCATAACTTACTTCAAAGCCCTCATGGCATCATGGACCTTTTTGTTATAGGTTGCCAGGAAGCCTATCCCAAGCCCACCTAGACCGAAATCCTACGAAAAGGTCAGCAAGTCTGTCGCTCTGTGCACTGAACATTGTTCTTCAAGACTGAGCTTGCTAACGGTATGGATTCATGCTTACCTTGCACATCCCCCATAGAACATAGACATTTTTGAAGTTCACGTCCAGACCCAAACTTAGAATGCTTGAAAAGCGGTCCCCTGCGCTCACGGCGTAGATCTCGTCGACAATTAGGTGAACATTGTGTTTTGCGCATAGCTGTGACACCTGCAACAGCACGTGGGCTGCGTAACAACGGCCTAGCGGGTCGTCAGGGTTGGCCAGCAGAATGCCTCCAACTGTGCGCTTCTGATCCAGCTCAGCCTCGATGGCTGCCTGGAGACGGCTGACTAGCTCCGGGGTCTGGATAGGGCCGTCATTTTCTGGTGGGGGTCCCCAAAACCGCTCTTCGGGGATGTCGTCGCATGGAACTTCGACCACATGGACGCCGTTTCTCGCCCAGACATCATGCGCAAATATGCCAGAGCTTGGTGTGGGGACGAGAATGGTTTGCCCTTCATCCATGATGTTATATGTCAGGGTGTCCAGCAGAGTCGTCACACCGTTTGCCACGAGTATGTTTTCGCTAGTAAGTGGGAGGCGAACTCGAAAGTGTTCGTTCATGAATTCCGCGGCGGCTTTCGGTAGGTTGAGATAGCCTTGATTATCTGCGTAGCCAAGAGCTTGACGGATATCAGCATATTTGTGATGGATATCCTGCAAGCGTCTGTACTTACTGTCCTTCAGCTGGCTTTTCTTGACGTTCCGTTTCGTCCATTCTGACAGGTCATCAAGCATCAACTCGTTGATAGCAGAACCCAGGTCTAATATGCCCTTGGGATTTTTGCTAGGATCGTATGGATTTTGCTTCATTTCCCTGCTGCGATCGATCATCAAGTTTGGTTGGATGTTTTTTTGGCCTCGGGAAGACGGTGGCAGGGCGTCTTGAGCGAGCATCATTGGTTGCAATATCAGTATGATGGCTACTATGTTGGTGTCCTAATTTGATTTGCTCAAGTCGTCACGAAAGCTCAAACAGAACGGCATATTCGGTGTTTATAGCTTGGCCCCGGAGACTTCAACTAGACGCCAACCTTGGCAAGAATTTCCCGGGTCGCGGTAGTGTGGGACCCGGATGGGCTGCGCGGCCCCGGACGATTTAGGTTGACCACTCAATTACGTGCGTCAAACCCACACCTCATGATTTACTAATCGGGTAATCAATTACGACTGCGCTAAGGCAGCAATCTCTCGACGAAACCAACTCTTCATCCGCTTACAAATGGTGAAGGTACTTTCGTAATGATTCGTCAACCCGAAAAAACGGGTTGCGGTTCCCGAAGCCGAACTTCGTTGAGTCACGCCGTTCCCATCCGGGCTCGACTGGGGTTCATGCGTCACACCGTTCCGGTGCTTACAGCCCCGCAAGGTCAATTGCGTGGCCTACTCTAATCGAATGGCTTTACCGACGGTTCCCTTCAAATAGCATCAAGTAGGTTACGCACAGCTTACTTTGCATTTTAGCGACACCGTAGTCGCACGAGGTGTCAATTGCAGATAACGCAACTGCATCCGGAGCAATTCGTGAATTACGATGTCCTAGAATGATGCAAATAAATCCACATCTCGTATACCTTGACCTGGTACCTAATCGAGTGAGGTCAAAGCGAACAGACTTAGGATGATGCTGCCTGCTGGTAGTTCAGATGCCCCCCTGTTCTATTGGTCTCCTGAGATCCCCCAATACTAAGACAATTAGAGTAACAAATTTTTAGTGAGGACAATCGCGTTAGGTAGTAGCATTCAGAGTAGCTCAAAATGTGAAAAAGTGGATACAACTGAACTTCCTGACGTAAGTACGTACGTCTCAGACCCATTGTGTCCATTTTTTGGGTGTGCCAGAGGTACCAGCAGTCTCTATCTGTACAAGAGCTACGTTGCAATCTAGGCAGCCCTGCCGCGTCTTCCCCCAGCGTGCCGAAGTAAGCTTATTCCCAGACATCTCGGCCAGAGCCTTCCTTGACTTCATAGCCCATGTACTACTATAAAAGACGCAAGGCGAGTTCACTTTCCTTGCCCTTTACGATGGTGTCCCTAGGGTATAGAGGTATTCCTTTTATTGGTAGCCCGCTGGGGCCGTAAAATCCTCTGACCTTCTGCCAATGATCCAAAATGTTCAATAATCTAGCTAGAGAGCTCGTCCCGTCATTGAAATTGCCTTGTGATATCTTTCTATGGAGGGCGATCCAGAACTCCATGAAGCTCAGCCCGCCGCCGGCTCTTCCGTTGCGGTTGCGCGAGGAGCCAGCGTTCATCTCATCTGCGTCAAAGCGCCCCTACAAAAACTTTGGGGTTCCGAGTCGCGGCGGCGCCCGTGGCAAGACGTCCACGTCCCCTTTCCTGACTGCGGCGGCGACGACGAGCTCCGTGAAGGCAAACACGAGAAGAGTAGAGAAACGCATCTTGAGAGAACTTCAAGAACAAATTACAGTGATCAAGCTTATACGTAGCACGATTGTGTGACGAACAAGTGGATAGATTCCAAAGTTAAGAGAAAACATCATGATCAACATGCTCATCTTATGTTACTGCTTGGAGAGGAACCTGGCAACTCCACTTCCTACGGTATCACCCGATGTAAAGGAACAACAAGCTTGTTGTTCATAGTGTAGAAGCAAATGATTCATGCTCCTCGGATGAAAACAGAGGGTTTGATAGATTACAGATGGGAAATACGAACAAGGACGCTCCACTTGAAAATGCAAGATATATTGAGTATTTCGTGTTGCGCTTAGACTACCGTTTCTGGAGGCAAGCCTCCCTAACGATAGGCCATAGTCTCCACTTGAATTCTGTATTGAGGTCAGCGAAAGCCGTACTGCATACTATCTAAAGTATTAGGGGCAAGTAAAACCCCGTAAGATACGAGCGACTAGTTCAGTTGATGAGCAGAAACGACCCTCTCGACCAATCAAGAAGGATTGGTCGCACCATCAGTACACGTTGGCTTTGCGGGTGACATCCTACCAGTCTATGGCGCCAAGCAGACTGGAACCGAGAGAGAAGTCTAGCTTCAGTGTTGCAATCGCCCTGCAGGTGCGTGATGACTTCTGATGACTATGCATGAGATGGAAAACCTTGATACATATGCCCAACTGCTCATGGAAGATATTCTAACAGAAGGACGACATTGGCTGGGATCGCAAAGAGGATATCACAAGAAAGAATCCATTGCAGTTAAGACCCTGTATAAGTAGCATCTGATAGTGCTGTATAACTCCGAGGAACTTGAATGTTTTGGTTTTACCGGATCAGGATGTATATATCTTGTTACTCCAATAGACCCCCTGCGGTAATGGTCAATCTCTTTTCGTTCACGTCCAGAACTCGACGTGTTAGTCAAGGAAGCTGAAGTTGGACATGATTACTGGGGAACCCCACATACGGCTGCCGCGGAAAACTTTTACCCAGCCGAACCCGCGGACCGAGAGGTTATGCGATGCCTGTCGGGCTAACCAGCAAGCATAACGTTGCTTCGCCGAGTTTAAGAATCCACTTGCTCTAGATCTTTGTCAAGTGCAAGCTTCACAGTAATCTAGTCTTTGGAAAAACGTGTCAAAAGTACGTCAATCACGCGGGTAAGGGGAAATTCGAACCCAAATAAGCTGGGGCGTGGCACAATTATCCGCAGCCTCGTATTCTTAGCATCACTTTCTCCTCCATATAAACGCCCCACTTTTGATACCTAGTACATGTAGGATATTTCAAAGGCCTATGAAAAGGGAAAGCGAAGACAATGGAATACATAAGCTTCCCTCTCGACGCTTCGCCAAATTACTAGAAATTGTTTTTTGCAGGTTGAATTCATTTTTACCTCTAACTTAGTCGGTTTAGTTACCCATTTCACATGTTCAACATGAAATTTGCCATTGCCTCCATCATTGCCGTGGCCAGCGCGGCCCCTTTGATGGATCGTCGCGCCACTTGGACCGAATGGTTTGCCGACGCAACCGCTCAGCCAGAGCCCTACCAGCCCAACAACCTCACTTTCTCCTTTGAACTGGGCTATACCGACGGCACTCACTATGATTGCTTCACTTATTAGTAAGTTTACCGACTTCTGCGGCTCCGGTGCTTTGATGCTGAGCTCTAACAATATTAGCGACCTTGTAACCGGTGTCTCCGCCAACACTTCTTGCAGTGGCACTGATGTAACTGCGACTGTCGGGTTTCCACGCGGCCAGGCTAGCATCCAGGACTGGGCGCCCTACGTCTACGTTCCCGGTACAGACAAGACCTACACTACGAACATTTCAACCAACAACCCGATATATACCTGCGGTCACACTGGTACCCCTGGCGTCGCCGCCAAGTGCTTCAACGAGTATGGCACGTTCGGAGCCACAAATGTCTAAATCTTAGTGCGCCGGTCTGGTGGATCTTAGAAAGGACCTACTCCTGTTGTGATAAGGGTTAATGTCGCCTTTCTATCGGATAATCGGTTTTATCACCTAGCAACCAAAGATGATTGAAAGAATGAGGAAAAGACAACTATTTTCTTCAAACTTGTGGTTTTATGACATTTTCCCTGTATGTTTGTGTAATTGACGGGCTAACAGTGACCACGGCTGACAATAATCCGTTGAGCCACATGCCCAAAAGGTCTGCCAGTGCTTGCACGCTTGCAAGCGCTGCTGTCGACATTGCTTATATGGGCAGGTCTACGCCTACCTAGGCGCATCTAACCCGCCAGAATTATCCTCTGACAAGGACGGTTCCACAACTTTACACTACGCGTGTATCGAGGCTAATATTCTATCATTACTGATTGGTCGATATGTCGGATAGGGCCTCGTAAATCGCAAGTCAAAGCATGAGATGGCGGCTGATCGACACCATACCCCACAATCGGACATTTGCGGCCCCCGCAGCAAGCCTCCGAGATACGAATACGGCTGCCGATAGACGCTAGCTGCCGTTGAGCGAGCCCCAATACCTGGATTCCGGAAGTGTATCTTCCCCGAACGGCGTGGAGTCCACGGGACCAGCCGGCATTGAGCAACGCATCTTACGACAGGCATCATGAAATTCCCGATTAATGGCCGCTATGAAGGGCGCTAAGCATATTCACTGACTGGCGCAAAGCTTGACTCCGTAACATGTTGGCGCAGGGGTATGATTGATTGAGCTGTTGCTGGAAATTGCGACTCAATGTAACGGCCTCGCATATGCGCCCTTGGCAAAGTCCATTATGACGCAGGGGTCGGTTGCGAAGACGGTATATATATAGCAGACAGTTCGTCCGGCTTGGATGAAAGAGGCTGAATTATCGAATAATAGCATCAAAAACCTGGAGAACCATCAGACAAACACCCGAACGTAAACCATCTACACACCATCATTAAGGTACCAAAACGCCATAGGCGCCATGACCTCCCACCTCTCTCTGGACCTAGGCTTCGGCATCTACACCGTCCCTTCGCCCACCGGGAAACCAATTCCCTACCTTATCACAGTGGTCCTGTTCGCAGTCTTGGTGTATGCCATTAGCGATCACGGCTCCAAGCTCCCAGAGCTCAACCCCTTGGAACCTTTTGAGTTTACCAACCGACGCCGCATGGGCGAATTCGCCCAGAAGAGCAAGGAGCTGATGCTCAAAGGAAAGGCCACTTTCGGAAGTAGCCCATACAAGATGCACTCGGAATGGGGCAGCGTCGTGGTCTTGCCACCTGAATTTATTCACGAACTCCGAAACGAACCGAGGCTGAACTTTGTTGAGCCTGCTGTCGATGTATGTCGCTTGCAAGACTCTTTTGATGTTTGCCTCAAATTAATTTCCGCGCCTGGCAGGATGTGCATGGCTATATTCCTGGTTTCGAACCCTTCAGCAACAATCCAGCATTGTCCAAAGTCGTCACGAAATACCTGACGAAGGCTCTTGGTAAGTCTTGCGACGGTCTTAGCGGGGAGAACTGTGACCTCACTATGTGATGCTCACCATGGTTCGCTAGCCAAACTCACGAAGCCACTATCCGAGGAGGCGACGCTCGTTCTCCGCCATGTTCTTACCGACTTAACAGGTATGTCACATCTTGGGCTCTGCGTCAGAAGTGCCGCAAAGTAAAGAACCAACTGACACCAAAACTTGAAAAGACTGGCACCAGATTGTTCCCCAAAAAGACCTCATCCGCATTGTGTCGCGCCTCTCCTCCCGGGTGTTCATGGGCGAAGAACTCTGCCGAGACGAAGAGTGGGTCCGCGTCTCCGGGGACTACACCGGCACGGCCTTCTCGGTCGGCTGGGACCTTGGCCACTGGCCACGATGGGCTCGACCCATTGTGCACTGGTTCCTGCCTTCTTGCTGGCGGGTTCGCAGCCTTCTCTCAGAGTGCCGCAAAGCCCTGAAGCCTCATCTCGAGCGAAGGAACGCGCTCAAGACGGCTGCTCTGGCGCGTGGGGAGACGAAGGCCATTTTTGACGACTCCATCGAGTGGTTTGAGCAGGAATGCACAACCAAGTACGACCCGGCCACTGCGCAGATCACCTTGTCGCTCGTGGCGATCCATACCACAAGCGATTTACTGCAGCAAACTATGCTTGATTTGGCGAGCCACCCTGAGCTGTTCCAACCCCTTCGTGAAGAACTCGTTCGTGTGCTGGGTACCGAAGGCCTTAAGAAGACGGCGCTCTACAACTTGAAGCTTATGGACAGCGTCATCAAAGAGTCTCAGCGAATGAAGCCCGTCCTTCTCTGTAAGTTATTATCCTGTCCAACCTTCCATAGAGTGTGTTGGATGGCTAACTTGGCCAAAATAGCGACCTGGCGCCGCCTCGTCAAGAAAGACATTGAGTTATCCAACGGCTTCGTCCTGCGGAAGGGCCAAAAAATCATCTCGACCAACACACATATGTGGGACGCCCAGTACTACGAGAACCCGCTCGATTATGATGGCTATCGCTTTTTGGACATGCGCAGCACCGACGAGGAGAAGCACGCCCACCTGGTCAGCACTAGCGCGAAGCATCTTGGATTCGGTCACGGTCAGCACGCGTGCCCGGGTCGCTTCTTCGCCGCCAACGAGGTCAAGATTGCCCTAGCTCACTTGCTCTTGAAGTACGATTGGAAGCTCCCCGCGGGTTCTAGTCCTCAACCTGTGCCTCACGGCATGAACTTGCTACCCGATCCCAGCGCGACACTGTTGATTCGTCGGAGGAAGGAGGAGCTCGACTTGGACTCTTTGGACTGCTAAGAGACCGTCTTTTCTAGACAAGGGATAACTCCTCTGCTGCTATGTACGGTGGAATGCATCAATACTCACCAAGATAAAGTATCGTACACCTCTCCTAACTCACCTGCTATTCATTCGCAAATGCACGGTTCATGGAAAGTGAATCAAGTCGTCTCTTTAAATAGATACGTGAGTTATTTTCTGTAGAGAGCATAACGTTCTGTCCTGCGATGAAAGCTTGTGTCCATTGTTGGAGGCGGATACATTTTGTCCCAGTGAACTGTTCACAAAGATGAGGAATCGCGCTCTACCAGGAGACAATACAACGATCCATTTGAAAGCATTTGCTTCCTCCTTGTATGTCCGAAATCAAGTCTTGTTTCGAAAACGGCATGCGTGCCTCTTGTTTCACCCCAACCCATCTCGATCGCCCAAACGCTTCATCGCCATATCACGCGGCTTGTAGATTGAAGCCTCTAAAAACCACGTCCTCGCAGCGTTTCAGAAAGTCGATAACGTCGGTTGCCGTGTGCCAGGCATTATTGTAAGCAGCACTGAGGCACAATTCGCCTCTGAATGTCCCCAAGAAGAGGCCTAGACCGTTTCCCAACTCTTCCCCCGTGACCCATGGGTTGTAAGCCTCAATGACACCCGTCTTAGGAGCAATGATGTTGTCTACGCGACCCATACTGGAGATAGAAACAGAAGGGTGGGTCTTTGGAGGGGGTACCGGAAGAGGTCGGGGAGATGTAGGTACATCCGGGATACCAGCAGCCCAAATGGTGGGGGCGAGGGCGTAGTGTTCCTTGTCATTCCGGACGCCATGGTAGAAGTCTTTGATGATCTGCCCGACACGGAGAAACTCGCCATCGCTGACTTGATCATCGCCAGCGGCGGGGAGGTCCATGTCGACTACCAGACTCTGGCCGGGGACGGAATGGTAGAGGGCAGCGGGATGTTCGCGAGAATTGTATGGCGCTTTGCAACTTGCGCGCTCGTTACGAAGGATGTAATTGACGTATCGCACGCGCTTAGCCTCGGATCCTCGCTCTTGAATATCGCGGAGAACTAGTGCAATAGCTGCATGGAAAGCATGGGTGACGGTCATGTCAGCAGCTTTGCACGCGGCGGTGAGCAGGGCAGTCTGCTCCTTGGTGAGAGTGCGGGCAACGCGTTGGTGGAGGCCTGGGAGGATTGCGCCGCGCCGGTAAGGCATGTCGAGGATTTGTCGATCGGAAACATCCATAGCTGCTGCTTTCTGCGCAGACATATCTGCTAAGCGCTTCTTTTGCTGGCTCGTGAGTGTTGCAGGGACGTTGGCGGCAATGCGATAGGACGGGCTGAGGTTCGCGACCTCGGAACCATTGAGGGTGGGGAATTTACAAGCATCGGTCTCGGAAAATGCTTTGGAAACATGAACAACAAGATTGTTTAGGAGAATCAGGGTGCCAACCCCGTCGATTACGTCGTGGGGTGAGCGGAAGACAAGGTCGCGACGAATGACACCTTCCTTATGGAACGGTGGGCTGAGGACAAACAGAGTCGGCATTTTTGGGGCCAGAGGTTGGGTATTGGCCCATTCCTGACCCGTTTGTTCACAAGAAGTGTGTACGAGTGTCTCTTCCAGCCAGGCTTTCTGGTCCGTGTTGTCGCGAAGTTGGCGATAGGTCTTGGTCCATTTGCCAGTGACGGGGTCCTCGCTAACCTGTGAGGCAATGGTCGGATGGTCGCAACGCAGAGCGAGCCAGGCAAACTTTAAGGCCTTATCAAAGATGGCTCCGGGCTCAGAAACGTCTTTTCTGTTGCTGATATCAATCTGTAAGGAGATATGGCCCGTAATTGCAAAGAACATGAGACCACTCCCCTCATAAAGCTTCGCAAGAGCCGAATAACACTGCTCGATCTCATCCGCGGTGCGCTGCCATACTCCTGGAGTACTTTGGCGCCAAATCAGTTCAGGGTATGTCTGATCCATCGATGAATAATATGATCAGATGTTGTTGAGTTACGTGATCAAAGATGAAGAGCAAGAGTAGCAGAGTGTGTGGACAGTCAATCTGGAGGAGTTTGCTTCTTTCCCATGAGGTATATATATTCTGACTAGTATCATAGAGCTCCAGCACCGCAACAAGCGACTCAAAATGATCTCATCAAGGTGATTCTGCAGCGCGCGACGACCAAAAGTCGAAATGAGACAGCGCGGTGACGGTGAAGGCCATGAATCGTCAGGCAAGGGAAGCGGCAAGCGGGGCTATCCCTGATTGACGGCACGATGCCATTCATTGGAGAGCAGACCCGAGGATCAGCCATCTCGGAACTAGCGTCCTGCCTGTGAACATGGCCCCATGTTAAGTGGTTGGACGGGGCATGGTTCAAGATTCCGGTGTTTACCCGAGTGATAGTCAATTTACTGCTACAAACCCCACGAAAGCACACAAACTCGTTGTTCGGCTACCTAGGAATAAGAAGAACAAAGCTAAATAGAGAGAAATTTGGTGCGGGTAATGGGGCAATGAGACTCGAAAAGATGGTTCGCGGTGGCTGTTTGATTCCCAAATGACGTGTGCGCTTTGCAAGTCGTGCAACTCCTCATTTTGTATACAAGGAAAGGAAGATGATCTATTTCAGTATATTATGTTCTGCGTTGCAAGTAACTCTACACCATTTTAAATCCCCCATTCTGTTTTTCTCAGTTTTCCTATTTATGCTCTTTCTCAAGCACCCTCTTTATTATCTCCATTACTTGCGCCACTAATTCCCCTCCCTCTTTCAACTTTCCTTGATCACTATACGTTTATGCTAGGTTCGACATGCTAATACGCGTAGATGGATGCTCTTCTCCAAGTACTCTTTTGCAAGCCTCTAGCTCATTTACTTGAAGCCTTTCCGCCTCTTCCCACCGGTCTTGGTCCTGGTACGTTAATGCTAGGTTGGCTATGCTTGTAAGCGTAGATGGATGCTCTTCTCCAAGTACTCTTTTGCAAGCCTCTAGCTCATTTACTTGAAGCCTTTCCGCCTCTTCCCACCGGCCTTGGTCCCGGTACGTGACTGCCAAGTTAGCCATGCTTGTTAGTGTATCAGGATGCTCCTCTCCTAAGACTACCTTTCGGAGCTCTAATGCTTGAGCTAGTCTCTTCTCTGCCTCGTTCCAGTGCCCTACATATTTTAGATAACCTGCCAGACAGTGCAAAAGGGATGCCCTCGCAATCTGTTCATCTCGCGAACTCGTACATTCATTTCTTAGTACAGCATAAGCATGCGGAAGATATTCGCGGCAAATGTCACGACTCTCATGCTCGCCGTAGGGATAAGCTTCTGATACAACTTGAAGAGCTTGCTGGGCGAACTCATATGCTCTTTGTTTATCGACGAGCCACTTTCGGGTGTCTGCTTGAACCAGCCGGTGTACATCCATACTCTGATGTTTGGCCTCTGTGATGAAAGAGAACGCCTTGAGGGTTCCTAGCACTTTTGTTACTGTTTCCTCTGTATCATTCTCTGAGTCTTGCGTCTGCTGTTGACGGCAGTAGTCTTCGATGAACCTGACTGGGATTACTTGTCGATCAAAGAAGCTAATGAGTGATAATATGTCGCTAGCAACTGTGTTGTGTTTCTCGATCTGCTCGAAAGAGATGATCCACGTCGCTGTGAGGGCGTGCGGCGTGCTTGAGTCCCTCCCTATAGCTTCAAATGATTGACTGAGGTGGTTCACAAGGCTAGTATCGCTCTTATCCAACAGCTTGATGTATTGAGGTATCGAGATTTCATTTTCCTGGATGAACGCCGCTGCCTGAGCAAGTGCAAGCGGAAGATGCTCTAGGCGGGACGAGAGCATGGATGTGTCTGCGGCGGAGATTGAACGGCCTGGTTCTTCGAGCATCGAGCGGAGTAACTGGTCTGCTTCGTCGTCGGTCAATTTTTCAATCTTAGTTGCGGGCTTCCCCGGCGCGAGCCTTGAACCGGTCTGTTTGTTCCTCGTAGTGATGAGAACCGATCCGTGTCTACACTCGGGAATATAACGTCCCAGGGTGCCTTCTCCATCGAGTCCACCAGTTGATGTGTCGGTCTGAGAGGCTTCGGGTGCTTGAAAAAACAGATGCGTGTCATCGGCGTTATCAACCACGAGAAGCCAAGGGCCCCGTTCTCCTTTCTCAAGCCACCTTTTGACAAGTAATAAGGTGTCAGATGTTGGGTCGTCGCGTCCGGGAATGTCGCACTCTTCGGCGATGGAAGCGTAGGCCTCGCGGAATCGCTGTGCATTGCTGGCATGGACCCAGAAGACAGACACGTCGGGCCTGGCCTCTTTCAGCCAGTAAACGTATGCCAGCGCTATTTGCGTTTTGCTATGTAAAGTCAGTGAATGGGTTCGCTGTGACGAAGTGCATCGTCTTACCCAACGCCGCCTAGGCCGTGGAGTGCTATCCTAGACCGTGCCTTTGCAGTGACTTGCTGTTGTTCGTGACCGAATTGCCGTTTGAGATGATCCAGAGCTCCAGATCGACCTACAAAGTCTGGGTTTTGGTTGTACGGGACGAGAACTTCTATCGTTAGCAGGGACAAGACCTCCAGGCGTGATCACTTACAATAATTATTAGGAGCCCGAGGGGTCTTGGGTCTATCCAACCCAGTGCTGGCATAATTCTCTAGGAGCGCCTTCGTTGTAGACGCGGCTGTCGCTGCCGCATAGTCCTGCCACTTCTTGTTCTTGTGGCTGTCTGCATAGTCACAGACTGCCTTGACAATGACGCACGGGATCTCGTCCCACACCCCGGCGCCCTCCATCTCGAAAGCAACGATACTGTGATCTGATGCAATCCTGTCACGGTCCACGCCTGACTTCATCACAGTGTCGCCTGATCCTATGCGCCCGACAAACACTTGAAGGTCCTGCATCAGACGACCTTCTCCGTGGCGTTCCGTCATGAGACGCTTCCTTGGCACAAGACGTCCCTTGTCACATTGAAGCTTCTCGCACGAAGTGTTGCGGGCTGTTTCGCAGCCGCCTGATTCGCTACAGCCGCAGTCTCGATGATTTTCGTCGTCGGCTGCCTTTTGTTGTATCTCTGTCAAGATCTCGCCGGCCCGCCGCTGAAGATCGCGGCGACCTTGACGCGTCTCAAAGGTAGCAACAAGAGAGCGAATCTCTTTATCAGGCCTGCCAAGACTGTCTTCAACGGTATCTTTCCTTGCGAACTCGTCAGGGTACTGCCGGCCTAGGTCATACTGCACGATGCTCTTGCTGATGATGACGTCCCCAAGTAGAATTTCATTCTTGGCTTCTGGGCTGGGCACTCCGCCGCAAATGCCAGTCAAGACGGCCAGTTCGATCCTGGTGTTCCCCCCTGAGACGTGTCGTCTCCGACCAGGCAGTTGATCGGAGACTGGCTGCTGCGCTGGCGGCACTGACCTTGCCCATGTTGGGGAGAAGAAGCAGGACGACGTTATGGCTTCCGATCCGGGCGGTCTTATATCTATGGTACTTTCCAGATGGGTTCCCCCGTGGGTCTCTGTTGTCAGGCCAGAACTAGTCGACAGCGAATGCGATGGCGTCGTATTCGAGGGGTAATGCACATATGATAGCGATGCGGAAGTCGTCGCGGCGGGGAAGTGGGTACGCCATGGCGATTCATCCGTATTATTGACAGTATTTCGGTACGAATCGTCACGGTGAGGTTGCTGTGAGAGATGCTGATGCACCCCTGGGAACTACCACACGAGACGAAGAGTCAACTAATCGTTGTTGAAGAGTCTTGGTCATTCCCGATCATCGATAAGCGCCCTCGATGAGATGAGGCTGCGTGGCTAGGCTAGTGGGTCGTCAGCAACCCTCGATTGGTTCGCTTGTTGACTGCGCCTTTCACAATGCAATGGACTTGTGATAGGCCGGCAGTCAAAGACTCATTCCTGCTAGACGTGTGATCGAACACCACGGGAAGCTCAACTCGACTCTCCAGATGCTGTCATCAACCAAAATTCTCTCCATGTCTTGCAAAGCCCTCCGTTAAGGGCTCTGATGGCAAACATTAGTGCTAAGAGAACAACCGGTTTAAAATCCAGACAAGAATTCTGAACGCGACAGTGTCGTCTGGACTGTAAGGAGATCTTGCCAAACATTTGATATACCAAACGCGGGACGCCTTTTTCATAATCAATCGCGACATTCACTTACTATTTGAGAAGTATTAGGCTTGAATCGCCGAACTTAACAAGACTCCAAAGAGTTTCCTGCAAGCCCAGCCTCGGCGCCATACCGAGTCCTCTTGGCGATCACAAACCCTTACCGTCAGCCTAAGCCCATACCTCCTCCCCAAGTCTACCCGGCATGTCAGTCTGCTCAACCCAAATCCAAGTCTTCGGAACCGTCGGGTCTTGGTTCAGGTTGTTCTAGAAAACTTCCACAGCCTTGCACCCTGACCCCAAGACAAAGGAGATGTAGGTACCATGCATGATATATCGACGCCCTTCCTCCCTTACCATTCTACACCAGCTCATCAGCACGTCTCAGGTGTCGTATCAGACAGCCTTTCCAGCTTGAGACTTATTCATCTTCACCCGGGCTGCTTGATGCATGCCTAGGGTCCTCGCTCTGGATGTTCTAGCAATAAAAGACCGGCTTCGGATGTATCGTCACGCAAGGGGGTCAAATGGGAAACAACCCTAAATGAAGCAAGCATCCAGCTCGTCGACGAGTCCTTCAGTCACATCGTGCTCATTTTACTTGTAATGTATATGACAGTGGTATTACAAGATCCGACACGCGGCGCCCTATGAACAGATCCTAACGAGCGACAACAGTAGATTGTGGTATCTAAAATTAATGTGACTACAGGAAAGTCTAACAAGAGATTTCCCTGGATCGGATGGCCTGAAAAAACAACGAATCCTCGAAGTCTTGCCAGTCCACCTTTCTACATGAGGTGAAAAATAGTACCATGAGGAACGCTGATGATCGCATCTAGAAAAAGCGGTTGTACCAGCGCTTCCAGGTGGGCCAGGTGGCGACCTCAGCCTTGTAGCGGTTGATCTCGTCCCAATCAAGCTCGCGGCGACCAGTGTCAACGTCCATCTGGTGGGTGCGAAGCCAGCCCTCCCGCTTCCAGAAGTAGCCAATGATCCAGAAAACTATGATGACTGGTACAGTGAGGAAGGCCTCAAAGAAACCAGCGGCATCGTTCAGCTCGTCTCCTTGTCCGGCAGGGGCGATGGCTACGAACAACTACAGTGTTTGTTAGATGATGCACAAATTTGGCGTTGACAAAAAAGTATAACTTACTTGAGCAATCAGCACGAGGATGCAAAGAATCAAGCCAACCCAGGATCCAGCAACGCCAAAGGCAGCCTTGAATGGGATCTCGTCGACGGTGTGACCGTGATACGCCCAAGCTTTGCGGAATCGGATGTGGGCCAAGCAGATAGATCCCCACGTGAACAAGGCAGCCAGCGCCGACATGGCAAGCAGCCAATCAAAGACGGTTTCACCATCCGCGTCCAAGTTGATGTAAGCAATAGCACCGCAGACGAGGTGAACCGCAACGGAAGGGAGTGGGCGACCAGACTTGTCGACGTAGGTGAAGATCTTGGGTGCATAACCCTGCTGCGCAAGCGCAGTCAGAGTACGAGAACCACCGTATACGCAGGAAACTCCGAGTGACAGGACAGAGACCAAAATGATGCAGTTCATGAAGTGGTCATAGCCGTACAGGCCAGCATAGCGAGCAGCCAAGACGAACGGCGATGTACCGTCAGCGTACGGGTTATCAGAACCAATAATGTTCTCGTCGTTGGAACTGACGAGAAGACCAACGAAAAAGAGACCGAGGATGTAGAACAGGGTGATACGCCAGAAGACCTGCTTGATGGCACCGGGCAGAGACTTGAGAGGGTTTTTCGACTCAGCAGCAGCCAAACCGACGAGCTCCGTGCCAGCGAAAGAGAAAGCAGCTGTGACGAAAACTGCACAGAAACCCTTGAAGCCGTTCTTGAATGCGCCAGGGTCGTGCCAGTACCGGGCACCCCAGTATTGATCGTAGCGACCGCCGGCGGGCCACCACCGCAAACGAGGATCAGGGCAACAATCATGAAAATCACTGAGATTAATTGGTCAGTATAATTACTAAACCGAAGGGCGGTGACAGTGTTGGCTCACCGATGGCTGAGAGCTTCAGGAGCGAGGACCAGAACTCCTCTTCGGCATAACCCAGAGTTCCGAAGATGTTGATGACGATGATGGCAATCCAGAAGACCGAAATCCATACAGCAAGGCTGACATCTTTGGCACCATCCCAGTAATTGATTGTAAGACCACAGACCGTTAGTTCGAGAGGTAGAACGATGGCCCACTATAGACGGTTAGCATTACGAGTCTCAAGTGGTGCTGCTTGTCTAGCAGAGGGGCAGCGAAAACAAACCTGAAAAACGTAGTTCCAGCCCATGGCAAAGCCCCAAGAAGGATCAATAAAGCGAGTCGAGTAGATATAGAAACCACCGGAGACAGGGTACATGACGGCAAGTTCACCGAGAGCGTATACAACATTAAACATCATGACACCGATGATGGAGAAATCGAGAAGAATGGAACCAGGCCCCTGGAGTATGTCAGCTGAGAAAAAAGACTATGCGCAATCAGGGGGGCCACTAACACCAGTAGCAAGGGCACCTCCAGAACCGACGAAGAAGCCGGCACCGATAGAGCCACCTGGAAAGCATAACGTTAACAATTGTTCTCAAGTCAGTAGGAAGCTGCTGCGCATACCGATAGCAATCATGTGCAAGTGGCGGGTCTTCATGGTGCGGTCGAGCTCGACGATTCCAGTGCCATAGTCACGACGCTTGAAGGATTCAAGGTTGAGACCATTGCGAGTGTAGAAGTTTTCCTCACGAACAGCTGCGCCATGGCTGAGGTGGCCATCGGCAGTAGCACTTTCGGCTCCGCCATGGACGGGAGTAACAGCTCCGGTGCGAGAGTCAGTGTTGATCTGGGTCTTTTCGGGCGTTGAGGCACCGTCGTGGATGTCTTTCTCGGTTGCCATCTTGTGCCTGTGTTGGCGCGGAGCGCGTGCGATCTTGCTAGGGCACGTTTCTGGGTTAACGTGTTTGTTGCTGCCGATATATAAAGGATCGTCAAATACGATCAGCTGCGAGTCGGGGTATGAGGCCCAGGGTCGCAAAGTGCAAGGAAGGGGAAGCAGGCGGGCCCGTGCAAGTTGACAGATGAGGCACAAGAAAAGAAGAGCACCGATCGGAGTCGAGAGGGGACACGGTGGGATTAAAAGGACGAGACGGGCGATCGCTGAGAGACGCGAATGGCACCTTGCCTTCGCGGTTCACCCAGCCTTGGACATGGTACACCTTGCCTTCGCATCCCATTCGGTATCATCTTGTCGCGCCGAGCAACTACTGGCGGGCATGACTATCAGCGGCAAAAGCATGCGGGCGACGCGGATGCAAGAGGATGGCGGTAACGGACGAGTGAGAGGTGTCAAAAGTTTGATGTACAAACCCGAGCGAGTAAGATTGGTGTCCGCCAAGCGCCAGAGGAAGGCCAAGTCTTGGGGAAGTGGAGTGAAGGAGACGGGACGCTGGACGAGAACAGAAGGTGCATTTGGACGTTCCAGGGAAGCTCAAAGTCGAGATTGTCCTGGTCCACCGATTAGAGTCTTGGACCGTGGGAGGCGAGTAGGAAGCTTGCGTAGTAGCTCGGGGAAGGAGAGACAGTGATGGAACATGGGGTGGTGGGCGTGGTGGGCGTGAGAGTTGTGTGTAGGTGGGCGTGGACAAGTGACGCGAATGTCGAGATGGCATGGTCGGAAGTCTGTGAGGTGTGAGAGAACGAGAAGAGAGACGGAGCACAGGGCAGCAATGGGAAGTATCGCAGAGTATCGGTCTGGTAACTTCAGACTGCCATTATCAGCGGAGCCCGCCCGGGCTGATGCATGGAAGCTCGTTCCGCGCCTTCTAGGGGCGGTGGGGGTGGGTGACACCGTGTGTCGATCTTGGCGGGAGACAGTGGGGCCAGTGGGAGCAAGAGGAAGGGGGCGGCGGCAGCAGGTGCATGTCGCGAGAGGGAAGGACGAGGGAGGGAAGGAGGAGGAATGAGGAGGGACGGGAAGGGGAGGAAGGAAGGAATGACGGCAACGGCGACGACAACGACAACGACGTTGAGAAGGCGCGGACACGGAACCTGCCGCCAAATGCCCAGTGCCTGCACAGCGTACTTTCTTTTGCATCAACCCCAGCTCGCCTTTCCTCCTCGCCTTCACCTGCGCCTTCATGATGGGTGCATGCTACACCCATCGACGTAACACAGCTGCTCGCCTCTGCGGCATTGATCCCCCCTGCCACCTTTCCTCCACCTTATCGTTCATCGTCTGCGCCTCTCATACACGTCCATGGCCTGATACGATCCTAGCGAGGACTGAGCGATTCTCCCGCGAACTCGCGTCTGACAAGTGCGTCGCCCGCCAAGCAACTGCCGGCCCTTGCACCATGTTCTATTCTCTTCGGGCAGCCAACCCAACGAACCTCTTGGCACCACCCGTTTTCAACACTGTATCTTGACCTAGCGCGCCTGAGTGAGGGAGCACGCACGAAACGTCGCCATTCAGACTGCGAAAGCGGTGGAGCTGACACCCGCGACGACTCGACGGCCTTCCAATCTTCGATTGATGTACTCGAGCGTCTCCCCCTCTGCTTCTTCCACCACTCTTTACTCGCCTGTACTCCCTATGAATGGATGCAATCTGCGCTTGCAGACTTGTTGCGCCTGCCGAGCCCTTGGCCTTGCCCAAACAAGAACTTTGCCGACCAGTGAGCGTTCAAAATGCTGCGAGGGAGTCGCTCACACGATTACGTATTCGCAAATTGAGAATAAACAGACGAACCCCCCGGGCGGGGGATACACGACAGTTACCTTGCTGAGACTCCAGCGACATACCCCTTAAACCGCACCACAAGCACGTCCTTTTTTACTTGGCCATCCCCCAAACCAAGACTCAAACCTAGTTCAGTCCACAAATGCACAACCTCTCACTCGCCGGCCGAGAAACGCCAACAATTGCCAACCCGTTGGCGAATTTTGGCTTCTTTTATCAATGCCTCCTCACTGGTACCAAGCGCCCGCCAAGTTGCTCTATCGGTGTTGGCATGCTCGCCACGGTCAGATAAGCCCCTCGTGTAATTCCACCCAGCACCGTCCATGCGTCTCTTTGCCTGTCAAAAAAATGCTTCCAAGAGTCTTTCCAAGACACACCAAGAAACCAAGCAGCAACACCAACTCAATGGAATGGTAGTTCACGAGCCCTCCCACATCACCTTGGTCGATGGCTTGTTTGCCTTGTTTGTGTACTCTTGGCTGCCAACGCCTGTCAAAACCACTGCGCCAGTCCTCGTCTATCTCTTAGCTTCAATTTTACGGATTCCATCGCGCTTCTAGACCCCTCGACCTTCTCGAATTGAAAGGCTGCGCTATCCGTTCGTCTTGGGTGCTCGTGAGCGAGCCTTCTCGGGGAGGTGTCGTTGTCTCGGCACGCCAGCCACGTCGTCAGGGTGCGAGAGAGGCTGATTTCCCTCGCACCGGAATCATCGCTTACCACACCCGTACAGTTGCCCCAGGTCGCTAGTCGACCTGCTGACTACCGCCCAGCGAACACGCCATGCCACACCGGTGATACCACCTTGTTCACGCCCCTATTGATAACGCATTGTCAAGCCTCATATTCCGCCGGATTGGAAACCACGCGCATCTCCTGTTGCTCCCCTCCCGCTGAGGCAAAGCTTAGCCGATGCTTGCCGAAACCATAGCGCGGTATAAGCGATTCATTTATCTCATGCCGCATGCCTTGAGCGATCAAGTTAGAATTTCAATGCCTGAAGTTTTCCCCTGCGCTTTCAGTATCCGACTCGAACAGGGAAATGGTTCATCACTGTTATGTTGCATCTCGAATTCCGGCTCATAATAATAGTAGTTCCCACATCACCCCTTATGTAAGTGGCAAACGGGCTCTGCGGTAGGTAACTGAGACGCTTGCATCTTGTCCAGGAAAGCCGGGCGTCTTCCCCCAAACTAGCCTGCGGCGTGGACTTCGATTTCGAGAAGTACTCCCGAGCGAAGGGAGAGATTACACTGGCTTTGCCGAGCACCACTAGCGGGTGGATGCAGACCACCTTGCATCCTTCGGGATGGCCTGGTCTGCCCGGGCGATTGGGCGCCTCTCGGTGGTTCCACCCTGTTTCTACCACACCTTGTTCAGCGGGTCCCAAAACCCTTTCCACTTCGGCCAGTGAGCTTCGCGCGATACGGAAAGACTGACAAACATGACTTGACAGCTGAGAGTTGTTTGACCGAGTGCTCTCCGCTTACCATTCACCTGGTTGATAAGGCAAGGCAAGGCAACAGCTGAGACTGAAATGAGCCAAGATGGCCAAGAAGGGGCGTAGGTTACTTGACTAGGGGAACCTCTGTGATATGTTAACCGAAAGACCAATAATAGTTAGAAAAGCCATCTTCCGTTCGATATGGCAAGTCATTGTCTTGACACTCGAAAATAGAGAGGACATGCCATCATTCGCACCTCTTCATACTTGTGGCTGCACCAAGAAGCTTTCCAAGGATGGAACCCCAAGACCCTTTATTAGGTGGGTGTCACTTCAAGCACATGATATTTTCTGGGCAATTCCATACTCACGGGTCCTTTGTTTCGAATTCTTGCATGGAAACCAGGAAAATACCGAGGACGTGGAAGGTATCATCGGTCAACGGACGAGTGTCTTTTCGGGCTGTAATGCGACATCTCCCATCCTCTATTTTGCTAGCACAAAGTAGAGGTCCATGAGCAAGACGAGAACTGAAGTATGGGTCAGGAGTCAAATAAGTATATATGTGGTCGTTTTGAGCATTGAGAGGTTCCACAAGGACCAACATCCAGCTTTTCTACGTGGATTGTCAGGCACAAAAAACAACTACTTTCCAAGAACCTTTCGAGATTCGATACGACACCCGCAACATATCATCAGCAGATTCCTAGGTTTGATTTTTTTGCATCAAAAAAATTGGCATAGCTCCAGAAATCTAAATTGGAATTGTAACCAAGGTCGAAGTTCTACATTTGGTCTGGATGACATTTAATAGTCACATAGCAGCCTTCCTCTCAGAATGTTTGTTCCGCGGCATTCTATCTATCAAAGTAACAAAGCAGAGCAAGTCATGAAAGCTCAATACCAAATAGTATATTGGCATTAATGGCGGATATCCATGGACCAGAGAAGTTGAGCCATGGTAGCCGAGGTTTGACTTTCGGTGTCGTGAGGCTCCAGGTGGATCTCGGGAAGACCACTTCCAGACATCACCGCGCCGTGATTCTTTCCGTCAATGGGAGGCCTAAAGCCAAAAATGCGGGGCTTCTGCTCCCTGAAAACTCCCATATCCAAACGTTTAGCCATATCGAGCACACCCATCTTGAGGTCTATATAGGTCGTACTGAAACCTTAATAGGGCTGAAGGTACGACTGGAAAATGAGACTCGGCGGTTACTTCCATTCTTCGCCGTTCTTACTCCTACTCGGAAGCGTTTTCGGTGGAGGCTTGACGAAGAGGTTGTTGATATGTGTAAAATAAAACTCGACGAGGCTCAGCTCGACTCGGAAATTTGTCCGTTTACTTTCCCATTTACTATCTCTTTCTTACTATTTCATTTCCGGCCATCGTTTCTTCGTTGATTTTACCTTCAGGTTGAAATGAACCTCGAGGATTCTCTCGCAGATCTTTCAAGGCCGTAATATAGAGAAGCAAACCCGTTGCTCCAAGCTTTCATGACAGTTCATCTTCTGCGGCTGTCCCTGGCTTGGTCTTTTCAATAAGAATATCAAGGCCATTGCTCATTCATCTTTCCATCCCTCCAGGGAATTGTTTCAGAAACTGCTACCCCTTTTATTCAGCTGTCCCATCACACCACCCTTTCTCCAAGTATTGATCATCCCGCATATCATCTTTCTGCACCACTCACCAGCTCTTTCGAGTTCTCATTGTTCGTCATCGTTGATCTCGGGCCCTTATTGAATATTTAGCTTTGGGTCATAACAGTATAGCGGAGATACCTTTGAGTTCATTTCTTTTGCTCAAAAAAGCGGTTATTTCAGTAAACACAGTTTCGGAGATGGCTTTCGATCAGGACCCAAATGGTATAAGTCACCCCATGAAACTTCTGACGGGCTTCTTTACCCCCTAAATCCTCACTGACTTACCGCCCTCACTAGATTCTCTTTCTTCACAGCCATCACTTCCTTTCCGTCAGTAACTCTCATTCTCTACCTGTCTTTCTCCGTCAGGCTGATTGTCTCCAAGGTATTCGCGACAACGCGGATACGAACACACCACCAGAGAAAACTGCGTCATCACAGTCTGCAGACATGGCGTCCTCTTCCGCCCTTAACCGAGTACATATGAATGCCGAGGCGCCCGCTCAATGCATGTACGCCGCCAAAGGCTTATGTCGCGTATGGGGGCTCGCCAACTGTCTCCGAGTTATAAGCGATGAAAGCCTCCATCTAGACCAGCGACTCGAGCGCGCAGAGCTGCTTCGCGAAGCGCTGACCATGGGCCCTCGCTTCGTCAGCGTCAGCCACGTCTGTTGCGGCAACAACACGCTTCTGTCGCTCGCCGTGGGCATGTCGTGCTCCGTGGAGACTCTGCAGTTTCTCTTGTCCCACGCGCGGTTCCGGCAGGAGGACGGCTGCAGAATCACCGACTTCGTCGAGCACCTCGGGAGCGTCATGGTACTCTTGATGGCCAACTCCCGCGCTCGTTGTTTCGAAAATAGGCTGCCCGGCGACGGCAAGAAGTGCCTTCGTGTTCTCCTCCGCGCCGGTAGCCAGAACTCTTTCGTGAAGAATTTCTGGTACGACAACGGCAAGATTCATAATTGGCTGCTAAGCATTTTCAACGCGGCTTCCACTCGGGAGTTTACTTACCATGATGACGAGGTACCAGAGCACCCACAGAGCCAGCACCTCGTTCCCATTCCCGCTCTCCTCGACTTCGTGGAGTGCATCATTGAGCTCTTCTACGATAAGGATAGCCCCTGCAAGATCTCGGACAACACGTTCTGGACTGCGATACTCAAGAGCTTGTGGACGCACGCGCACGTCACGAGAGGCACCTTGACCCGGGTTGCCGATGTGACGCTGCGGCTCCTGGAGCTCGGGGTGTCGAAGCAAATCGATCTTCCAGGCGCAGCCAAGGGTGGCAGCTTCCTAACTTGTGTCGAAAGCGGCCTCTTCCCCAACGATGTCATCGATCCCGACCTCGACGACGTCGACGCCATCATCGGGGACCAGGTGATCAGAGGTACCAACGAGCTTGGGCAGAACTTTGTTCTCGCCACGGATATGCTGTGGGAGACGCGCAAGGCGAACATTGAGCGCCTCCAAAAGCACATCCTCGGAGGTGTGAACCCCCCCGTTGAGAGCCTAGGGGCAGCTGTCAAGGCAGCGCAGGAAGAGATTCAGGCCCAGATCAACGACTCATTGGGGGATAATAGTGCCTCTTCGGGCAGTACAAACGGCCCTGGAGGACCAAAGCAAGCTGCGACCGAAGCATCATTCAACGACCCAGAAGACTGGGACTTGTTCGACGACATCAAACCGCAGTAAGAGGCGTCTGACCAATCAGACATGGTATATGGAGGCTGTTCTCCACTTTGCTCATGACTTCATCTATATGTTGCTGGCTGCTTGTACAGTTCAATGGGTTTGCGTAAGGTCCGGGCGGGTAATGAGCCTCACTCCTTTAATCCTGCATAAATGTCGGAGTCCGAGATGGATGTTGTAAGGGTTTATGACCTGCTCCCCCTCGCGGAGTTTCAACGAGGAGCTCCAAAACATCGGTGTATGTCGGCGGGTTTTTCAACATCAATCATCGTTGCTAAAAAGGTTTGTTCAAGTGTTTTAGAAATTAGGATAGGAGTTTTGAGAAGCGGTTATCCATAAGTGCAACTTTGCTTTTCAATGACATGCAGCAGTTAGTCCACGGTGACTCTTGACTCCTTTTCGCTTTTTATTCTGCTTTTCCAGCCTAAGGGGAGTGACTAGTAGATCTATACATCGAGTGATTCTCAAATCCATTTCATGCTTCGCGCATATCTCTGCAAGACTAGGTACCAGCAGTGCGATGGTACCCGGTTTTCCAAAGCGGTATCTAGTTGATCGACAAACAGGTACCAGGCCAAACGTACCTGCAAGCTAAATGCGCATATTGCGAGATGATTAATGTGACAGAACTTATGACCCATACTGATCTGGTTTCTCAGTAATCACTACAGCGCTGCAATGGCCATTGCGCAGCAACAACGTGTGCTAATTGCTGTTACCACCGCATTCCTGTGCAATTTGCTAAATCACAAGCTGGAATTCCATTTATAATGTCAGAACCGATTTGTCTCTGTTTTGACAGAGTGCCCGTGACTTATTACCTGACGCCATCTTCAAAGGAGACATAGAGCATTTCCAGAACGATCCCTTCCAACAACCTTGCAGGCATAACAAACTCACTAACCGATGCAAATGAGACCAAAAGCTATAGAAAAACCAACTCTCAGACTGCCACAGACAGGTTTACAAAGGAAAGCATCACACCACCGAGTACTAATAACCATCAACCATGACGTCGAAGGACATCTCTGCGAATATTTTCACCCCACTCAGCAGAGAAAGGAGTGCCTTTAATACCGTGATCTGTAGCATATCTTAGTCTTCCCTCTCGGCTGGAATCTAAGCCGCAAAACTTCATGGTATCGACCGAGGAATTAGGATCTAGAGAACTCTCAGCCACAAGTTTAGGTTCAGTGTACCAACGAACTAACCTAATGGGCCATGGAAGGCATTCTTCATCCCATACGCTGGAGTTGTGTTTGTATAACGAGTATCGTTGGACAAGAAAGTCTTGACACCCCAGCGGAGTACTTTGAAGCCCGTTTCTAGCACTGTTTCCAAGGATATCTGAGGTCCTTGCTGTTCTTTGGCAGGATCGCCGTGCATTCCCGCCGGATCCGTTGCTGACCGGTTGCCACGATTAATCCCAGGAGAACCATCGGAATTACTGCTAGTTTTCGAGTTTGGCTCTGTAGGCCCTGTACCAGTATCACATCTGAACTTTGTCGATGGCTCCTCATAGGGGGTACTTGAGGGCATGCTAAGGAATGTGCCAGCTTTCGTTCCATGAACGGGAATGCCAGCATCCAGTTCTAGGACAATTCTAGGAATGGCAGCGCCAGGTAAGTCTGTGCGACTGTAGAGATAACCAATTATGTCTCTGGCGTGGCGCGCAATCTGGTCACGATCCCTGAACCAGTCTATGCAAGATCCAGTGCAGCGTCCGTTGCCATCATAGCCCTGTCCGTGGTTGTACGAGCTCAGCATGTCGGAACCAAGGCGCTGCTTCCATAAGTCTTGGAGATACTGGAGCTGCTTATTGAATGCCTCCTGCTGCCTTTCGCTTGCAGCGGTCCAGAAGGTCGTCACAAATGTAACACGAGAGAGGAAATCTTCGCCGCACAAGGCTTGGGTGAACCAGAAGAGTTGGTTGTCGAGGTCGTCGAAGCGGGGTTGGTTGATGCATGTAAGGTACAATAGGCCAACAATTCGTGCAAAAGGACGAACGCGTTGAATGCCGCTAACGATCACGTTGAAAGCGTGCTGCTTCTTGTTGTAATCAAAACCAGGCGTATCCATAAGGAAATATTCCTGGTTTCGAATGACCGCTTTGTTAATTTCGAAACCCTGTGTCTAGGCATCCCGTCAGAAATAGCCCAAACCTTAGCAAGGATACATCCCTACCGGAGTCAAGAGATTGTTTTGCATGACCTCTGCTATCGCTCAAATCCTCTAGGAGAGAAGATTTCCCGGCCCCTGTTCGTCCAACGATTATGATCACGTCCGCAGTAGACTTTGTTTCGCTTCTCAAGATGTTAGATCAATAATCAAGTAACATGGAAGAATCGGGGCTTAACCGGAATCGAGCCTCCATCTCTGCAAGGCATAGTTGCGTTCGTTCAGTTGCGGGCTCCATATTCATAGATTTGTTTGCGAACTTGCTTAGAATGGATGACGATGGCTGTTGTTGTTGTTGAGATTGAAGGTAGGCGACACCTTCAAGAGTATACAATCAAAGGAAGAGAGCCAAGATCAAATCTGCTTAGCATAGCTTAATATTGGGTCGACAGGGTAATCCAGAGTTGATTTATATGCTGAAAAGTGCTAATTCTAACACAGTCAAAGTTGCCCTTGGATGACAGGGATGAATCTAGATTGTGCCAACGGATCAAGCGGTATGCCTTGCTGCCTATCGTGCAACCAGTTTTTGAGACCAACAAGCGCACCAGTCAGAGTTCTAACTAGTAGCATATTTTCGAAACCACAGCTTGGATTGGATCGGTTACCATACGACGCCTTGCTTCTAGCCTTCCTCGCCACCGTTGTACAAGACTGCCGGAGCGACTCCTCGATAATCGAAGGCATTGGATGTGGCTCCTATTCTGTGAGGCCTCCGGATTTTGGGTAAATACACATTCACTTCTGCGGGGAATTGAGTTAGAAAGAAAATAGTAAGGTATGATTGGGAGTACACGGGTCCAGAATTGGGCCAACATGAGCCCACAGGCGTCATGCGACTGAGGCTGTGGTGACCCATTGCAAGACCAGTCCAACTTCTACTTACCATCCAACGGGCCTCAAAGCAGTTAAAGAAACGTGCCAAGTGTTACTAAATATCGCCTCTACATATCTGATTGAAAGCTGTTCTGCAAGAATAAATCGGACGTATTGCCTACATGTGGGGGCTAGGAACTACCACCCAACTAGCCACTTGATTGACAGATAAACCCATACCATACAGGCACCCTCGATGACATCAAGCCTTCATTTTCGCCAAAAGTCATTCCACAGGTCTAAACATATGTGACGTCTACTGCCTGATTCAGGCTATAGCCATCGTTCCTTTCAAGTACCTCATCCCGCGTTATGCCTCCCGTAACGATTCCAACAGCCTGTCCCTCCAGGTTGAATACACATGCACCGGAACATGCTTCCTAAGTAAAGGCCCCATAATGCTTTGTGGCGGCCTCGTTACCGGCTCTGCGGAGATAGATGCCCTTGGTGCCTTTTCGGCGGGGTCGATCCAGGCTCGCGATACTTGTGCCCAGTTGGTCGGAAAGCTCATACATGTAGGAGTGGTAGCAGGTAGGGAGGTTATGGAGGCTTTGTTGTAGGACCGCTGGGGTGTGTGAGAGGTTGGTCAGCCTCGACTCCTTGATTTCGCAGTGAACATCAAGTCTGTGCCCAAGGAGGGCGCTTCTGTAATGCCTGGCAACTTGATCACCCAATGCCCACGACAATGTACCTGGTACGACCGAGATTGAGAGAATCACAGGCTTCTCTTCACCATCATATCCGATTCGGACGATATCAATTGCCTGCCACTCAACCTTCTCCTGGATAAGGATGTCCACTAAATGGTTCCTCAGCGAGGAAGGTTCGTCGTTCCATTCACTAACGATATCGTGCTCCCCGACAACAGCAAGAACCTTAGGTTCCGATGACCAGTCGTCCATACCAAATCTACATGGTGTTGAGCCGGGCCGTGCAACGAGCTTGGGCTGGCTCGGGAGACCATAGTAGAACCGTCTGCACTCGGTTTCGGTTGGCTGATGTTAGTTGTCCATGGCTAGAAAGGTTTAGGAAGAGCTTTTGTGTGGCGGCATTTGAAGTCACAGACAACCTCGGAAGGGTTTAGAAGTGGAGCTGCTATCATATATTGGGCACGTAACCTATCTCCGTTGACTAGGGATCCTGATGGTAACTGTGCTAAAGAGTTAGTGGCTTACTAGATGAGACGAAAGTTTGACCTTGAAGAATCAGGACCAGGTTGTAATAACCAGAGAGACTTCACACCTCGCAGTCAAACAACCAGGCCACAATTTGAGTCCGCTGTGTGCAACAACGGCGTCAAGACATGGCAACTAGACTAGTATGAATTTTTGGTAGCTTTCTGAACCACGTATTACTACTGCTAACCACTAAAGAATGCGATAGTCAACTGACCTCCTCCCTTAATCCCATCCCTAGGCCATTTCCCTCATACGGCCTTGGGCTAGCTGCGACGTCGTGTTCGTCGTTAAAGACTCCATCATTTGGTTGTTAGAGCAAGGGTTTCCACTAAACCACGGTATATCTGGACTTGTGTAGGAGACCTTGATGAAGTCTCCATGCTGCTTTAATTGCTATTGGACAATGAAAGTCCTGCAAAACTCAATGCTCCACATCGTCGATCTCCAATGCCGTCTTTGTGAGGTCTCAGAGTCATGGACACAGAAAACTCTTATCGAAAATGGACCATAATAGAGAGCCTGAGTCAAACAAACTATACAGAGGGGAATGGAAAACATCGGTAAAGGGAGACAACGGAGACCACATACTCACCTTCATAAATCGGATATGGGAGCTAGGGAGTCCGTTCTTTGCACCTATCAGGCTTTTTGAAAAGGTTTTGAGCAATCTGGATGCGAAAGATATCAAACAGAGGACACCACTTAGGTCGTAAGAGAACAGGTTACTGACCTATCAACATCGACAGAAAAAGTTACAATAGCTTGAATGAA